TGGACGTCTCTGCTGGAAGCCAAGCTCATCCTTCGACTGCTAGAGGCTGAGCATGATCTGGGCCGAATGACAGACATCATCTGCAAGACACCCAAGACTGTGCAAGGCATTCTCGATAACATGCTACTCAAGATCGACTACTCCAACCCAGACATGCAGTCCCTTCTCTCTTGGCTTCTTGTCGGAAAGCGGGCTATCCAGGTAGATGAGATGGAGCGATACGGCTCTGTCACCATGAGCAACTGGCTCAGAAGAATCCGTTCCGGCCGGTCCGTGAGCTCCAACTCTCCTCTGGCCAGTATCATCACCATTCGCAGCGGTCGCATTCAATTTGTCGACTCTGTTGTCCAAGCGAAGATGCATCATCTTGCTACACATGGAAAAATTGCTTTGTCGCTGAACTTGGCTCATCGACGGGTCGCAATTGACTGTCTTGAGCATGCCAAGAAACACCTTCAGCAAGACAAAGTCGATATTGTCTTCCAGAATGTTTTGCAGACCCAGTGGGCTACTGCAGCTCCGTACAAAGACTTTGACCCGCTGATGGCATATGCCATTCGGAATTGGTACGAGCACTACGAGAAGTCGCTTTCTTCTTCAGAGAAACTCTCACGACATCTTCCCACTGAAGTATCCTCCAAGATTCCCGATTCAGTCCTGATGGCCCTGGCCGAGTGGCACTTCCTCCGATCTGAAGGCGACAATATCACGACAAACATGCGACTTGGCAAGATCCTCGCCCTGCGAAAGGCCGCTTTTGGTGCAAATGCCAAGTCAGTGATCCAAACATTGATCAACCTCGCTCATTCGGATCTTCGTCAGACCATCAGTATTGAAAAGCTGGTTGAGGCTTTTGAAGCAGCCATTCTCACCTTCGAAGACCCCAGCCCTCAGGCTACCGCTGGTGCCAAGTACATCATGTCTCTGGTTAAGCCGCACACGACGCTATCCTCAAAGAGCTCCAAGGTGTATAAGTACCTCTGGCGTGTCCTGAGGGGCGAGCTTGGAGAGAGTCATGATCAGACACTCGCCGTCGCTCAGAGGCTCGCGGAGCTATACAAGGCGGAAATGCGCTTTGCTGAAGCTGCAGAGATTCTGCACGATATGTATGTTGCGTGCTGCAGAACCAGAGGCCTCTTCGCAAGCAAGACGCTTGATCTGTTCCACGTGCTTATCGATGCGCTTGAGCACGCTGATGATATGGCTGCCGCGCAACAGCTGTGCCAAGATGTCTTCGACGCTGCACCAACTCTGGAAACGTGGACCGATGCTGCTCTCTCAGCCATTACCCGTATTGTTCGACATTACCAAGACCGCGGCATGTCTAGCGCTTCTAAGGGTGCTCTTCAGCAGCTGTGGAGCTTGCTTCAAGGGCAATTGAACAAGGAGAACAACAATCATGGTGCCATCCTAGTCGCTTTCACTTCCGTAACCTTGCAACTGGCAACCAAGTTGCGCGACTTGTCCTTGGAGAAGGAAGCTAGCACGACGCTGGTGTCATTCTGGACTTCAGTCTCGAGGTTCGTGACAACCGACCGCCGTTGCGAGGTAACCACACTGGTGAACCTTCGAGAAATCGCACAGCTTCTCCTCCGACTGGAGAAGAACCAGGAAGCATTGAGCATCCTTCGCGTTCTCTATGAGATCCATCAGTTACCTTCTCATGACCACTTTGACGAAATGCTGCAAGTCTACTCTGCACTCATCGTCTGCTACAAGGGTGTCAAGAACCCCATCGAGGACTTCTTGTGGCTCAACATTCTTGACAGCATTCTCCATTCCACTTCAGGTCATGGAGACATCGGATCAGACACGGTCTTTCTGTGCAGAGACTTGGCTCATCTGCATCGCTCTCGAAGAGAGTGGAAAGCAGCTATTAGCATCTGTCGCAAGAGTCTCGAGGTCCTCTGGCCCCAGATACTTATAGAAGGGGGAAAGCTGCATCTCCCCAAGACCTTCACTCGCGAGCGCGTTGAGATTGCCATCATCATGGCTCAGATGTACAAGCTGACTGAGCAAATTACTCAAGGAGATATCCTGATCCAGTCCATTGTCAAGTGCTGCAAGCAAAGCGTGCTCCTCTGGCAGTCTTCAAGCCAGGATATTGCCCTCATCCTTTCTAGCGCTCTTGAAGACGCCGGCCTGCATCTTGAGGCTTTGGAGTTCTGGAAGTCTATCGTTGGTGATTGCAGAACTCACTTGGGTCATTCTCACTCATTCACGCTTCACGTCGCTGCTGCGATTGTCCGCCTAAGCCTCCACCTCGGCACTGTTATCGAAGACGACGACGACATTTGTGATTGCTTCGAGGAGGAGCCAGATGAGGACGATGTCGCTTCAATCATCGTTCTCATCGAAGGCCTCCTCGCTCTTTGCAAGAGCCAGAGAGGCAAGGGCAAGCGTGAGAGCCATACTATTCTCCTCCGTCGGTACGAGCGTCTCTGGTCGTACTATGCTGACTTGCGACACCATGTATCGATGGACGCTGCCCGTGGATTCGAGATTTACATCGGCTACTCTCAAACACTACTCTCCGTTGGCAGTGTCTCAATCGCCGTGCGGCTGGCTCGCAAGCTGAGAACCATTATGCTGTCCGATCTGGGACGACAAGATATTTGGTATCTCAAGGCGTCGCTTGAGCTGACCAAGCTTCTTGAGATGGATGACACAACTCTTCGTGAAGCTGTGGATATCTACGACGAGCTGAACGAGATCTGTCTGGGCCTGTCGGGCTCGGATGAGGCGTTCATGGAGATTTTACGCCTCGTTGAGGAGCGATTGAGTGTTCTTATGTCAAGCAAGCCTCTTCTCCACGACAGAGCCGAGATCATCCTCATCAAGTCTTGGAGGCAATGCGCAAAGAAATACGGCTACGGTCATGAGCGTAGCATCTCCAGCCTAAGGAAGGTCATCGACTTCTGGGTAGTGAACCTCACTGTTGAGAACAAGAAGCAAGCCACAGTTACCTTAGAAGAGGTCATTCTAGGAGTTTTGAAGAAGGAGACAAACCCACGAAGGTTGTTCCATCTTGCAGAGCACTTCAGCACAATGTACAAGCTTCTTGGCGTTGGCCATGGAAACCTGGCCTTCTTGCAGACCATTCGCTCCGACATCGCGCGATTGCAACAGTCTCAAGGCCTCTGCGGACAAGCATACCTAGAGAACAAGCACAAGCGTTCTGTGACTTATGACCGAAGATGCCTGGTTCTTGTGTATGCTATGGAAGAACTCTCCAAGAAAAAGACCGAAAGCCTCTTCGGTGACATCTTGACGCGGGTCGTTGCTGAGACGGCGCTTTATGAGGCGTGGCTTCGAGCGGGTCAGCAAAATGACCAGCTTGGCAATCTCTTGACCACTGGTTCAAGACTGATCCAGCATCTCGAATCTTACAGTTTGCGCTCCGAGGCCGGTCTCATCCAAGACGAGCTGTGGAAATTGTTCTGTCGTATGCTGGAACGACCAGAGGGCAAGGGAAGCTCGACATATCATCTCTTCCAAGCCATCCTTGCTTCATCCTCTGAACAAGACACTTCCGCGTCACTTTTGGAGGATGCCTTTGTACTCATTCAGCAGATGGGCGATGTGGGTTCTCACAAGGCGTGTTTCTACTTGTCGCAATGGGTCTTTGAGTACAGTGAAGGCGGAGCCGATAGCGACGATAGCTCCTCTGCGCTTGTGCTTCTGAAGTTGAGTACCTTGCTGTACAAGATCTCTGAGATTGAAGTCGACGTTTCTCTCAGTGGTTTGATTGAAGAACTGGCTACGCAGTTGGGAGTATTGGCTATGAGCTATACTTCTGACATTGACCTGAGCGTGTTGAGCGTTAGCCATCTTACATGCATCCTCAGCATCGCCGGCAAGCAAAACGACTACACTACTCTCAAGGTTAGTAACAATCCCCAGCTATGTGCTTTTATACTGATCGTTGTACAGCGCATCCTCGAACTTCTATGGAACTCACGCGACCACTACGACTTCAACCTCGAGCCCACCACCACAATCGCCATTGGCAAGCGACTTGCAGAGGTTCACTTCGCCTGTGGAGAACATAATGCAGCCTTCACTCTTCTTGAGGACATCAGCTATAATCTCAAGGATGTTTATGGCGCCAACCACTCTATGGCTATGAGCTGCATGAGGCTTCTGGCGTCCATGCACGAGAGTTTAGGACATCGTACCTCTGCTATTGACGTTAGATTCCTCATGCTCAAGGACGCTGCGACATGGGAGGACGACTTGACTTCTCCAGGATCACAAGATGAAGCTGTCGCCTTCTACCTAGACCAACTGCAATTCCTCAGGAACGGGTATGCTACCGTTGGGCAAGATTACTCATGGCATTTGGAGCAGAACATGGATTACCTCGAGGAGATCACCTCCAAGGTGAAGCAATTGATCTCAGTATCTACTTCTTCGCATGATGTGGGAGATATCTTGGATCTCGATACTTGGGCTGGCTTGGATGAGGTTGAGGTGAATGAGGATGCATTGGATGTTTGGTGTGCGCCCGAAGACTGGAGAGTTGAGATGGGAATGGAGGATGATGGTGATAGCTGTGCTTATTCTACTTCATCGACAAACGTGTAATATGGGATCTAGTTGTTCGGAGTAATGGTATCTGTTTATGTCTTTTATAATTTACACTAAAGTAGTCATGTTTGTTACTTGTAACAGTGAATTGTGTTTCCTGTTGCATTATCTTGGAAATATTCTTTATTGATCATTATTTTGTAAAATTGAACATTGTTGAGTCTTGGTCTATCGGTCATATAACTTCTTCTTATGATATGCTATTCATGGGTTTTTGTTGAAACTGCATCGAGTAAAACACGATTCTGTATTACATATAACCGGCCCCGCCGTTCACAGCCGGGTGCTCCGGTTGCGGAGTCCCCGGACACGGAGAACGACCTCCGTCCTCAAAGTATATAATAACGTCAACTGGCAGTGCAACTCAACTGCATCAACCATCCTACACTTCACTTCCCGCTCTCAAAAAAATGTCTCAGAACCAAGAATATAGCGAAGGTTTTAAAAAGGGCCTCAAAGTCCGAGGCGAAGTTCTCGGCGAAGAATACGTCTCTAAAGCAGTCGCAAGTCTCGACAACGAATACTGGAAGCCCGCACAGGAGCTCATAACAGAGTATGCTTGGGGGAATGTATGGACTCGTCCTGGCCTTGATAGAAAGCAGAGAAGTCTTCTCAGTAAGTGATACTATTATATCAAATTACCATTACTGAGAACGTTACAGCATTGGCGTTTTTGACGGCGCAAAAGGCATGGCCTGAGTTGACGTTGCATACCAAGGGAGCTATGCGGAACGGTTTGACCGAGATTGAGATTCGAGAGGCGGTTTTGCAGTCGATGATTTACCTTGGTGCTCCTGTTGGGTTGGAGGCTATGAGGGTTACAGAGAAGGCTATCAATGAGTTTAAAGCACAGGGTGGAGGTGAAGCAAGTGGCTCAAAAGATGAATGAGCTAATGGCTCTAATTATTCAAGTAAATTTATATCCATTCACCCTCGGAGCGTAGAACTGACTCGATCATATCAACAAGGCGATGACTTCCCTTGTTCCATGCGGGTTAACGGAAGAAGCACGTGTTCGACCCCACCAGATGCCATCACCTTATTTACCCCTCCTCATACTTGAACATCATACTCGTATCATATATCCTCCCATCACAAAGTCTTTCTCATAATGGCTTCTAAAATTCAAAACGTGACGGAATTCTCATACGTTACCCTCAACGAGGGTGTCAACGTCTTTGATGAATCAGCTGCGGCAAAGACTTATCAAAATGTTCTGGAGACAGCGTTGAAACAACCTGGTGCTCGACGGGTTTATACTGGTGTTGAGGTTGAGAATCCTTCTACGCTATGGTTGTTTCTTGATTGGGAGACTTTGGAAGATCATGAGAATTATCCCAAGACCGCGTGAGTTCAAACTGATGTTGTTATATGAGATCACACTGACGATTCCAGTGATCATGGCCCTATTATTGAATCTCTAAAACCCATCGTGGACTTTTCAAAGTCCATAAACAAACACGTCACCCTAACCCCCTTCCCCCCGGAAGACGTCCTCAACAAAGACTGCTCCCCCGTAACAGAAGTCCTGCTAGCATTCTTCCCCTCGGATTACGACGTCGCATCCCGCGCCACAGCCACCCGCCGTCTCGAGGAGTTCACGGGCGTAGCACTAAAGACATCCCGCGACTGGCGCGGCATCAGCTACGGATGGAGTGTTGAGAACGATGTACCTATCCGAGGAGATGAGAGCAAGACGGGGAGTATGCTTGCTGCGTTTATTGGATGGCCAAGTGTTGAGGCGCATCAGAAGTTTCGGGAGACGGATGAATTTAAGGAGAATATTGGGCTGTTGAGGGAGATTCCGGGGTTGGTTAAGTTAGCTGCTTTTCATGTTAGTTGTGTGAGTAAGGAGGCGGAGGGGTTGACGGAGAGGGATGCTGAGAAGGCTCATGAGCATAGTCATGATCATGGTGGTGGATGCTGTTGATTCTTTAGACTATATAGTTTGTTATTCGCATAGATGGAAGCTTTGAATTTATAAAGATGCCATCCAAGACCATAATTCCTTCATAACTTCCTGCAATTGTCATCGGAAGGTTAAGAGACGCTCCAATATGTGTATTTTCCTATAAGCTTTTCCGTATTTGCGTTGCTTCGTGTTCTAATAAATCATTTCTCGTTTGCTGGCTCAAAGGCCTGGGGTATCGTGTTCATTACCCATTACTCCATAACAAAATCTCCCCCCTCCGTAAACTCATTATGCATACTCAACTCCTCGAACTGGGCAGCCAAGTTCCTTATATGTCCGTCACCCGGCTTCGTAGCCTCCAGATCAAAATCCAAAACCCAGCTCCCAAACGTGCCACTCTCATCTTTACTAGGCGGCGCATCCTGCTTCGGCGCTTCTAAAGCACGCATGAGTTTGTTCGCTTCAGCGGCTGTCATACTCCCGTCTCTCATCGCCATAGCCAATAAACCTTTTCCAATGGGTTCACAGACGGGAAAGCAAGCGCCGAGGTCTTGACAGGCTGCCAGACAAACGAGAAAATAGAAGTGCCAGTGTGCTTCTTCATTACTTCCTCGACGTCGGTGCTTTTTGTCGAGGCTGGGGGCTTGGATGGAATGGTTGCGCAGGGCGGCGTTGCGGATTATGGTGTTGCTGACGTGCACGACCGCCGAGCTCAGAACGCTCAGAGAGTGGGCGTGGGGATGGTAGAGGCGGCTGATAAGGATGAGTCGTTGGAGTTGGTTTGTTGATGCTCGTAGTGCTGCTTTGGGGGATTTTAATAACGCCGGGTTTAAATTCTGATTGCTTGGATCCATGATGAATGTGTGAAAGAGGTGCGTGATAGCAACATGCAGTAGAATGCTGGGTCTTGTCAGTCATATTCTCAAACATTGAGATGCATAACTTACTTGAACGCCAAAACATGATCAGGCATGTTCCCCGGATCAATCGACGACATCTCCGGCGGCAACGAATCCGTAAAGGACAATATTTTCTGATACTTTGCCTCCACAAACGCCAAAGGAATCTTCATCGAAGCAGCAGCATCATCACCTTTATGCGCAAAGTAAACCGCTATGACCTCCTGCATGATAGTCCAGAGCTCACATAGCGCTTGAAACGTTTTTCCTGCATAGTCAGGGATGAAGTGTGGCGGCCAGTGAACTGCTAACCTTTCATCTATCGTGTCCTCGCTGCTCCGCCCGGGGACGGGAAACATCGGTGGGAATGCTATGGGTTTGGTTGGGACCCAGAATGTGTTTAGTCTGAGGTGTTAGTGGGACATCATAATGGGGGGAGAGGTGGACGTACGTTAGATAGCTGTATGCTCCCCAGGCCGTGTGAGCCATTGCACGTTTGGTGTCGGGGTCTAAGCTGTCGAATGATGCTGCGTTTTCTGGTGTGTGCGGTATACCGAAGAGCTTCAACCGCTCCGCCATTGCGCGGCCATCGTCAAGAAGATCGTTGCTCGAAACACTGGATTGTTCAAGATGGCAACTGACACTGAGCATGAGAATGGCAGCGACGTTCACTAACGAGTCAGAAGATCGCTCGGCGCGCCATAATACGCCAGCATCTCTCATAAAGTCCTGGCTCAAGGCGCCGACAGCTTCGTCAATCACGGAGTAAGCTTGCTATGGTGGATCAACATCAGCTAAGAATGATAACATGTGGCGAGTGGCAACTTACACAGGCGTGGGCCAGCAGGGCATTCACCAGAAAGGGTGAGCAGTATTGATGGCGGTGGTGAACGAGATCGTGTAGAAAAAGTTCTGGGTCGAAGAGCCCGAATATGGAGTGATTGCCCTGCAGGTACAGTGAGATGGCGCTGGCAGCGACTTCGTCGTCAATAGACACGCCAGTCCAGTACCCAATCTGCAGTTGGTGTAACCTCTCATCGCAATACTTTCCTCGATGAGGGCCAGCGACGTCTTCCTCTTGTTTTATGCGAGGACGTTCAAGCGATTGAGTGCTCGGTGTAGGTACAGACTGATCATTGCTAGATGATGTCGACGGTGACATTGTGTCAGACGGCGACGACTCATCGAGCAAAAGCCCTTGAGACGAGCGCTGAACAGGTCTCAATCTAGGATCGGCGCTCAAAGTCGGTAGGTCCAGGGGAAACAAGGTAGGATACGCCATACCATGCCGAACCGTCAGCTCAAACTCAAGACCTGACGACGTCGGCGGCGACATGGCCTGCGCAGTCCGTATCCCAGAGGGCTGAAGCCTCCCATGCATACTCCCCTGCAACGACGACAATGCATCGGAAAGGTTACTCGTACTTCTAAGTTGCCTGTGTGCAGCGAGGGCTTCATCTTCGGGGAGCGACAGCAAGAACTCGAGAATATCGCGATGCTCTCTGAGTTCACGCTCGACATTGCCGAGGTGATCAACGCTGTAGACGCAGGTCGTTCCCCATTTCTCGCACCTGGAGCAACTTGGTCTCCTACCATCACACTGGGTACAGCATCAGCAGTGGGTCAGACATAAAGGTAGGTAACGTATGGTAACTTGGGAGAAACAAGGAGTGACTTACACGGGCTTTTTTCAGGCGGCAGTTCTCGCAGGCGTTAGGCCTGTTTGCCCGTCTCCGCCTGGCAACCCGCGTATCTTGATCCTTACCCCCAGGATCACCCGAAGTATCAGGTGCAGGAAGCAAAGTCTTGTACGGCATGACGTTAAACGCCCCCCCGCCGTCTCTGTCTCCAGTTCCGCGGTGGTGGTATCTCGGTTAGTTTAACGAACTGATCACCCCGTCCAAGGGTGCGACAGTCCACTGGACGTGCACTTCCCTACAGGTACATTCAGCCCGGTTTGTCTTGGGCGTAGGACGTTGAATGCGGAGTGTGAGTTTTGTTGTGTACAAGGGGGCCACTAAGGCAATATCTCGATCGTGGAGTTGGCAAGCCTCCCTGAGGATCGGATCGGTGCCAGAGACAGGTTGAGATATTTTACCATGCTGGGATTTGATTCGACGGGAGGGATGCTTAGTCTTGTTTCTGACATCACCCAGCCAGCCTCTTTTCAGCGCTTTGCTGTTTGGGGAAAGGATCAGGCACATCGGTTATGACTCGGGTTTAACACAGGCTTGATGAAACCCAAAGACTTCGAACAAGAGACAGCCGTGCCATACTGATTCAACTTTTAGATGCGATTGAAGTTGAGACTCATGCCAACAAGCTTTGGTCAATGATGGATATCATCTTTCTTTACTTAGAGTGTATGACAGGGACATCTGTTCTTAACCCCACGATACCCGAGATCTTAGGATCCGCAGATAAGCTCTGGGATCATACGACTGACCCATGCACATCGCTAACTATTTTCAACCTTCACGATTACTTCATCATACTTCTGCTGTTCTAATATCTCATTAATAACTACAGACATCTCATTTTGCCTGAACCTTTTGAGAAATCTTTTCCTGAGCCATGTCAAAGATTGCTGCTAAATGTCTAGATGCCTAAATCCAACTAGAAACATCGTCAGGATATCTCAATGATCCCATATTGTCATTCGATAAATACTGCATTTCTTTCTGTCCCAGTATAAAGTTTTCAAGTCCTACGCATACAATAAACCTTGCCAGCATCCCCTGCATCACCCTTGTTCTCAATGTTACCTTGATTATCTGTCCAAAAACTCAAAATGTCAGTGCCTGCACATCATGCGCACTACGATGAGAACCCAAGTATTGATATTCTGTATGAGAATGCACGAGACAGATAGCTCCCAATATTTTATTTTGGGAGTCCTGCTGGGCTTCAGCCTTCTTTAACGCCTACACGGTTTGTCAGCTTCAGTAAAAACAAGTCTCGACATCCTTATCTACATGACTTCATGATGCTAAGAGTTGTCTTGTAATAGACATGAACAAGAACTGTCAATTCCTCGATATAGAACCATTAGCTCTTCATCTAATCCCAAATTCCCGCTCCATTGTGAGAAACCAAGCATCTTATCTCGCGACGATCGAGACAGATCTCGGCTCTACCCGTAAGCTCAGGAACAAAACGCCGGTTCAGGTACACACAACTCGATCCCCTCGTAATCACAGATTAACTATGCTTGGCCTTTATGCATCAGGAAGGGATTCTAGTAATGTTCGTTATCTCATCCGTCTCACTCCCACAGAACGTGGTCGAGGTGAGACATTATCATCTGCATCCAGCCAGTGGGTCACCCGCAAGCAGCATCCCATCCGCATTCATCACCACCCCCAAATAAACCATATCAAGGCTATTAATAGCGTTTCCCGTGGCAATAAAGCCTTATACCGCCCTTCCGAGACCAAACATCGACCCTGTCTCGAAAAAATGTCATTTTGTTTTACCTCCAAACTCACGGGCTCACTCTCGTTCAAGCCTTGAAGGCTTTGCTTACACCATGGCAGCAGTTGAGCTGTACCATTATCATCCTTCGTTTATTCTTGCCCTTGTTTCTCTTGGTTTGTTTTCTGCTTCGACGGTGGTGTGTTTGTTGCAGATGATACGATGTAGGACTTGGTTTTTCATACCGTTCCTTTTAGGTTGTATTGGTAAGCTGAACCGAATTTCTGGTTGGGCAGAGAGGAGTTAGTGGACTGAAAGTGCTGATTTCTGTAGTTGAGGCTGCTGGATATGCTTGTCGTGCTGTATCAGCTTCTGAATCACCAGACTGGACTTTCGTTCCTTTTGTTGTTCAGACATTTGCGTTTCTTTTAGGTCCAAGTTTGATTACTGCGAGTATCAATATGATTCTGAGCAAAATCATCATTTCTCTGGATGCAGATATCTATTCACTCGTTCCAGTCAAAGTCATACCTAAAGTCTTTATCTTTGGCGACGTGGTCGCTGTGGCAGCACAATTCACAGGTAAGTCTGGCTCTTCCCGGCTTGATCGTATACTCATATGAAATAGGTGCTGGCATCTTGATCAATGCAACTTCAGTCAGTCAGCAAAGAACAGCTCAACTGATCATCATTGGCGGCCTGGCTTTTCAGATCTACTTTTTCGGCTTCTTCACATCGGTCTTGCATATCGTGCACAGCCGCATTATCGACAACCCATCTCGCCTGAGTACCAATCTGACCATCCCTTGGAAACGCTGGATTATCGTTCTTTACATCGCCTGCGGACTTGTAATCGCTCGATCAGTCTATCGAGTGGTCGAGTATGTCACTGGACCCCTTGGCATTCTCCAAGCAACAGAAATCTACTTTTACGTCTTTGACGCAGGATTCATATTCCTTGTCACACTTCTTCTTAACATATTCCACCCAAGACAGCTAGCTACGGTTTCGGCAGATGATCTACAAGATATTGAAACTGTCGTCGTCACTCCTTCTAAACCACCTACTCAATATCAACCGCCTCGGACACCTCCAAAGTACCTACAGCCACCACCATATCTTCCTTCTTATGCAAATCTCAGGAATCGCGGGCCTTACTATCATTACCCTCAATCTCCATACAGGACTCAGTCATATATACAGTATCCGCCTCCTCTGCACTATTATCAGCAAAGAAGACCTCCTACGCTGGCCCATCATCGTCCACGGACCAATAGGACTTATAAGAGCTTCGATACTTCTTTGAGCTCTTCGTCTAGTTTTATTAGTATTTACAACCCTCAGACTGGCCAGTATGAGCCGTTCAGACGGTAGTCACAGTGGTACTCAGCGTCTAGGTCCATTGTCCAGCTGGAATATTCTTGGTATATACAATCTTTCTAAAGTCTATGTCTACTTGACAGCAACTTGCGTTTATCTGCTGCCTCTCTGTCCTTATCTATATATTAAACTTAGATCACTCGAATAAATACTGCAATCGCTCTCGTCTTTCCCATTCCCTTGGGTCCAACACCAGTAAGGCATCCTCAATCTCACCCCAACGTCTCAACCTCCTCCAAAGTCGCATCGTCAACAAAGAAAGAAAACCCCGTACAATAACTCCTAATCTGCACACTTGGCCCAGCCTCCCACTGAGCCTGCGTCCAAGAACACGTCACACTCGCCAAGGAGAAATCCCCTGTCTCCGTGATGGTCCCAACCGAACTTGTCGTGCCTTGTCCAGTGCCATGACCACAAACTATCGTACGGGAACCACAGCCAACAGTATTTGTAATCTTCACCCAGGCCGAAAATTTGTAGCTCTTGCCAGGTGTGATCCAGGTTGGGTTGATGAATTGTCTTGAACCCATGATAGCACTCATGGGGGTGGTGCTGGTGAAGTAGCCGGCTTGACTGCCAGTGTGGACTTCGGAGGATGATGGGGATAGGGTTCCAGACATGGATTGCCAGGGGAAGACTGAGTTTTCCTCGAAGCCGGGATTGAGGACGCGGTTGGATGGGATTTCGGGGGCTGCTGATGTCGTGGTTGAAGCATCAGCGGTCGTAGTCGTGACTAGGGCTGCAGAGCCTGAGGTTGTCTCGCTCTCAAAAGTGGTCGTAGTCTCATCCAGGGTAGTTGAAAGATCTGTTGTCGCATCAAGTGTAGTTGTAGGTCCTGCGCTGGAGGTTGTCACAACAGTGGTTGTAGACAAGTCAGAGGCTGATGCAGTCTCCAAAAGAGTCGCGGTGTCATATGAAGAGGTCAATGAGCTTGCGTCTGACGAAATAGTCACTGAAGTTTCGGTCGCGGAAGATGTAGACTCAATTTCGGTGCTCGAAGGAGCACCAGAAGCAATAGATGAAGAGGGCTTGCATGGCGATGCTGAAGCAAGCTGGCACAGCGCCAACAGCAGTGCTGGGTGCGTAAATCTCATGGTGATGAAGTTAGAACCAACGCAACAAGAATAAAAGGACAAGAAACAGTAGTTAAGTCTATATTTATTCTTAGCTATAGACTCCTTTCTTATTTCAATTCTTTTTGCAACAATTACCACTAATTGAGTGAACTATCGCTTTGTACCTGGGCTATTGAGCGTAGCGCCATCACCAACATCTACATCGGGCCAAGGTGGAAATGAGCTGAACCTCTTCATTCAATTACTAAGAAAACACAATGCTTGCATGGTAACAAAATACAATCTCACGAAAAATATCCCATAATCTTCTGCATCGTATTCTTCTCAACAACAGAATCCCCCGTCGCCTTACCCGTCGAATCCACAAACGTCGAGACAAACGTCTTACCCTCTATACACCCAACATTCGACTGTCTAATCTCCTGGCCCTTCCTCACAGCAGCAACCATGATGCAATTCGTCTCGTTGCCCTTAACACCGAGATCGAATCCCGTCTCGAATCCCAAAACATTAGCTTTACCCAATGGTTTGAGCGCCGTGCCTGGTTCCGCGAGGTAGATGTTGTAGGAGTCTATGTCGGTTGCGCCGTTCCAGCTCACGAAGCCTAACACGGTGTCTTCGCGCTTTTCGACGACGAGCGCAGGCGTCCATTTGGAGGGTGTCCCCGTCCAGACGTCTTTGAAGGCGCGATAGCTGGTGATGGACTCGTCGTAGCCGAAGCGGGCTTGCCAGCGGAGATCGTGGCCGTCGCCAGGGCCGTATTCGTGGACGACACCGCCTGCGCCCCAGCTCATGAACTGGTTTCCGTTACTCAACCCAAGCTGGTAGCTTCCATACTCAGGCGAGATCTTTGCGCGATCTGGCGAGAGAATACGCAAAATCTCGGGCTTCTCCTCTGGGTTAGGCGGCAGCTTCAATTTCAGTAGCAAACCCCGCGAATACGTCTTTCCCATATCCTCAGGACTGTTATGATTGTCAAACATACTAAGAATCATCTCCCTCGACGTGACATTGTGCGCGCGAACGTGGTTCTGCCATCGGAATCGTCCATGGTGCGGTAACGCGCCGAAATCTCCTCCCTTGGTGTTCCCTCTCAACTCCCAAAGGATCCTACCATTTGAGCGCGAGATCAGATACACAGACCAGAAGTTCCGACTGCTAATGAGGAATGAATCATGGTTGACGGCTTGTATTGAGCTCAGGTGGAAGAAGTCGTATGGATTCTTTGGTCCGCCGTAGCCAGAGGATGAAATAAGTGGAAGCATAGAGTCTTCAGGCCAGAAATGGTCGAGGGCGCTCCAGCTGAAGAGAATCTCCTGCGTTTCGATATCGATCTCAAAGAATAGAGAGTCAGTCACGAAGCCATGTTCTGAGCCTCCCATTTGCGTGAGGTTGTACATAGTCGTGTTGTAAGCCGTGACGAGAATTGTTCCCCTCGTGGTCAATTCCTGTTCGTGAAAGTCCAGCCCGCTGAGAAACTTTTGACCGTACATGTTGGTGATGATAGCATCGAGGTGAATAACCGTCTTTTCGTACTCGCTGTTCATGACGATGACTTCTCCAAATCCATGGCTCATTTTTCGTGCGCCTCTCCAGAGTGTGAGGTACTGCTCGTTGTGGACGGTCTGTACACGAAAACCCTCAGAATCGTAGGGTGCTTCGTCATGGGCGTATATCATCTCTGCGTTCTGCTTCATGATGAACGAAGCAGCCTGCACAAGACCCCTCTCCGCCCCGCTGGACTGCGGTGTGATGAAGACATATCCCTTCGCAAGTTCCTTTCCATTGGGGTTCCATTCAATATGTGGCGGTTTATACGGCGAGCTCTTGAACCGACGATACACATAAGTGTGATCATTCTTGGGCTTGACGATGTCAAAGTTACTCCAAGAGCGGAAGGTCTTAATTCCCTTCTTCTCAATAAACTCGCCAGTTTTCTCATCCTTTGCCGCCTTCACACCCTTAACACTCTTCCCATCTTTCCCTTCCACCTTCTTGTCTACTGGTATCGCTTTCGCATCGTTCGTCTTCAATTTCGTCGTCGCAGGCTGAACATCATCCGTAACTCCCGGCACAGAGTAAACATACCACCAGAGGATGATATTTAGAGAAATAACCAGAAAAACAAGTCTTTTGGCCCAAGGGGAGCCCGATATGACGACCATGATTACGATTTGGACAAAACAAAGCGCAGATCGGAGAGGACCCTGGGGGTCTATAAGGCTACTCGTGCCCTACGCAAGGGAGTTGTAGGCTGACATGCAATTCTTATGATGTTCATTTTTTTCTGGAATGAGCCCCTGTCTTGGAAGCATTCCTGGAGGTGTGGTGCAAGGGTCGAAGGAGCATGTCTCCCTTGACAAGACGGGACAGTGATTGGTGATGTTTCAGTCTGTGGACAGTAGTGGAAATAGAGCTGAAAATAAAGAAATTCGATAAATTGCATTGTGTTCTTCTCCTTATCTAGGGCTGCGATTTATTGTCGTACGACTATGAGTTTTACGATGCTCTATTAATTGAGAGGAGCATTAAGGTTATCGCCGAGTCTGAGTCAACACCAAGTCGAGTTCTACGGGTTTACAGTATCACGGTAACTGGGACATTCCCGACCAATGGTTACCAGTATGTGACAATTCCTGCTCAAATAAACCTGATACACTATGAAGCCACAAGGCGGTCATCCGCCAAGAGTATTGGGTCGTCAAACAATAGTGTCTTGATATTGGACTCTTCCATGTCAACGCGATACGAATTGAACTTGTTGACATAACAATATCTCAGAACAATCTGGCTACAATCACACTTATCTATTTCTTGAAGTCGATCATCATGGTGTTGCTGTCTTTGCAATGTCAATTGCGAGACTCGTTCGGTTGGTGATGCTTCAACTTACACGTATAAGTAGCAGCACGCTGAGGTCCGATCGCACAAGTCGTCAGTAACTTACTCCAAACTTGGTCAACAAGGCCGTGTTATTTCCTCGTTGGTACATATTCAGACATTCCCAAACATCATAAGATACAGCATCCGCATATCATGCGAATGGACCAAGGTTCATCTCTTAGACGACCTGCCCATGCTAAACCCGCGGCTCAAGACTATTTCGAGTCATCTTCATCTAAAGCCCTACAAAATCAGGTCTCATCTTACGACGATGAGACGTCAGACGTTAAAAGCTTAGTATGTAGACCGAGCAACAATAAGATCAAGACCAGTGCACCGTATGAGACAAACACCGACAGGTCGGAATAATGCTTCTTACGCTTTTGCGACCAGGTTATACGACGTCACCTTGGCTCTGCTATGCTGAATTATAGCCCAAATTTCGGATGTGCTTATCATCCGAGAACACACACTGTTTGTTGATCAACATTGCGATAACACTTGGGGTCCAACAGCACCTCCCCGCTCGCTGGGGCGGCTACCAAGGGCATCAAGGCCTAGGCACCACTACTGCTAATGACTTCCGAGCCCTGGCAGCCTCGTTATTGTAAAGTTCTTCGTTTCTCATTTAGGAGAAGCGGCTGGGCGTGACAGAGAGATTGCGCCCTCTCCACCTCTTCCGCACATAGCTTACAGATCCTTAAGTGTGAAAGATGGTATATCATCCAGCGTACTGAGATCCTGAGAGTGAGGTTTTTTTTTTTTTTTTTTTTTTTTTTTTTTTTTTTTTCGGTCATTATAGCGTCGCATCGACTGCACAGGTTGGGTGGGCGCTGAGAATGATATCGCCGAGAATGTATTGCCAATCTCAGGTGATCGTCTCGGCCGAGGAGGGGTTGTGAGGATATCTCGTACCAATCGGGTTGGACGAGTTCGTGAAAGTGGCCCGCGGATACTTCAAGTAAAAGAGGTATTATTGTTGATAGCGCCAGGCAAGAGTGCTCTGCTGCACTGATCATCGCAACAGAGAGACGCGCTCCGGAAGCAATGCTACCAATGTGAGCTGACGAATGGCGCCGTGGTCTCTGCAACATCTTGGCAGGCTTTACCGTCCCGTTCTCAGATATGAAAGCGCTGCAGCTTCAGTCATCCTGCCTTGCGGCGCCCGCGATCGTTTGCGCTACGTAGTCGCGGCGAGTATCGAGGTCCAAACCCTCTCCGTCTTGGAGCTACCCATAGCTCGCATCATGCGAGCTTCGACGTAGCGGATACGCGATGGCTATCTTTGTCTCATACAATTTGACGATGGAGTGTTATCTTCGTGCGCGTCATGATCGAGGGCTTCGGTCGAGAGGCTCATTTGCGACGCGTTCGGGCGGGCGGTCATTCTTGGACTTCGATCTTGAAGCCTCCCATCACAGCATCGTTCAGTTATGTGTCTAGCGTCCAACGTCGGCGTTGCCAGCTATTGTTTCATAAGGTACTCGAGTTTGGATCGTTAAAGCTTGAACGTAAACAGAAAGATAAAGTTAGGCGGGGTCCTAAGCTTGGTGGCGGGGTAATGAGGTCGGGTAATGAGGAGCAAGCCCAGCGCACTGGTTCTACAGCAGAGCCAAACATGCTCTTTCAAAAGGCTTGTAAAGAATAGACGAGGTTCGTACATCGATGATAATTGACTGAATGTCGGGTGGTATTCTGGATCATCATGCATACGGCAAGTTTTCATTTACCGTGCAGGGTCAATATCGGCAAGTCTTCACGATGCCGATCCACCTCCGAAATCGCATCATCCGCAAGCAACCTGTAATTCCTCATGCTGCCCAAAGCCGGCCTTAGGTAAAAGCGCAGATTATTAATGATCAATGAGTAAATGTCACTCACGCCCTATGAATTAGGAGCCAAGTACCTCCAGACTCGAAATACCTTATCGTGCGCCTCCTTGTAACTCAATCAGCCTGATGCAAAAGAGGACGAGATACGACCAAGTCTCCACTTAGAGCAGCCAAGAGATGGTTATTACTTAACAACCTCTTCCTCACATCTCGAAATTTCGCTTCCTGCTCAAACAAAATATCTCAACGCCATCATGTCTTCCAACGGAGCTGAGCGTCTAGCAAACAGAAAACCCATCAAGAAGCCCGTCCCAGCTTATCTCCCCTCCCCAGGCTCAGTCCTCACCGTCGACAAGGCGCTATACACTTCCATCCGCGAAGCACCCCGTGAACTCATCGAGGAATTCACTTTACCAATTCGATCTGGAAAAGCATGGAAAGCTCCAGCGGGATGTATTGTCAAGATCAGCACGCCTGAGGGGCCGCAGGTTGGTAAGGATATCTGGGGGTGAAGTGAGCAGAGGATGAGTTAGATATGTGAACTTGACTTACAAAAACAGGTGACTTGAATATCTGGAACGCTCATAACCCGCGTGAACGCTTCTGGGCGTCCCGCACCAAACAACTCCACGCCTCACACGTCTCAACGTACGACCGTCTCTGGTCCAACCTCCCCTACATGCGTCCCCTGGCCACCATAATCACCGACACACTAGACTGGTACGGCACAGATGAGCACGGAGGTCGAGTGCACGATCTTCTCGGCACGCGATGTGATCCGTACATCAACACTGTTCTCAGCGGAGGACAGTATAACTTCCAATGCCACTCTAACCTTACCCGCGCGGTGTTGCCCTATGGTTTGAATGAGGGTGATGTTCATGATGTTATTAACATCTTTCAGGTCACGGGGTTAGATGAGCAGGGGAGATATTTTATGAATCCTTGCCCGGCGGAGAAGGGGGATTATATTGAGTTTTTGGCGGAGCAGGATTTGCTTATGGCTTTGAGTAAGTACACATTCGAGTGGAATGGATCGTGAGGAGTGTTTGCTAATTGATGCAGGTACATGCCCCGGTGGTGATTTGTCCCTTTGGGGTTTTGGAGAGGACAGTGAGGAGGAGATGATCAAGTGCTGTCGACCTCTCAAGGTTGAAGTTTATCGTCTCAAGGATGAGTCTCTGCTACAGAAGGGCGGATGGAAACCTGCTGAGGTATCTGGGTACAAGGGACGGCATGGCTTAGATGTTCCTCTTGGTGAGAACAGAGAGGAGAAGGCTTAGATAAATAGAAAGAAATACTATCTCACTTATCACAATCTGGCCCTTGACTTTTACATACGCCCGGTCCAACCCTATTTTGTTCACTGAATCTTCTCAGCCTTGCCCTCAGCGCTAAGAACAGACTCATCACGATGCTGCATCAACGCAACAACCGCCCCTCCCGGCCCTGACAAGAGCACACTCGTAACAATCCCCCTCACAAGATTAGTCCTCTCCTCACCAACCCTCAACTCCGGCTTAACCTCCAACAGCTGCTGCAGCGCCCACACAAGCGCCGCCACAGACCCCGTCGCAAAATCGTAGATCAAAAAGTTATGCATAGCCGCTGCGGCACTGGACATGGGTTTGTACGAATGAGGCGCCGCATCGGGAATGAAGACCCTGTTCATGCTCAATGACTCTGCGATGCCAGAGGGGAAGATGTTTGGGAGGAGGCTTGCCGTGGTAAGGACGGCGTAGGTTGTCATCTGGCCTATGACTGCGACGTTCCATGCGAAGCTGTAGGCATGCGACAAAGCAATCTTGTCGAGCACGACCTTTGGCTTATGCGCATCTTGCCCAACACTCAGCCTCTTTAGAACAACAGTGAATGCCGCTTGAAGTGTGAAGATATAAACTGGGGCGATGGCCCAGACTGCATTAGCCCACTGTCGAACATTGAAGTTTGAGAATGGATACGCCATGAAAATACACGGCACGATGTATCCAAGCATGAAAGACGGAACGACCGTATGAAGGCACAAGTAGTCGCGAAGATGAACACTCTCAGACCTTGGTGATCCAGCTGTGAAGATCAAGTGAATGACAAAGTAAAGCGGCGCAACGAATCCAAAGCCAAGACTCTGCACCGCAAATTCCCAAAAGACACCACTACATCCATCGTCAGCACATCAATTCTCAATTCTCAAAATAACTTACTTTAGCACAACCGGACTCCAAGCAAGCACCCTCTGCGCTTCAATCAGAAACACCACAAAAACCGCAATCAACTGCGCCCCAAAACAAAACGTGAACAGCGAAAGTTCCGGCCTCGAGCCATCGGTTACATTCGCCCAGATAACATTCGAAAAGGCGAAAAAGTCATCAGCTGGTCCTATTCCGGTGTATTGTTTGAGAAGTAAGCGATTAGTATCGGGGAGGAAGCGTGGGAGGGGGTCGTGGGTTATGGATTTTAGCATGGAGGTGTAGCCATTGCGATCGAGTTGGAGAATGAGCGCGTCGAAGCCGAAGATTGTGAGGATGGAGAGGAGGATGAGTGTTGGGATACGGGAGGAGAGACTAGGAGCCGTCATTGTGATTGTGTTGAATGTGTGAGTTTGAGTTGATTGAGGATGACGAGATGAAGATGATGGTGTTTGAGGTAATCGTGTTGGTTACAGTAAGCCCCATCAGGACCCCGTCAGACATACATAGATGGCTGGGGGAGGCAAGAAAACTGAGGACCTTCATCCAAAATGACAAAAATAACTAATCTAAAGGCTTCCCAAATCTACACTAAATTATCCAAATCTTTTTATCACTTAGGATAGAGGTCCTAAGTTTTCTTGCTCCCTGACGGATGGTAAGCAAACCAGACCATCACCATCATGCATTTGCAAGGCAGGCCTCGGGGAGCAAGAAAACTTGAGACTTTAGAAGAGGATACTAAAGTAAGCTCAGTAAAGAGTCTACTAAATTTTCTATAAATTACCCAAACATTTTTATCGCTTAGGGTCAAGGTCCTAAGTTTCTTGCCTCCCCTAGGCAGGGCAATGGCTACTACACATTCAAGAAAACATATGTGACAAGAAATGCAGTTTGCTTGTTGTTCCCACTCCGATGATAATTAATTACAGTCCAAACAATGTTCATTTCCATCATCTCAGCCAAGGTGGACCGCCAGCATCCAGCATCCAGTAGCTCCTTCAAACGAACTTCCACAACCGTTTTGAGTCAAATAATACAACCAACCAGTTCCAATCGTATTCCAGTGTAATTCTTTATCGCTTCGAGACCCTTGCGCTGCTTCTAGTCACGCCGCGGGCCGAAGTCTTTGCCTGGGCTTTGGTTTTCGCGGGAGCCTTGGTTTTTGCGGGAGCCTTGGGCTTCGCTGTGCTCTTCGGCTTGCTCTTCGTCTGACTCTTGCCCTTGCCCTTAACTTGGTCGAAATAAGCGTCGACGAGCTTGGGCGCGACCGTTTCGATGTAGTCCTGGTCCTCCCAAGTGTTTTCGGATGCGCCGTAGCCTACCCATTCGACCAGGACCTGCGGCACACCCTTACGTACGCGGTGCTTTCGAATCGCGAAAACCTGGTAGACCTCGTCATCTTCGGGGTTCTTAGGTCGCCCGTCGGGCTGCGAGCGCCAGTACGCAAAAAGCGCCTGCGGGTTGTCGGTATGAAGAAGCTCCTCTGAGATCCAGGAGCTCTCGCCATCTTTCCATTGCATACGAAGCTCGATTTCGTTCTCGGCCCAGCGATGATCCGTGATACTATCGAATTCGTGTCTCTCTTCGTCAACTTGCGCCTCTTCTTCTTCAGAATGCGCCTCTTCGGGCTGTTCCTCAGGCGTCTTCTCTCTCTGTGCTTTGCTATTTGATTGCGGTTCCGTCACGCGCGAGGCCCTCGAGGACCTTCTAGGACTCTTAGCCTCCTCGCTGGTTCGAGAAACTCCATTAATGCCCCTCTTGGGGGTTGAGGCTGGTGACGTGGCGAAGGCCGGCGAAAATCCTCCAAGCTCAGCCGATTCTCGCCTTCTAGGGGAAGATCGGACGGCGGGCGATGACGCGACGCGAGAAACAGATCCGTTAGACTTTGGTCTGTGTATCGGCGACGAGCGCGCAGACGTGCTGATGCGCTTCTTAACACTCGGCGGTGGGGCCATGGCGATGGTTTCTCGTCGTCGACTAACGACAGAAATCTCGGCGGTGTTATCGTGGTCCGTCGATGCAAGAGAAACGTTACTCAGACGCGAGCGCTGTTTTGAGAAAGAAAAGTCAAAGTCAGTGGGTGCCTAACATAACACTTGGGGGGAGGTGCCAGCTCATCAAGGCACCTGCGCAGGGCACCTTCTAGATGAAACTTACGGGACTGCGACCTGCCGGCTCCGAAAACCTATCCGCAGCGCGTTTGGCAAGACGTTGCTCTCTAGGCGACAAACTTGGTCGCGAGGTGGTAAGTGGCATGCTGGAGGGTGGAGGTCTCTCTGCGGGCTGCTTGAGCGGTGATGACAGGAAGTTGAAAATCGCGTTCATGGTGACGGAAACACGGGAAGATACAGGAGACACAAAAAAATTGAAGTTGAAATGGTTATTCGAGCAAAAAAAAGGGAGCAACAAACGGAAGGAAACGCGGTTTGTAGCCTTGTCTTACGTTGAGTTGGTACTGGATAAGTTATGTCTGGATGGGATGGGTTGGGCTGGGCTACACGGGTTGTTTACTTTTTTTTATTTACAGCCGTTGGAAGGTGCACTCGCTGAGTGAGGCCAGGACCATGATGCGCGGCGGGGGCTTTTTCGCATGAGCAAAACGCGACAGGTGACTTAAATAGACTAGCGCCGAGATGTCTCCACCACGAAAAGTGTCTGCATGCAAGCGCAACATCATCACCAATTACTATGCGACACATCTATCAACCAATTGTCGGTGTCACCGGAAGAAGACTGATTGAGAAAAGGCAGAAAATTCAGCTAAAATCAGTAACCTCTATAAGCATGTCTGTGAGCTCACATGAAACGAATTGAGGGGTATCGAAAGTGACTCAAGGGGACTCACACAAGGTTCGGTGAGACCCAAACTCAATGGCCTCACAACATCAGCAGACAGCCCAACAACAAAAAAAAGAAAGACTTCCCATGTCATCTCAGAGGCTTCATGAGCAAAAGAAAGGGTCTGGCCGGGGATTGAACCCGGGACCTCTCGCAAGCTATGCTGTAGGGTTTTCCCTAAGCGAGAATCATACCACTAGACCACCAGACCGAGTCACTCACGTGATGCTTGTTGTTGAAGGAGAAGGAGCAAGCAGAGCTCATGTACAGACAGTGACAAGAGACGCGTGGATAAAGGTGGTGGTTTCGAGTTGGGGAGAATAACGTGAGTGATCTAAGTGTGGATGAAAATCAAGTCGAAGTTTCGGTCTTGGTAGGCGAAGAGTAAGATCGGATGATTGAGAAAGAGAAGGTTCCGACCTGTGTCTGTAGGGTAGTCTTGGCATTGGATGCACTGTTGCAACTCAGGGTCAACGTGTTGTGTGCTCAGAGAAAAGTAAATCATCGTGCGCAGTCAATAAATGAGCCTACTTGGGGGGGGGGGCGATATATTGGATAATTCCTTGTCTATTTCTTCGTTAGAGTTTAAGCAAGAGATTAAATCGTTCATTGCGCTCCCATAAAATAACTCTGTCATCGGCGTTGTTACTCCATTTAGATACGTATACCTAAAAAATGTGCAACAGTAACGATAAATGGGGTTAATAGGTTCGATGGAAATAAGATTCGACTACAAGTTTTCAATACAAGGAGAAATCTGTTTAATTACTTATTTGACGATTGAACTTCAGCGAATATGTGCATGGCGACTTGGCGATCTATCCATCAAGGCCACCAGATTGCGAGAGCACAACACGCAGGTCTCATGAGGCAGGCAGGATGAAAAATCAATATTGAAGCTGAAATGAAATCAGTATAGATGGAATTCCATCATTACTTTTGAAGCATAATAAACCGAAGCGCAGACTTTACACTTACAGCCAAGTTGCACATGTATCAGACTCCCTCCACCAAATACTTCACCAAGAGAGACATTTCCCAAACCATGATCCGCCCGATCAGCCATTCAAATTATTAGCAACAAAAACAAAGACAACCTTCTTTTTCCGGCCAACTTCCCCATATTCGCCAATCTCTAATCCGGCACTTAAGAAAAAACTGCCGTCTCTGGATCCGAGGCCTGCAAGCGATCCCTCCATCGTGGACCAGGCCATGTGGAAATCGTACGATGTGTGGAGATGCACCCTGAAAGGGTGGTCACGTGAGAGCGATCCTTCTGATGAATTTCTGCATTTTCATAAAGAATAAGAGTATTTAAAATTTATTTAAAAATTGCTTTGTTATTTCGGAAAAGCTGGCATTTCATAGGAGGTAGTAAGCCTCCATTTGTGCGAGAATACATTGTCGTTGTGTTGCACCTCCGTCTCTCGACACCTTGAAGGCCCAGACCGTCATCGAGGTGCGGTCGAGCCAAGCCGTGGTCCCTGTTACGGTTCCTTGTAGGGCTGAAGAGAGCAATATCCCTGCATATCAGGCACTTAAGGAACGCTACTGATATGTTTAAAAGGTGGACGTTGCCCCTTCATTGAACCTCTTGTCATCTCCCAAGGATGTCCTTGGATCATCAGTCACAGACACAGCACTTGAATCAGTAAGGTAAGTTAAATTTCTTCTATCAACGCCATGCTCTTCCATTATTTCTTCTTGTCAACAAGGTTGTAAATCTTTTGGATGTCGGCCAACACAGACTCAAAGTCAATCTTAAGATCCTTGAGAAGGCCATCCTTGAAACCAAACACCCATCCGTGAACGATAGGGTACTTGTTCTCGTGCCATGACTGCTGAACATCAGCAGACTTGATGACGTTGCGACACTGCTCAACGACATTCAGCTCGACCAAGCGGTCGTAGCGAGCGCTCTCGTCCTCAATCGCATCGAGCTCCTTCTCGTGAAGGCGGTAGACGTCGCGGATATTGCGAAGCCATGGGTTCAGCAGGCCGAGGTCCTGGGGGGTCATAGCCGCCTTGACACCTCCGCAGCCGTAGTGACCACAGACGATGATGTGCTTGACGCCGAGGTGCTTGACGGCGTAGTTGATGACGCCCATGGCGTTGAGGTCCGTGTTGCACACGAGGTTGGCGATGTTGCGGTGGATAAATGCCTCGCCCGGCTCAAGGCCGCAGATCTGCTCGGCGGGGATGCGAGAGTCGGCGCATCCGATCCAGAGGTACTCGGGTGCTTGGCCGGCGGCGAGGTTCTTGAAGAAGTCGGGGTTGACCTTGGCCTTGTTCTCGGCCCAGGCGCGGTTGTTGTGGAAGAGCCGGTCGTGGCTTTGCTGGAGATACTTTGTGATGTCTTGTTCGGCCATTGTGCGCCACTCTGGTTTTGGAGCGGGTTTTGGGTCTTGTGTGGAGGAGGAAGAAGAGAAGCGTGTTTGGAAGCTGGTGAGTATGGAGCGAGAGGCAAGACGTTGAGATGATAAGGATAAAGATGTGAAGGAGGAAGAGGAGGAGCGGAGAGAAAAGGAAGGGAGCCGAGAGGAAAACATTAGAGGCATCCACAGCGCGGTTGCAGCTGCAGTATGGATATGGTGCGATAATGGACGGATGTGACAGTGACACAAGCGACAGCGACGGTTCAACGGACAAGGATAAAAACGGGCAAGACTGCAGCAAGCACCTGCAGTAGATCCAATCCTTGGCTACACGTTGGGGGCGCACTCGGTGTTACTGTCACTGTAAGAAAACAGCCTAAGTACGGTATGTATTAGAGCTTCGCTGGAAATTCGGACGGAGAGATGCCGAAGGATAAGAAATTTTGGGGATGACGACGTAATTTGTTGAGCAGCCCTTTTTTTTCTTCCTTTCTTTTTCCTTGGTCGTCTCCATTCACTTTAAGCTCAAATTGGTTGGGCGATTGGCGATAAGTTTGATAACAGCCGAGATCAAGATTTCGGTCGCCGGGCCGTACGTAGCCGTGCACCGGCAGTTGACGAGACTTTTCCGAGCATGTCCGTGAGCAATTGGGAGCTATTCTATCACATTCTACTCTATAACTTGACTGTGCCTTGGTAGGTTGTGATGGTTGTGACTCAATTCGAAGGATTAAACCCGGAACCCGGGGATTATCAGCTCTGCCGACCCCACGTAGCATCTCAATTTGTATTGGTCACTTGGAAACAAAACAAATCGTCATATCGCCGAATTGCCGGATCCCGGAGATGTTCATCTCATAACCCCACGTTTTGACCCTCAACACCAGATCATTAATGATATCGCTTCACGATGTGGATGAACTGGTATCTATGCGTCCCAAATAGAAATAATCCGCACAAAATTAAAACAGCCTTGTCTGCAATGGAAAAAGAAACGCTAACCTGAGACATAATGACCAACACCGACTAAACAAATGCATCTGCCGAAACAAGTCCGCGATGTAACAGAAATCTCCAACCAAACCCAATAATAAAACATACCAAACCACTACATTTTGCCTCCCCTCTTATCGAACTGCTTCTCCCAATCATCCCCCTCAAACCGCAATAGAAAAGCCTTATGATCTTCCAAATGCCTCTCCATCATCGCCACAAACTCCTTCCTCATATACGCCTTCTTCACCCCCTCCTCGATTACCCTCATCTCATTTTCAGCCTGCTCTACTTCCTCCTGACGTGTAGTACACACTTGTTCAACCGACTGCAACATATCGCTCGCCGTGCGCTTCTTCGCGCCTAAGTGCTCGTGCCTCTGCCTCTGTGGTTGTATGTTTGCCTCAAAGCGTTCTCTGTACAGGTCCTGCAGTGTATTTGGCATGAGGAAGATGAACTTCCTCGTGGGGGGAGGGATTTCTGCTAGCTCTTCGTTGGCAGCCTTCTCATCAGCTGCGATATCGGCGCCGAGCTTCGTCAACTCTGTAACGATAATACCATGCTCCTTGGCCCGTGACGCTCGCTCGTTCTGACACTTCCCTAACTCTTCCTTCTTATTCTCGACAATCATGTTATGCTCGTTGCGCTCGTTGCGGCGATCATCGACCTCCTTCTGAAGAGCTGTCACTAGAGGAAGTTTCAGGACCGAGATGGAAGCAGTAACCTCATCCAACTTTCCCTTGACCTCAAACGCCATAGGATCAGCTGAATCGACGCGTCTGCGCTTCGAGCTGCCTGCCTTAGGTGTTCGGGTCCCGAAGATGTCCTGTCGATCACAGGTTGGAGGTTCCCAACCATTCCGAGTATCGTTGTTGGGTGTTCTGGCGAGGGTTTTCATGACCTCGGCTCCATTAACCGCAGAAGAGATAGAGGATCCCCTCCTTCCAGGTGTTCTTCCTGGGGTAGGGTACTGAGACTGAGTTGCCTGCAAAGCACCTTTGATAGTCTTTACAGGATTACCGCTCCAGAAGTTGTCTTTCGACCGAATAGACCTGCGGGCACCGAAGTCCAAGGCCCCCATCACGACATAAATGCCTGTTTCGTTCTGGTGCGATACGGTCGGTCCCTCCTGGACCGTGTTAATCTTGAGTAAAAATGTTTGCGTGATGAGACTTACTACGCGACTGTACTTCAATTCCACGTTTCTGCCATGCCCTCGCTCGACCCAGGAGCGAATCCTGTCGCCCACCTCAGCATGCCTGCCCTTGTCCTGACACGGATCCGGATCATAGTGCTGAGCCTTGACAATAGGCCTACCCCGATTCTCCTTGCCCTGATGCTGAAAACACACACATATAACTGACCACTGCTCCCTTTTATGATGGTAAAAAGGAGCCACAAAGTCAGTGTTTGTGAAGCCGAATGGCTTTGCGTCTACGTCGCTCGAGATAAACATGTATCGCTTAGACGGGAAGGCATCTCTGAGTAGGTTCAACAAATAGTTGAAACTATCTTGAGTTAGCTCTTTATGATCATCAAGCTGACGCAAGCATTTATGCGCCAACGGGTCCTGCTTCAGACTTTCACTCGGCGGCCTCTCGGTGCCGCGATTTTCTGTCCTCAGCGACAACATTGTGGTATGGTGTGCATAGAATCGATCTTCAGTTTCAAAGGGTATATATAACGGCGTTTGTGAGAACAAAGATTTAGCGAACGTAATTGAAGAACTCGCTGCGTTTCCCATGAGGAATGATGCTACGGTTGAGTTGGCCTAAGTTGAGCATATATAGACATATTAATCACAAAAAAACTCACATAAACTAAGGAGCTTGTTACTTTTCGAACGGTGACAGCAAACATCAGCACCCAGCCGTAAAGATGAGCTGTTTTAATACTAGACAGTTAGATAGAAACGTAACTAAGGCAGACAGCCGTGGCCACATGGTCAAATTCTTCAAATTGTGTTTTATTCTATCTGCGATTGGTCGGCTAGCTTGAAGATTCTTGGTGAATGCTGGCTTTAATATATGCCCCCCACATAGGTTGTTAAAGAGAGCGTTCTGTGATGCGCTAATGCAACAGTGATGCTTCTGACGTGGAGGTGAAGTGAGACAGGCCTGCTGTCTTAGTCACAAACACGGGATTAGTTAACGAAAGCTAGACCGTTGAAATTGCACTCTTGGCTGTTATCCGTTTGCTGTTACAGAACCGGGTACCCGGTCCCTTCACCCTCCTCTAGCAGCTTGATATGAGATGAAGTCTCATGTTTGACATATAGGAAATCCTCCCTACTACTCAGGTAGTAAGTGGCTCATCATCTCTTTATCTTTAGAGATAGACTAGTAAGCGCCGACTAGTTCTCTCTTCACCGAAAACATCAGGCTATGTAGCGTGCAATCTGGCATGGCATGTAAGTAGCCGTGTCTGAATGTGCGGAATCTTAGGACGTGGCTTGTAAGAAGCGGATATACGAGCAAGCCGTTACACTAACAGCGTGAGAATGAACACTAACAGTAAAGTAGCGTGTGAGACAAGACTGCTTGTTAATGTCAACAACAAGGTTAATGACAGCGCCGGGCTTGAACAGACACTGCAGAATACCAATTTAAACAACAGTGATTCTGGAAAGAAGGGAGTTAAGGATGGAAGTCACTGGAATAAGTCGATGGGATTGGGTGATCGGCAAACGAGCCGACGCAAGGGGGGTATTTTAAGTCAACCACAAACAACCACGCGGGATGGCTGAGGAATTTGAATCAAAGAGAGAAGAATGACCTATGTGGCTATGGAATGCCCAATATCAATTTATATATGCAGAAAGACCAAAAGCTTGGTTGAAGCTTGATATAGCGTCTGTTTACAGTAGACTAGCAGACACTTAGAGACTGCGACAATTCTAGAGGCTCTTAGCAATATGATAAGAAGGGATGGGCTATTCTGATTGCTGCTGTACTTAAGATGTGTGAAACTCCGTCGCGAAATGCTACAGTGATATCGTCTTGCTCTCTCAGATTTTGGAGGAAACGTACGAGATATCATGAAGAGTCAAATCCTACTAACGACAGCCATGGGCGCCAGTGGTGTCCTCTCGCAGGCAGGCCATGGAGCTATGAGTCTGGATACATGGTGCGTTACGTACCTGTCTACCTACCTTGTCCCGGTAGCAAATCCCGATCAAGCAACGGATGTATCTTCTTCACAACCGCCCTTTACGGGAAACAGCTCAGTACCCGTGACACATAAGTGGTCTGAGATAACTGAGACATATTGTAGACTGACTGTGTAACAGAAACAGAGTCCCAGAGCGCATTGACGTCTGATACGTCGGTGTTCACTTCAGTTGCTGTATCTTCAAGCGTGGAGACTGAACTAACGGAAGCTCAATCGGGCTCAGAAACAGTGTCATTTGATTCAACGGCCGGAACTCTGGCCGACCAGATCACCTCGGCATCATCAGAATCCACCATCAGTACTGATGCACTCACCACCTCAACAAGCATCATTGAACCACCAGGCCGCTCAGTAATTTTCCTCATCTCCGCTCCCAACACCCGCAAACGCCAAAACACAGACAAGGGTTTTGTGGGAAACAACAACCCATCAATCTGCACCTTTGCTCAAAGCTTCAACCTAGCAGAAGAGCAGCTCTTCATAGATGGAGTGCTATTCTTCTACGACGGCGAGGATTATAAAGAGCTTGTTATGGGACCCACACCCCCGGCAGGTGCTGTCACGAGACTCTTCACTACAGCTGGACGGTCGCTACAGGTGGATTTGCCTGGCGGCGAGGCGGGATTTTGTCAAACGAGTGATGGCAGGGTTTATGTGACTTTTACCCGTGGACCGGCTGGGTGTGAGGCTGTATCTCTGGATGTTTATGACGGTAAGTTGAGTTTGTGAAGTGTTGACTTGAGGTTGGTGCTGATTTGTGATTAGAGAGACAGTGTCAGAATGGGAGACTTGTTGGGATTGATACGACTACAAGCGCTATGAAGACTGCGACGTCTGAGGTCATCAGCTCTGGAAATGCGACCAGCGCTGAAGGTTCTGCGACAACAGAGACCACTGAAACTACCTCTGAAAGCATCGCTACGTCAAGCAATGTCGCTCAGACCCAATCTGTCGGGCCAGTTTCGCAAACGACTCATTCCGAGGCATCTACGGCAGCTTCTTCCAGGGCAGTCGAGTCCTCTACCTCGGTCCTTTCAACGACCACGACCACTACCGTCGTATCAGATGCTTCTACACAGTCCCAAGCCTCATCTTCTGTTCTTGGTGAATCCACCACCGACGAGGTGTTCCCAACCACTGCGCCTTCGCTCGTAAGCACATCAGCTCAGGCAGAAGAGTCAACTTCAATCAAGCCATCATCACAGGCTTCATCGGAGACCACTGAGTCTGGTACAACAAGCTCTGAAGAAAGTACCTCTGATGTCGCGCTTGAAACTACAACTGAGGCAAGGACATCTACTAGAGAGACTACTGCCGCGGACGAGACCAGCACTGAGAACGAAACGACTACAGAGGCTGCTACTGAGAGTGAAACTACGACCACTGAATCTTCTGCTCCTAGCGAAGATATATCTACCACCGATGTTACGGCTGTGGACAGCTCGACAGCAGGTACGACTGCTGAAGAGTCTACCAGCGAAGCATCTACTACTGCTGAAGAGACGACCACTGCAGAGTCCACCATTGCACAGTCAACCACCGAAGAGCCTACAACCATAGAGTCAACAACCGACATCCCAACGACAACAACAACTTCCACAGCCACTACAACAACCGCCGCCCTAGCCTGCACCGACCTCTCCGATCCCTACATGGACTCAACCGGCACAACATACGCACTCCTATGCAACACCGACGTAAACGGCTACACATCGATAAACGGATTCACCGCGGCCAGTTTCGTAGCCTGCATAGAAGCATGCTCCGTGTACGTGGGGTGCGCGGGTATAGAGTTCTTGAAGAGCACGGGGTATTGTACTTTGTTCAATTCTTCGACCGGGTCGTCTCCTACTACTGATTATGACATTGCTCTTGGCGCCTTGAGGGAGGGATGATTGACAGGGGTTGCTCTGTAGCTTGCTTCTGTGTTGTCTTGTGTTGGATGATATGTTTACTCTGCTTCTTAGCTTTAGCATCGATTCAATTCAATTCCATATCCATGTCGTTATGACATCTCACTCCTCCTTCAAGGTTTATTTTCTCTTCTTAGGCTTCAATGTTAAATGCGATTACCAAGCGACGAGCCGCGCGGTTCATCGCCAAACCCTCCGATTCGCCTAACCCATGATGGAACTGAAACTCCGCAACCGAAAGTCCGCTTATTCCTTATTAATCCACCAACATAGATCTATGATGTCGACCGATCGCCCGAAATATCCGAAATGATATACTTCCTCCCTCTTTCTTTCTTTCCTTTCTTTTGTATCTCATACACTCTCTAGCGAACATCTGCCCTGATGACGCAGCGACTATAGCTTCCAGTCACCGATCAATGCGACAACACCATAATCATGCCGTCAGCACAATCCTCACACGATGATCCAACCGACCGACGTCCCGATGTCAGCTACGGCTCCTTCCCAGCTGACACTCCCCCCCAACCCTCAAAGCCAACACAACCCTCCACACGCGCCCTCGCTCCCGATCTTCTCCGCGGTCTCCTAATGCTGCTTATGGCAATGGACCACATGGCCCTCGCCCTAAACACCTGGTCCCACGGCACAGGCCGCGAGACAGAAATGGACGGCGTCCTCATAAGGCGCTGGAATCGCACGCCCGCTTACATCATCCGAACGTTAACGCACCTCTGCGCCCCGGGGTTCACAATGTTGCTTGGGATAGGCGTGGTGTACCTTGGACGATCGCGGAAGAAGCTGGGGTGGTCGAGTGGTCGTATTGCGAGGTACTTTTTTATAAGGGCTTTTGTGCTCACGGCTGTTAATGTGGTGCTGGGTTGGGTTATTACAGTGGGAAAAGTGTGGTTTATGAATTTTGTGCTGTTTTCTTTGGCGGTGGATTATTTACTTGCGGGATTGCTGTGGGTTGCTATGGACTTTACGGAGCCTTGGCTTGCGAAGCGTATCCTGAGGAAATCTACCGACGAAACTGAAGCGCTACTTGGAGGAAGTGAGTCTTCGGATTTTGGAGAAACTGTCTCTTGGCACGTACACAATGCGCTGCTTGTGGTGCTGGGTGTGGTAACGATTTGGTGGAATATCTGGCTCTCACCTACACACGGGCACTGCACCGTCAACGACCATTCATCTTCTCTGACAATTCTATCAGCTGGTCAGCCTGGACCAGCAGATAGTCCTGCTATTTCTCATAATCCCTGGTTTGGAATCTGGTTCTGGACTACGTTGACAGAGCGCGTTCAGTCGGTGTTTCCACCTATGGCTTGGGTATCATTCGCGATACTAGGTCTCTTGTACGCTCGCATCGATGTTGCTCGAACATGGAACTCTCGTGTCGCAACGCTGTGCAACACAGCCGCTGGGATATTCTTCCTCATCATTTTTGTCCTCACACGTGTGTTACACTTTGGAAATCTCTCAGAAGGCTGTCTCCAAACACCCGAGCACATCGCGCATCCCGACCAGAACCAATATCTCGTCTCAGTACAGTCCTTCTTCTATATAATGAAGTATCCACCCGACGTTGCATTCTGGGCCTTCACCTTGGCCGGAAACCTATTCCTTCTTGCGTTCTTCGGTGGAATTCCTGCTAGTGTTGCTAAGCGCTTCACAATGCTACTAGATTTCGGCAGAGCTGCGCTGTTCTTCTACCTTGCGCATTTGTTCTTTGTCTTTATCTTTGGTGGAGTCATGGTTGATTGGTTTGGTCATGAAACTGAGAACCATGGACAGATGGATCCGGACTCCAAACGAGGCATTGACAATGTTTTCGCGTACCTTGCTATTTGGGGGTTGTCGATGTTGTTGCTGTGGCCTTTGGTGAGGTGGTATGGCAGATTCAAGGCCACCAAGCCAGCTGACTCCATTTGGAGGTTCTTCTAGATCTCTGTATAATTGTTGTCATAAAATATCATAGACCTTGTATAAAATAAATTCAAGATCAATTATTGTAACTAAGTGAATGAAATTGCGCCCTCTGATGCAGATCCCAGCAGCTCCCTTATCCACCAATCTCGTGAGCTTACCGTGTCATCCCCAATGGGCCTAGATATCGGAGAGGAATTTATGGATTCCTCGAAGAATGTCCCTGTTCCGTCCCGATTCTTGTTCACGCTCATCGTGGCTTCGACTAGATCTGTCACTTACATCTTCACGCGTCTCCAAGCTCCGCTCAGACCTTCGCGACCGAGATCGATGACGGTGATGCGATCGCTTGCCATGGTTCTTGTAATGTGTAATGTCATCTCTTAAACTCCTCAAATTCTTGCCAAAGTGCTTGAGATTGTATAGATCCCTGATGAGTTGCTCGACTCCATCTTGAGTCAGAAGCGCTTCCGTCTGGTCACGAGGAGCATGCATGTTTTCCTGGATCGTCTTGACAAGCTCGAGATGCCTGTCTCTGTCATCTGTCAGACCTTTGAGCTTTGTTTTGTTCGCATCGACGTTCAATCTGTTGTCCTTTCCAAACTGGATCTTGCCTATCTCAATCTTGATGAGTTGGTCGTAATACTTTTCAGTCGCATCATTGAAGGCATTGGCAGAATGCTCTCTCAGATACGCAACAAACTGCGCCGTGGCCTTTCGTAGCTGTTTCTGTTCGCTTCGGTATTCCTTCTCAAGTTGTTGAACTCGCTCTATACCCTCTTGTCGTAGTGCCATATCGCTTGCGTTGTCTCTGAGGCGCCGCTCAACGTCTTTATCCTTGACCTTGACCTTGCTTTCTGTCAGTTCATAGAAGAAATGCATGTGCTCCTGCCAACTATGCTTGCAAATTTTACAAGTCTTGTCTTTGGTGTCCTTGAAAGCCCGGCATTTGATGAGTTCTGGATGGCCCAAACACTCTTCGGTAACACCTGGTAGTCTGCAATCTTCGTGACAAATTGACTTGTAGAATGGGACAACCTCGCCGTTGGAATCGGACTTGAACTCGCAGCAATGCTTATTCTTGCATACAGTACGAGGCTTGTCGAGCTTTGTAGGAACAACCTTGATCCTTTCCAGATGAAGTTTCTTTCGTAATTCATCTCCCGTCAGGCGCATATCTTTTAACTCTGCCATCTTTTCTTCCAGAAGGCTCAAATTCTTTTTGATCTCCTGAGAAATCTCAACCATAGGAATCATCAAATGACAGAGCGCTTCGCGTGCACCTTCCATGGTGAGCGTTTGCCTGATCTCATGTGGTCTGAAGTTGTCAATATAGGAAAGTAGCCTCAAAGTTTCTGCTCTCGATTTATCCCAACTTTCCCGGGAACTTCTCTCGTCTTCGCCTCTGACACCTTGAAAGTACGCAGCCAGGTAATGAAAGCTTTTCGCATCAAAACTGTACGAGTTTGCGCGGCATACCGTTAGGTCAACAGTTGTGTTATTTTTCAGGTAGCTTTGAAGTGGTTTGAGAGCATCTCCTGGTGCATAATTGGAGATGAGGGTATGTGTGAATCCAAAGACGACGTTTGCAACAGCGCTACGATGGAGATGGGACAGTAGCTCCCCAAAGCAGAAATTGATTGTGGCGGTCAGGCGCGCTTCGTTGGTATTGAGCAGGATCAATATTCCATGAAGCTCTTTGTATCTTTTCAGAGTGTTCATGATGTCCTTGATGTTCTTATTATCTGTTTCAGGACCTCGGGTGTCGCCGATACCTGGAGTATCGATTATGCGGTATTTGGTATCATTATATGTCACTCTGTAAACTGATGTCCTCTGTGTCGCAGAATCGCCGGTGGTACCGTCGTGTTCATCATCTCCAGAGCCAACGCGGATCGTCCGGCTCTCAAGTTCCTGATCTAGGTCCGATGAGTTCCAATGACTGACTGAAAAGGAACACGGGACCTTATATTCTAGTTTCAGGGCCGATTTCGCCTCATCGAAACTCTCAAACGTCAAGAAATTGACGAAAGAGTTGATGAAGGTTGACTTGCCAACGCCAGTCTGTCCCAGAACCAGGATATTGCGACAATCAGGCCGTTTTGATCTTGTCAAGAGTCGATAAAGTTCATCCGTGTGGTATCGATCGAAACCGCGTCCGTGACTATCGCTATTGCATTTGAAGTCCCATGAGTCGTAAGCGGCTGAACCACAGTCGCAGTAGATGCAGTTGTTCGTTGACCCGAACTCTAGAGGAGTGTTGCAACTGGCGCAGGCCCATTCACGACTCAAGTGAGAGTCACAAGATGGCCCAGGACAGGGGATCCTGACCAAGCGGCGCTCAGCCGGTCTTCGTGTATCAAAATCCATCTCGCCCGGATCACAACGAGCGATACACCTTTGTGGCTGTTGCCGGTGCTCTGCTTGTCTGGTAGGAGGCCTGCGTTCTGCTGACGTATCCCGATACTCCGAAACTTCAATCACTGGCTTCGACATTGTTCGTATTGGACCAAAGATTGGGGCTTCCAACTCTCTGTACTCAGAGGGGGCATCGCAGTCGACTATAAACACCTGGTTCTGGGTCTGGGGGTTGTGAAGGAACTCCCTCAGAGTTGTGCAATGCTCATTCCATGAACTTGAACTCTTGAGCACAGCATTATTGAAAAGGAAATGATATGGAGGAGGATCGTGAGACAGAGTGCGTTCGTTGATGCAAGCGCCATTGAAACCGATATATGTCGCTCCACTATTGAGACATTGCTCGATGAATCTGAGCTTGTCGCTTTGCTGACCAGCGATCATAGAGATCTGCCGGGCAGATAATTCGTGATCGGCATATAGGTACTCGAGACGATGTTCATGCACTGTGCCATCTTTGATACTTGCTACAGTTCTCTGCAGAGTCATCTGGAGATTTTTCCGAGATGTTTCAAGCAGAGCAATTGATGCATCGACTTCGTCGATGTGACTCCTTGCAAGATATTGTTCCCGACCCACAAGCGAGTGTCTGTACTCTTCAAGCTTCTCTGTACATGCATTCCAATCATCAAAAAGAACAAAGAAAGGGTCGATGTTGGTGATAGCTCTCAGGGCTTGGTGAGGGCCCCCACCAGTCATGAGATGGCGGAGGACTTGTATGGGATGTAAGGTGTATTCCATCGGGTACCCTGCTTCGTCAGGAGTATGTGTAATCTGCTGCGGGCCCAGTTGGACAAACCTGCACATAACAGGCAGGGTTTCTTTGCAAATGCCACGATCCCTCTGGATGTCAGTATAGAGCTTGAACTCATAGTCGAGTTCAAGTCGCTGGCTTGCCAGATCTTTGCTGAAGTCGAGCGAGTAAATGGAATTGACGATAGCGTTCAGCTCCATTAAGTCTCTCTGAAATGAAAGTTCCAGGGCTACTTGTTGACTTGGATCTGCTATGCGGTGCTTCATTGTCAGAATGCTCTGCAGTCCCCATCTGACACTGGTGACCACATGGGTACTGCGAGGATCCGGCGGGAGAAACATTGCTGGAGCCCCTCCAGTTCTAAACGCCCCCCTATTAATATCAAGAACATCTTTATATGTATTGAAGAAATGACGAACTGCACCGCAGAGTGTATTTTCATCAACTGTGCTGTCTTTCAGAAAGTTGGCAGATCCTTCGAGGTCGATTGAGCCGGATAGAATGCTTGCTGCAAGGTTGTCATCAACACACATTGCTCTGAATCGACTCGCATGATCGGAACCTTCAGCCATCCAATTCTGGAGCTGGTCAGAGGGTGGAAGGATACCTCGCAAGACGATTCCTCGTGGCAGATTCGGTGGCAAGATAGAGGACTGAAGGAATTGGTCAACCCTTGCATCGTAAAGCGTGCCGATGGCAACCTGCTGGCCAAGTGCAGGTCTGACAATCTCAGCCATCTCGTCTCAAATAAAGACGAATGAAGGTTCGGGTGAGTCGCTTTACAGTGGAAGAGTCTGTGAAAGCTTGAGCGCTTGAGGAGAGTTTCGCATCCTTGTGAGCATAAATACTTCGATGAGGTCGAATTGACCTGGCAGGCCAGTCCGCCTAGAGGGAGAGGCATCTGGACAACCGTTGCGTACAACATGAATACTGGAAACCCGCTTGTCAAACTGATACACCAAATTCACCGCCGCATCATTAAACGTCGTACCGTGACTGGTGTTTGTCACCGAGATAAGGCCTTTTGACGCAGGTTTCCAGGATTGAGTGGTCCTTATTGGACCATCCGCCAGCGGGGCCAGAGGCTCAAGACCGCGCGAGGCTTCTCACATTTCTAGGTAACGTTGAGGGTGACAGCATAGGGGTTGAAACCAATGGCAAGTTGTGACCTTGGGGGTGACAGAACCTCACGGGCTGCCTCTTGTCAAGAGGTAGAGTAATGTGATTGGACTTTAGGGGAGTCATTGGCTGTTGATCGCATATGTTAACTGGCGCCTCAATAGGCAGATGTAGAAAGATCCAGGCTGCCTTGAGTAAGCTCGGTTGTATCGTGGGTGATCTGTGACAATTGCTTGTGTGCATCGCACAAAGCACGAAGCTTCCGTTGCAGCTTTGAAGCCCAAGTCGGAGTGACCGTGACCTTTTCCACCTGTGAGTCAGGCGCAAAAGAAGAACTGGCTAACAGATTTCAGGCACCACAGCTCCCCGACACAAGTGTTGAGCGATCTCAAAGTATAGATCCTGAACTGAGTTCTAGTGCGTGTCGGAGGGCCATAGGGTGTTCAGCATGTAAAAGACCTGCTAGTCATCAGTTTAATCGACAGCCGGATGGTTATTTGGCGGCGAACCCAACACCGTGTATTGCGGCTCTTTCATCATGACAAAGGTGAAAATATGGCAATCATATACGGAAGCATTATTGAAGCATGTATCAGCTGCGTATTGCTTGCATGGGAAACGTTCGCCGATTCATTGGCTGTGTTTGAGATGAGAGTTTCGGAGACATCTTGCTACACCATGGCCAAGGATGCAGTTGTAAAAGATGCAGATGTTGGTGAAGAGGTCATATCTTTGTCAAAGCCATGCGTTTATTAGACGAAGAGATTGAAAGGAGCTACCACAGGCTCTTCATCAGACGAGTGCTGTTTGTATCAGCACCTCCCGTCGTTTGTTGTTGACTTGTTTCCAAGTTGAGCTCAGGATTGAGGACAGTCATTACGCCATCCAGTGCGTCGATGGGCTGCTCCCACACATGGATGTTACACAGCGAACGCCCAAACTTTAACATTGGCAATAGCACATTTACCGCCAAACAGCCTTCCATTTCTTTATTCACCATGTACTTATACAATTGGCCAAACGATGTCATCATGAGTTCACTTTCCAATCCTTCTGTCACTTCTCTTCTTGGTCCAACGCACAATTTGAGTTTCTTCAGAGTCTCAAACTCCTCCCTTCCGCACAGGAAAACCGTCACTTGGCAGTTCTAACTCGCCGGCGCCGTTGAAACCATCATTTGACTTTTAACGTGGAAAGGCGCTGGGGCAACAATCAGGGACAACGGTCGGTTGAGTGATGCAAAGGTTCGAAGGCAACTTCTCAATTGGGCTCAAGATGAAGCCAAAACCATCTCAAAGCAAAGCAAGCTCATATGCTCCTGCAAAAATTACCACAACAACTCCTTCTTCTTGATACACGGTCTCCTCGTCGGCAGGTGCATGTCGATCATGTCCAAACCTGATGAGTCAGCAACTTCCCCAGCGGCCGACTTCGGCCGCGAATAGCCACACAAAACGGCAAACCCCACACCAACGTCAATTCGATCAAGGATTATTTTGTCGCATCTGAATCTGAGCCAGCCCGCCCACCAACAATCCCTTCATCACGCCCTCTCAACCTCCTCTACTACTCCCTACAGTGGTCAATTGGGCTCGCTCCCTATCGGAATCATGCTGTCCGCTACCTCTTCCGCCCTGCGCACCAGCGCTCGCCGCGTTGCCCCCCGCGCCGCCGCTGTCTCAACCCTCGTTGCGCCCGTGCCCAAGATCTCCCTCGGCCGAAGCTTCAATGTCGCACAGGCTCGATGCCTCTCTTCTACCGGTCGTTTGTCCTACGCTATCCAGACCAACCCCAACCCTCCTCTGGGTATGAAGAATGCCTCCAACGATTCTCCCTCAAGAATTGGCCTCATTGGAGCTCGTGGCTACACTGGTCAGGCTCTTATCGATCTTCTGAACGAGCACCCCATGATGGATCTTCGACACGTTTCTTCCCGTGAACTTCAGGGACAAGAGTTGAAGGGCTACAGCAAGCGCAAGATCATCTACGAGAGTCTGTCTCCTGAGGAGGTTGCTCAGCTGGACAAGGATGGCAAGGTCGATGCCTGGATTCTGGCGCTCCCCAATGCTGTCTGCCAGCCCTTCGTTGAGGCTCTGGGCAACAGCAAGAGCTTGATTGTCGATCTTTCCGCCGATTACCGTTTCGACGAGGACCAGAAGACATGGAAGTATGGTCTTTGCGAGCTTCAGCCCAGAAGCCAGCTTGCCACAGCTACAAGAATCTCCAACCCTGGCTGCTATGCTACTGGCTCTCAGCTTGCTTTGGCTCCTATTGTTGAGCACCTCGGTGGTATTCCTAGCATTTTCGGTGTCAGTGGTTACAGCGGAGCTGGTATGTCACAACTCGTGCGGACGCCATGTCTTGCGCGCAGCAGAACGCAGAATAATCGGGACTCGGAAGGCTAACAGTGGAACAGGTACCAAGCCTTCTCCCAAGAACGACACCAACAACCTCAAGGACAACTTATTGCCTTGTAAGTGCAAAGAAAGAGGACATGGGGAGAGAGGAAGCTAACTTGTAAAGACTCCCTCACAGGCCACATCCACGAGCGAGAAATTAGCCATCACCTTGGTACACCCGCTGCTTTCATGCCCCATGTGTAAGCCTGCTACCTTTCACACCATGTCACTGAAGACTGACAAATTCAGCGCCTCTTGGTTCCGCGGTATTCACCTGACCGTCAACATTCCCCTGAACAAGGAGATGACATCTCGTGATATTCGCCAGATCTACCAGGACCGATATGCCGGCGAGAAGCTCGTCAAGGTTGTCGGTGAAGCTCCGTATGTACCCCAAAGTACTGTGGTTATCGCATGAACTAACGTCGTAAAGTGTTGTCAAGGCCATCCAGGACAAGCACCACGTTGAGATTGGTGGCTTTGCTGTCGACAGCACCGGCAAGCGTGTCGTCGTGTAAGTATCTTCAACCCAGATCCGATGCGTCCACTAACTTGTTGAAGATGCGCCACCATCGACAACCTCCACAAGGGTGCCGCCACACAATGCCTGCGTAAGTTCCTCACTTAACATCACCGCTATTCGTCTAACAACAATGCAGAGAACATGAACCTCGCACTCGGATACGACGAATATCAGGGAATCCCCATCTAAGCCACCAACACCACGGCGTATTAGTCGCTCCGATATCCACCATAGAGAACAAGTTCAACACACCACAGAGCAAGGGACGCGCCAATTCCAAAGCGGTCCAAGCAAAGCATCAAACATCTGTACCGAACTCCAACCATCATACCGCTATACCAGTTGCGGAGGAGAGGAAAGCAAGCATATTTAGAACATGTCACGTCTGGGGAAGAAGACATTTTTTTTTTGTTATGATACAAATACAATTCTAGATAGAGGCTGAAAGATTAATAACAGCTACCTTTCCTGAACTCCGCGTATACGTTCCTGATAAAAAGAAGATCTAAATAAGATACATGATTGTAAGAGATGGCGGTGGAAGTGAGGGTGGAGTTATGTGCTCTTGGACTTCTTGTCATCGCTACCTTTTGAGCCAGACTTTTTATCGTCAGCTTTCTTGTCGTCCTTGGAGCCCTTCTTCTTATCATCCTTCACCTCAGGGCTCTTGGTCGCATCATCACTACTCTTTGTCTTGGTTGAATCCTCCTTCTTGGTCTTGGTGGTGTTCTTATCGTCGTCCTGCTTGGACTTTGTCTTGGTAGCGTCGTCGCTGGTCTTTGTTTTGGTGCTGTCTTCTTTCTTGGTCTTGGTCTTGTCGTCCTTGTTCTTGCCGTTTTGCTTCTTGTTGTTGGTCTTGAAGTACTTGGTCTCATCATCACCACCATCATCATCGTTGCCAGAGGTTTCTCCCTTCTTGAGAGTGCCGATTCTGGTGGCTGGGCGAGTGAAGATGGTGACTTCGGGATCACCTTCAGCACCATCATCAGAACTGTCGTCATCACCGTCATCGCGCCTGTCGATGCCACTGCGCTTTGAACCGCCGGTCTTGGGATTGATGAAGCCAGCGACGACACCGTTTGACTTTGACTTTGAAGATGAAGAGCCACCAGGTGAGAACTTGATCTTGGTGTCGGCGGCGTTCTTGTTACCAGACTTATCCTCTGGGCGAAGAGCATAGCCAGCCTTGGGTGCACCACCGGGGGGAAGAACCCAGGCTTCAGCGCCCATGATGCCGCTGAGGCAGATTGTCAAAGCGAGAACGGGCTTCATTGTGAAGTTTTAATGAAATGATATAGAGAATAGGGAATGGAGCGAGTGTCTTTGAGTTGAAGTGTTTGTTGAACTGATCAAACCACAACATTACAAGATAGCAACCAGTACTTATATGTCAGTCATAGGTACGATGTGGTGAGATCTTGGCAACGAATTAATCGTCCCTTTGGAAAAGTTAATCACCAATGCAGGAACGCTGATCAGGGCCGGGACTTGGCATGAGGCTTGTCCGATAAAACACGGTACCTTCTTTCGTCTTGGCCGAAAGAGTCTAGCCACAGGTGATCTGGGCAATCAAATGCCTAAGAACTCAGGAATTTGAATAGTTTACATACCAACTATGTATGTGGCGCGGGTCTGGGGTTAGTAGACCATGACAATTAACTCTATTTTATGGCCGATCAGCGCCATGTTGACATCCCTTTACCCATTGCGACAGTTCCTGGAGTTTATATACTGAGTTATTTGTATTGTTTTAATGAGTCCTCGACAAGGTTGGCCTCTTCCGATCCGCCACGATGAGCGAGGTGAGAGTTACGTTCCTGGGCCGTCTGGCTCTGGAATGTTAGGGACCACGCGGGACTATTGGTTCATTCGGGGGATCTGGATCAGGGTTTTAGTTTAATGTATGACAGGTGGATTATTAATGAGACAGAAAGCCTTGTTGCACGTGGGAAAAGCTTGGTCTTGTGCCAAGCAGGGGACCATCTGGGACCGCCCGGAGTGTCTCTGCAAGCGCAGGAGGGAATCAGATCTCGCCTTTAAGTATCAGCAATTCAGGGATCTTTAGACATGAATAATTGGGTGGAATATTGGAGGAATCGCTCCAGGGCACAACAGCCTGAGAACGTAGCTCGTTTACATTAGTAGTCTTTTGTGTCATTCAGGAGAGACAAGTTTGTAGATGGCTCAATTTGAACTCGTCCTTACCAAGGCCCAAAGGTTCAAGAAGATCGATTTAAAGAATAAATGAAAGAAGTGAGTTGAGGAAGAGACCACACTTGTAGTCGCTTAGGTGCCTTGCGGATATGCCTTGCGGCCTGCGATCCGGCCAAATTGTGTTATGTTGGCTCTCTCATGGCCTCAATTCGGGCCAACATCAAGGCGCGGGCAATGAAGTTAGCCAACGGCGTCCAACAGTGGTTACATCTTGATTGTGATTCATGCAGATGAATGAATGGTGTGAGTGGTCGCAAAGAGTGGTCGCAAACATGCAGGAGGCCTTCCATCCTGTCATCAGAATAAAACAGAGCCTCGTCCGACCAAACTCATCAGCATCATCTCCTCCTTTCATCAACACCACTGACCCAACGAGTAACTTCATCAAAATGAATCCACTTACCTCCATCCTCTCTTGCCTCACCGGCCAAAACGCCGCAACTCAATCATCGCCCCAGGTCAGCGAGATCAACACAAACTCAAAGCTCATCACCGCCCAACCAGTCCCCTACTCCGACGACGCAGCCTCTCAATTCGTCTCCATCCTTCAAACCCACACTGGCACCCAGACTGAACTGCATCATCGTCTCAAGCAAGTAGTTTCCACCAATAGCTGGACGTCAAGCCTCGCTGAAGCCATCGAGCGTAAGATCGAGAAGCTCTTAAAAGATGGCGCACAGCTCGCCAAGCCCATGGCTGAAGCCGTAAAAAGAGCTACAAACGCTGCTTGGGAGTTTGCGAAAGAACATCCTGTTTACGCTGGGTTGATTGCAGCGGGCACGATCATTGCTATCGGTGTTTTGGTGGAGTTTGATCTTATTTGGGTGCTGAGAGCGCTGGGGTTTGATGAGGTTGGACCGAGACTTGGTAAGTCATTTTACTTGTGACTGTGGTGGTAAAAGTGAAAGCTAACGGTCTATAGGGAGTTTTGCGGCGAGATGGATGAGTAGCCTTGAGAAGGTGCCCAAGGGCTCGATTTACTCGTATCTTCAGCGGCTTGGGATGAAGATTGCTAAGTGAAGTCGGGTATTGAGATGGAAACAATTGAGTAATACCCGTAACTGCCAAGTCGGTTTAGCGGAAGCATTTACTTTTCACTCATCAGCCAATTCAACAGACTGTCATTTTCTTATAAGCGGCATCTGGTAATCAATTCATTGGTTGCGCTTAGACAATGGCTTTTATGGCGTTGATAAGCTTATTTTATGCTCGGTGACATCTATCAACTGTGCTCCCTCCGCTGAATTACAACACCATATGATTACCCCGAAATCTGTCGTGAATGATGTAAAAAGCGCCCTCCAAAGATCAAACCCCGGACATGCACACCCGAAGATCGGCGAGAGGCATTATCACGACATTATCCCCTCGCCCCTCCAAATTTACCCCGCCGTTCAAAAGAACCCCTCCCCCACGTCTCCAAGTGTAACATCGGGCTTGACCCGAGGTCTACAGGAAAGTGTTTACATCATAAATATTATGTAAATAGGTCCTTCTTTCCCCCGACTTTCACTTGTTCATTGTGCTTCGAGTATTGTTGCTTGCCGTTCTGTGAATAGTAACCATGCCACTGCCTACGTCGTCGATTTATGAGCCGCCTTCGGCTGGCTTCACTGGCTTTCCTTCCAGGAGGAGCGTTGTTCATAGCACGGAGGGTATTGTAGCGGCGCCTCAACCTCATGCTGCGAATTGTGGTCTTGAGATTCTGAGAGCTGGTGGTAATGCAGCTGTAAGTTAGCATCCTTCATACCCACGAGTCAGTAGCTAACAGACATCAGGACGCAGCTGTGGCAGTTGGTACGTCAACATCACGACAATGGTAGGAAATCGTGAGCAAGGGCTAATTAAGCGCAGCCGCGGGATTGAACGTCACAGAGCCTGTGTCCACTGGCATCGGTGGTGACATGTTCCTCCTCTACTTCGATGCCGCCACAAAGCAAGTCAAGAGTCTCAATGGCTCCGGCCGCTCAGGCTCAAAGCAGACCATCGAGAACATTCGCAAGAGCCTCAACATTCCCGACGGTAAAGTTGGCGAAATCCCAACTCATCACGTTCACGCTGCTACTGTTCCCGGCGCTGCAGCTGGCTGGGTCGATACCGTCGAGCGATTCGGCAGTGGAAAAGTTAGCTTGAGCCAGATCCTCGAACCAGCGATCAAGCTAGCTGAGAATGGGTTCCCTCTTACTGAAATCGCTTCTCACTCTGTAAGTGTCTTTCTTGTGAGTGTGGGGTTTGGGCTGACTTGAGATAGTGGCAAGCTCAAGAGAAGCTTCTTCGCGATGCTTCCCCCAACTTCGCAGAGATGCTCAAGAAAGACCCCTCCACACAAGATGGCGTGAGAGCCCCTCGTCCAGGTGAAGTCTTCAAGAACCCAACGCTCGCTCAAACATTCAGAACTTTGGCGACGGAGGGTAAGAAGGGTTTCTACACCGGTCGTATTGCAGAGGAGATCGTAAAGGTTGTTCAAGACCTGGGAGGATATCTCGAACTCGACGACTTGAAGCACCATCTCGAAACCGGCACTCAGGACACAGAGCCCATTTCCGTCAAATTCCGCGGTCAAGGCCTCACAGACAAAGATCCCAACGGCGGTGTTGAGCTCTGGGAACATCCCCCCAACGGCCAAGGTATCGTCGCTCTCATGGCACTGGGTATAATCGAACAGCTCGAGAAACAGGGAAAGATTCCAAAGTTTACACCGGAAGATCATAACTCTACGGCGTATCTCCACGCTATTATCGAGGCTCTACGTCTCGGCTTCACAGACGCAAGTTGGTACGTCACCGACCCGGACACCACTAAAGTTCCCACCGCCGGCATGATCTCCCCATCATACCTCGCCGAGCGCGCCAAGATCTTCTCTGCTTCAAAAGCCCACGATGGTGTTCAACCCGGAAACCCTGATTTCGTATCTCCTGCTCTGCAAAGCAGCGATACAGTTTATTTCACTGTCACTGACTCCGCTGGTAACGCTGCTTCGTTTATCAACTCCAACTATGCCGGTTTCGGAACTGCGATTATTCCCAAGGGTTGTGGTTTCACCCTTCAGAACCGTGGTGCGAATTTCTCCTTGGATGAGAAACATCCTAATAAGCTTGAGCCGAGAAAACGACCTTATCACACGATTATTCCCGGCATGGCTACGAATATCAGCGATGGATCCCTGCATTCCACATTCGGTGTTATGGGTGGATTCAACCAACCCCAAGGAACCATCCAAGTTTTACTTAACCAAGTCCTTTTCGGTCTGAATCCTCAACAGGCTCTTGATGCACCACGAATCTGCATTGGAGCCGGTATGCCAGACGAGGGCAACGTTCTGGACTGGACTGTTCATGTGGAGGAGGGTATTTCTGAAAAGACCGTTGACGAGTTGAAGAAGTTGGGACATAATGTCGTAGTGCTCAAGGGCTGGAAGAGAGCCATGTTTGGGCGTGGGCAGATTATTAGATATACTGTTGATCCGGATGGAACGCCGGTTTGGTCAGCTGGTAGTGATCCTAGAGCTGATGGTGCAGCATATCCTCAGTAGATGTTGTCAATCACCAACAACAAGGCACTTCATTGCCGAAGTTACCTATGGACTAGAACTCAAAGTTCCTATACTACTCCACCTAAAAGATCGTGATCCGTTTCCTCTCCATCTTGGAAGGGTCAAGGTCTCCCGATTCGTCAGTGTACTTGCTCAAGTTTGCAAACTCCTGCAGAGGAGGTTGTATTGTCAAAGTTAAGCAAAGCACCGGCCCAATGATCCTATATCCTCCCGAATATCTCCTCAGTAGAAAAGGCTCCGATGAGCCGCAGAGAACCCATAGTTCATCATCTCGTTGTACCGGAAGACTAGCCCTGAACAAGAAAGTGTTCTCGCCAGCAAAGATGTTCCCATTACCGAGAATGAAATCGGAATCTAAGAATACAGCCCACACTTGTAACGCAGTAGTCTTTAATTCAGAGTGTACCGGATGTGATACCTGGACGAATGAAGCATCAGCATACCCTGCTCTGATATAGTGGGCAACGAACTTGCTGCCATCCCAGTCGGTTTTCGTCGTGTACAGTATAGGCTCAAGGGGATTTCGAACTTTGGTCCAATCAACGACCCATGAGGGCAGCAGCTGTCCCTGGCCCGAAGATGAGGAATCACCGCGACTTAGGTATGATAGGACATCCAGGCTATCCTCAAAGGTTATGATACGCTTCATTGTTTCCACCAGAAGCGTTTCAATACCGTTGTTAGATGAATAGTCCGGTATTATTGAATAACCAGGATGCGCGAGTCCGATCATAGAGTAGATCCGATCCCGTTCATCAGAGGATTGGCAGTTTTGCGTGTAAACCAGAAGCCTTTTTAGATCGAATTTTCGATACCATTCTTTTTTAGCGAGAAAGACACTAAGAACCTTGGAAATTGAGTGCGAAATCTGGGCTCGGGTAGCCTGGGCACGCTTGAGCCTTTTCTTGGCGTATGTCCCACGGGTCTTCTTTGGTTCGAAAAGTATCTCCAGCGTCGCCAGGCAAACATCGCAAATCAGTCTCAGCATTTCCGGGTAGGCCATTGATTGCAGTCCATATAGGAACGTCGCTCGAGAAGACACCATGAACTCTTGGAAGACCCATGCTCTCCCCCACCATGGGCTGTTCAAGACATCGCAGAACTTGATCCAACCATCTGCAAACTCATGCTGGCTCAGGCGTTCCTCCATCTCAGTTCGAAACTGATGAGTTGAGAAATAAAATTGGGAATAGGCCCGGTCTTCTGATGGAAATGTCTCCCCGATAATCGACCGATTGACAAGAGTTTCCTCCAGCTGCACAAGCCATCCCATGCCGTTTCCTCGTGTCTCAGCGACAGATAAACAAATAAGAGTCTCTTTCGCACTCTCATAAATGGCTCTCATGAAACCGACTTGATGAGACCTCTCCATCAGGTTTGCCTGGTTAATACATATTTGATCCACCCATAGGAACAAATCCCGATGATAGGTATGCGTCTCCCAATAGTGACGAACTGTTGACAAGGCGTGGTGTAGGTTGGCAAAAACGTTGTATCTTGCTCCATTGACTATGATAGGTTTTGTGTTGCGTGCATCGCCTGCGCAGTAAGAAAGTGCAAGATATTGCTTATGCACGTCAGCGAGTTTCACGCTGGGTAATAGTTCGCATTCGACGAAGCCTGATCGCGATTTAGGTAGGATTTTGAGAAGACGGATTTCTCTGTCGCTAGCGTTGAGGTCTTTATAGTGGACTTGAGAGAGAAACTCGCTGTTTTCGGGAGTGCAGAAGATATCGTGCCCTGGAGGTTCATTTGACATGGTCGTCCATGTTGGGTTTGCTTCTTTATCCATGGGAAAGCTTGAACAAGCGTGTTGATAAAGACTTCTCTAGTTGGTTCTCTTGCTTAAACTTCAATTGCCGCCGAGCTTATTCACGATATTGGGGCCTTCGTTGCGATATTTATATGGCATGTCAGAATGCCTTCTGAGGCGAAGCACGTAAGAGCATCTCGTGATTGGATGACCGGGTTGGAACAGCCGCATTGTAAATCACGGTCATCATGAGTCTCTCAGAACTTCAATCTTACACAAGTTTCGTGAGTCTCTAATGTCTAGTATGAAAGGGGGGGCCTATATTCTCAGCCTTGGGAGTCAACTGTTCATGAGAACACGTCTAAACGCGGGTGACTCGACCACTGCTCTTGCGAAACCCACCCATTGCCATTTCTCACTAGTATATTCTAAATAATTGTCCTCGGCTCAAACTCCTTTCTTAATTTCTAGTATTCTTGTCACAGGGAGTTAGAAATCCGCTTAATGCCAATCGAAGGATCCTTCGATGACACCACGCATTTGTGCGAAGCATGATTCTTGGGTGTCTCAGTCACATACATCAGGAAAGCTGCTGTATTTCCTTCATGTTGACGAACCAATGTCTCATCAAATTGAAAGATGATACATCATACGATGGTATCTTATACTTGCAGTTGGGCGCGCAAACAGACTCTCAGTGTCATGCCGTTTATCCGCCGGAGGCTGTGGCCGGGCCACGAGCTGAAGTTCAGCGTAGCCACGTGTGTTGCGATAAAACGTGACTGCACCAAGTCACATTCGTGGACGATAGGAAATATCCTAATTTGTATGCATGCGTTCAAAAGTCAATGTATCGAGTCTTTCAGCTCGTCAAATATGCTTTGTGATGGGAATGTGGCTGGCTGGATTGTGAATCTCCTCATTCTCTGGAGTTACAAGTCGCAAGTTGATAATTATAAAAGACGAACATCCTTGGAGTCCTGGAGATTTATTAACTACCTCTTCAAGTCATACTCATTTCCTCTTTTCTATTTCCTAGTCATTTCTCCTTCTTACACCAAACCCTGATTCTTGAGCCTTATCGTACGCTTGACATATCAAGCCATGGTTTCCAGTAAGTACTGAATGCAATCGTCCGACCTCTATAAAAATGAAACTGCTCCTAATTTCGTATTGACTCTGATGATTCCTCAATGGAAAAGCTTGCTGAGGAAGCAAGAAAATCAATGCTGCCTTACTCGCTGAGTAAATTGCCTACAGTAGTCACCTATCAGCTCCCTGTCCCTTGCGGCGATTGCTCTGTACACCTGCTCATTAATCGGCAAGGCGATACTACTAGCGCGTTCATAATGGACGGTGGCCGCGATGTCCAAGGGCTAAGAGCTAGTAAGGTGATTCTTCTTGGACTCGAAACCATCGCCAGAATTCACAATATCAAACCTCCGTTCTTGAGAGCATGGGTTGTCACACACTGGGATAAGGACCACTTTCAGGGGTTCCTTGATCTCCTCAATGCAAAAGAGCTAGATCGTTTTGTAATTAAGAAAAACTTCCTGTTGTATTGTGCCACCAACGCAGCGGCTATCAAACGGGCTTTCAGTGCCTCGGTGAGTCTGACCTTTCGTATCTTAAACATCAACTTACACGCACGGGCTAGAAAAATCCGAAATTACACCAAACGTCACAAGTGGTGTTGAGGCCTTAGGGTATGACTTCTTTGGTCAAGACTCGAAAAAAGTCGACGCTGGGTTCTGGTGTGTTGGTGGCGATGGGTACAGCTACATCAAGGGCTTCAAGATACCCCCAGAACCCCAGAACATAGAGAATATATACAACAACCTCGTTCGGGTATCCAAGAAGGGTCTCCCACGCCAAACGAGCAGTCACTCATGGCGGCGATCATATGGCCCAAAGGAGGCGACAGTAAACCTCGACTCTCTTACTTCTCCGCAGGTGACGGGAACTTCTGCCTCGAGCGGGACAATATTTGCCCGCAAGTGTTCCAAAAGCAGCCAGTCAAAGCTTTCAAGTTGGATCACCACGGCTCATCTGGCGAGTTCTCGTGGTGAGATTTTGGAAGGGATGGATCTGCCTCAGCGATTGATCGTGACACCTGGGCATCAGTATGGGCACCCTTGTAAGCATTTCTTATCGCAAAATTCCCGTGCTGGCTGACAGTTTCATATAGGCTGGGACGTTTTATTCCAGATCAGGAAAATGTACACACTCTAAAAGCAGGCTCATGGCGGCAAACTCTTGTACACAACACGGCTACCTTACTGGGTAGATGAGAGCAAGTTTGGGAAATGGCTCACAATGGACTTGAACATCAACCCTGATACGCGACTTAACAGTCTCCTTGGTACAGGTCAATCTTCTAAGAGTGGAAAGAGACTCTTGACCGGCAACGAGTCCCAAAAGGCAGTTGACAAGGCACTTAAAGAAGCTCGGGAAGTAGCGGACAGAGTCGACTGGAATAAATTCATGAAGACAACTCTCCGTGAGCCAGACGACGATGACGAGGAAGACGATCCTTCTTTTACCTATGAAGACGGCCTTGAAGCTCTCCTCAGTGATATACTTCATAATCAGGGCACTGCCTACGACTCTGTTTATGATCGCGTTACTCGGGAGCTAGAAGAGGCCGCAGACAAGGGAAAGTATGAGATGGAAGAAGACGGCGTACAGGAGAAGCCTTTCAAGGTTGTGGATGAAACCATGGAAAACAAGCATGATGTGGTAGATGTCTGTGTTAAAATGTGGAACTCAATCTCGGAGCAACAGATCAAAGAAGGGGTTGCGCAGTCAAAGTACTACCTTTTGCAGCTCATCTCAGCTAACGATGACAAACTTGATGGTGCCGTCAAGGCATTTGAATGGCCAGAGGATTGGGGCTGGTCACCCAATTCCAAAACTTAGGAGTTTGTATAGCTACATAAACATCGAAAAAGAGCCATATTCACCAAGAACCATCTAATGTTCCGTATCCTGATTGATTGCTTCCAGCGTCTCTCAAGTATAGTTTTTTCCTTAGAGAATATCCCCTCGATACAAGTATGACATTAAAAGAATTATCAGGTTGACAAAATTATTTGTCTATATTGCGAATTGCGGGTTAGAACACATACCGACTGGCTCAGTGAATCGTCAGCAACTCTCCACTTCTTTCTCAAATGATGTGCTAGATCTATGAGAGACCGAGAACTATTGCGTGACGAAATGGTTGTGAGAATGCCTTGTGAGGCGTAGCAGCGCTGATGTTGACCTCGTGATTGGATGCCTCGCATGCAGCATGGGGGCAGCCAACAACACTTATCAGATCATGCTATCAAAATCCAGGGAGCAATACAGCACCGCAATAATGGAAAGAGAAAACTCTCAAGCAATCTAGTAACTTCTAGTGAAGCTCCATCTCCAATTTCTTTCCCGTAGCCCTTACTGACTTGAGCACCTGCAACCCTACCTCATTAATGGCGGCATGAAAAGGGCGCAGCTGCAAGTTCAACCCCAATGTAATATACATATGGAACACCTAATAATCTCATTATCCAATAAAAGACTTTGAAAGAAAGATGGGACTCAAGTTTAAGTCCTGGCGTGTAGTCACCGCGTCAGAATAAGTCGAACGCGTATGGAGAAACACTTCCTGCTCACGGCGACTCCGAGAATTGTACGCATACATGCGGCACATATCCTTAGCTGTTTCGAAAAATAGAAAAGTTTTATTCTATTCAACGAAATATAGGACACTTTATGCAAGTGGCTTCGCACTGACTAGGGTCGCCAGGCAGAATCAGCCTTGCGCATTCACGAATACTCCTATTCATCTGGGAATATGATAATGTAGAAACTAAGACAATAAATTCGAAGGTATATAGGCAGCTGTGGCGTGATGTTGATTACATATAGTAGTTAATTAGCCACTGGCGTCTGTGACTACTTCGTCGTCCCAAAAGTTGTGACTATTCGCTTTCGAAGTAGCGACTACCAGCCATGGAATTAGAGCGCTGCGGCTGTTCCCTCGGCCGGTATTTCACTACATTTAATAATTCCCACTCAACAAGCACCTTAGTCGACATTCACCGGAATCTCAGGCGAAGAAGGAGGCAGAGGCATGCAATCGGCTACGAGACCAGCCTCAACCAATATCGCTTCACTTTCACTACCAGATTGGGTATTCCAGGAAAGGATCTTTACAAATGGGAAGAGCGAGCCCATCAGGAAGGACTCATAGAAATGTCACATGAGTTTCTCTGTGTTAAAAAGAATGGCTCTTTATACTGGTCTAGTCAGTTTTTGGCAAAAAATGATAGAGATCAATACGAGTAGCTTGTCCCTCCCAGACTTTGAATCGCGCTAATATGATTGTGATAGGATTTATAAGAATATTATATGGTTCTTTGTGAGACGGAACGCCACTGACCATGGGAAGAAAATCCGCTCGAAACGGCCGTTGGATCGAATCGATACACTTTGCAACGGGAGCGATACACCATCGCCTCCGTACAACGCGACTCCAAGTGATTCCACGTGAGGGTTCTGTTATGATGATAATACGTGATGAATACTGATTGAGGTACGTAGGACAACTGAAGAAGGTATCGATTCTCCTCCCTCTTCACAAAGCAGCGAATCTAGTCAAGGTTCGGCGCCGGAGTCAGCGCAGAACAATACACTTCCGATCTCGTATAGCAGAATATACAGCCCAGATGAGTTGGCTGAAGAGGTAAGGTAAGCACTAATAATAAATACACGTTACTGATCCCTTGTTAGGAAATTGATGAACTGTTTCGCCCTGGTCCCAGTGCGCAGTCAAGACGAATGAGTCGAATGCAAGATGCACGAGGCAACCTCGGGCATACGAGACTGCATCAACAATCAAGCATTGGTATTAACCACATTGAACGTGGAGATATTCCGTCGGTGCCTCTTGTTTCTACTGGCACTCAAACAGGGTTGGAAACAGATGAATATCGGGAGAGAGATGCTAACGCACCACCTCCATCGTCCATGAACACAAATAATGCCTCGCAGCAATCTGATCCAAATACCAACGAAGAATATGAACACAGACAGGCACGCGAATCACTCGAGTACGGACAAAAATCGCCCAGTCCAGCCTTCGAAATCCCACGATGTGCTTCACCCGAGCCCAAGCCCAACATCAATCTAATCTTCAGCTACGATGCCCTCCCAGGTCTTAACATCCGCTTATCATACGGCGAAGAGATATTCTCATTCTCCCGCGAGCAATTATTCCGGGAGTTATGCTGGCAACATGAATTTGAACGGCTGTTGATCTGCCTCCAATCCCATGGGGTTCTTTATCCCGAATACATACCCAAGGCTGACGGGAGGGAGTTTCGAAAGGTAATGGCTAGGTTTGAGCAGATAGTTGATGCGATGAAACGTGATTATGCTGAGGTAGAGAGAGACGCTGTGGTTGAGATTGCTTTTGTGCCTGTGTGTAAGGGGCATTCGAGAACTGTGATGATTGAAGCTTGGCTGAAACGGATGACTGAATCGCACGGCGTTATGTTTTGATGGGCATGAACTGGACGACATAGACTTTATAGACATAGACCATTACTTTCGGAATATAGACCTACGGATATATCAGGACCAGGTCAAAAGCGCAGCGCACTGAGGAGTCGCTGGCGTTCTGTAATGTGACCGCATTGATAAGACGCTGCTCTTGGAAAGAAATGAAGAATGGACGGGTTTCTCCGAAAGAAGGGGGGACGGCGATTCCCCAATCTCGTTGCAAAAAAAAGCTGTTTTTTTGTTCATGACAAGAAACCCTGAGAAGCTATGGAAGCTATGGAAGCTATATTGGACTGCTCTGTCATCGCAACCTTTCACAGCTCTTGATTGTGTTCCGCTCGTGGAGGGTCAACAACTGCGCTCTCGGAGCTACCCTGTCCCTAGCCAGAGCGAAATAAACCAATTGACAACGATAGCATGGTCGAGAATGCCCCGAGCGAAATACTCACATCACTCGGGTTTTTCACAGCACCAAAGCTCGAGAAGCAAATGACCACACCGTTCTATTCCGTTCTTTTGCTGTATATTCGTGTCTGTTATACAGAGGTATCTCTTCGCTATTACACCATTTTATACACTCGACCGATCGCAATCACCGCTTCTATTCCTTCTGCTCAGGCTCCCCCTCAAGGATAACCTTCTTCTCATCGAACAGCTTGGCCAAGTCACCATTCTGATGCATCGAAACAAGAATATCCGTTCCACCAATAAACTCCTTCGCGACGTAGAGCTGAGGAATCGTAGGCCAGTCGGAGTACTCCTTGATGCCCTCCCGCAGCTCAGGATCTTCGAGGACGTTGAAAGCGGCGAATTTATCGGGGTTGACGCCCTGCAGACCGAGGATCTGAATGGCGGCGCGCGAAAAGCCGCACTGCGGTGTCTCGGGTGTTCCCTTCATGAAGAGCACGACGGGGGCGGACGATACGGCTTTGTCGATTGCGGAGCGGGTTTGGTCGGAGAGAAGACGGGCTTGGAAGGGTGTGAGGGGGGAGATTGGTGTGCGGAAGAGAGGAGCTGTTGAGCGGACGGCGACAGGCCGGGCGGCTTGCCGGAGGGACTGTAGAAGAGTTAGTTTACGAATAGCAGTAGTGGGGAGAGAGAGGGCGTACTGAAGCTACTGTTCGCGCAAACATTGTGGCGGCTGTGAGGGAGAAAGTGGTGGTGAGAGATGGGAGATGCGCGATGGGTTTGGAAAGTTGGAGATGGCGGAAGTTTTGGATGGGATTAGTGATGTCAAGGATGTTCCGATGCCGATCCCCGGATATCAGTGGCGAAGTGGCCAATCAGCGACGGGACGATTGCGGCTTATTAACATTGTCATGTTTGCCCATGGTGATGCTAGAATAACAATTATTCTGAGACCACAGTCTGATGCGTTTTGTTCTTCGCTGTCAATCAAATGTCTCTTTCGGTAGGCTCCGAGTGGTTTCATGTTTGACTGCTTATTGCCTGGCCTTGGCACCTCCACAAAGCTCACAACAGCTTCTCTCACTGTAGAATACAGCACTGTCAATTACTAACACTCTTACCAATGTCGAACGTTGGCCAGAACATTCTGTAAACACGCTATCATAATCAGTCCATTCCTAGGTTCAGTCGGCACTGCAAAGACGCTTTCTGCACTTGCGATTCGGCTCGTGATATCCTCAGAGTTCATCATATGACGCGGGGCTGATGGCGGGGTAATTAAGATAAAGCTCCCGTCTGCTGTCAATTCCAAAGAGTTCCATGGCCATTGATTCTCAATTAAACACTCGGTCAATTGTTTGCCAAAATTATATCTATCATTCATACAACTCACATGTGACGTTGAGGTCATAAAGTTGACATCACTCCACCCAACTGCATCAAACCCTATCAAATCTCGCCAAGACCGCTGACAAACGCATCGTCGCGTCTCACTCAATCCCAATGCTTCACAGAATTCAACACGGGCACGACGCCCATCACGAGCACCATATGCGCAACTCAACTGAAGCTCTCGAACAGGCACGAGGCGATGGCAAGCGCCATATTCTCCTCGCCGCCTCTGGTTCCGTGGCGACAATTAAGCTCGTTCAGATTATAAATGGTCTCAAATCACAACACAACATCTCCATCCGTCTCATCCTCACTCGATCAGCATCGGAATTTCTCTCAGGACAAAGTCTTGAACAACCCACTGTTGATCAAATCTCTCGTCTTCCGCATGTCGACGCTGTTTATACAGATGCGCATGAGTGGGCACAGCCGTGGAAGCGCAATGCACCGATCTTGCATATTGAGCTACGACGCTGGGCGGATGTTTTGGTTATTTCACCATTGAGCGCGAATACTATGGCCAAGATTGTCAACGGCATGTGCGATAATCTCTTGACGTCTGTTGTTCGAGCTTGGGATGTTACGGGGACTGTGGACGGTGTTAAGAAGAAGATTCTTGTCGCGCCTGCGATGAACACTTGTATGTGGAATCATCCCATCACTGCGAGACAGCTGCGAGTCTTGGAGGATGAATGGGGTGGAGAAAATGGTTGGTTTGAGGTTCTGAGACCGATATCAAAGAATTTGGCTTGTGGCGATGTTGGAAATGGTGCCATGGTTACGTGGGAGACTATCGTTGAGGCGATTGAGAACAAGATCAAGGCTTAGGGAACGATATGAGCACCAAAAGTTAAACGACGGAATTGAGTTGTTTTCAGCGAGTCTGGAGTAAGTTTGCTGGTCGCGATATTGCGTTAGAGTACTGGGGGACAAAATACATGACAGAGCCGTAGGGTAATTTGGTGATGGAATTGATACCACAAAAACAAGGGACATTTCTGAAGGCACAGGCAGGCATGAATCAGTGATCAATATGATTCTGAATAAAAATTGAAAGATTGATATTGGAATTGGAATTGCAGGTTTCCACACAATGCGGATGTGGTTGGTGAATGTTGTAGGTGCACAGGCAGGCACGACAGGTTCCTTACTCATCCTTAACCTGCCACTGTTGAGTCGAACTACCATCACCAACACGCACTCTGGACTGTCCCCGACAAATATTTTCTGTTCCTTAACAGCGAAATTATTTTCGAAGCTTTGATGCAATCATGGCGTCTGCGCATAGTCATTTCCTTATCTCCACCTCAAGTCTAGAGGAAGATGGTTGCCCTTCAACCCTGCGAGATCGCCTGCGCGACGATGATACTCCAGCGACAAGTTCCTCCACCGGGCCTATTCCCTACCACAACATCTACCAGCAGGTTCACGCTTGTCTTGGGAAGTCCTTGAATACTTCAAAGCCCGAAAGCAAGGTTGTTCATGCACCCCAGAGCAATGATCAGGCTTCACAGCTTCGAGGTTAGTTCCTGATGTAAGACGCTGGGCTTCATTTCTGACAAGACACAGAATCGTATGCTCGCATGGGCATGTCCCTCCACAGCTCTGCGATCGACCACCTCGTAAAGGCGCACACCGATGTGCAGGCCAAGACAGCGCGGTTCGCAGAGAAATCTGGCCAGACCTTGTCGCAATCCAAACAGCTATACGCCAACATCGCCTACCCGCTGGCGGCCACACTTTGTCATCACAATGACCATGAAGGCCACCCCCGAGCAACTGTTGCGGTTCATTTACAGAAGCTCCAGGAAGAAATCGCTGCCGCCAGAGAAGAGGTTCTTCGCCTCAGTGTCGAATAGGATGAATGCTGTGCGACCGAAGAACAGGCTTGGAAGGAACTAAACAAGGAGCTCGCCGATCAAATTAATGAGAATGGCGTCGATGAGGAGGTTTTAAAGGCTGCTGAGGATTTCAAGGCGCAGGCGGAGGCCATCGTGGAGGAAAAGTGTCAACTCTTGGACGAGGTTGACAAGGTACGTTGATATGCTGTAAAGGATGGATTAATACTGACGCATACGTGCAGGAGTTCAAGGCTGAGATCCAGAACCAGACTTTGAAAATGATGCAGGATCTCTTCGACGATTGATCGATACGATGTACTAGAAGCAATTTGTGGGCTATTATGGTGTCAGCAGTCTCATGTCCAATTCGTCATGTACATGTACAATAGCAGAGCTGACTTTCAACTGGTCGTCTATTTCGTATCTCATTAACTATCTGCACCTATCATTTCCATCTTTGTCAATGCATGTGCCCATGACCAACCTGGTCTCTTTTGTGTATCAACAAACACCGCTAACGCCGTTCCATGAATCTACTTTTAATGCTCCTTTTCGGAATGCACTTTTGAATCGGCAGTTTACTGCTTCTTTTCGGGGATGACAACGCCCCAGGGGTGCTCTGTGCGACCGTACATGATGTCACCCAGCCAGCCCTTGATCTTGCTGGTGACCTCGCCGGCTTCACCCTCAGCGCCCATGGGGATGTTGATGTCCTGTCCACGGTGGTGGATCTGGGAGACGGGGCAGATGAAGTACTAGTATCGTTAGCAGGGTTCTTGACGTATTATCAATTGAAAAACTTACAGCAGTACCAGCAGCGAAAGACTCGATAAGACGACCCTCAGCATCAGCCTCAACGACCTCAGCGATGGTGTACTTTCGCTCGGTAATCTCATACTCATCACCCAGACGCTCACGAGCCAGCTCAAGACAGCTTCGGCGGGTGACACCATCAAGGATAAGCTTATCATCGAGAGGAGCAGTGATGATCTCCTTCTTGCCATCCTTTCGCTTCCAGACAACAAAGAAGTTACTGGCTCCAGCCTCGGTACACTCGCCCTGAGCACCGTACAGCCAGAGAATCTGGTGGAATCCACGGGTTCGTGCATCAGCCGTGGCGAGCAGAGAAGGGCCGTAATTGGCGCCAACCTTGGCGTACCCGAAGCCACCGACCCAGGCTCGCACCATGTCGTCGGGGGATGTGTGAAGACGCATTCCGCCGGGGGGAGCGTCCATGCGGGGCATGTAGGTCACGATAATGTAGAGGAGAGCCTCCTTGGGAGCAGAGACACCGAGCTGAGGAGCAGTTCCGATGATGGTTGGGCGGATGTACAAGAAGCTTCCAGCGCGATCGGCGGGAAGCCACTTGGTGCCGTCGACGGAAAGAAGAGCGATGATGAGCTTCTCTACCTCTGCTGGCTCAAAGACGGGAAGCGAGATACGGCTCGCCGACATGCGAAGACGCGCAGCGTTACGATCAGGGCGGAACACACGGAGCTTCCCATCATAACCACGGAAAACCTTGAGACCCTCGAAGCACTCTGTAGCGTAGTGCAGCACAGAGGCAGTGGGCATGAGGCTCAGCGGTCCGTAGGGCTTGAGCTCTGGGGCAGCCCAGCCGGTAGAGACCTTCCATGATGCGAGGACCATGTGGTCTGTGGCGATGGTCTCGTCGCCGGAGTGAGCGTTTGCTTCATCGGGAACGGGGCGGGGGGATTGTGTGTATGTGTATGTGAGCTTTGAAGCGTCGAGGGGAGCCTGGACCTGGGGAGTGCCGTTGACGGTGGGCTGGGCGAGATCTTTCTTGTGGATTGCTGCGGCTGTGAGGTTTACGTCCTGGGTCTCGACGGCGGAGGGAGCCATGATTGCTGATGGGGATTGAAGATCGAGTGAATGTTGTTTCTGAGCGAAGGTCTTCTTTTGAGTCAATGCAAAGGAGGAAGAGAGCGAGATCGGAGTTCACAATGAGAGGTCTATAAAGAAAGCAAGCAAAGACAAAAGAGCAGAGACAAACTTTATATACGTAGGCACGGAAAGGCTAAACTACCTAACAAACTTACCCCGTGTATGACTGTTTCCCCCCCTCCGCTATCCGGTCTCCACCTTTGTGTCGTTCGGCAGAGTCACGAGCTGGGGCAGAAAAACTTCCCGCCGCTCGCGGGCCCGGATAGACCGCCTCTGCCCGCGCGGTGGCTCGGCTCCGGCGATGGTGTTTTTTATTTTTTCTGCCAAACTTTTTTCCACTACAATGTCCCTGCGATATCGATAGGAAACAACGCTAAACTGGGTTTGGTAGGTGGTGAGGTGGTCCACACAACCTTTTTGACGTGGTGGAGGGGAGCCGCCAGTTTGGAAGCGGTTCCACCGATGATGCTTCTGGAAGATAACGAAGAACTGTAGTTGGAGTGTATTTTACGCCATTGATGGGCAATTGGATGAATGGGCTTTGAATTGGTATTCTTGATAATGTGGTGAAGCTGGAATTTCTGTTGGGAATAAAAGAGCACATGACTCTTCTGGAACTTGCTTATCGAGATCGCTTACATGAACTGCATATTTCCACCAAAAAATACCCGGCCCCATCGGCTCTTCTCAGTGCGGAACAAGAAACTCCTGTCAAAACCTCGAGTGCTCCACTGCCAGGGCGCGGCTTAAACAATTGGCTATCAACAAAGATAACAACAACCATCCAATTGAACCAGCGTCACATATCCCTTCATATCAGAGGTTTATGCAGTGGATAGTCATGTGCCATGAAATCCCTGCTTGTCAATTCTGACAGACGAAGAAAAACCTTGATAGAAGTTCTCTCTGATCTTGGCAGGGCGGAATTGTGTATGGCACCGTGGCTAGCCGTCAATTGCCATTGTTACCGCCCCTCGGTGCTGTGAGGTCATATCATGTTCCCCCCAATTGGAAGGGATAATAAAGAGTTTCGTTGAGGTCACATTACTGGCTTTCTGATCGATGATCGGTCCTATGTGTTTCGTGGCGTGGAGATTTCGTGCCATTGTATCGAGATGTTAGTGTAAAAAGGTACGATAACAAGGGTATGATCGCAGTAGACTTGCAGAAACTCGTCATTTCTAGGTATCATGATTACTCTATACTATAATTCTTTATCCGCCCGTCTCTTAGGATTCCCTGTTGAAAGGACCTTGTTTACCGTATATTACCGGACCTATTTTTTCTTTCACACCATCACGACATCCACGCCCTACGCCCTTTCAGCCTCCTTCTTCCGCTGCTCCTCCTCCAGAATCTCCCTCTCGCGCGCCGCCGCCTCAACACTCGCCTTCTCGCCCTTTGCCCGCTGGCGCGCCTCGTACATGTCCCTCGACTTCATGATCCTCTGCACGATCTCACCGGCGTTGACGTGCGCGAACGTGTGCGCGCCGATCTCGCGGTAGATCCCCATCGCTTTGGGTGCCGTGTACGGATCGTATGTCAGGGGCATGAAGGATGTAGGGCCGTGGTACACGGCGTCTGGGGTGCCGCGCGGTAGGGTGTTGAGGTAGGTCTTTGTGGGAGAGAAGGGTGCGCCGAAGATGACGGCGTTGATGTACTGTGATTTAAAATGGTTAGTAATTTTCAGGGCTGGGGTAGTATTGGGGGGGTTGTTTTACCTTGCACTGCAGAACGCAGAGACCACGCTCGAAGGTGTTCATGATGGGGTAGTTGATTCCCTTCCACTGATTGATGACCTCGTCCTCGTGCACGCCTACTACGACGTACGCGGGGGGATAATCTTCACCCTTGCCGAGACGCTCATTTACGGCTTGTTCGGAGAACCAACCATCCTCACGAGCGAGCTTTTCTTCCTCGAGGAGGACTTGGCGCAGGAATTCGATGTGTCCACTGGAGAAGAGATCATATCCTCCATCAACATAAACGACGCGCTGGCCGGGCTTAGGTCCGGGTCCCTCAATAAGCTGTCGGAAACTGCCCCTTTCCTCCTCACCCTCCTCCGCCTTAGCGATCTGCGACGCCTTCCAGAAGAACACCTCGGCGCCGGGTGCTTTGCCCGAAGCATCTGTCGCATACAGCTTCATGCGCTCCAGCATTTGCTGTCCTTCAACGATGCGCTCCTCCGGTGTGCCGTGGCCCTCTTCACCGGCGAGTTTCTTCTCGAGAGATTTGATGAAGTGCGTCTTTGTGCAGAGAAGCATGCGACCGACGAGATCGGTGGTGGAGATACCAGGTGAGCGCTTAACCACCTTGAATCGACCAGCCTCCTTGACAAATCGGTAGCAGTCGTTACCATCGCTGTCCGAGGTGATGTCGTCGCCGTGCACGACGTATTTGCAACCGTAGTGGGAGATGTAGGGGAGAGAAGTCACGTAGGGTGCGTGGCCGACTGAACGGGTGACCCAGCGACAAGCGTCAGTAGCAGCGAGTCTGGAAATGTCAGTGAATGTGTCGCTTGACAGGTAGTAGTGAGTTGGTGTTACCGTTCTGCGAGGTTCATGACTGTAGGGCCCTTGTTGGCGAGGATGGCCTCGTCTGAGTGAACGCCAGCGTAGAGCTCATCGCCTAGTTGGCGGGCCTGCACAATAGCGCCAGCGTGGCCTGATATCGTTAGTACAATTGATGGCGATGAGGCAGGAAGAGTAGATACCGTGGTGGAAGAAGTCAAAGCAGCCGTCGACCCAGATGCGCCCCTCGAGGAGCTCAGGAGCAGGCTCACCCTCAAGATGAAGCTCATCGTCAATCGAGGGGTTAGTGGGGTCAGTCGAAGACATGGTGGCGAGAAAAGATACGACAAAGATACAGCAATAGCGATGACTTTTTTAGTGAGTGATGTTGATAAGTCCAAGTTCAAAAAACGAAGGATCAAGAAGAAGAAGAAGCGGTGATGAATGATTTTTTTTAAGATTAAGGAGCTCTCAGTGAGGTGATGGTTCTACGTAACTTGAGCTGCTGGAAGTTAATGGATGAGCGTTGGTTGGCCTAACATTTTTATGAGCGATTTGATTGGTCCGTTTATACGCTGCCAATTTAACGAATATGAGATGAGGTCAATAAAGCTTAGGTAACCGTCTATAAATACGAATAAATTAAATACGTTTGCTTTAACCCATGTTATTGCCGTGAAATGCATACGCAAGCAAAGACAATAATTGAATGAACGAAGGATGGAATACGAGAGGTTGTTTGTCTTTTAAGGGTCTTGATGTACCCCTGTCACATGTAAACAACCACCACGCTAGCAACACCACGTTTTTGACAAAAGCACCACCTTCTCATCACTGACTCCTTCAATTCTCTGTCAATTTACTCCATTTTCTTTCATCTAGTCATTTTTACTATCTCATTCTGTGACCGAGAACCCGGATCTCATTTCATCTTCTCACCTCAAAAGACTCCACTTTGCTCGGCACGTTCCCGATCCATTGGCTCCGATCTTTGCCTTAATCGTGGGCCTGCTCGGGCCAAGATTCCCCGGACGGGAATAGATGCATCTTTAACAGCTCTTGAGCTTGGGGTAACCGCGCGATGATACCCTGGTATGAACATGTCAAATCGGCCAAGTGTCCGGCGTCATGAGGTATAAAGATGCTCGTTTGCCCATCTTGACTTGGGCATTGGCAATTGAGCTGCGAGCATCATGAAGTTCACTACCGTCTCTGCGCTTCTGGCCCTTGCGCCGCCTGCTCTTGCGGATTGGCATTTTGCCAAGAACAAGGAGATCAAGTATACTTCTGTTGAAGGGTTCTTCATGCAAGATGATCTTGCCACCAACCCTACCGGCTTCGACTACGTGAGATCTCACCTATCCCGCATGAGATCACATACTAACGAACCAGGCCCAATGGAACTTTGGTCTCTTGAACCGTACTTATCCCACTGATCCCAAGAACCCCCGAAAGGGCTACAAGACTCAGTGGGAGCGCTTCGAGCAGTATGTCAAGCACTTGAACCGTAATGCTAGCCGTGATAAGACGCGCTACAAGGTTCTTGTCATGGGACGTCATGGTGAGGGTTGGCACAACGCCGCGGAGTCCTTCTACGGAACGCCCGCCTGGAACGTAAGTTGCCTTAGTTAATAGTCACAGCCAATTAGCTGACGATATGCAGTGCTACTGGGGTCTTCAGTCCGGCAACGGAACAGCGACATGGGAGGATCCTCTCCTCACACCCGCAGGTGAAGCCGAAGCTCACAAGGCAAACGCCTACTTCAAGACCCGCTTTGAGAATGAAGGCATGCCATTCTTCGACTCATACTACACCTCCCCTCTCGCCCGCTGCGTCGAGACCGCCGTGGAGACTTTCCAGAGCCTCAAGCTCCCCAAGGATAAGCCTTTCGTCCCAATGGTGAAGGAACTTCTCCGCGAGGGCATCAGCATCCGAACATGCGACCACCGTCGCAGCAAGAGCTTCATCAAAACTCTTGCCAAGAAGATCAAGTTCGAGAAGGGTTTCTCCGACAAGGATAAGCTCTGGACTGGAAAGGAGGGTGAGACGGGTGAACACCAGTTGGCGCGAAGCAAGGAAGTTCTCGATGATATCTTCACAAGTGACAATGCTGTTTGGATCAGTATTAGCAGTCACTCTGGTGAGATCACCAAACTTCTCCAGGCTCTCAACCATCGACCTTTCCGTCTTGCGACCGGTCAGATCATTCCTGTTCTTGTTAGAGCTGATGTCGTTTCTGAGGAACCTACGTCTACGTATGCTTCTTGGACTACTGAAGCTACCTGCAACGCTCCTCCTGTGACTAGCATTGGAGGACAGGGCTGTGTTTGCTCTACTACGCTTGCATCTGCACCAGCAAAGGCGACATGAGTGGGAGAAAAGAAATAGTTGATCATGTAGTGATCACTAACTAGTACATAGAAAAAAGAAGCAGACCGCTTGACTAGTACAAAGGAAAAATGACAGTACATGCGTCCAACCCGCGGCCTTGTTGCAATCTTGCCGCTTTCATTATCCATCGAATCATGAAACTAAAGTACCCGCGCACCTGGCTCCATCTGATCCTAGCAAGTTGAGAATAGCACCACCTGGTATAGCCGTAGGATTTGCTGTGGATCCAAGTGTGAACTTCCACGTTTGACCCAATACTGTCTCCTGAGCAAAGAGGGTTCCGTCCGGTGCTGCCATGACGGCACCCCAGACGAGATTGAGAGTTGTGAGGATGAGGTTGGGGTAGGATTGAAATCGCTCCCACTTTTGCGTGGTCAATGACCATCGAACGATGTTTGTTCTGAGGAGGCCACTCTCGATGACTGATGCTTGGACGGCGTAGAGATAGTTGCCTCCACCGGGGACATATGCCCAGTCACCCACGCCAGAAAGGAGATTGGTAGCTGACGTGCCAGAGCTCAGAAGCTGGCCGAAAGTGTTGCTAGTCGGTCTCAAATCAATGCACCACCATTTACCTCCACCTTCGGATACCCAGAACCTTCCTTGATCATCAACATCACCCATACTGATAGCATTTGTACCGATCACAAGATCAAGGACCTCCCATCGCCCATCCTTAGCGATACGAATAAGTCCCGATCGCTTACATCCCAGAAGACCACAAAGAAGGGCGTTGACCAAAGGTTGTTGGTAGAAGCCGTAGATGTAGTTGTCGAGCCTATTGAAGCCGATACCGTTGATAGGACCGCCGGGACCAATGCCTGTTCTGATATCTGTTCGTTGTCCAGTGACGAGATTGACGCGCGTGAGGGTATTGGCGAGAAGACTTTGGACGGTGTAGCCGAAGCCATCGCAGTCGAATGTTGGGCCAAATGCGAGCTGGGGCATCATGCTTGTGCTGGTTGTACTGCTGGAAGAAGTGGCGACAACAGGAACAGCTGCGCTGCTTGAGGTGGTGACCACTGGGGCTGCAACACTGGTTGAGCTTGTAGTGACTGGTGCTGGAGCTGCGCTTGATGTTGACGATGCAGCTGCGGCAGCAGCACTGGACGAGCTTGAGGCAGCTGCAGCTGCAGCACTACTAGAGGAACTGGCCGCGCCAGCAGCAGCTGAGGAACTTGACGTAGCGGCCCCAGAAGCACTGCTTGATGAAGTCGCTGCGGGAGCTGCTGCGCTACTCGTAGAACTGACGGCTGCTGCAACAGAAGAAGAGCTCGAACTCGCCGCAGCAGCAGCACTAGAAGAACTTGAAGCAGCGGCCGCAGCAGCACTGCTTGATGAAGTTGCTGCCGCTGCTGTACTACTGGAGGAACTGGCAGCAGCAGCAGCAGAAGAAGAACTTGAAGCCGCGGCAGCTGCAGCACTGCTCGATGAACTTGCTGCTGCCGCTGCCGCGCTACTGGATGTAGCTGGAGGTGAAGCGATAGCAGAAGAAGTGGTAGTAGGAGTAACCGCTGCTGCACTAGTAGTGCTTGAAGGACCGCCAGCAGCAGAGCTTGTTGAAGAACCACTCAGGGTTGTGAAAACAGGAGCTTCCATACTCAACGGCGCAGCTGAGCCAGAAGTCGAAGACACAACCATTGTCTCGACAATAACTGTGCCAGGCTCCCCAGCCGCAGTCGGTGGATCGTACAACGTTCGTCCAGCTGTAGCTGTGGGAGGAGCAGCTCTGAAGATAGTGATATTGGTACCAGCGACGATGGGAGTGGAAGTTGTTGGAATGCCTGCTGGTGCGTCGCTGGTGGGAGTGGTTGAAGCTGCGGGGCTATCAGTTGGGGTTTCGATGAGGACTGTTCCTGGCTCGCCTTCCGAGGCAGGGGGGATATAGATGGTTCTTGTGGTTGAGCCTGCTCCACCACCGAAGATGGTTGTGTTCTGTGCAACTGCCGGTAGTCGTGTTGTGCTTGCGGCTGCTGAGGATGAAGTCTCCTCTGGAGCAGAGCTAGGAGTTTGGATGAGTACTGTGCCGGGTTCACCAGATGCAGCAGGGGGAATGTAGATTGTTGTAGTAACTGATGCTGGGCCTCCGACGAAGCGAGTGACGTTCTGGATTGCGCTTGGAGACTCAGCACTCGTGACGGCCTCGCGGGAAGATGTTGTTTCTGCCGCCGGACTAGCCGATGGAGTCTGAATGATCACCGTACCCGGCTCTCCGGATGAAGCTGGAGGGAGGGTATAGGTCGTAGTAACTGACGCTGGCCCGCCGACGTAACGAGTGACATTTGGGATTTCAGTTGGCGCTTCAGCTGATGGGGAAGACGTAGCACTTTCTTCAGGACTGGCAGTTGGGGTTTGAATAACAACAGTACCTGGCTCTCCGGGTGAGGCTGGAGGAATGGTATAGGTCGTAGTGACTGAAGCTGGGCCACCGATGTATCTGGTGACGTTTGGAATCTCAGTTGCTGAAGCGGAAACCTCGCTCTCGCCAGGACTGGCAGAAGGCGTCTGGATAACCACTGTTCCTGGCTCTCCAGACGAGGCAGGGGGTATTGTGTATGTTGTCGTAACTGAAGCTGGACCATCGATATATCGAGTAACATTTGGAACGCCGCTTGGCGACTCAGCTAATGCCGTAGATGTCGTGGTATCATCAGGCGCGGCGGAAGGTGTTTGAATGAGGACTGTTCCAGGTTCACCAGATGATGCTGGTGGGATGTAAATGGTTGTTGTGATAGAAGCAGGACCGCCAACATAGCGAGTGACATTGGGGATACCAGTTGCTTCCTCGTCGCTGGAGGTTGCGGTAATAGACGCTGAAGATGTTTCTTCGTCATCAGGGCCAGTTGTAGGCGTCTCAATGATGACCACTCCAGGTTCGCCCGATGCCGTAGGAGGGATGTAGATCGTCGTTGTGACAGAAGCAGGTCCTCCCACGATGCGAGTAATGTTCTGGATTGGCGTAGCAGCTTCGCTTGCAGAAGCCGATGGTGTTTCCTCCCAGGGACCAGCTGTTGGGGTCTGGATTACCACCGTACCAGGCTCATCAGGTTCGCTTGATGCAGGCGGGTAGTAGATTGTTGTTACAGCCGTACCTGGACCGCCGCTGTAGAGAGTGACGTTTTGTCTGCCCACTGGGAAAGCTGTGTTTGCAGCACTCTCACTGGCCGTTGTCTCATCTTCGGGGCCTGATGTTGGCGTCTCAATGATCACAACACCCGGCTCACCAGAGGCAGTTGGTGGGATGTAGATAGTAGTGGTGACCGAAGCAGGACCTCCAACGATACGTGTGATGTAAGCCGGTCCTCCAGTAGAAATGACACTGCTTGTTGCTTCGGGATCTTCCTCTTCAGAACCAGAGGTTGGTGTCTCGATGACAACGGTTCCAGGGCCATCGGGGTCATCAGAAGCTGGTGGGAAGTAGACCGTCCTTGTCGATGAACCAGATCCACCGCTGAAGATTGTAGTGTTGGGCCTGTCCTCAGAGGTAGTAAGAGGTCCTGTCGCTGTTGCAACAAGACTTCCTGTCGTCTCCTCACCAACAAAAGAACCTGTTGGCGTTTCGATGAGTACTGTTCCTGGCTCTCCGGAAGCTGTAGCAGGTATGAAGACGGTTCTTGTAGCTGTACCAGCGACACCAGTGTAAATAGTGACGTTTCCAGGTTCACGAGCAGTTTCCGTGGGACTAGAGCCATCTGGTGTCTCGATAACAATAGTGCCAGCCTGGCCAGATGTGTCGGGTGGAAAATAGATGGTACGGGTAACTGAGACAGGGCCGCCACTGTAGACAGTGACATTAGCGAGAGCATTGTTGGGAGTCTCAAAAGCACCAGTAGGAGTCTCGATGATGACAGTGTCTGGTTCTCCTGATAAGCCTGGAACAGTGATCGTTGTCGCAGCTGTAACAGGGCCACCTTGGGTAATGGTGACCTCTTCCTGACGGTCATCAGTCTCCGAGGGCTCAATGGCAGACTCGGTCGGAGTTTCGATGATAACTGTATCTGGCCCGCCTGATACACCGGGCAAGGTGATTGTAGTTGCAGCTGTGACAGGACCACCCCGGGTAACAGTAACTTCTTCTTGACCACCATCAGTTTCTGATGACTCTCTGCCAGACTCAGTTGGGGTTTCGACGACAACAGTATCTGGCTGACCCGAAGCTCCAGGTATGGTGAGGGTTGTAGCAGCAGTGACTGGACTGCCACGAGTAATTGTAACTTCTCCTTGGGTAGAACCGTCTTCATCAGATGAGCTCATCGGGGTCTCGACCAGTACAGTATCTGGTCCTCCGGACTCACCAGGAATAGTGAGTGTTGTCGCAGCCGTGACGGGTCCTCCTCGTGTAATAGTGACTTCGCGTACAGAGCCAGTTGTAGAAGGCTCATTGTCATCGCCAGAAGAGCCAGTTGGGGTCTCAATCAGTACAGTGTCAGGTCCACCAGATTCGCCGGGAATCGTGAGTGTTGCCGCAGCTGTAACTGGACCACCTCTTGTAATAGTGACTTCGCGTACAGAGCCTGTTGCCGAGGATTGTTCAGCAGACTCAATCGGAACTTCAACCAGAACAGTATCTGGCTCGCCAGAAGCTCCGGGAATAGTAATCGTTATTGCCTCTGTGACGGGACCTCCACTTGTGATAGTAACTTCCTGAACAGCTCCAGTCACTGGCGGCTCCGTACCTCCAGTTGCGGATTCCGTGGGTATCTCAATATAGACCGTGTCTGGTCCTCCAGAAACACCAGGGATTGTGACTGTGGTTGCCGCTGTGACCGGACCGCCTCTCGTAATAGTGACTTCTTGAACGGCTCCAGTTACCGGCGTTTCACTACCCCCGTCAACGGACTCGGTAGGCGTCTCGATATAAACAGTATCTGGCTCTCCCGCTCCGCCAGGAATGGTGACCGTTGTGGCAGCTGTTACAGGGCCACCTCGCGTAATAGTAACCTCCTGAACAGCTCCGGTTCCAACAGACTCTGTAGGTACCTCAATGTAAACAGTATCAGGACCGCCGGATACTCCAGGGACGGTAACTGTAATAGGGGCCGTCACAGGGCCACCCCGAGTGATTGTGACTTCCGGCACACCGGTTTCTGTAGGTCCATCTGAAGACTGCGTGGGTGTTTCAATAAACACAGTATCCGGCCCTCCAGATACTCCGGGGATAGTGACTGTAGTGGCGGCTGTTACAGGACCTCCTCGGGTAATAGTAACCTCTTCAACAACCGCAGTTCCTGCAGAGGACCGAGTGGGCGTCTCAATATAGACAGTATCTGGCCCACCAGACACTCCGGGAATAGTCACTGTCGTTGCAGCAGTTACAGGTCCACCGCGAGTGATAGTGACCGGATCTTGACCCTCAGTTGCAGATGGCACGATCTCGTCAGACGATCGAGGTGTCTCAACAATAACGGTATCCGGCTGACCTGATTCCCCTGGGATTGTAATAGTTGTAGCAGCTGTCACAGGTCCACCTCGAGTAGAAGTAATCGCTTGCAATCCGCCAGTCACTGAAGGCTCATTCGACCTTGTTGGTGTCTCAATGAAAACAGTATCCGGGCCACCAGATACTCCAGGGATAGTAACGGTAGTGGCAGCAGTCACAGGCCCGCCCCGAGTGATGGTAATCTCATCTTGGCTATCTTCAGTTGCAGATGGCTCAACCTCATCAGACGATCGAGGTGTCTCAACTATAACCGTGTCAGGCTGACCTGACTCGCCAGGAATGGTTATAGTAGTTGCTGCTGTCACAGGCCCACCTCTTGTTGAAGTGACTGCTTGAACACCACCAGTTGCAGGAGGTTCATTTGACCTCGTTGGAGTCTCAACGATGACCGTGTCTGGCCCACCCGATTCACCAGGGATGGTGATGGTAGTCGCTGCTGTTACAGGTCCTCCTCTTGTTGAAGTTACCTCTCCCGGGCTGCCTCCGGTTTCTGTTGTTTCAGTATCGGAGGATGTTGTCGGCGTTTCAATAATAACGGTGTCTGGCTGCCCTGACTCGCCAGGAATAGTGATAGTAGTTGCAGCTGTTACCGGTCCTCCTCGAGTAGATGTCACTTCAACTGGACCGTCTCCAGTCGCCGAAGATTCCTCACCATCAGAGGCGGTTGTAGGTGTTTCAACGATAACCGTATCTGGCTGGCCTGATATACCTGGGATGGTGATCGTCGTTGCGGCCGTAACTGGTCCACCACGAGTAGAAGTTACTTCACCTGCATCGCTTCCAGTCACTGATGGCTCCCCATCGGCAGACCCAATTGGTGTCTCGACAAGAACCGTGTCTGGCTCGCCAGGTGCACCGGGGATTGTTACAGTCGTGGCGACTGAAACAGGTCCTCCCCTCGTGATGGTAACACCGGGCGCACCAACAGTTGGTGTTTCAATAATAACAGTATCTGGCTGGCCTGATTGACCCGGAATTGTGATCGTCGTCGCAGCCGTAACTGGTCCACCACGAGTCGAAGTCACTTGGCCTGGGCCGTTAGCACTCTCCGATACCTCAGCATCGCCAGATTCGGTTGGTGATTCGATAAGAACGGTATCAGGTTCACCAGGCGCACCAGGGATAGTGATAGTCGTGGCGACTGAGACAGGTCCCCCTCTGGTGATTGTGACTTCGGGAGCACCGCCAGTGGGCGTCTCGATCAGAACAGTATCCAGCTCACCAGATACAGTAGCAGGAATGGTGATAGTCCTTGTAGCTGTTCCAAACCCTCCACCAAAGATGGTCGTGTATCGTTGGCCAGTCGCTGACTCTGAAGCCTCTGCTTCTGGGCCTGTGGTTGGTGTCTCAACAAGCACGGTATCCGGTTCCCCAGAAATTGTCGCTGATATGTATAATGTTCTAGGCGCAGTTACTGGGCCGCCGCTGAAGATCGTGGTATTGACTCGGCCACCGGCAGTTTCAGTGACTGGGCCTTCGGATTCGGCGCTGGTCTCTTCAACATCACCAGGTAGTGTCTCAATGATGACAGTACCTGACTCTTCTGGGTCATCAGGTGGGAAGTAGAATGTTCCGCCAGCTGTTCCGGGAGCTTGGGTGTAGATAGTGACGTTACCACGACGAGTCGCCGAGCTGCCTGGAGCCTCCGTGATTGTTCCAGTCTCAGGTGCTTCACTTTCCTCGCCACCAGTGGGAGTCTCAATGATGACTGTTCCAGGCTCGCCAGATGCAGTTGGTGGGATATAAACTGTTCTTGTAACACTGGCTGGGCCTCCGCTAATGATGGTGACATTGCCTCCTGATACTGTAGGAGCAATCGTCGTAGCTTCAGCCTCTTCTGAAGTTTCAGTGGCTGAGTTATCATCATCAGAGCCAGTCGGTGTCTCAATAAGAACTGTTCCTACTTCTCCCGATGCCGTTGGTGGGATATAGATAGTTCTCGTAGCTGTGCCAGGACCACCGCTGACAATGGTGACGTTGCGAATACCCGACGGAGCAATTGTTTCAGATGCTTCAACATCCAGTACTGAAGTTGGCGTTTCAATGATAACAGTGCCTTGCTCTCCAGAGGCGGTAGGTGGGATGTAGATGGTCTGTCGAACTGTACCTGGACCTCCACTGTAGATGGTGACATTGCCAGCGGAAGAAGGCGTAGCGATCTGGCTACCAGTTTCGGAAGCGGTGACGCTCTCATCGCTGTCCGTTGCAGACTCTTCGCCAGGTCCCTGAGTCGGAGTCTGGATGATCATAGTGGTAGAATCACCAGATTCACTTGGTGTCAGATAGATCGTTGTAACAGCTGTACCTGGTCCACCACTGTAGACTGTCACGTAAGTCGGGCTGCCAATTGGCGTTTCAACAATGAACGTTCCAGGCTCATCTGAAGCTGTACCAGGAACGAAACGAGTAGTGGCGAAAGTGGCAGATACTCCGGTGTAAACAGTGACGTTGGCAGGCCCAGAGCCTGAACTTGAAGTAGGAGTCTCGATGAGAATTGTATCAAGATCGCCTGAGGCAGTTCCCGGAATAGTGAGCGTTCGAGTGGTTGATGCAGGGCCATCTGTGTAGACAGTCACTGCTCTCACAGCAGGTGTCTCAATGATAACGGTTCCAGGCTCGCCAGATACCGTGGGTGGAATGTAGATAGTGCGAGTACCAGTAGCAGATACCGCACTATAGATAGTTGTGTTTCCTGGACCTCCTTCTTCATCAACTTGAGAAGTCGGTGTTTCGATAACAATAGTTCCAGGCTCATCGGTCACGGTGGCAGGGATATACCGAGTTTGAGTGACTGTAGCAGGACCACCAGTAACGATAGTAACATTTCCAATACCTGTAGCCTGAGGCCCAGCTGTTGGTGTCTCAATGACCACAGTACCGGGCTCTCCTGATGCAGTAGGAGGGATGAAACGAGTGGTTGTTGAGAAAGCAGGTCCGCCGCTATAGATAGTAACGTTGCCTGGGGCTTCAGGGGTGATGATTGCGGTTGGGCCACTAGCACCTGTGCCAGTAATGCTGGAGTCATCATTGCCATCTGGATCAGACGTGGGTGTCTCCACGATGAGTGTACCAGCTTCGTCTGAGGCGGTAGGAGGGATGTAGATAGTTCGAGTTGCAGAGCCTGAACCGCCGCTGAAGATGGTGACGGTAGTTCTCGCCGTGATCTCCTCTGCATCAGTTACAGAGTCTGTCTCAGACTCTTCAATAGCAGTGCTGGTTGGATCAGCATCCGGTCCACCAGTTGGAGTCACGATCACGAGAGTTCCGGCCTCGCCAGATGCTGTTGGAGGAATGTAAGTAGTTCTCGTGACTGCCGCAGGACCTCCACTGAAGATAGTTACTGTAGTCGCCGCCGAGATAGCTTCCTCTTCTGCTGCAGTGGGAGCACCTGTCTCAGTAGAATCTTCAGTCTCCTCTGCGCTGCCATTACCCGTCGGACTAGCTTCAGGGCCATCCATAGGGGTCTCGATGATGAGGGTTCCTGCTTCTCCGGATGCTGTGGGTGGGATATACACTGTTCTGGTTACTGATGCAGGGCCACCACTGAAGATAGTCACTGTTGTTGCAGCAGAGATAACTTCTTCCCCGTCGCCAGTAGCGGTAGATGCAGCCTCTCCTGTCGGTGTCTCAATGATGAGCGTACCCGCCTCTCCAGCAGCTGTAGGCGGGATATACACAGTCCTTGTGACTGAAGCAGGACCGCCACTGAAGATGGTGACAGTAGTCGCAGCAGATATGGCATCTTCGTCACCACTTACAGTTGCTTCGGCTCCATCTGTAGGAGTCTCGATGTACATAGTGCCCGCCTCGCCTGAAGCAGTGGGAGGGACATACACACTTCTCGTAACGGAGCCAGGTACACCACTAAAGATGGTGACAGTCGTTGCGGCAGAGATGGCATCCTCATCATCTGTGACTGTAGCCTGGGTGCCATCGACAGGTGTCTCAATGAACAAAGTACCTGGCTCACCAATCGCTGTAGGAGGCACGTAAACCGTCCTCGTAACTGAGCCTGGAACCCCAGTGTATACAGTGACAGTTCTTGTTGTTGAGATGATTTCTTCACCAGAGGCAGTGGCTTCAGACCCAGTTGGCGTCTCGATGTATAATGTGCCTGCTTCTCCTGAGGCAGTAGGTGGGACATAGACTGTGCGCGTGACAGATCCAGGCCCACCACTAAAAATGGTGACTGTTGTTGCAGCTACGATAGTATCCTCACCATCTCCAGTAGCTGAAGGACCATCAGTGGGCTCTTCCGTCTCCGCACCAGATACAGGAGTCTCAACATAAACAGTACCAGGGTCATTAGGATCTGACGGCGGAACGTAGTAAGTCGTTCGTCCCGGACCAGTACCTGGAACAAAGATCGTAGTGTTTGATCCAGCACCAAGGGTTGGTTGTGCTTCAGGATTGGCTGTAAGACCACCGGTCTGCGTTCTTGGAACAGGTGTCTCGATGATGACAGTTCCTGGAGCCCCGGGTGTCTTGGGAGCTACGTAGAGTGTCGTTCTTGTCGATGCGACACCGGCTCTGAAGATAGTCAAGTTGGCGCTTCCGGTGATAGCGGAGACAGTTGTCTGGAAACCTGGAACTGTTCCTGTTTCTACCAATTCGGTCTGTGAGATTGGTGTCTCAATCACAATAGTCCATGGATCACCGGTAGTTTCTGGCGGGATGAAGATGGTACTTCTCTCTGAGCCTTCTCCAGCTCGGTAGAGAGTAACATTTCCACTGCCACCTTGTGAGACCTCATCAGTGGGAACTGGTGTGATGGAAGCTTCAGGGCCTGTAGCTTCAGCTGAATCATCGGAGGCAGTCTCCTCATCGGCTTCCGAGGCAAGCGTCTCAATGATGTAAGTGCCGAGCTCTCCAGAAGCGGTTGGTGAGATGTATCTAGTGTTTCCAATAGATCCAGTTGCCTCAGTATAGATAGTCACAGCGGTTGTGTCATCAGAAGTGGCAGTGCTTCCGCTCTCATCTCCAGGACCTCCAGTTATAGTATTAGAATCTTCGTCAGAGACTGGTGTCTGGATGATAATGGTTCCAGCCTCACCTGATGCTGTAGGTGGGATATACAGAGTGATTCTTTCTGAGGCAGTGCCTGAACTGTAGACCGTCACATTGGGTCTGACACCAGGTTCAAGGCCGGTAGTCTGGCTCCCGCCGTCACTACCTCCCGTCTCTCCTTCATCAGGTTCGGAGACCGGAGTCTCGATGATGATTGTGCCAGCCTCGCCAGAGGCGGTGGGAGGGATGTATATAGTCCTCCTCTCTGACGCAGTACCGGAGCTGTAAACCGTGACATTGGCAATACCAGCTGGGGTTCCAGCTGTAGGACCACTGCCATCTTCAGCACTCTCAGTAGCATCAGTATCAGCTTCAGAGACAGGAGTCTCAATAATGATATACCCATCTCCATCTGACGCAGTAGGAGGCACATAGATAGTAATTCTGCTGGAAGCAGTACCAGAGCTATAAACCGTGATGTTCGGCCTAACACCAGCGGTTTCAAGACCAGTTTCCGCAGCAGTTGCAGTAGCTGGCAATTCTGTCCCAGTTGGCGTCTCAATAACAATGGTGCCAGGCTCATTGGCAAATCTGGGGGGTACATAAAGAGTCCTTCTTGCAGGGCTGGATCCAGCTCTAAAGATAGTGACATTGGTGTTACCGCCGATAGCAGATGTGGTAGCAAGAACATCGTCGTCTCCGCGAGCAGTTGCAGCTTCGGATTGAGTCTCTGAAACTGGCGTCTCGATGACGGCTGTCCATGGATCGTTGGATGCTTGGGGAGGGACGTAGAGTGTTGTTCGGGCTGGGCCACGGCCTGCTCTGAAGACGGTGATGGTTACCAATGCACCATCAGGAGCGTCAGTGGTCAAGCTATTGTCTGCTGGGATGCCAGCAGTAGGGTTTCCACCAGATGCGTCGGTGATGGTCTGTCCATCTTCATCAGTGCTGGGACCAGCTCCAGATCCCGAACCATCAGAAGTAACATCAGGGCCAGATGTCTCGCTTTCCGCGTCGGCGTCTGTCTCAGAAGGCTCGGCACCTGCTTCATCTGTGGTGCTGGCGCCATCATCATCATCATCACCTGACGAGCCACTCTGCGATGGCTCTGTAGAAGCTCCAGTGCTAGTCTCATCCGGATCTGCAGATCCTGTCTCAGACGCTTCGTCACTCGACGAGTTCGAAGCAGCATCAGGCTCAGAAGTCTCAGTGCCAGTGGGCCCATCTGTACCAGTCTCTCCCGAGCCAGGGTCAAGGCCGCCATCTGATGATGGCGCAGCTTGCGAACCAGTAGGGACTTCGAATCCTTGTGTTGCACCCGAGGACTCCTCATCGGTTGCTGTAGATAGCAGATTAGAGTCAGGAAGGGGGCCAGTTGATACCGCAGTCGGCAGTGGTAGCTCAGGAGACTCAAACGATAAGTCACTCATGGCGGGTATGCCTTCGACTCCGCCCGTGAGTGACTGACTGCTGGATTCGGTCTCTGGCAATGGATCGGTGGGAACTGGCACTTGGGGAGAGATCAAACTGGTGTCTCCATCCTCAGATTGAGCAGTACCAGTAGCATCTCCTGTCTCGCGAGCATCATCAGATGCCGTCTCAGAGCCAGGATCTCTAGAAGCGGCGGAGGTCTCAGCATCAGAGTCGTCGCTCACAGAGCTCTCGCCCGCACTTCCAGACGTAGCACCAGCTGCAGGTCCTCCAGCGAGCGACTCTCCACTAGATGTCGTCGCGTCATCATCAACATCAATAGCTGTAGTTTGTGAATTTGACCCAGCAGTGGTTGAGCCTCCAACTCCTGCAGCTGGCTGGCCTGTCAATCCGGCACCACTGCTTGTCGCCGAGCGAGTCGACGTCTCACCAGGTTGTTCCACACGCTCTGACTCTGGAACACTCTGGGTACCAATTAGAGTCTCAAAGTTGATCTCTTCACTTGTTCTTGAGGCACTTGAGCTCTGGCCTGTAGCCTGCGACACTACTGATGTACCTGTGCTCGAGCCCCGAGCTGCATCAGACTGGGAGCTTCCAGCATCCGCCACAGATGAACCATCGGGCGACGCAGTTGAAGTTCTAGACCCTGAGGATCCGGCTGCGGCTCCTGATGTTGACGAGCTACCGCTATCTCTGGTGTTTGCACCAGGTGATGTGCCTCCAGATGTTGCAGCGCTAGATCTTGCTGAGACTGATGAAGAGCCTGCGCCAACAGCGCTGGTTGACTGTGATCCACTGGAAGCTCGTGATGCCTGTGATGTCGCCTCATCGTCTTCCGAAGCGGCACCGCCGTTGTTCCCTGCCGCAGTTGATCCAGGTTCACCTTCGACAACGCCCGATACTGAGCTAGTAGCCCTGCTACTTCTCTGTGAGGCCTGCGATGTTCCTCCAGCTTCATCATCACCAGGGTTAGTCGATATGACAGCTGGTCTCGCAGTGAAACGAGTACCTGACGAAGAAGTTGCTGCAACAGGCCTTTGCGCACTAGTGGATTGAGAGGCACTTGACCTTTGGGCCGAGCGGGTAGATGAGCTCTGGGCAGCGTTTCCGGCAGATGACGTAGCTTCCTCTGCATCAGAGCCAGGATCATTTGTTACGACAGGACCACTATCGACAATAGTAGTCTCTCCATTTGAAGATCGAGAAACTTGTCCTGAAGTCGAAGTCCTGCTGCGCGTAGAGGTCAGACCACTACCTCCAGGACGAACGCGCGTGTCTACTGTACCAGTATAACCCGAGCTTGATGAAGCACCAGCTCGTCTAGTACTTGAAGGACTTCCAGGAGCCTGTGTAGTTTGTGGGGAATCAGACTCGACTCCAGAAGCAGCTCCGCCAGCAGTACCGGCCGCAGACCCTGTAGACCGGCTGTTTGAAGGGCGTCTGAATGTCGTTCTATCGGTAGCTGCAGTTCCACCGCCACCTAGCCCTTCGACTCCAGCTGTGAGACGGCCGCTGATGGTTGATCGACGAGTCCTCTGAGGTTCGACATTGGTGAGAGTCTCGACGACATCAGCGGTAATGGTGAATACAGTGCTGCTGGATGTAACAACGTAGGTCGAAGGCGATGTTCGAACGATTGGTGCTCGAGTGCTTGAACGCCGAGAAGTACTCCCTCTTCGCGATGAAGATGACTGACCCGAACCACCATTTGCTCCTCCTCCAGCATTATTTCCTCCTGATCCAGAGTCACCGTCTCCATCTCCGCTGGAACCTTTACCGCCATTAGTCGATCCAGTACCACCAGAGCTTCCATTGCCAGAATCTGAGCCGCCCTCTGAGCCACCGCCTTCAGACTCAGTATCTCCCGATGTTGGTCCATCATTACCTCCAGAGCCACCACTAGAAGCGCCCTTGGTGCTTGAAGAAGAGCCAGCAGATCGTGTACCACTGCCACCCTGGCCGCCCTCACTATCGGAACCACCTTGAGCTCCGCCTTGGGTTCCTCCCGAGCCACCGCTTCCGGCGGTATGAGATCCACCAGAGCTTGATGATCCGCCGTTGCCAGAGTTATTGCCGTTGTTTGACCCTGAGGATCCTCCGCTGCCTGATGCACCGTCACCATCATCGCCTCCCGATCCAGAGCCGGAACCCTGACCATCGCCTTTTGCAGGGACCTCGTTAGTTCCAGAGGAACCCCCATTGCTGGAGCTGCCTCCTTGTCCAGGTGAGCTACCACTCCCGCTGTTGGATGCACCTCCAGATCCTCCATTGTTGGAGCTCCCTCCACTTCCATTCTGGCCATTTCCGCCGCTCGATGAGCCAGAACCACCACCTGAACTACCTTGGTTCCCGCCACTAAATCCTCCAGTAGCCTGGGCACCATTATCGCCGCCACCGTTGTTGCCAGTCTGCGGATTATTGGGGTCTTCAGGTGTCAGAACAAGGACAGTACCGGGGTTTCCGCCCTCAGGTGGAATAGTAAGCGTCTGTCGCGGTCCTGAATCATCGTCGCCACCTTGACCTGGTTGGCCCTGGACATCGCCAGAGCCATCCCCAGGCCCTGATCCTCCATTTGACCCGCCATCAGAACCGCTTCCTGAGCCACCAAGTCCCATGGGTACACCACGAGTAATAGTCGTATAAGATACCGAACCTTGCGGACGGGTTCGCGTCGGTTGGAAAGCCGTTCCATCTCCCCCATCATTCCAACCCGGTGGTGTTTGTATGAGTACAGTTCCGGGCTTGGTACCAGTCGGTGGAATGGTAGTTCGTATAGGTGCTGTCGGAGTGACACTTCCTTCGGCCGGCTCGATGATAGTCACGTAGCCGGTCGCATAGGCCGGTTGGAGTGTGATCGTTTGACCAGCGAGTCCCAAAGCACCCAGTGTGTTAGGGGTCAAAGGCTCAAGGGCCAATGGCCTCAGAGTTCCTGGTACAGGTGTTTGGATGATTACAGTACCAGGGTTTCCATTGCTCGGTGGTACTGTTAGTCGAATTGGGACAGTTCCGCTGAAGGCTGTACCCGCCGGTTCAATCACAGTGACATAGTCGCCATCTTGTGCAGGTTCGAGAGTAAGGCCTTGTAGGCTTCCCCCATTGAGTGCTGATGTGGGGACATTAATGATGACCGATCCACGGTTCGTTCCAGTCGGTGAAATCGTAATTAGTTGCAGCGACGCCAATGTTCCGGTCAGTGGTTGAAGAACCGTCACATAACCACTCAACTCCTTCGGCTCAAGCATAAGAGGCTGCAACACACCCGGCGTTGCATCATCAACCCGCGCCTCCGGCGTCTCAATAATAATCTGCCCCGGCTGTCCACTCCTCGGCGGAACAACCTGCGTAATAGGCGCAGAAATCGGATTCGGCCCTGAATGCGGTCTAATAATAATAACATAAGACCTATCATCCGTCGCAGGGATGACTACATTCTCTGGCGCCGAAGAACCGCCTGGTTGTTCAACAATAACAATACCAGGCTCGTCGCCCTGCGGTGGAACAGTATACTGCGTTGTTACTGAGCCTCTGTAGGGCTTTGTGATGGTGATATAATCGGGATCGGCAAGGACTGGATAGACCGAAACATATGTGTAACAAACACCTGAGAACTCATTGTTAATACCGAGAACTGACCTATCATTCTGAACCCCAAACTGGGCACGCGCCAGGCTGGCGAAGAGTAGGTGGCTGAGCACCTGGTACAAATGCCGCATTGTAAGCGGTTTATTAATCGTGCATTAAAAGTAAATGAGAGATAAGAATCGTATGCGCGCAAGGTAAGTTACCTATGTTGAAGCAACACGCGCGAAAAGATCGCGGGTGAGAGCTACCAGAGGATTATAAAACTGCTGATCAGTCCCCCATATCCGCATTCAGACTGTGCTTTCGGGTGTAATCATGATGCAGAAATCTCGTGCGTATACAAAGACATTGTCAGGCTGAATTTGGGTTGCTGAGGCGGAAGCCTTCATGCCAGGGCTGCCACACCCGCAGCGGATCGATGCCGTTTTCCATTCTGTCAAGCACGTTCCTGCAGAGGCATTGTGTAAGAGACACTCCGGTTCAAAAGCCTGTTGGTCAGGGTGTTGTAGCTGGAATGCTGTTGTTGAAAAGACGACCAACTGGCATTGCCTTGTGGAGTGAAAGCAACGCAGCCAGTGAGAGCTTATGAAGTGGGATTTGTGCCTGTGTGCCTGGGTGTGTATGCAAGGTCCCGTTCAGCACTTCCACCAACGTTGAGGCTTATGCAGATGATGTGCAGATCTTATGTAAGTGGCAATGGAATGGACGGATATAGCAAGTTGACTCTGGACATAATCATAGATCATTAAAACAGATATAATGTATCATTTACCTCACGCAGTACAAGTCATTATGATAATACCTTCTAAACCCGGTCAGTCAAAGTCGAGACTTGAGATTGATTCAGATGCTGGCAGGTGGATATGATGTCTCACACAGCTTGGACACCTGACGTTACACTAACAACACTCCACTACGGAAGCCAGATCCTTAGCCTACCAAGCTACGATTTTGACAGAAGCTTATCTAACACGTCAACTGCGAGCCCAAAGCCCTGAACTCGCCTATCTCTCAGCTTCACGCACCAAATCGAAGTGTAGCTGAAGTCTGGCGGCCGCCCGGAGTGCATAACTTAATTCACCAGCACATTCCAGGCTGTCTGTGACTTTTAAGATGAGGTTAACAAGGATGAGTCAAAGCTCCACCGTTGCGGCAACGGACGTTTTTGTTTGGCTAGTCGCGGAGAGATTTGGCCGCGTCCGTCTAGTCGATCTGTGGCTGATCTCAATAAGAATCGAGACCGTGACGTTAGAGATTGTGATAAGTGACCGGAAACAACCAATGGCGGTTCAGGGTCTGATGAGGTTGTGTTACACAAGAGTCCATTTTCGGAGGGTATTGACACTATGTGATGCAATATGAAATCATGCCTTAAGACTTTCTCAACATTGCCCTTTCCTCCCGATTAGTTATATATTGGGCCTGCAAATTGAGCGTTGCTGCATAAGAGCGCGTTTGTGACCCTGGGATTCTCGGCTGTTCCCGAAGATCTCGGCCTAGGCCAACGCCCTTTCACAGAAAAGCATCGAGGGCGGGCTAAATTCCCCTCTTCCAATTCATAAACTAGATCATCTTATACTCAATCATGAGTCTAGGCCAGGACTAAGTCTCATCCGTGTTCAACATTCTTGGCATCCGAGTGGCCCGGATCAGCGTCGATCTTTTGTCTCAGTCTTGGCAATATGAGCTTCTGCTGGCCTAAATGGTGTATGCCAAGCCTCGTTGCTATGTAATAAAAGCAGAATCATCTCGAGTGAGACTGTTGTGACGTCCATTGGTACAACAATTTTGCAAGTAAATCGGTCATTTTGTACAAAGAATTGTCGAGTATAATGACATGATCTGGTGCTGAAGCATTGAGGCTTGAGCTCCAAGTACCCGGCTCTTGTTGAGATTCCCCTGTCAGATTCGCCATACATCAACCGCTTTCTGATGCCTGATCGAAACCTTATTCTTGTCCCTGTAATCTGATCTCGACTACCACCAATAGGAACTCTCTTGGCTCCAGATCATGTGGAATCACACATCACAGATCTTGATTAAGCTCAAGCTGGACATACATGGAAGGAGATGACTTCTCTCGATTGAACACCTTTCTCAGGACGGAAGAACACGTTGAGGCCAGCATCTAGCCGTAACTCCCTGACTTCGACGTCAAAACGCTGATGAATATATCTTCTTAGCGGCGCGTAGATTCACCGTTGAAGGGGACCAACTGCTCTCAGAGGTCTCAACAGTAAAGACCATTGCCAGCTTAACCCGGGCAGCAGATCAGGCACTCAACGCCACTTCAGCCAGGGTAAGTGAGAAGATCCGAACCTAAAGTTTAAGATAAGGTTATGTTACATGTCAAATGAGGCTGATTACGGGGATTTCACTCGGGAATGCGACAAGATTGACGCTAACCATTCTTGTCGGGTATTGAACGGAAACGAACCGCACTTTAAGATAGTGGCTTGATGTGTACACCACTGATCGCAATTCATTCGCTTCCTTGGCCAATCGATGGCGACGACAGGTCTGGAGTAAAGTGAGCTTAAATGTCTTCAGCGGAAGTATGGATGGGAGGTGTTCATCCGGGCCTCAAGATGCCCGGTGTTGGTACAGGGTAAGCAATGTTGATTTAACATTTAGTATGGCGATGTAAGATTTCCCATTGAATAGTTGATTAGGTGGGCAATAGTGTGGACTGATTTAACTGACTTGGAAATCGAACGGGGTTTGAGAAATAATGAACATCTAAAACATATAGCTTAAAGCCTTTGCCTTTTGTTGTTAATTTGGTGCTGAAGCAACCTTGATATTTCCATCATCATGAGAATATAATTTCCCTTAACGTATAGTTGTCCTTTCAGGTACACCCACAGAGCTCCTGCGAAGTAGTTCTAATTAAGGAGATTTATAACAGCTATCCAGGTATACATATACATTTGTCCACCGCCCGAATTACCGTGCGACTCTGCATTGAGATGATCTTGAACACAAATCTCATCAGTTGCTTCTAACCAATCAGAGCCACGCCCGGTTAGCTCAATCGGTAGAGCGTGAGACTCTTACGAGTACGCGATCTCAAGGTTGCGGGTTCGACCCCCGCATCGGGCTGTTCCTATAAAACGATTGCGAGCAATAGCGAGGCATATCCTTTTTTGACTTTATCCCTGCCAGATAAATAGAATTTTCATTTTTATGATATCTGAAGTAAGGGTCTTGTGCCAATCCGATATGCTGTTGAATGCTGACTTCGAGTGTGACCTTCCTTTTTCAGCAACATGTAAGCCCCCTCTTGATATCACAAAGTCAACAAGTATCATCTCACTCAAAGTTATCACCAAACATATCCTCCAGGAAAGGTTATCTCATAATGGAAAACCACACCTCTGTGAAGTCACTAATCAATCCCGATCTGCTAATGCAGCTCACGGATGCCTATCTTCCTTATTCTAAAACCGAAGATCTTGACTTTACTATTGCCCAGTCAGACGCCTTCAGCGCAAACTTCAAGAAAGTATGCCAAGAAAACAAAGCAAGAGATGCACTTATAGCACTCAGTCACCTCAGTCACAATGGCGTACTCCCAACTCCTATAGAACTGGACCTCATGTCCTTTCTCCCAGAGCCATCTTGCTCAGAATTCCCGCAACAATGCTTCGGACTTCAGTTGCTTCTTGATCAAGCATCGAGAAGCCTCCTAACTGGAATCGAAGCTCGTTGGCAGGTTGCATACTTTGGACCTTTGGCAAGACGTCTTGCTGGACAGTGGTATGCACTACCTCATCATCTACGTCCGCATTCATGGCAGAGGTGGAAGAATGATGTAGGCGTTACTAGTTTCAGTTACTGGGTTTCGACGCAAGTCATGTGGGCTGCCCCTTTTCTTCACGCCGAAGATCTAGGGAGTCAAGAGATTGGATTGGAGTTATCAAACGACTTACGTCAAGCTGTTGAAGAATACACGGGAACAAAAGATCCGCACCGGGAGTCAAGGGATACGACACTGAAAGATGATCTGCTTTTCATAAGAGAGGTTGTCAAGAGCCCGCCAAAAGACGATGAGGGTGCTATCAGTATGGCGGCTTGGACGTACTGGTGGTGCATGATCCTGGACGCTCACTGGCCTATCATCGCGCGATTTGGTCGCTATCCTTACCGCAATGCTGCCTTTGGTAGGCCTAGTACAAAGGAGGAAGAGAAATGGTTGGACGATATAAATCACTTTTCTGAAGCATCTCCTGAAATTGCTAAACGAATCCAGGAAGATGTTGAGAAGAGTCGGTGGACTCCACTTGAAGAGAGTTGATCTGCGGTACACTGTTGTGAATTGTTTAGGCTGAGTTTTATGTATCAAGAACTAGCTGCAACTGTTTTATGCGAGTCACTTTCGGATGAGATGAGTGAACTAGTTAAGTAACGCCACACAATAAACGGAGACCTGTATGTCACTAAACTTCGTAAGTTCAGCGTGGTGTGAGGTTGTATATCTCGACCTTTTGCCATCGTTGCTTGGCTATCACCGATTTCATAACCCTATTCCTATCACAAGTGAGATAATGGTAGATTGAAACATGCTCCTGTACTACCTGAAGATGAAGATGATAGAGAAACTGGTGCTCAAGCTTAGATACCTCGGCAGTACTGAGGCCTCTAGTATCTACTCCTTGAACATGCCAGGACTTAAACATACTCAAACCTGAGAAGATGATAAGCTGGCGAGCTGATCTTGAGCGATTGCGTAGGTGGTTGATATGCTGACTAAATTGTGGTTTGAGAGTGTTGTTTTGCCCAGCTGATAGGTGATGCCTGCGTCGCGCCCCTTACCTCGAACTCAAACATCGAACCACAGCCTCGATCTCCCTCAAATATACAACACAAAACGTATGCGGCATTTCAAAAGATTGCTAATCAAGCTGTGCGTAATCTAGGCGGAGCGATCGAGTCAACAACAACGCCCTCAGTCTCGTATTCGGCCTGTAAAGGTGTAGCACATCATAGCCACGATTGGCAGTTTCGGAATTAAAGTTGTCTCTCCATTCTCCCTATGACGAATATTCCCCTGAGCGCGATTAAATCACAGCATTGCCACGTTTTGCAAAAACCAGCTTTATTAATCTTTCCTCACCCGCAAAAAATCCAATCGGACCCGGGAAAAGTGGAGAAACGGGCCCGAGACGGACTCCGATAACTTGATGCGGGGCAGACGCAAATCTTGAATTTTAAGCTGTGAGATCAAAAATTAGAGTGCACGGAACCAAGCTGCTGGGTTTCTAATGACGTTAAAGCGTCTTCTGTGCAGATTCTCGAAATGGATGGAATTTCTTGGTAGAATCAATGCGATGTAAAGTCGTATCATGTTTTCATATCGGTTAGGGGCACGACGGGTTCTTCGATGGGCCCGGCAGGGAGGTGCATCAACAAACGATTGACCAATTGAAGCGCCAGCCCTGTGATGCTCACTAAGCTACTTCTGGCTTAGGGGCTCCAGTTGTCAAGAGGAGTGGAGCTCGAAATTTACCGAAGACTCTTGATCCCCCAGCTTTTTCACAACGACATGTCTGGTGTAACTCTCTGTTCTTAGTGAGGTCTATTGACATACGATACAACACCACGTATTATACATACGAACTCATTTCGAAATGAGAGCGATAGATTATTAGTGATTCCCAGCTATATGCCAACATGAGATGTTTTCCTTTAACGCCATCCTCCAGTTCACTTATACCGTTCCAAAGGTATACCGTCCATGAAGCCATGAACTCCCCAACCCAAACGCCATCCATATCCAAATAACTTAATGATACACAGCCTGATGCCTCTCATCAGGACTCGAAACCGACGTCTTCTCGCTCTCAGGCGGCGGACTCGAATTGCTATCAGCAGGACTACTCGACTCGCTCCCCGTCCCCGTAGCCAGCGCATCGTACATCAAACTCTTCTGCACACAAGTACATCTCTTCAACAGCTCTTCACATCTCTCCAATCTTGCAAGTAACTCCTTAGTAGGTTTGCGACGAGTACGCTTAGGAGCAGGTGTACTCGGAATACACTCTATTTTCGCCTACCGTCATTAGTCTTCATCTTATAAAGGTGTCATGTAAGCTTACCTTGATGCAAAAAGAACATGGGCTTTTTCGGTCACATTTCTTCTTGCGCTGTTGACATAGCACACAAGCTAGAATTCTCGGTGGTCGTTGTTGTTCGGGTGCCATTGTGTTATACGACAAGCCACTAGCCGTTCGAATCGAAATGCAGAGAAAGATGAAGGTATTCCCAAAAATGGTTTGTATCTCGGTCTAGGAACGAAATTCTGTCCGAGGCGGACGAACTGGGGTATTTGCTGCATACGCTTGTCTCCCCCAATTCTGGTGCACTCGTAGAAGCGGACTCTTGTCAGGACCCGAGTGGGTATCGGGGTCGGAGACTCGACGGGATCCGTGTATCGACAACCCGGATCCACAACACCATTCGGTGTGACGGGCGTGAGAGCACCCCCGTCACAATGGTATTAAGACCCTGCGAGGAACCTACAGTCTCATTACGGAGTCACCTTTCTTATTCTATACTACGTTTTATCTTTGTTATATCCCTTCCTTTACATTAGTATACAAACTTTAATAATTCTCCTAATTCGAACCAGAAACTGTATGTAACTTCAGAGTCCACTTGCTTAGAGTTTACAGGAGTTGACAAGGTACAGATATAAGCTTATACGGCTAGACTTCCAAGTCTCGCTAGTATGGCTGCTTCTCATCTTCCAGGTGAGGCACGCTCAGAGCACAGCAGCCACGACACCATCGTCGACATGGATACCACTCCGAACGAGAAGCCCCCCGCTCCCAAGGACGACAAGACAAGCTCCAGCGACGATGAGATCGAGCAGGAGCAGAGCGAGGAGATGGTCCGCCGCCACTCCATCGTCCGCGATCTAGCCCGTCAGTACACCAACACATCAGCGCACTTCAACGGCAGCCACGCAGATCTCTTCAACGCAGCCGATGCCGATTCACCCCTTAACCCGCACAGTGAGAACTTCAACGCCAGAGCTTGGGCGAAAGCCATGGCTAAGTCAATGGGCGAGCATGGATCTGGGTTTCGACAGAGCGGCATTTGCTTCCAGGACATGAACGTCTTTGGCTACGGCGCTGAGACAGATTACCAGAAGGACGTTGGTAACATCTGGCTCAGTCTTCCAAACATGGCACGCAGCATCGTCTCACCCACCGCTGGAAAGCGCCGCATCGACATCCTTCGTGGTTTCGACGGTGTCGTCAACGCCGGAGAAATGCTCGTTGTTCTCGGTCCCCCCGGTTCAGGATGCTCTACATTCCTCAAATCAGTGTCCGGCGAGACAAACGGCATCTACATCGACGACAGCACATACTTCAACTACAACGGTGTCCCCGCCCACGAGATGCACAAGCACCACAAGGGTGAGACTATCTACACCGCCGAGGTCGACGTTCACTTCCCCATGCTCTCAGTCGGCGACACACTCACCTTCGCCGCGCGCGCAAGATGTCCCCAGAACTTACCGCCCAACATCGACCACAACCAGTACAGCGACCACATGCGCGATGTCGTCATGGCCATGTACGGCATCAGCCATACCATCAACACGCAGGTTGGCGACAACTACATCCGCGGTGTTTCAGGAGGTGAACGAAAGCGCGTGACCATCGCAGAGGCAACACTCTCCAACGCACCCTTCCAATGCTGGGATAACTCAACCCGCGGTTTGGATTCGGCCAACGCGATTGAGTTCTGCAAAACCCTGCGCTTACAATCTGAACTCTTCGGCCAGACGTGCGCTGTCTCGATCTATCAGGCTCCCCAGTCTGCATACGATCTCTTCGACAAGGCCCTCGTTCTCTACGAAGGACGCCAGATCTTCTTCGGCCCCGCAGATGAAGCGAAGCAGTACTTTATCAACCTCGGCTTCGAATGTCCCGATCGTCAAACAACGCCCGACTTCCTCACCTCCATGACCGCACCGGCCGAGCGCGTCATCCGCCCAGGCTTCGAGAACAAGGTCCCACGCACCCCTGATGAGTTCGCCGCGCGCTGGAAGGAATCCCGCGAGTACCAGATCGTCCGCGCTGATATCGAGACCTACAAGAGTCTCTACCCGCTGAACGGTTCCAGCGCCGAGGCTTTCCGTGAGAACAAAAAGTCAGCACAAGCCAAAGGTCAACGTCTCAAGTCCCCCTTCACACTGTCCTACATGCAACAAGTCAACCTGTGTCTCTGGCGCGGCTGGAAGCGTCTCAAGGGTTCACCAGGCGTAACCATCTTTGCCCTCATAGCCAACACTTGCACCGCGCTCATCGCCTCTTCACTGTTCTACAACATGAAGCCCACGACCAGCGACTTCTTTAAGCGCGGTGCTGTTCTCTTCCTTGCCGTGTTGATGAATGCCTTCGCTTCTGCCCTCGAGATTCTGACGCAGTACTCCCAACGACCTATTGTTGAGAAACACTCACGCTATGCCTTCTACCATGCCTCTGCTGAGGCGTTTGCTTCGATCTTGGTTGATATGCCGTATAAGATCAGTAATAGTATTCTGTTCAATGTCACTCTTTATTTCATGACGAATCTTAACAGGGATGCGGGGGCGTTCTTTTTCTACCTCCTTGTTTCGTTCATCATGGTCCTCGCCATGTCTGGTATTTTCCGATCTATGTAAGTCTCCCTTCACATCATCCCCTAAAATGATTCACGGCTGACAGGTTTAGTGCTTCACTCTCTCGTACACTCTCACAGGCCATGGTTCCCGCTTCGCTGCTGATCCTCGCCCTCGTCATCTTCGCCGGCTTCGTCATCCCAACGGACTACATGCTCGGATGGTGTCGATGGATCAATTACCTCGACCCAGTAGCCTACGCCTTTGAGTCCCTCATGGTCAACGAATTCTCCGGTCGCAACTTTACATGCACAGCCTTCATCCCCAGCAACTCAGTCTCTGGCTATGAAGACGTCGGCGGTCTCAACCGAGCTTGTTCCACTGTCGGCAGCATTCCTGGCGAGAGCTTCATTAACGGCGATCGCTACCTCAACACTCAGTACAAGTACTACCACGCCCACAAGTGGCGCAACGTCGGTATCCTCATCGCCATGACCATCTTCAACCACGTCGTCTACATCGTCGCTACCGAGTACATCTCTGCCAAGAAGTCAAAGGGTGAAGTCCTCGTCTTCCGTCACGGCCACCTCCCCGCTTCCACCAAGAGCAAATCCGATCCCGAGTCCGCTGTTTCCGGCCCTGTTCCCACTGCTGAGAAGTTCAACAACGAGGCTGCCAACATCCAAGGATCCACTAGCGTCTTCCACTGGAACAACGTCTGCTACGACATCAAGATCAAGGGTGAACCACGACGAATTCTCGACAACGTTGACGGATGGGTCAAGCCAGGAACATTGACTGCTCTCATGGGTGTATCCGGTGCCGGAAAGACTACTCTCCTCGACTGTCTCGCCGATCGAATCTCAATGGGCGTCATCACAGGTGAAATGCTCGTTGACGGCAAAATCCGCGATTCATCGTTCCAGCGAAAGACAGGTTACGTGCAACAGCAAGATCTTCATCTCGAGACCAGCACCGTCCGTGAAGCCCTTACGTTCTCCGCCCTCCTCCGCCAGCCCGCCTCTACCCCCCGCGCCGAGAAGATCGCCTACGTCGACGAAGTCATCAAGCTGCTCGACATGCAAGAGTATGCCGATGCCGTCGTCGGTGTCCTCGGCGAGGGTCTCAACGTAGAACAGCGCAAGCGCCTCACCATCGGCGTCGAGCTCGCCGCCAAGCCTCCCCTGCTCCTCTTCGTCGACGAACCTACTTCCGGTCTTGACTCGCAGACTTCCTGGGCCATTCTCGACCTCCTCGAGAAGCTCTCCAAGGCAGGCCAGTCTATCCTGTGTACCATCCACCAACCGTCTGCTATGCTCTTCCAGCGCTTCGACCGTCTTCTATTCCTCGCCAAGGGCGGACGCACTATCTACTTTGGCGACATCGGCGAGAACTCTGAGACCCTAACCAACTACTTCGTCAAGAACGGTTCTGATCCTTGTCCCAAGGGTGACAACCCTGCTGAGTGGATGCTTGAGGTCATTGGCGCTGCGCCTGGTTCACACACTGAGATCGATTGGCACCAAACTTGGCGACAGAGTCCTGAGTATCAGGAGGTTCAGACTGAGCTTCAACGTCTCAAGGCCGAGGGCAGTGCTCACAATGAACCTCACGACAAGAACTCCGAGTCGTACCGGGAATTCGCTGCGCCTTTCTGGGAGCAGCTTCGCATTGCTAGTCTCCGTGTCTTCCAGCAGTACTGGCGCACTCCTTCTTACATCTACTCCAAGGCTGCCCTATGTATCCAAGTTGGTCTCTTCATCGGTCTCGTCTTCCTCAACGCTCCTCTGTCAATTCAAGGCTTGCAGAACCAGATGTTCGCCATCTTCCAAGTTCTCACAGTCTTTGGTCAATTGGTTCAGATGCAGGTAAGTTTTGATTCACTCCCCATACCTCCAACGCTCACTAACATTACTAGATGCCTCACTTCGTCACCCAACGCTCCCTCTACGAAGTCCGTGAACGCCCCTCCAAGACCTACAGCTGGAAAGTCTTCATGCTCTCCCAAGTCTTCGCCGAGATCCCCTGGAACAGTCTCATGTCCGTCTTCATGTTCGTCTGCATCTACTACCCGGTCGGCTTCCAAAAGAACGCCGAAGCAGCTGGCCAGACTGCCGAGCGCGGTGCTCTCATGTGGCTTCTCTTCTGGCAGTTCCTCGTCTTCACGTGTACCTTTGCCCACATGTGTATCGCCATCACCGACACTGCTGAGGCAGGTGGTAACCTTGCCAACGTCATCTTCATGATGTGCCTGTTCTTCTGTGGTGTCTTGGCCTCGCCCAATAACATGCCCGGCTTCTGGATCTGGATGTATCGAGTATCGCCGTTTACGTATCTCGTCTCGGCGATTTTATCGACGGGTATAGCCAACACGGAGGTTACGTGCGCGGCCAACGAGTACACGGTCATGCAGCCTCTCAACGGCACAACCTGCGGAGATTATCTCCAGAAGTTCGCCGACACGGCTGGTGGCTACGTCTTCAACCCCGACGCGACATCTGACTGTCAATTCTGCTCCATCAAGTCCACCAACACGTTCCTCACGGCTATCAGCGCGAGCTACGAGCACCGATGGAGGGACTTTGGCATCGGAATGGTGTACATCGTTGTCAACATTGCAGGAGCTCTGTTCCTGTACTGGCTTGTTCGCATGCCCAAGAACAAGAACAAGAAGAAGCAGGAGTAGATACACAATCGAGCTTCGGCTCTTTTTTTATTTTTATTTTGGTACAAGGATTTGTTTTAGAGAAGTACTATAGACTGGTTTGGGTTTTTTACTTTAGAATAGCAATCATCGAGTGCCGATATTAGACTTGTAGGAAGCTCAATAGCACATCGTCAATACATTACGCTCTCTACCCGCCACTTGAGTGCCTCAGTGATTATCAGATCACGTTTGAGTCACTACTAATGTGAATAAGTATCCTCTTCCTGTTCTGAGCCATGAGTACCAGCCGCTGTCAAGATGGACCCTCAGTCCCACTGTTTCCTTAGCTCCCGGTATTTCCTACGTTGCCGATATTACCGATATAACCACCAGAATCCACCGTTTGAGATTGAGAAATGTGTCATTTCTGAACCAAACCGCGGCAAGTAACGCTGATCACGCCTGAATGAGTCGCATGTGTAACTTGTAGGGCTGAGGGGGTGGGAGTTTGTAAGAGAATTGGCTGGTAAAACTGGGGTTGACATAAATATCGAAACACCTGCAGACGCAGTGCCATCATTGAACTGGCACGAGGTCAATTGTTTTCAGTGCTATTATGGCTCAATTGAAACTGATTCATGCCACTGATTAATCTAGCATACTCAGCTTATGACAATGGTATACACGTTGAGTGAAAATACTTCCTAAGCCTCGGTCCAATGGAGGAGACTGATCATGCAGTTTGCTTCACGATATTACAGCAAGCAACAGCAGTATCCCTCGCGCCCTTTTGTTAACAGGCAAACACAAAACCCTGATTTATAAACAAATATTCATATCACGTCTTACAAAACCTCCATCCATGGTAATTTGTCCATCCCCCTCCAATCATCTCCCCCCACAACGTCCGGCCGAGTATCCAGATGCCGGGAAGATCTGCTCCATTCGGAGGATGAACCCCGCGGGCCGCAAACATTCCCGCCTCAACCCCGACCCCAGAGTCACTGATACATAAAACTCCATCGTACCCTTCACCACTCCTCGCTATGGTCAACTCTTTATACTCTAGTCAAAATGGCTGTCGGTACTTCAGATAGCGTCTGCCCCACGCTCCGCGATGAACCCCTCACCGATGAAAAACCCCAAGATGACGCTGCTTCAACGCCAAGCCAAGGCGATGAAGAGATTCAAGCTTGCACGACAGACGACCCAGGTGAACCCCCAGATGGCGGGCTACAAGCCTGGCTTCAGGTCGTAACAGGCCATCTCGTCGCTTTCAACTCGTGGGGCTACCTCATCAGCTTCGGTATCTTCCAACCCTACTACGAATCTCAATTCTCCCTCCCACCGTCGACAATCTCTTGGATCGGAAGCTTAGAAGTCTGCCTCATTTTCTTCATCGGCACATTCTCCGGCCGAGCTTTCGACGCAGGATATTACCGTACTGCACTCGCAGTCGGCCTCTTCCTCCAAATATTAGCAATCTTCATGACCAGTATCGCATCATCGTACTGGCAAGTCCTTCTCGCCCAAGGAATCTGCCAAGGTCTTGGTAACGGAATCATTTTCGCACCGACAATAGCAAACATGTCGACCTACTTCACCAGCAAGAAGACTATTGCTATATCCGCTGGTGCTTGTGGTGCTGGCACAGGAGGAATTGTGTTTCCGCTGATTGCACAACAACTTCTCCCCAAGATCGGGTTCCGCTGGACGGTGAGAGTTATGGGATTGGTAGTTGCTGTGTCGTCAATGATTATCATGATGATTGCGAAGATGAGACTCAAGGCGAGGAAAGCTGGGCCGCTTGTTGAATGGGCTGCGTTCAAGGAGCCAGCCTATGTCCTCTTCGCTGCGGCTATGTTCTTTACCTTGTGGCCAACATGGATCTCCTACAACTATGTAAGTCTAACCCAATTGACCACCGTGATACGTGCTGATGATGCCAGGCTCGTCAATACACAACCGATAAACTCTCCGGCTCAGCATCAGACTCATTCCTAATTCTCATCGTCATAAACGCCGTTGGCATCCCAGGCCGCATGCTATCCGCCTTTCTGGCCGACCGTCTCTTCGGCGCGATCCCAGTCTTCATACCGACAATCTTCTCCGCCTCACTATGTCTCTATCTCTGGTCACAAGTATCCTCCTTAACCGGAATGTTCATTTGGGTGAGCATATTTGGCTACTTCGGCGCTGCGATACAAAGTCTCTTCCCCTCATGCTGTGCAAGCTTAACACCAGATTTGAGTAAAGCTGGAACCAGAATTGGAATGATCTTCTCGATTATTAGTTTTGCGGCGTTGACGGGGTCGCCTTTGGCTGGGAAGTTGATGCAAGCTACGGGCGGGAGTTACATGGCGGCGCAGATTTGGGGAGGGTCAAGTATGATTTTGGGGATGGGGTTGTTGTATGCTGCGAAAAGAGCTGAGGCACCTCACGCGGTGAGTCATCTCGGTAGCCAGGACTAGAGAGGCCAGGAGTCCGCTCCCACCTCTGATTAAACCTGTCTTTCTTTTTTCCTATCCTGTCATCGTTACTCGTAGCCAGATACAGTAATTATGTCTGCTCAATAATTGTCGACTGGTAGACTCTGTGCAGTAGAATAACTCTATTACACAGCTATCAGCTGCTTAATGATCAAACAGGATGATGGCCATGACTACCGGCATCTGTTCGTTCGTGATGTTTCCTCATGATGACGCTCAACATTTATCATCCAATGAGGCAAGGCAGACCTCTCGAACCCGCACTTCGTTCCATTCGTCTCAGATACTATCATCAATGTCCAATCCATCAACCATCTATCGACCCGCAACTGATAAGTGGTGTTCCTCGCACCAACGTATCAAACTCATCAATTAATCGGTTCGGAGTCTCTGTCGCCGCCATGAACTCTGTCCAACCCATGGCTTCAACCCACGCCTTCGCAAATCCTTCGCACCTCGTATTTGCGTCTTTCCAAATGCCTTGAACATTCTTCCTCTTTTGTGCAATCGTCTCTCCTGTCGCTTCCTTCCCTTCCCACGATCCATCTTCAACTGGCCATGGAGGAACTGGCGCAGATGTAGCTCCGTCCTCGAGTGCGATGGGAAAGATCACATTGCTTATCTTGAAAGGCTTCATCTCATCCTTGGAGAGATGAGGTCTTGGCGTACAGACACTCGACCCATATATAGATGAGATTGTCGATGTTGAGCCGTCGAGGAGAGCAGACTTATCCGCATTCGAAGCACTGGGAACTTTGGTCGAATTATCTGTGGTCCGGCATCATTGATTAGCAAATACTCGACAAGAACGTTTTCATCACTTACATGATGACTACAATGCCGCAGGAAGGTTTCCGGATATCACATCTGGTCGATATTGATCATCACTGCTTGCGCCCGTGACGGTGATTATGAGATCGGCCTTCAGTCCGTTGCTACTCTCTGTCAATTGCATGGGCTTTGCATAGACGTTGTTAGCAGCCCCGACAGCGGTGCCATTCAAGTAAGGCTGTGTGGTAGCCATATTTGATCGCACGTCAAATGCAAAGGACCCGGCTCTCGCAGTCCAGTCACCCGTGGTGTCGTCCATTGAGGATAGACCTGATCCGCACGATATCTTCAATTCCTCCTTGGCGCCTTGTCCATTTTGCTGAAGCATACCGCGGAACATATCGAGACTGACCTTGCCAGGGGTGTCCTGTCCATTACTGCCGCCGAACGTCACAGTCGCGTTCTTTATGGGGACGTTGATGGCGAACATGCCGTACACTGGAGGCCCACACATGTGCAAGCTGGCCGATATATCGAAGCCGAGACTCACCCAGACAAAAGGTATATGGCCGCTCCACGAGACACTGATGTCGATCAAAACCTCCAGGACATAACGGAAAGGGTCCAAGTTCATGAGGAAGTCGATCAGGGCCCGACATCACACGTCGCGAGCATCGAGCTCCCCTCATACAAGCCTTTGGCGTAATGGCAAAATATGCACCAGCCTTGACGAATACTCGATCCGAAACCTGCCAAGAGATGCCAATCTGTGGGATCTCCCGAGGATAATACGCTGGCGGCGTATACTTGTGATGGTACCCACCCAGGGCGAACACCCAGTCCCCAGCATAGGGCGAGGGATCAAACCAAGTGCCGGCGGCAAATCCTCCAGTGAGATGACACGAGGAGTCTATCACATATGATGTTGGTGAAAGAGATCCAGAAACTCGCATAGATCCATTGACCAGGTCAAATACCGCAGTGATACCGAGCTCGACGGAAGCGAAGAGCTTCGTGGCACCACTCTGAGGCATCTTCGCTCTACAGTCGGCAAAGACTCCAATATGTGAGAGAGCCCAGTTTTGGATTTTGAAGACGGTTGCGATCTTCGCATCGAGCATATTGAATGTAGATCCTCTGACCCCGGCGCCCACCCAGAACGAGTCTGCAACGGCCGTGATCCATGTCGTGTTTGCAAGTTCAGTGAATGTCTGCAGAGGATCAAGTGGCGCCGGTGGCTGGCCCATCGCAATGAGCGGAAAGCGACACACTGAAGGAGGATCCGAAAATCTGATGTCGGAGTTGTATCCAAAACCCGCCACCGCGTCAGATATCTCGATCCCATTGATGTTCAGCAATGGCCCACCCAAAGCTAAGATGACGAAGGCTGTCTTGATCTCTCGCCATTCTCCTTCTTGATGATCCCGTATGCGCCAACTGCTTGGAAGATATATGGCTTGAACGCCGCCATCACCCCGCCCATGTAAAAGTCTCCGCGCTTGATCAATGCGCCGGCAAGATCGAGCGGGGGAGAGTCGATTGCCAACCCGAACCCGGCGAGTGAGGGGATGAAGCTGAACGTGTCTTTGGATAGATCAGCTAGCTTGAGCCCGAGTCCAAAATCCATCACCTGCATCTCAACGGGTCCGACTTTGAGTGTTGCGTCAAGCACGACGACTATGTTTCCACTTTCGAACTTCAGCCCGATGTTAGAAATGGTCAAGGGGCCGAGCCGCCTCTGGAATTTTGCAGTCGACGTATTTGAAGTTGTGTCAACTTTCCTGTCAGTGGGAAAGACTGCAGGGTCAAATCAGCCATTGTCTGGGGCATTCAGTGCGGTCTTTTCGCTAGTCTGCTGCCCAAGGTGTGGTTCAGAAGGGCCATTCCATCCGAAATGATGCCTGTGGGGACCCTGCCTTGAAGACTTCCTCGTCTTTGCCGTTCATGGTGCTGTCAGTTGCCATCGCTGTCGCGAGTGATAGATTCAAGGGTACTAGATCACTCTGCTTTATGTCACTATCCGTCCAAAGAATGTAAAGGCTGTCGAAAGGACTCTTGAACTGCTCAAGTACGGGTATGCTCGACACGGGTCTCTCAAACTGGTTGAGTGAGATCAATAGAAAGCGCTTCAATATACCCTTCTCGTCTTTAGAAGTATATTGGCAGTATATGAAAACGAATCGGTCGATGTCGCTGTGCGGGTTAAGGGGTGAATCGGCATTATTAATTCTTATTCAAAATAAAATACAAATGAAATATATTATTAATTACATAAAATAACTAACAACAGATACCTATCTCTCCACCCTTTCCATATCCATATCCAGGTATCTAACAGGTTATATCATATAACTTAGAACGCTTCGAGAATGCAGTCTTTAAGTCCTTAGTAGGTTGCTTGTATGTCACGCAGGCGGGCCTGCCGCCCTCAGTAGGTCCACCTGACACGAAGGCATAAGCTTTGCATGAAGGATCAGCCAAACAACGGGCTTTACATTGCTGCAGATTGCCCCCGGACGAGACCATACCTCCGGAAGCAGAAAGGGAAGAACCGCAGTGAGTCGGTTTTTCGGTATTGCCACCTGAGGGGTTCTGGTTGCTGGGCGGTTGGGAACCACCAGGGCCGTTATTCAGGCAGCATTTGTTGGCCTCATCAAGCTCCTCCTGTAATTTCTTCACGGTATCCTTCTCGTTTGTCAACTCCTGGTCCTTTAGGTTTAGCTCCTGCATGGCCTGGTTCAGATCTGCCTGGCATTTGGCATAGCGGTCCTCGCACGTCTTGAGCTCTGCAGGGCACTTGTCGTCGTCGTCGTCGATTGGCGTCATGAGGAAGATACCGGCCTTGGAAACCAGAGGGGCGTCTGGCTTGGCAACGACACAAATCTTGCTGGTTTGAGAGTAGCTGCATACAGCGCCAGTGATGCCAGAATTCTTGCAGAGAATAGCGCAGTCATCAAGGGATGGGACTTTCGGGGTTGATGTGCCCTTTCGATACTGATCGCATTCTACTCGGACCTTGTACCCAGGGGCGATGTCCCTCTCAGCAATGGGTACACAAGCTTGGGCGAATACTTGCGAACACGAGACGGCAACAATGGCCACAAAAGTAGGGAGTAGCTTCATGTTGAATGTGAAGGAGAGGTCACCAAAGTGAAAATAGTCAATGTGAATAAGATAGGCTTGGATGATAGGGAAGTAGTGATGTGATCGATAATAGGGAAGGAGTGATATGATCGATGAAATGGAAGGAGTGATTTGATCGATGATAGGTAGGGAGTAATGTGATCTATGGTGGGAGAGATAGACTTTAAATAAATATGTGAATATCACTCGATAGCTGGCAGCGTACGTGTCACATGGACTTGGTTATCCTTGGTCCTGGACCACAGCAAATTGATCTTTTATTTTTTGGCCCTGTAACGTCATGGGAAATGGCGGATTCCAGTACACGAATCCGGTCCATGTTTCAATTGATGATAGACATCTCTCCCTGATCGTCTGTCCGACGTCTTTCGGCCGAGCTTTGTTATGCCTTCCGACTTGGAACGACCGCGCCGCAATCAACTTTGGATCCATATCTTCCAGCTACCTTATAGAGCATATCACATCTTGTAGTACTAGGATCTCGAACCATGCATATTAACTTAAGCAAAAAATTAAGTTCCAGTATCAAAGGAACGCTTAGGAAAAGAAAAGAAAACAAAAAGCCATAGGTCAATACATGAGGCTTAGCAAAACAGAAAGGTTAACGTAGATTAACTGACTCCACTCAATTACCACTGAGTAGGATGATTCATATTAATGTTTCTCTACCAGATGATCAAAAGCGTCAACTGCGAATTCCATACCAATCATCACCCAAGCGAATGTTAACGCACCTGGATTTCTTGTTTCATGGAGCCATCTTGGCCTTGCTTGTCCAGCAGATCATGCTAGGAACGGACCAGTCGATCCCGTGTCTTACAGCATCTATGCAAAGATCCCGTGTCTCACGGGATGAGCTATGTAGAAAATCCCGTGTCTCGTAATAAAGCTTCTCGGTGGCGGGTCGGTGTAATGCAGGGAGGGTAACTAGGCAGTAGCTGATCGAAAACCTAGCAACAGTACCTTGGAATGGCACCGTACAGGACATCGCGGCCTGGCAGTACAGCTGACCTCCTTCGAGGACGAGACGACTCGGTCAACCGCTGACAATGCTGGCTCGATCATCAAACAACTTTCGTTCCTCAGGTATTTTGAGGCGTGGAATGACCAACTATAACAAATTCGTCTGAGATTAACCGCTGAATACGGAAGTGTCTCAGTTGAATTATAAACCAGTGACGTCAAGGATATACGACCCTGGATAAAAAGAAATGTGAATTTGGATCAGGCTTGCACAGTACTAGCTGAGGGTGCATCAAGGGAGAGACGAAAAGACTGTGTAATAAATCTTATATATCAGTTCCCCATGTATGGAACTCAACTTCAACTTTTCAAATCATTTCGTGTAGACCACCACCGTGTTCCCAAGATGAAGTGGTCCAACATCACACGACCGCTCTTGTGCCTTTCTTTAGCATGCATGATCACAAGCTCTGGGGCAGAGGTTCAACGTAGCCGGTTAGTCTTTTCATAAATCCCATCTATAATAGATTTCAGGAATTGCTGACAGAAGAAATTATCCAGAGACTCTGTAGACGATCCTTTTGGGGTGGACCCCTTTGAAGACGATCCTTTTGAGAAGGACCCCTTTGAAGACGATCCTTTTGAGAAGGACCCTTTTGACGACGATCCTCTTGAGGAGGACCCCTTGGGTAATGGTCAAGAATCCCAGGTCCCAGAAGGCTCCTGCATGAGGTCCTTCGCGGCTCCCTCCATCGAGGATATGGTCCTCAACTCTTTGCAAATATGCTGTGATCAAGAAGAAGATGCTCACGAGTCCCTCATGAGGGATTTCAAGTCTATTGTTGACAGTGCATTTAATCTTCTGGAGCAATACTGTGGCAAGTCCTGTGGACCCCGCGCTCCGCCTTGCCTTTCTCTTCCGCTTAACCCACACACGATCCTTACCGTTGAGCCCTCTCTTGAGCTCAAAGACTTTCCTAAGCACATCCTTATTGAAGAACCTGGGGTATATGATTTCGATACCTGGCTTGGCCCGATGGATTCTGGATTCGAGTTGTTTATTTACCAACATGAACTTCCTCCTCGACACACTACACTTGGAAATTTCTATCTGGTTCCGGCAGGTTAGTCTTCAGCCACGCCAAGACATTTTCGTTCCATTCAGTCTATATCTAACGTCGCATACTGCCTAGGTACCAAAGCAGCAGATCTACAATACCGCTCGGTTGAATTCGCTGAATTACAATTCCATGCAGCCTGTGGTGACGACACACCTTGCATCAGCGATCAATCAACGCCCTGGACTTCTCATTACTTCGAGGCAGCTCAACCGCTTGTCCTGGATTTCAGTGTCTACGACAAAGATATGGTTATCACCGTCGCCGATTTAAACACCGCCTTAGAGCAACACGCTGTCTTGATTGATGGCACCGAGGTAGGACGTACACATGGGCCGCTGTCTCTCAAAAATCAAGGGGAAGATATATACGATACAGCTAAGATAACAGAGATCGTTGTGGGCGGACCGCCTGATGGTAGTGTTAAGTCTGTCCTTGGACAAGGGTTCTGGGGTTCTTTCAGGGTTCCCAAAGGTAAGATCAACCACATTCCTAGCACAGCTATGAAAAAAAGAAATAAGTCAGGGTTTCTAATACGTGGAACAGGGTCAAAGTCCGTTACAATTAAGATAACACATCCAAGTAGCGGCGTAGCAGGCTATCGCATTGACCAGGGCTGTGAGACCAAAGGAGCTGGACACAAGGCGCTCCATGTCCAAGCTTGAGGACTTAGAAGAACCCAGTATTTCATATACCATCTCTTGCTGGGACAGACGTATTAATTATTATTGGGATGATTCTTTAAGCTGATACTAGCTGTAGTTCTGTATTATTAAGGTAGTAAAGAAAATTGGAAAATTAGGGTTAGGAAAGGGTTGGTATGAGCTATTTAAGCTATTTTTTCCTTAGTGTTTTCCTTTAATTATAATATAGCTATGAAGAAGACAAAAAATATAAGAAATTAAGGATAATAATAAAGGAAATAAAAGAAAATAAAAAGGCCCGCCCTTCTACAGCTACAGCTGAATAACATCGCAGCCAACCAGTTCGAGATGATCTCCAGGTGGACCAGGATGTCGTGGGGAGCTGGACCACCAAGACTGTTCTAGTCTGGCACGCCACGAAAGAGGGGTGCTGTAGTTAGACTGTAACCACACAAACCAGGTAAATCAGGGCTTATCTGACTTATTTAGTGCCCGGCGGGCTGGCTTAGACTCCCGAGTCTCCAATAGTCTCGCTGTGTCCAGGATATGATATGGGGCCTTGTCTCTTTCTCTAGCCTCCTCCCCCATTAATTATCTGATCTGTAGCAAAAGCCGTGGACTTAAATTTCACGACCCAGCGACAAGGAAGACGGCAAAGTCAACCAAGCCGACCAGGACGGTTCTTCCACGCCGCAACTGACTGACGGTGACAAGACAGCATTGCAGGAGATAAACGCTGTTCAATGGGCTTGTGATCACAAACGGTTCAATATTGACCATCGACGCTGGAAACTCTTCTGCGAATGAGTGTCGGGGACAGACCAAGTCTCCTCCGATCACTCGGCCTTGGTGACTGAAAGAGTCTCAACGACACACTCACCAACACCAAATATCACTTGGAAAAGCTCACAGGCAGTTTTTCCCTGGACAGAAAAAGGAAGGTCTCCAACTTTAAGTTAACAAAAGTTCCCTCCGATTCCTTTGTCCAGCGAAAAGATCCGACAGTGGCACTCCTCGGCTGCAAATCCCCGTGGCCTGACGGATTCTCTGACTGTCAGCCTGTGAGATTGTTATCTCAGTGCATCAAGACCTTCGAAGCTAAAAGGTTTGGAGATGACGCATATCAGGCTGCGGTGGACATGGCCGATAATATAGTTTCGATCCCCACTGCCGCCGCACTTGCTCATGGAGAACACGTGGGCTATATGTGTCAGTGCAGGCGATTCATTGCTAGAGCTCAAAGCCAACGAAGTCGTACCGCCATACTGCAACGCTGTCTTCAACACCGAGGCCGTCTTGGACAGCCCCCTCGTCCCACTGTATGTCGAATGGGAGGCAGAGTACCCAGAGCTGACACAGTCCTTGACTACAACCAAGGATGTCTCCAGCAACAAGTCTCAATACCCGCGTCGTGCGATGGGCGGGAGAGCTCCATTGCATCCGAGCCAGGGCGGATCAGTAGCAAACATATTGCGAGATTCGGTTGGGAGATTGCCAGAGAGCATGTTGGAGAGCGTTCTTGCGGTTGACAAAAGAGATCAATCGTATGCTAGCATGGAGGCCATCCCCTCCCTAGCCTGTCGTCTCGATGGGTTTCAAGGCCAGCTTGTAACTCTGATTAGCGGGACAGCTCATGTCCGCCCAACGCTTCCAGACGGGACTACGATGCCTGAAGCGGTGACTGCGGGCGAGGCTGCGGGATTCACTGCTGACACTCTGGGAATGGTTCGCAATCACTGCGATCCACTGCCGTACGGAGATGGCGTTGATCCACAGGCAGTATTCATCCCCGTAACTCATGGGCAAGTGAAGTTCAACAAGTTCAATGTGATCGACAAATTCGGCAGAGGAGTGGAAATTTTTGGTGGACACGGCCTCATGCCATCTATCTCATCAGTGTACCAGCCGTCATCTCATATGGTCAACGGCAAAGAGAGGCCAAATGTCGTGGTTTCCACCGGAGACAGTTGTGAATACTTTCAGATCCCGCCATCCATCAATCAGCCGGCTAGACTGTTCAACGCGTATCTGAAGCCAGGGGAAATTGGCCAAAGCACCTGGAGGCCTTGCGGCGAGTGGGAAGATCCGGTCTGTGAGTACATCATGTACAACAGCGCCGATCTTTCGTTGCAGGTGTTCACATCTGCTGGGGACTTGCGTGTAGAGATCCTGACTTCCGAGAGCAACACCGCCGCAAGAGTCGCCCAGCTGAATCAACCTCCCATGAGCCAGGGCTCTTTCGCGCCTCCTCTGACAGATACTGCCGATCAGTGGAAGATGAACATCTTGGATGACTTCATCCAAAATTTGAAGACCAAATACTATGCTCTGCGAATGATTTAGATCCTGGGCGACGCTTCCAGCTGTATGATACCTCCTCCAGAATCGTATTCCAGCGTCGTGAACGCCGCCTTTGGTCGTCCTTTCGCGTTGGCCATCGCTGGATGGTCAATTGAACTAAATCACGAGGAACTGCGGCCCCAGACGAGCCTTCAGAACCTCGCTAGCAGTCCTACTCCAAGCTTTCTGACTACGACTTGCCTCTCTGTCTCGGTCTGAAAGAATACTCCGACGATGGTCTGGCCGCGTATATTCCTTTGCGGGAAGACGCCCCGACGCAGCCAGACTTGGGCAAGATCTTTACGTTCTGGCCCAGCGGCGTGGCTGAAATCGACCAGAACGAAGATTTCGCATGCAACCCAATCCATCCATCCAGCCTGCCCACCCTAAAAGCCCGCCATGTCGACTTGTTCCAAGATGGCCGTCTCTTGGAAGTCGATGACATGATCAAAAGACTGCAGGAGGAAATCCTTCCCTTCTGCCTCCTCGTCGATGTTTTCCACCCCGTAAAAGCCCATACTGGCGTCCTCCCACCATCAAGCCTAACGCTTCCAGACTGGGACGTGTAACAAGCGCTGCGGAAGATCATGCTGTGCTACCGCGCGGGACCCTTCCTATTCCGAGAAGACCCTCTCAAATCACTCAACGCGGTGGGAGCAGAGGATCCTCCAGCGCCGCCAGCTGCAGGTGCTGGGGTACAGGTCCCGGTCGTGCCGTACAGGAAGTGGTCATGGTTGCAGCGTATATTGTGGATGGTGACATGAAGTACTGGAGCCGAGATGTCGATAAGGCCGAGGCAAAGGGGGATGTTCTTGAAGTGCGCAAGTATCCCTTCACAATGGCCGATGGCATTGTGATGTCGACAGAGCCGTTGCTCCATGAAGGCTAGGTACTTAGGCATTCGGGCAACGGCTTCTGTTGAGAACTTGGTCATCGTATTCTTCTTGCGCCTGACGAACATGTACTCGGGCTTGTGACCACCAGAGCCATTGAGAGAAAACATGAAGTATATTTAGAGATTATCGATGCTGCAGAGTGAAACTACGGGCGGGTGTCATTTGGCGGCGCAGATTTGGGGAGGGTGGAGTATGATTTTGGGGATAGGGTTGTTGTATGCTGCGAAAAGAGCTGAGGCTAGACAAAAGCAATGATTTAAGATACTGTAGAGATAATCTGTTATTATAGACATTAAAATGAACCAATGTTTACATGAGGTGTTGTGTTGCACTCCGCACAATTGTATGCCCGCTAGATCCCGGCATCCAATGATTGCCTCTAAAATTTCACCACCATCAAATTCCTAAAACCAACATCACCACCTCTCCTCAGCATGTCCCCGACGCCATGGATATGCCGAACCTGCACAAGAGCATTAACACGCTCTCACATGCGCCAATTCGTGCGCTTCGCAACCAATGGTCAGTCCTCCCCTCTCAATTCCTCTCCCCAAAGTGCCCCCGCTAACCATCACAGATGCCTCACCACTCCTCGCACCCGCACTCCTCCAGCGCGCCCAATCCCTCACAACCGAACACGACGACCTCCAGAAAACCCTCAACAACTCCTTCGATTCTACCATAGCTAAGCGCGTCGGCGAATTGTCCCGCGTAGCTGAAGCGCTGAAAGCATGGCAGACCTCCCAAGCCTCTGTCACCGAATTAACCTCCATGCTCGACGACCCCGATCAAGACGCCGATCTCGCTGCCATCGCCCGCGATGAACTCAGCTCCGAAACAGGAAAACTCGAGTCCCTCGCCCGCAGACTCTCAGCAAGCTTAACGCCCCGCCACCCCTTCGCCGATTTCCCATGCATGCTGGAATTCCGCCCTGGGCCTGGTGGTCTTGAAGGGCGGTACTTTATGGATACTTTGTTCAAAATGTACAAGGCGCTATGCATGCGACGCGGTTATCGCCACACAGTAGTAAAGTACGAATTTGCCGATACAGCAGGTGACTCCTCCTCATCAGCCGGCGAGAACCCTCTCCAAGAAGCAATTCTCGAAGTCCACGACCAAGGCGCCTTCGACATCTTCCGCAGCGAAGCAGGCATGCACCGCGTCCAACGCATTCCCAGCACCGAGACCAAAGGCCGCGTGCACACCAGCGCCGTCGCAGTCTGGGTTCTGCCCTCGTTCCCCGAGAACGGCGCTGCAAACATCGACTTTGACGATCCAGAGAGTGACTTCTACGTTAATCCGCAGGAGGTCAAAATTGAGACGATGCGAGCTAGAGGTGCGGGAGGACAACACGTTAATAAGACGGAGTCTGCTATTCGAATGACGCATTTACCTACTGGTACGACTGTGTCGATGCAGGATCATCGTTCGCAGCAGCGTAATCGTGAAGAAGCATGGAAATTGCTTCGTTCACGCATTGCAGATCAGCGACGAGAAGCTCGTGAAGAGGAAGCCTCTAAGCTAAGAAACAGCGTACTCTCCAAGACACAGATCACACGAGGTGATAAGATCCGAACATACAACTACAACCAAGACCGATGTACCGACCATCGTGCAGGCGTTGACGTGCACGACCTACCGAATGTTCTCGAGGGCGGTGAAAAGCTAGATCGAATCATGGACGGCGCAAAAGATTGGCTTGTGAATAAGGATATTGAACTCCTCATGGCCGAAGAAGAAGCCAAAGAGAAGCTCAATGGCAAGAAATAGATGTACAACACTGTAGCATAGGCATTGTATTATCATGTACAGAACCCGCTGTAGGGAACCCAAAACTGTTGAATAGATGACGATATCCGACGCTTCATATCTTCGTGCCATTATGCGTATCAAGAACAAACCAAACTCCAGCATGCATCCGATGAGGACACCGCGGTCCCAGCTAACTCCATGCATCAAAGTCCATTTCACATTAATCCTCCAAGAACCACCTTCCCAATACTAGCCACCTCTGTCTTGACATGGCTGCGACTCTGCTCCTCAAAGTCCCGTACTATCCCTTGCACGATTATCTTGCGCACGCGCGAATCCGCTTTCGTGAAGAGTTCAGCGACAGGTGCAGAACACTCTCTAGGTGAAGGTACCAACGCCAGAAATCTCGTGTAGCAATCGATCAACACATCGCACAGCGTCGCGAACGTCTCAAAGTAATCGGGGTCAAACGGCAACGAAGGCGTGAGTAGAAAGGTATACTCTTCTCCAGGGAGGAGATCTGTCTCAGCAGCTGCAAAGTTCATGACAGAGGGCGCTGGACCACCGGCTGCGGGCAAAGAAGCCATCTCGTCGACCATGGGGTGCATGTCAGCTGCTGATGTTGAGCGACGAGATTTACCGCCAGGACGACGGAACATGCTTGGGAGACGCGCGCGGGTGAGTGATGCAGCGGTTGATGATTCGCCGTGGAGTTGTTGGAAGGAGTCGAACTCAGAGAGGAGCGAGTTTAGACTTCGGAGGAATTCGATCGATGTGGAGGAGTACAGGTCGATGATTGTCGGGAGGGAGAGGCCGAGGAGGAGATGGTTCGTTGCTTTGCGACCAAGCTTTCGAGCATCGAGGGAGGGCATGCGATTGAGGTCCGTCTTTTCGAAGAGATACGTCTTGAACCAATAAATCCGTCCTTCATGTCTGTTTCACAGTTAGCCCCTACCCAAACCGTTTTGCTCAAGGTCCAACATACGCTTTCCGCAAATACTCCAACGTCGCGATGCGCTTATTCGCAAGCTCCGTAACATGATGGTGCATGATACCCGCCTCATTCTGCTGCCACATTCCCGACGTCCCAACCGCCCCATTCGGCATTATCCCAATCGGCGTATTCGGCACGATCCCCCCATGAAGGGTCGTCGACCCCGTCGCACTGCGACTCAACATCTGAGGTTCCACGGGCGCCGCCGCACTTTCCACGCCGTCAGGCCTAGGCGCTACCTTGGCAGCAGCAGAGAGAGCGTAGTCTGGCAGCGCAGGAGGCGCCGTAGCATCCGTGACAAAAGCGTTAGGCCCGTTCCCAAACGAACTCCCACGCCTACTCGACAGCGACGCCTTTCGCGAGAACGACGCTTTGCGGTCTTTGGGGAGGATGGACGTGTTCAGAGGATCAACGGCGTGGCCGTCGCGCGTGGTGGGACGAGAAGCAGCGTTGGAGGAGAAGATGGAGGTCGAGAAGATGGGCGTGCCCGTGTTATTCGGTGTTTTGGGAGGCATGTTTCGTGACGATCTGGCCCTGGGGGGCACGACGGAGTAAGGTTAATTGCGCGGTTGTCTCTTTTCGTGGTAGCCGTGCGTTAAAGGAGGGCGAGGGGTGTGTGATGATCGGCAGTCGAAGGATCCAACAGCTGGCGTTTTCGCCAGAGCCGCACGCGGATTGCAGCGTCGCAGTGAATCTACGCGGGGGGGGTTTGAGGGATGAGATTAGGTGTTTCGTTTCGCTTAACGATACGCCTATAGGCGCTCAGCGCCGTTTCTTTCGTCTCGTTTCTTTCGATTGCCCTTCTCGTGAATCTCAATATCGGATCGTCGTGCTCATCAGTACTGTAAAGAAAAAATGGTGGTGAAAGGGTGCATCCTGGAGTTGAACCCCTGGTTTGTGGTGCCGAATGTGGATTGGGCGGGAATTGCTTTTGGAATGGAAGGAAAATAAAAGATCCAGGGCCCTCTCACGCAAGCGCGCATGGGTAAGGTAAGGGTTCAGATTGAAGATCCGCTAACCACCTCCAGCGAAATCCGGAATAACCACCATTCTTGGCAAGACTCGCATAGAGGATCGGTTTCGTGATTTTAAATTGTGAGAAATAAGGGCCGATTGAAGATGATCGTTTGTTTAGCTGGTTACAGGCTCAAACGTGTTGCAGCAAAATTGGGGACGCCGTTAAAGTTCCCCGACAGCTATGCGCGTAACGGGCATCAAACTTCAGTCCAACTATAGACAGAGAGAAAGGTTTGGAAAAGTGCATAATACCGTGATCCGCTTAGCAGGCCATTTATTAAGGAGTTCTTCACTGTAATCACCGATTTTTAGAGCATGCAACTCAATCACAAGATGGCACACAAACCATCATGTAAAGCAGTGCCTTACCCTGCAAGAGCAAGATCGCATTCATCGCGACGGGGGAGTTCTAGAGACAATACCATGTGAGACGTGTCCAACGAGTATTGTTCATTCTCTACTTCGTTTGGCATCAAATGATTACACAAACCAGTCTTGCATGATGTTGTTGAGCCAAACCGCTTCTGTTCATCACTTATCTCTCCCAGAGACTCGGGCTTTTGATCCCGGGCTGTACGTTTTCGTGGACGAGGGTTCTCACTATCAACTTCATGTGACATAATGTGAACTGGTTTCTTTAGAAATAATATTTCTGGTACCAAAAAATGTCTACGGTCAGCGTTTACACAAAGTACAAGTTTCGAGGTCTCGATTTAAGCTCCGGCCAGCACGCTAACACCGTGACGTCTTTGTGAAACTCCAAGACCCCTCATTGCTCACTCACATCAGCACCATCGCAGCCATGCTTGATAAGAGCAAAACAACACATGCATACCAGACAACCAGCAAAATGACAACAATTCACATCTTACGCCATGGCCAAGCTCTACACAAGTAATTTACCCTCCATCCCATCTCTCACCTCGCTGACAACTCAGCGTTGAAAGAGGCTATCCCCACCGCGACCCTCCCCTAACAGATCTAGGCACACGTCAAGCACGCAACGTCCAACAAACCATAAAAATACAACCAGACCTAATAATCGTATCACCCATGACAAGAACCATACAAACAATGTACATCGTCTTCCGATATCTTCTCCATAGCACCAAAACCCCCGTCCAAGTATGGCCAGACCTCCGCGAGGCCCACGACGCAACCTGCAACAAGGGAATTTCACGAAAAGAATTAGCAGACAAGTTTCCAAACCTTGACTTTTCAGCTTGTCCGGAGAAGTGGGACTTTCCGACGCATACCCCGGATGATGCGACGGTACGAGCCGAAAGAGTTCGGCGGCGGTTGAAAGATGTTGCAAGGACCGGGGGCTATAAAAACATCATGCTCGTCACGCATCGAGGCATCGCTGCGTTTCTGGTGCAGGGCGATAGATTCAGTGTTTGCGGTAAGAAGTACCAACACATACCGAGATCCTGGCTGATGATGTAGAACACCGATCATATCGCTTCGCCACGAATGAAGAAGTCGACAAAGCAAGGCATGGAGTTAACGTAGATACAGGGCTTGAGCAAGATTTTGGCCCGACAGTGTTGATACCAGCTGAGAAGCCGAAAACTCGCCAAGGGCAGTCAAGCTGACGGGTAACTACTATCAATAGATGCAATCTCCTTGCCTGAACGCAGGCTTGGACGGTCATGAGGTTTGAGGAGAGTACAACCTTGGACTACAGTGCTGACCTCGTCTCACTAAGCAAAAAATAATGATCAACTGGAAATATTGCTAGAAGAGTCCAAATGGTGGCCACGTCAACATAAGCGGAATACCACCCTTCCTTGCGCAATCACCGAGCCCACTTTCGCATCCATATCAATTATCACAATTGGGGTCCATGACAGCTCGAAGTAAGCCGGAACAAATCCATTTTTACCATCGTTTCAAAACAACCTAATTGGATAAACAAATACCAGCGCCGCAGCTATCCAGCAAACTATCGATAGTTTAACTAAAATAAAGAAGCGCTCCAGACCAGAGTAAGCTAAGCCTCACGAGTATATCTACAGACACCAACCCTCATCTTTGCATCAGTGGCGGTGTAAACCAATGGTGCATCCTGCAACTCCACGCTTACACCTATTTACGTTATTCCGTAAGCCAAGCCACTGCAGGGCTGGCCAGTAAAAACACCTCTGCTGCTTGCTGAACCGCTGTGGAGTTGGGATGAGAAAATGTCAGCACTAGTAGGGCTGAGCTCGGCATCACGGCAGCTTAAATAATCTCCCAATCCCAAATCCAAGCCAAATGAAAAAAAAAAAAAAAAGTAATCGTTTCTTATTTTCTCCTCTCTCTCTATTTCTCAGAGAATTTTGTTTACTGAGAAATCATGGCTTTCGTACGACCGTTGCTGTACGTCGCCCTCGGGCTTCTCATGGTGGTTTCCATCATCGAACTCTCCTTCATCTCAAGTATGGTCGGTTGGCTACACGGCAACGCCAGCGGAACTTTTTCCTTTGAGTACCGCGGTACAAGACACAATCTCAAGGGCGAGCCTGCAAACTTGATCGTTGATCAGGGACATACCAGCAACGGCGCAGCTGGAACAGCATTTGTCCTCATCGGCTGTGGAGGAATCCTCGCTTTGATTCTTCGCAACAGACCAAACCCTGGAAAATTCAGTCGATTTTTTTATAACACGTGGCTGGTCTTCAACGTCCTCAGTTTACTTCTTATTCTCACGGCTCTTATCTACACCTTTGTTGTTACGAATAATCATAACGGACAACGTATCGACCCTGGTGTTGCGGCGGGTCTTGCCGATGATGAGAAATATCCCCTTCAGTCATGGACACCTCAGAATTGGTTCTCAGCATTCTTGAAACTCGATCTCACCAACTCGAATGAGAGAAACGACATTGAACATCACCTGCGTCTCATGCGAGGCTGGCAGTACAACTTAATCCCCTTCTTCATCATCCACCTTGCCGAGACTGGCCTTGCACTCTGGGACGCTATGCTACGACGAAAAGAGCCTGTGCCAGCCTATGCGCCACCCAAGCACACTGTCTAAGTCAATTGCATATACGAAAAGGATCGGCATCCTTGCAAGGATGGAACATTGTTTTTATTGGGTACATAAAGGAAGACATATGGCATCTCACCTCGGCATAAAATGTATAGAGGACAAATCTTTAATGATATAATAATAAATAACATAAGGTTAAATAATTTACTCACCTGCTTCATTCGTGATAAGAGTCCAGTAACTCAATTGTGATGACAAATCCTGTATACGAAAGGGCGCGCAATGACTCACTAGAACGCCCAGCGGGGCCTTTCTCAGCACCATAAAAGCCATCTCCAACCTCACGATACTCACCCTTGTCTAATCATCCACAAATCAGATCAAAATGACTTATTCGCTCTTCATCGGCAACAAGCGCTACTCCTCTTGGTCAATGCGACCTTGGGTTCTTCTCAAAGCCCTCGAGATCCCCTTCGACGAAAAACTCAATCTCTTCAAACCCGGCCTTCGTCAACCCGACTTCCTCGCTTTTTCACCAACTGGAAAAGTCCCCTGTCTTCACGATGGAGAAACATCAATTGTTGTTTGGGACTCGCTAGCTATCTGCGAGTACATCGCTGAGCAATACCCCGCTGCTTGGCCAACCAACGCAGCAGCGCGTGCTTTTGCTCGTAGCGCCGCTGCGGAAATGCACTCTGGATTCGACGCCATTCGCGATGAGTGTTCTATGAACGTTGGGTTGAGAATTGAACTTGGAACACCGAGTGAAGCGCTCCAGAAGGATATTAGCCGCTTCAATGAGCTTTTCAAAGAGGGGTTGGACAAGTTTGGTGGACCGTGGTTGGCTGGTGATAAGTTTACGATCGTGGATGCTATGTATGCTCCTATTGCTTCGAGGATCAAGACTTATGGTATTGAGCTGGATGGCGCGGCGAAGGAGTATGCTGATCGGTTGTTTGAGCATGAGGCTGTGCAGGCGTGGATTCAGGACGGTATCAAGGAGACGAGCAGAGAGCCTTCTCATGAGGAGGACTGTGTGAGGGGACGCAAGATTCTCAAGGACTTGACCAAGGAGTAAGGTATTGATTTGGCCATGGAAAAGTACTGCTGGCTAAGAGAATGGCTATATAATAAAGAAAGCCAGAGGCGTTTGGGGATATGACTGACTCAATAAGTGTCCCAGTATTTAGTTTACCCTCGAGGAAGTTCCTGCAAAGCTCAGATATGCCATCTTGGTAAGAAGGCGAAACTTCTTTCCCCAAATGATAAATGCACCAGCAAATACGGTGATGATAAAAGACAAGAAACAGACCAGAATGAAGGTATCCTGTACTCCCATACTGTCAATCCAAGGCTGAATACCAAATGTCATAGCACAGCCAATGATGTTCCTGATCAAGATGACAGTTGTGATAGCTTCACCATCAACTTCCTTGTAGCAGTCAACAACATAAGCCATAGTGAGAGCTGCTGCGACCGTCAAGCCAAAGCCAACGAGTCCCATGCCGACGACAGGACCAATCCAAGGTAGCGCGTTGGCGGCACCAACACCGTAGAGTAAGAGACCGCCTGACATAAGGAACGCCATGGGGATGAAAACCCGGAGACGGAACTCTGGTTCTAGCCATCCGCGATTTCGGCGTGTGAGGAGCAGGACAAGCTTGTCGTTAAAAGGACCCGCCATCAAGGCTCTGATGGAAGGTTAGCATATATAAGTAGTACTTATTGTAAAGGAAGCTTACCCAAAGAGACCTCCAATGAGAGGAGACAGCCAGATAAGACCCAGAGCCTCATTGCTCATGTTATATGGTGATGAGCCCAAGATGGAAGCTGTAGTGGTTCCTAGGACGGTGATCCAGGATACACAAGCGCCATACTCAAGCCCGCTCTTCAGAAATGTCAGCATCTCCCAATCGCCTTGTCAATGGCGCTACAACTTACCCAAACGATGGCTGGAAACCAAGATAGTTGCAAAGGACGATAGACTTGCCTGACGAACTGGCCCCAAGTTCCTGGGAGAACAACCCACGGGCGGTACTGAAGTCGAAATGAGTCTGTCTCCAGGACTTGGCCAACTCTGTATACACTGCCGTTGGTGAGTGCTGAATGAAGATGTTTTTCTCCTTTGTCATCCTCTCGAATGGCCTCCAAAGCAGACTCTTGAGTTTCTTGTACTTGCTCTTGAGGGAGCGCCGACTCTCTAGTGAAGTTACTTTCCTCCAAAGTGAAGAAGATGGCAACAAAGAGTATACCACACAATATAGCACCCCACCAATATACCCAACGCCAACCGAGAGTCTCGATCATGTATCCAGAACAAATGGGGCCGACTGAAGATCCTGCTGATAACCCGAAGGCGTAAATACCCAAGGCAAAACCTCGTTCATGAGCAAAGAAGACATCGGCGATCGAGATGGGAACGAGAGCTTCGTATGGTGCACGGCCTAGTCCAAAGAGGACGTGAGCGCCGATGAAGTCACCAGAATTTCTTGCAGTTGCAAGCCAGATGTGACATCCGATGACAACGGCCAGGCTGGATAGGTATGCGATACGTCGACCAAACTCTGTCTAATGTCAGAACAGTAACACTATAGCCAGGGTAGGAATACTTACTGTGAGATAGAGGCGTGAAAAAGACATTTCCAACACCAAGCATCAGCAAAGTCAAAGCAGTACCAATGTTGAGTTGATTAATCGATGTCCCAAGCGCATCTTGAATATCAACGTAAACAGAACTTTCCCAGTTTCCCAGGGCAGTCATGACAGTGCTGTATATGACAAGCAAGAACAGATGATATCTCTTTCGCCAGACGGACCAGCGAAGTGGATCACCTAGGTTATCAGATGGAGTTGGAACAAGGATGATATCGCCTTGTTCAATGGTATTGTGGGATGGTCTAGTGACAAGGTAGACTGTTCCAGGGACGACTTCATAGTCGGGATGTGAAGAGTTGTTTTCCTCCATTATGAAACAGAGTTGGTTTTCAAGAGAGATGTATTAATGGGCTTGTTGTTGGAGTCATTGTTCAAGACGACGAGGTGACTTTATAGACTTGCCAACTCGGCTGTTGATAAAGAGTTCAGAGATAATGTTCAACATGCCGATGGTCATGCCGGTCGTTCATGGTGGGACGAAAACCTGGGGTTGGACCAAACCCAAAAAGGTCTTCCGACGCACTAAAACTCAAATGTGGGAGCGATAACGGCCTCGGACGATCTGATGTTGAGCGAAGCATTTACTTCAGATGAGAAAAGAGAAGTTAAAGATACGAGAGAGGTCATGACGATTTGAGTTTCGATGTAGACTAAACTTCATTGGGTCTTCCGACAGACTAAAACTGATCCTTGTCTAACCGTTGGCCAATGGACTGGCTGGGGTTTCGTCTCGACCTTCAATATCCGGAAGTATACCCGTAGGCTGAAGAGTTGAGCTAGGCTGTGTTGGCTCTTCCGACAAGCTAATGCAGCTCCGTTTGATTTAGTTGGTCTTGTATCAATAGATCAGAACGGAAAATGTGCTATAAATTCCGATACTGTTATCTCCCTTTTGATGCTGGATGAGTATTCAGACTGGCTGACATCCTTGACCTCTCATCATGACGCTTCTATCAAAGCCAAGCATCTCAATGGAAGATATAAGAAACACCATCGACACTTACATCAAGGGACTTTCAGATGAGCTCTACACTTTGAACAAGCAGGCAAGACTCTGTTCAGCATTGACCTCTCCAACGCGCTGACATCTTCACCCAGATCCACGACGAACCCGAGATAGCCTTTCAAGAATTCAAAGCTCAAACTCATATTTCCGACTTCCTTGAACAACAAGGCCATTCAGTTCAACGCGGGGCTTACAGCCTACCTACATCCCTCGAGTCTATATATGGCTCCAAAGGCCGATGCGTCAACTTCAACGCGGAATATGATGCCCTTCCTGGCCTTGGCCATGCTTGTGGTCACAACCTGATCGCTATAGCCAGTGTTGCTGCTTATCTCGCTTTGACACATACTTTGAGGAAGTATGGTATTGACGGAAGAGCGCAGTTACTAGGTACGCCTGCTGAGGAGGACGGCGGAGGGAAGATTCTCCTCCTCAATGCTGGGGCCTATGAGAAAGCCGATCTTTCTCTGATGATGTGAGTTGCGACTAGCTTCATCATCCCTTTTTCCAACCCTCTGACGACTACCAGTCACCCTTTTGTGGAAGACCAATTCCGTCCAAACGGTACAATCGGATCCGCCGGCCAAAGCAGCATCGCAATCGTCGATTTAATCGCCGAATTTCGCGGCACCAGCGCCCACGCTTCCGGAAACCCATGGGACGGAATAAACGCCCTTGACGCACTGGTAGCTTCATACAATAACATATCAATGCTACGACAGCAGATAAGGCCAGATGAGCGTATCCACGGATGCATTCTTCAAGCACCAAAGATCACGAATGCGATACCAGAGTATACAAAGGTCAAGTTCTCGATTCGAAGTCCAAAGATGAACTCCCTGAAGAAGTTGAGTCAGCGGGTGCGGCATTGTCTTGAGGCAGGAGGGTTGGCTACGGGCTGTGAGGTTGAGATAACTGAAGACCTGGCGTATGCTGATCTCTGGGTCAATGATCCTCTATGTTCTCTGTTTAAGCAACATATGAATTTACTTGGTGTTCCGCTGTCTCAAGGGAGTCAAAGCGAGAATATCGGTGGTTCGACTGATATGGGGAATGTTAGCCAGATTATCCCTGGCCTGCATGCGATTGTCGGGATCGAAGCACCAAAGGGCACGTTCCCACACAATCATGCTTTTGCAGAGGCTGTTGGTGCGAAGGATGCTCATTTGAGGATTCTCGAAGCTGCGAAAGGAATGGCTTTAACGGCGTGGTCTGCGATTGTCGACGATAAGGTGTTTGCTGAGATTCAGGACCATTTTGACAAGATGAGGAAGACAGCCGAGAACTTGGGTCTATGAATAGAGTAAATAGTTTCCAGTAGCACAGAAAGTCACAATTCACCACGCTTTCTAACAATTATATTCATACAAGACGAGTACACTGTTCATACCGAGTAGTCTCCCTTTTCCTACAGAATCACCGTTTTGAGCAGAGACTCTTCGAACAGGATGTCGAGCCCCAACGAGGAAGTCCTCTCTCTATCAGCCACTGCAGGGCTCTGTTCTGTCAAAACTCCAGCAACAGGCGCAAAAAGATCCATAGGTCTTGGCCTCCAGGCACATAAAAGAAACTCTACGACGGATCGCACTGCCCTGCCGCCAGCAAAGTGATTCATGGCCTCAACATGTAGAATAATGAGATCTTGACTTTTGGTCGTTGTCATACCGGTGCCAAGAACAGTGATAGCCCATAGCAGGCTTGTGAAGTCGGATCGCACCCTGGCGAGATGATGAAGTGCTGTTTCACAAAGGCTTATGACTGAAGGCTCTCCAGCCCCCAGAAATGGGTTTTCGAGTTTGGTGATTAGAAGTTCGATAGCCAGTGAATAGACCCATCTGATATGGAAACTCTCAGTATCATGGTTGGTGCTTGAAAGTTCCTGACTGGTGGCCGTTGCCGTTGGCTCTATTTGTTCGATGTTGCCCAGTCCAACTTGGCTCTCGTGCAGTCTGCTCCTCAGCTCCTGCAGTCTGAATTGCATATAATCAGAGGCCACGCTGAGCCGATGATGTAGCAGATGGGAGACCTTGAACAGGATATCGAAGAGCTCGATGGGAAGCCACGCAGATAACCCTGCCTTCACAAATCCACGACAGCTGGTGTCTGACTCCAGAACTGGTGATTTGGACCATAGGCTTATAATCTTCGAAAGATCATGGTAATTGCGTAGATAGCTTGGACGAAAGACACCGTTTATGGCTACATGATAAACCAGGGTCTCCAACACCAGAGCTTGATGGGTGTTCTGAGGCGGTTGATCAAGTGCGAGACATAGTGGCGCCGTGACTGAGAGATAGGTTAGAGAATCAGTAGCGGAATTCTCAAATCTCTGGATATTGGTTAGTCTTCAAAAAGGCCAGGTTTCATCAAAGCTGATACTCACCTCAAAAACATGCAGCAACAGCACAGTCGCGATATTGGAATCCTGGGTAAGGCTCCTCTCACTCCTTGTGCTCAGGCGCAGTTGCTTCAGCGCGTCGCTGTGTTGTTGGAGGGCGTGTATTCGCCAGCTTGGTTGAAACTGCGAGATTATAATTGCTGAACATGCGAGCCATGCATGAAGCATACTGCGGGAGTTGACTAGAGCTTCAAATCCTTCAGCAAGCATCGAGAACTCTCGGCCTCGATCAAGTCTTGATGTGGCTTGGTCGAGAACCTCTAGCAATCCTGTCATTGAGCATGAGGGCAGGCCTTGGAAGCATTCGTTGAAGGCCCCTGTGTTGCTGATGAGGGCCTGGTCATGTATTGGGGAAGACAGGCGGCATCCGTTTCGTAAGATCAACTCCTCACCAAAGGTACTCGGTGTGCTAGGCCCGCTGGTCTCGCCATGAGAGCTATCATCTAACTGAGGACTCACACTACTCCTCTCGCCAGCCCGAACATCGAGCTTCTGGTTACGGCGCTCATTACTGCTGCGCCAGCTACAAGTAACTCGACGGTTGGAACAGCTACCGCAGGTTGGGCGACATTCATCACATTTCTTCCGTCGATTTCGGCCTTAAGAGTAGAGTCAGTGATTTTGCCACTATGATGAGACTGCATGCTTACATGGAATGCAACCACCTTGAGACCGGCAATGCTTTACGCGCTTTTCTGCGTGAACCCAGCCTCCAGAGTAAAGTTCAAATTGCGCAAACATTGGCCTTTCGGACGTATTCTAAAAATGGCCAGACATAGGTCTGGAAGGTGAATGAGTAGCTAGGTTATAAAATCTGGGGATGCGGGGTTTTATGCTCTACACTACCTACCTCGGGATAGCTTCATAATCTCAGAAGGCGTTAGCTCTAACCAAACAGTGAGCTTTTTATGTAATTCACTGCCGTGTGAGCTAATAGAGACCGCTCTGTTGATCAGAATACTTTCTATACTTGGGGTAGCTCTTCTATCACCAAGTGCTTGAATATGCTATCAAACAAAGGAGAGACGAATTTCATTGCTGTGTTAAATTCATCGAGAAACTGGCAAGTAGGCATTAATAGGCACAAACAATCACTTTGAGTCTGTGCCTTAAAATCAGGCTCTTTGTCTGACCCCAAGCTTGACATCTCGCACGTGATAGGTCGTTGCCTGATTGAAATATGCAACCAACAAGCTTGAGGATTCATCCTATCACTTCATCAGCATATCACCTAATTATGTCTCCATCCATTGGTGAAAGTACCAACAATGCATCAATCGGGTCTGAAGAGTCGTGTCGGTTTGAAACCATCCGGATTATCGATACAGAGGAGCCTGAATTTTATCGAAAAGAAGGCTTCCATCCAGTTCACATCAGTGATCACTTTGACGGAAGGCGGTACCGAATTGTCCATAAGCTTGGGCATGGCGGATTTTCCGTCGTATGGCTGGCTTACGACTCCTTGGACTCTATCTGAGTGGCCCTCAAGATTGTAGCTGCTTCGGACTCCTCTATGATGGAAGAAAAGGCAGTCATGTGGCACAATATCATTTCGAAAATGAATGACGAAAGATTCGTCACTTATAAGCGCTTCTTTCACATCGAAGGACCCAATGGCCGTCATCTATGTCTAGTCCTACCACCTTGTGGTCCTTCTTGCAACACTCTGTCCCAATACCTACAGAGTAGGATTCATGGCTGGCTGGCGCGTCGCGTGGCTTTTCAAGCTACAAAAGCTATCGCAGATCTTCATTCTCAAGGTCTTTGTCACGGAGGTAAGCAGCGTTTCTCCTTCCTACCTTCACTCTACTGATTCGCTGTAGACTTTACCCCGAGCAATATCGTCTTTCGCATCCGTAACCTTGATCATCTTGATGATCAAGGTATATACCGGCTTTTTGGTGAACCTCAACGCGATGGCTTGAGAACGATATCGGGTGAACCTACTGGTGCAGAGGCGCCTCGGTATATCGTTGGCAACCTTGACTTCACGTCAGCAGAAGACCTCATACTTGATGATATCTGTTTGATCGATTGTGATCAGGCATTTTTGACCTCTGCGCCCCCGAGGAAAACACTTGGGACACCTCCAGGCTTTCTGGCGCCTGAGGTGGCAGTTGGAAAATCAGCCAGCCCGGAGAGTGATGTTTGGGCTTTGGGCTGTTCTATCCTCCAGATCAGGTCAGGCTCTTCTCCTTTCTCGATTCCCAACGTCGATAGCCCAGCAAACTTGCTTGGATGGGTCAGCGAGTACATTGGCCGTATGCCGATATCATGGGAAGAGCCACTATTTGACGATGATGGCCTTCCAACGACGGACACGACCAATGGCGAGCCCCTAGGTGAAATACTTGAAAACACGAGATCGCTGAAGCAATGGATCAGCGATATCTGGGATCAACCAAATAATCTCGAGGAGCTTCAGTCGACATCAGCTGCGCCAGATAGAGTGAAAGATGAGAACAAACCATATCTGGAATGTTACAGCAACAAATTTTGGAAACCTGCCGCAATTAGGATTGATGATATCTACCTCGGAGCATACTCCGACAAAGTTGATAAGATCATTGAATCACTGCAGAAAATATCGATGCACGAAGCTGACTTGCTATATGATCTGACATCCAAAATTTTTGTCTATGAGCCTGCACAGCGAGTGTCTGCAAGAGATATCTTAGCTCATCCATGGTTTCATATGGACGATACGACATGAAGATTGGCTTCGAACTGTTCAGGAAAGTGATAAGATAATGATTAGAGGAGTCAATAGACAAAATACAAGTACAGATTCAGAGTGATGTATTGGGTCATTTAAAGAAAATAATACTTGTCCAGCACCCGGTGGTTATTCCCGGAGTGTCGTGGTCTAGAAGCCGGCTCTGAGCCGGCGGGTAAGCTTCCGGCCTGGCCTGGGGTTGCCACGCCGGGATATCCAAGATCTTATTCATGCAATCGTCATCAAAATAAGATGACTGTTGACCGATATACGGATGCTCTCCGTGTTCGGTGTGGCTCATCAGCAAAAATTCTCGAGATATTCCCCAAGGATGGGAATGTTGTTCTCGCAATGCTCAAAGCTCCTCCGGCTTCGCTATTGGTGGGGTGACAGTAAGACGATGGGAACGGAGTAAGCGAATTGGCCCTGACATCGGTGCGATTGAACGAAATGAAGAAATACCTTGGATCATATACAAGAAATTGAATGCATAAAGTATTCATCCCCTTCCAAATATTCGGTCTAGAGTCAATGGTAGCATTCGTGGAATGTTGATTGTCCTGTCACACGATAGGGTCACGTGCTTTTACGAAGATCCTGAGTCATCAGAATCACCCCGCCAAAATCTTTGACCCCTCCAAAATCTCGGGCTCAAATTGGGGCAACGAGACCTACTTCTACCAGACGCTTCCCACTCCGTTCCTGCATAGACGAAGACTAGATCGCAAACGAGACTTATAGACGCATACGAAGGAGACAAAGCTACATCACACGATTGTTACAGCGAACACTCTACCCGACAAACCTTCCCCTCCTCCAACCCCGCCATCATGAGCTTCGACGCTGAGAGCGCGGCTCCAGTGCTCGCCACAGCCGACTTCAAGACTCTCGGTCCCTTGGCCGCTGATCTTGACAAGCACCTCACTCTCCGAACCTATCTTGGAGGTTACACCCTGAGCGAGGCCGACGAGAAGGTCTGGACTGCTCTCCGCACCAACAAGGTCGCCATTGGCCTCGTCCGAAAGGGCGCCTACGCCAACATCACCCGATGGTTCAAGTTCATCGAGGATGCTCACCCTGAGCTGAAGGAAAAACTCAACTCTGGCAAGGAGAAGCGCGTTGGTGGTGCCAACTACAACATTGGCCTCCAGAACACCGAGAATGGTGTCGTCACCCGTTTCCCTCCCGAGCCCAGGTACGTTCTTCACCACAATACGCATCGCGCGACATTACTGACCCTTCGCAAGTGGTTACCTTCACATCGGTCACGCCAAGGCCGCTCTCCTCAACGATTACTTCGCCAAGACTGCCCCCGATGGCAATGGCAAGCTCCTCGTCCGATTCGATGACACAAACCCCTCCAAGGAGAAGCAGGAGTTCGAGGACTCTATTCTCCACGATCTCGAGTTGATGGACATTAAGTACGTCTCCGTCACTCACACCAGCGACTACTTCAAGGAGCTTTACGAGATTGCCGAGCAGATGATCCTCGACGGCAACGCATACGCCGATGACACCGACCCCGAGGTCCAGAAGGATGATCGCAAGAACCGTCTTGCCAGCAAGCGACGTGATCGTCCTGCTGAGGAGAGTTTGGCCATGTTCAGAGAGATGAAGAACGGCACCGACCTGGGCCGAAAACACTGCATTCGCGCTCGCATCGCCTTCGACTCAAGCAACGGCTCCATGCGAGACCCCGTCATCTACCGATTCCCCAACTGGAAGGGCGCCGAGCCTGCTCCTCACCACCGAACCGGCTGGGACTGGAACATCTACCCTACCTACGATTTCGCCTGCCCCGTCGTCGACAGTCTCGAGGGTGTCACCCACGCGCTCCGAACGACCGAGTATGCCGACCGTAACGAGCAATACCACTGGTTCATCGACAACCTCAAGCTCCGCAAGGTCAACCTCTGGGAGTTTGCCCGTATCAACTTTATCCGAACATTCCTTTCCAAGCGAAAGCTTACCAAGGTTGTCGACACCGGTCGTGTCAGCGGCTGGGATGATCCTCGCCTGCCTACCGTCCGCGGTATCCTCCGTCGTGGTTTGACCGTTCCCGCTCTCCGTGAGTTCATGTTGAAGCAGGGACCTAGCCGAAATATCGTCACCATGGACTGGACAACTATCTGGGCTATCAACAAGCGAATGCTCGACCCTGTTGTGCCCCGATACATGGCCATTGAGGAGAAGGACGCCGTTACTGTCACCGTGACTGGCGGTCCTGAGAAGTCATACAAGGAGGATAGACCCAAGCACGTCAAGAACCCCGACGTCGGTACCAAGCAGGTCACATTTGGACCCAAGCTTCTCCTCGACCAAGCCGATGTTGCTGAATTCGCCGATAACGAGGAGATCACCCTGATGAGCTGGGGTAACGCCATTGTCCGCGGCCTCGACAAGTCCGCCTCACCCATCAAGGACCTCACCCTCGAGCTACATCTCGCCGGCGACTTCAAGACCACCAGCAAGAAGGTCCACTGGCTAGCGGCCGACCCCGAGAACCTTGTCAAGGCTGAGCTCTGGGACTTTGGCTACCTCATCACCAAGGACACACTAGAGAAGGATGACAACCTTGACGACTACTTGGCCGATGTCACCGCCTGGAAGGTCGATGCGCTGGTCGACGCTAGTATCGCCGGCCTCAAGGAGAACGACTTTATCCAGCTCGAGCGCAAGGGATACTACCGTGTGGACAAGGCTCTTGGCCAAGGACCCGACGGCCGAGCTGTCCTGTTCAAGGTCCCCACAGGTGGCCAGAAGGGTTAAGCGAAAAGGAAAATAGAGGCGGGGAGGATGAAGTCTTGTGATTTGACGACGGACATGTAGTTATGAAAGACAAAGTACCGTAGTAGAAATGCGAAAAAGAGAAAAAGATCCGGACCATCATGAACTCCCTTGCACATCAGCATTCAGCTTTGCATGCAGCATATGTCACGCTGTTCCTTTCGCAATGATGATTCGCTCTGTTGCGAGGTTTTGATGTCAGCGCTGATGCAGATCCGCCAAATTCGGTATACCCTTGAACGCGATGGGAAAATCCCTGCAGAAAGAGTGCTTCTCAATGCGCATATCAGAGTATGTAAGATTGAACTGCAGGTCTGAGGATACGAGAGGGGGCGGTTGATCGACCCTGTAATCAGCTACACGAGAGGGGAAATGATGGTGTGATTTATTTCTCCACATTAGGCGGAGATTTTCTAGAAGATGATCGATTGTGATGATTATGACGTTGGATATGTGAAGTGAAGTGATTCGGATGTAGGTACCTGTTAAAGATGGATGCAATGAGAATTGTTGAGATGTTGGATGCACGGGGTAAACCAGGCCCCGACGCGCTAGAACCGTTCTATATTCTATTCTTAGGGGGCACTAACCCCGCTGCTGCAGCAGCCTTGATGTCAGCCCAGAAGGGCTGCTCCCGTGTCGTGGCGTAGAAAACGGTCTCGATCTTTCTCAATGCGGTGAAGGATTCATTACTAACGGTAGGCATGTACAGTAAGAACATGACTGAAGGTAACGTGAGATTCGAGTAATACGAGATGCTGCATTGAGCGATGGATCATGGGCATCTCCACAGTTTCTGACGTAGAACAGGACGGAAGATCGGAAATACCCAACGGAAGAATTTATCTGATTCTGCTATTTTGGTCCTTCTTGCTCTGGGCCGAATGTGCCGTGCACGGTTTGCGGGGATGGGCCCGACCTGGCGATGATTCCGGTGCTCAAGCAAAGCACATGTTCAATACGAGAGCTCCTGCTTCAATTATGCCCAGATAGATAGAATCACGAGGTAGCAATTAAAGAATAATGCTACCGTTTTATGCTTCTTCTGTGCCGCTTTATGCTTACGCATAGTTCTACGCCTCCCGCTATGGTGCGGTGCGGTTCATCGGCTGATGTCGGTGGATGGGGGTTGAATACGAGATCCAGCTTCGGCCTGTCGATCACCTCGTGTTGCTCAACGCACGAGGTCTCTACTGCAAGGGAAGTTGAGGTTGGAGCTCACGGTGAGCTATAGCACGGATCAGTATAGCTTGTGGGACTGAGCTTAGAATAGCTGGAGTTTCTATGTCATAAGCTAAGTCCACCGGTGTAGAACATCTATATAAACAGCCTCATCCTCTCCCTTCTCGTCCCATCTCATCATCACACACTCACACATCTCCTCTACCCAAAACACAAACCACTTCCACTACAAACACCTTTCAAAATGAAGTTCTCCGCCGCAGTCTTCACCCTCCTCGCCGCCACCGGCGTCACGGCCGCACCCGCCGCTGAGAGCGTCAACATGATGGCCGCAACCCCCCAGTGGACCATCCGCGACGCCAAGCGCTACTGCCGCTCCGACGACTCCATCTGCAACTGGAAGTTCGGTATCGACACCGGCAACGGCAAGCCCTACGAGTGCCGCTACGACGTCAAGGGCCCCGGCGCCAGCAAGAAGCGCAGTGCCGGCCCCAGCACCTGCGGCGACTTCACCATCACCTCTGGCTGGAGCGACCAGTTCGGCGCCAACAACGGCTTCACCACTCTCTCTGTTGTGTCCAAGTCGAAGCGTCAGATCATCTGGCCTGCTTATACCGATAAGCAGCTTGCTGGTGCCAAGATTGTTAAGCCTGATCAGTCTTATGCTCCTGCTTCTCTCCCCAAATAAGCGAGCGATACTGAATTGAGGTGGATAGAAGGGCTGGGGATTGATGTATAATAATTGCATGTACATATTTGAAGTACGGAAGGCTTGGGGGTTACAATACATAAGCACATCAACATCGTCTGTCAATCATTGGTCAATTATTCCCGAAGTGAAATGTGACATCGCTTCGTCGGCCGAGTGCCGTCGGGCTTTCGGCCGGACGGTTCGGCACCTTGTAACGCAATCATCATTGCACCACATGAGCATGCGCAATAGTAACAGCCAGTATAGCTTTGCAGTTTACGGGGTAATAATAATAATGAGTCGCTGAATCTCGGATAGTTACCCGTTCGCCGAAATCTTTGTCTCGTCAAGATTTACTCAATGAAAGTGCAGGCCGAGTACCCGACCAACGCTTCTCGTTGGCCGTGAGTGCTGTAGCATTGCCTACTGGGAAAACATGTGTCTACAATATCTCCGACCACTAAACGTCAATGACATCTTATCAATTGCCCTTGGTCAACTTTGTGGCGCGCCGCCTCGTTACACCAACCTCAGCTTAGCTGTCTAAAAAGCCCGGTTACCCTGCAGATGGCACATTTACAACTTTTTGCCCGACGTTGCTTGCAATTGGTATACGATTGTTTGATGACTAGAGGCTTCTTAGTTATATGTGTACATAGAATTGAACTCGCGACGATGATTTTATATCGTGTTCGGAAGTTCTGGCTACTTGTCTCATCCAAATGGAATCTACGTCTGCCAAATTATTCATGGTGCCGTACAGGATGAACGCGTAGGTGGTGCGCTGTCAGCGAAGAAATGGCAATTATCTATTGCGAACCAAGACTTGAGCTCTGTAGTGCTAAACTTGCACTACTCTCCTACCTATGCACCTTTGTTGACGTTGGTGAACGCCAGCGGTTCAGTGTGATCATTAGCCGCAACTCCAGAGAATTAATTGAAGGCGCCGGAAGATCCCCGCCCAAAATTTAGCTTCCTCACTGGAAAACCACAGAACTCAAATACGTCGCCTCATCTCCAAACACACAACCGCCCGGAAGATGTCAGTTTTGTGATACGTGAGAGTACCAGAAAGGCAAGGTCAATGGTGTCACACTTTGCATCTGCAGACCGTTCTGGCCGTTTCCACAATTGATGCACGTCCAACCGTCGGGAAGCAGATCATTAGCCCCAAGGCTCCTATTCTAGAAGCCTGCCCTGGATCACTGGAACTCACCACGATGATGGATGTGGCTGCTGCAGACAAGTTACCCAACCTCCAAAATGCTGCGATACGTCAATGCGGCCAGAGAAGCGCCGCGAAGTTAACGCCGCGGCGGGAATCACCTTCTCATTCTAATCACCGCAACAAAAGCACCCAATTGCAACAGGCGCCAACATCAAGGTCAATCAACACCAAGAGGCCTCACTCCGCACCGCCAAAAGACGCGTCGACACAATATATACTCACCAGAAAATGCAAATTAAGATCGTCCAAATAAAGTCAATTGAGGCGTTCGCCAAGCTGAAACAAGATGAAGTTAGGCTCACCACTCAGAAACGGTAGTAAAACCCAAGACCGGTGACACGCGTATGTCTTGGCTTGGCGCGTACCAATCGACTTCCCCCCTCGAGCTTCTCTACCAGAAAGTTACACAACGAGCCGTTGCTGGGATACATAGCCACACGGGTATTTTATGCGAGCGCGAGTGACAGTTTTGGCATGTGAGGTGGTGCTGTGATGAGCCGGGACGCTCGGGGAAAATGTCATGCTTTTTTTGCTGTTTACTCCGCCAAGTAATGACGGTCTGCCAAGAAGCCCCCTGATCAAACTGGGTATTAGCATCACGAGGCCTTAGCACCAGCCATGCACGAAACCAGTTTTTTTTTTTACAGTCAATGAGCGACATGTCTATGACTGTATCCTCAATCAACAGCTCACTCCTCATTCCAGCAACTCCCATGGTCAAATATGTCTCGCGTGAGAAAGACCTCAAACCTTGATTCCTTGCAGCCCATGTTTCAGTGGTCGTGGAGGAAGAATAAGGTAATATTTAAGCATACCAGGGGCTGGACCAATAAACCCAGTGGAGTGGTGGAGTTGGCGCATTAAAGTTTAGCGCCCTCCCTCTGTGAAAGGGGGCATATTTTAGAAGAGTACTTTGTCACTGTCATAGATTTGAGGGGAGGAGAGGGTATATTGTTATCGTGCAAGGGCTTGCGTGGCCCGTTCAATCTCGCTCTAGCACAGGAGATCTTGGCCTTCTTTGTTATTGCGATGGACCTCACTTTGTCTCATCCCCGGCTCGTGATGTTTGTCCAACGAGATCTCTTACGCTGCTCGTCTTGACTTCAATTCACCTCCATGCATTCAATCATGCACTGCAAATCAGGTCCATACCTTTTCAAAATGTCAATTACGTGGCTCCCTTCGCCAAGACTTGACCATTTGCCAATAGAGTCATGAATAAACACCCCATGTCACTGGCGTCTTGGCCTTCAACCTTCTTGTCTCGTCCATAGGTCAAAACCCGCCAAGAAAATTCACCTCGTCGCAGCGCCTGCACTGCCCCGATGCCCAGAGACTTGGCTCGTACCAATAAACTTGCCAGTGCCATTTTATTTCCCCCCTTGTTTTGTGTGTGCTTTGTACGTAGTAAAGAAAAGATCCCCGGCTTTCCGTCCCACCTTTGATCTACCCAGATCTCTCTTCTGTCTCTTTTGACGGGCTTCTTTCTTACTTTTTGCATTCGCTTTTTCTGCCGTAAACTTTGACATCGAAAACGCTCGTTTTTTCCCATTTGGACTTTTATTTCCCGATCCTGTCTGCTTTGGCGGGAGGGCTTAGTTCACACACTGAGGTCTGGTGCTTGTGTCGCTCGCTTACAAGCTACCCTGATTGACCACCATATCACGACGTCGCTTCATATCGACGCCCATTTCCTTATAGAGGGATTCATACCTAGGCTGGGCGACATGATGTTTTCTTCACCGACAGCCTTTGTGGCTCAGGCTGCGCTTCTGGGAGGTCTTCTCGTTCAATCGGTCGACGCACAGTATTACAAGATTGGAACAAAGGGTATGCGATGCCGACGACCGTAGTGGATGGAAGAGGAATACTAATCGACATATAGATGAGATTAAGCAATCAGCACGAACACTGGCGTATGATCTCATGTTGCAATATGACGGTAACCAGACTGGCATGATTCCCGGTATCTTGCCCGGTCCTCCAACAGAATACAAGGGCGACTACTACTGGTGGGAAGGTGGAGCGATGATGGGAACATATATCGGTGCGTCGGCATTGACAGCTCATCGAAATGGATTGAAGACTAACCGGGGGGCAGATTACTGGAAGCTCACCGGCGACGAGAGCTACAACCACGTAGTGATGGAGGGCATGCTTCACCAAACAGGCGACGGCCACGATTACATGCCCAGCAACCACAGCGCATCCCTCGGAAACGACGATCAAGGCTTCTGGGGCATGTCCGCCATGCTTGCAGCAGAGAACAAATTCCCCAATCCACCCGATGACCAACCCCAATGGCTCGCCCTCGCACAGGCCGTATGGACGACACAGGCTAAGCCCGAGCGACACGATGACGAGTGTAACGGTGGAATGCGATGGCAGATTCCCTTCACCAACTCTGGATACGATTACAAGAACAGTGCGTCAATCTCTGGCCCATAAGCAGTGGGGGGTTGTAGCTAACATTTTTGCAGCCATTGCCAACGGATGCTTCTTCAACATCGGCGCTCGTCTTGCGCGATACACAGGAAACGAAACATATGCGAAATACGCCGAAGAGACGTGGGAGTGGCTCTGGAACGTCAACTACATCGATCACGAGAGGTGGCTCGTCTACGATGGCGGACACGTCGGAAAGAACTGTACCGACATCAACAAGGCCACCTTTTCCTACAACGCCGCCATTCTCATCCAAGGCGCTGCCTTTATGTACAACTTTGTAAGTCCACTCACCTCCCCCAAAACACATCCACTTACAATCGCAGACCAACGGTTCCAATGTATGGGAGGACCGCATCGACAAGCTCCTCGACGCTACGCTCAAGAACTTCTTCCCCAAGGACATCATGTACGAAGTCCCCTGCGAGGGCCGCAAGGGCGCCTGCTCGACCGACATGTTGTCCTTCAAGGGCTACGTGCACCGCTGGCTCGCGGTGACAACACAAGTCGCGCCCTTCACCGCGGAAAGGATCCTCCCCGTGCTGCAGACATCCACAGAAGCGGCCGTGAAGCAATGCACGGGCGGAGACTCGGGTCGCAAATGCGGTTTCTACTGGAGCGGTGGTGAATTCGTGGACCCTGCTGTTGACGAGACTAGCGGTGCGGGCGAACAGATGAACGTGCTAGCTGCGGTGTCGAGTTTATTGATCGGCGACGCTGAACCGCCTGCGACGAATAAGACGGGTGGTATTTCGAAGGGTGATCCAAAGGCCGGTGAGGATTCGCATGATAATCCTGAGCCGGAACCTATCACGACTGCGGATCGGGCGGGAGCGGGTATCCTGACGTTCTTGGTCCTTGCGGGTGCTGTTGGAACGTTTGGATGGATGTGTTTTGATTGAGCGATTTGAAAGTTTGAGTATGGCGTTGGTTTTGAACATATACAAGAAACTCGACTGGCGAGCGAGGAATACGTTTTTGTTTGTAATTGTTGTTTTGTTCTTTGTTGGAGAATGGAGTTGCGTATCCCACCAGGATTGAGGGATTGTTAAGACCTTGATGGGAGATACCCAGCGAAAGGCAGCATTCTGATAGATTTGTTTAAATACAGATGCTTGATAAGTTACTCTCGTTTCGTCTCTCGTCTTGACCTTTGAACCTGTCTCAATTGAACGTCGCGCTTGGGAATCGTGCGTTCATGCTGGGCACGATTGAACCTAACAGCCAAGAACTTCAACGGTTAACAGCAGCTCGGCGTACCACAAGGCAGAGAGGAGAATTGGCAGCGAAGAATAGAATGAGCTGCGATGATGCTCTGGTGTTGCGCTGGAGCTTCCACCGAGGCTTGCGACTTGGTCTTGGACGCGGCTAATGGAAGAGCGCGAGTTGCCGGCAATTCTGAGACGCATTGTCGCCAGAGTGGGGGTTCAATGCCCATGCATCATACAATGCTAGTGACTTCTAAGGATTAACAGAAGCCGAGCACGTCAATCCGACGAAGCGGCCTACCTTGCCCCGATTGATTGACCATGAGGAACACGTGCAGGCTTATTTTGGATTGGCGAGAGTGGTTGACTTGTCGTAATTGTGGGGCTAACCCACGGCCTTTCAGCCTTGCTCAAACTTACGACATTCAACTTCCACTTAAACAACCACGCAGTGGATTTACTCTTCTTATAGCAATAAAACCGAAGTACTTGCTTTTAACGAGCTTGTTTAACATTTGCAAAGGTTGAGGTAGTATCAATAGAAGTACAAGCTCCTGCACCCGTCTCCGTCAAACGAGTGGCCTGCGGAACAAGGAGAATTGAGAAAGCGCCCGGCGAGTCCAACAGCAGCACCCGCCTACCATGCCTCTTCATCGTCAAGTGACGAAAGCGGACACTGGGTGGCCAATAACTCAAGCATAGCAAAATGACGGACCTTCTAGCTCAAAAGCAACGCCTACCATGCCCGCAACTCAAGAGCACGGCCCCACAAACTCCTAAGCAGACCGATGGATGTCGCACCAGATGTCTGGAAAGATTTCGAAAAGAAAGGGAATGAAGCTACGGAAAGGCGTGAGTGATGCGAAGCAGGGATAGTGGGTTGATAAAGCCTGGGAGATCAACGCCAAGTGGAAACTCAAAGGTAAAGATGTTAAGTTTTAGAGGAAGATATCCCGTCCGCGTGTTGGATTTATGAGAATGATTTCAAGAATCCTGTTATTGCAAAATGGTAAAACCACTTCTATAAAAAGAGTGTTTTGCAAAGATAGGGAAAAGAACCTGAGTTGAAGATTTGTGATGATGCGACGATGGGGTTTTGTATCAAGGTGTCGAAAACATGAGTGAGTGCAAAGAGGAAGAAGGAAGAGCAAGAGAGTTTAGATGAAAAATTGGAAGAATAAGATCTGAGAACCAGATGAACTACTATGGATGAAAGAGCCTGAATATTTGGAAGAATAAGATAAAAGCATGGCTGTTGATAATGCTTCTCATCTCTAACCTCCCAGATAAAAGCTAACAAGCGAAGGGCTTCTCTAACCCTCTGCTGAGGTTTCTGATAAAGAGGGCTCAAAATCTTAATGGATTAAAAGTGAGATATAAAGTCTATGTCGCTGGATAGAAGGATCAGGGTTTTCGAAAGCTGGGTCTATTCTCAGCGCTACGTGGAGGACTCTCGATACCTACCAGCAGAGAAGTCGATTCTAGACAGCAGCCAACCAAGCGATATCATTGAACTGGTGAGATGTATTATAAGTCGTCAATAGAACGGTAAGCCCCTCTATTTAGACTAGAATGCATTTATCAGGCTCAATCAACGTGGAATAGAGTGTTTGGGTAACTGTCACGACAACAGTCCGCAACCCCTCTCTTTGAATGATGATATAAATGTACCAGTTACTTCTGCCATAACATAGAACGAGGGTTCAACTTGTAGCAAATGTGTTGGATAATAGGCATTGGTTCTACTGCTGGAAATATGGGAACTTGGAAAGGTTCAAAGACAAATCGAACCCTCGTGGTTACAAAACATAGGTAATAGACAATTCAACGAGCACTTTTTAGCTATAGCGTCTTTACTAACGTCAGTTCCATAAGAACATTAGTCCTTAATGAAATTTTGGCAGAACCGTTCCGGCCTTGAACTGTATCGCTGTCCTGCTCGGCTTTCCCGTTGTCCCAGCCACTCCTTCAAAACCAAGCCAATCATCCATCTCCAGGCACCTCAACGAAGCCACGCGTGAGTTACCGCAGCATCATAGTATGGAAGTTTCCGAATGCCAAAGACACCAAAACCACGCGGTTCCCCTAGAACAGGTTGAGACTTTTTCTCTTCTTGTAATCGTTCGCCTTATGATCAATTTTCAACATGGCATCTACAGCAGACAACGTATACGAGTTCTACCGGCCCTCAAAAATATTGGCGCTTGTCGTTTGCGTCGTATTCGCAGTTCTCACTCTTGTTCATCTATGGAATATCTTTCGCTACCGAAAGTGGTTCTGCCTCACTCTTGTCCTCGGAGGACTCTGTATGTCCCCAACTTACCCAAAGACTATCGACCATCCTTCTAACACTTCCCTCATAGTTGAGACCGCGGGTCTTGCCGCAAGGATATACTCGACCGACCACCTACGAGACCAAGGATCGTACGGCACGCAAACACTCCTGATCCTCCTCGCGCCCATCTTCTTCTCCGCGGCAATCTACATGTTCCTCGGCCGAATCATCCGCGCTTCTGACCATCCAGACCTTTCCATCATACGAATATCATGGCTTTCCAAGTTCTTTGTGACAGGCGATGTCTTATGCTTCGTCGTTCAGGCTTGCGGCGCAGGAATGCTCGTCAACGCCAACAATACAGCTGATGAGAACAGTGGGGAAAATGTTGTTCTTGCTGGACTGGCTCTTCAGGTTGTCATATTGGTCATCTTCCTACTCTGTGCGGGAACATTTCATGCACGACTTGCGAGAAGAGGACTCATTGGGGCGATTAATCCGAACCTCTTGTTGGTTATAATGCTCAGTGAGCTATATGCCTGTACGATACTGATTCTATTCCGAAATGTGTTTCGACTGGTTGAGTTTGGGCTTGGGGACGATGGATATTTGCATGCGCATGAATGGCCGATTTACGTACTTGATATTCTCTTCATGGCTATCGTTATGGCGTTGTCATTGAATTGGTACGCCGCTGATCTGACGGCCGATCATAATCCTTATAGACAACAACCAATGTCTGGCACGGCTTAGATCAATTTGATAGAATTATGAGCGTTTTAAGACCAGTATGAGAGGAGTTGTAGGTTCTGCCAATTTGTGCTTCAGCTCTGATAGGAGGAATTACGCACGAGATAGAGTTTTAGAAATGCAATTAAGGCTTGGCTGACAATCGTCGAAGATGGGATATGCTACCGATGGCTTAGGTTGATAGACGAGCCAATAGATCTCGAGATATTCTGGTGTCCCTCTTGTCAGCAGCTACTGCATGTCCAAGGATATCCCGGTGATCGGGGATAGCAGGAAGAATTAGAGTTTGCCCGCGACAGCCCTAACCAAGCACGGAGAAATTCTCGCGTTTCGGTATAATATCCACTGCATCATAACCCCAAACTCTAATAACCGCGCACAATGCCCCCTTCACTCAAACATGACTCTCTTCAATGCTACATATCGCCTCACAGCTCCATTTCTCACCCGAAAACTCATCGCCAAGAGAATGATAGTCACATAAACTTGACAGCGGATGGCTTTAGCGCCGTCAAACCATCAACCACTTGCACAAACAGGTGGGGAGAAGATCAGCAGCACCAACTCTTGAGCTAGCCAGGGGTAAACACAGAAAATCAGACGGTTCCCCACGTTCTCCAGACGTTGGGATGCCAAGATATGGGGGCACTGACGTCGAAAAAACGACGACATTTCCAATTTGGCTGTAACGTTCTCCATGATGATTTAAAGTTACACTGGAGATAGAGTACCGAGAGCCAAGCGGCTCGGCGATAACACTTTAGCATCGGAGAAAAGTGGTGAAATCGGAAATTGATCGTATTGTATGCTTATGCTTGCGTTTATATCGCCTTCTAATATCAATACATGTAAATAATCGCTCACTTTGCCTCCCATACGTTACTCTACTGACTTGATCAAATGATTCCTCTACTCCAAACAGACAACCACCATGGTGTACAACTTAATCTAGTCATCGTGGTGCTCAATCTCATCGGCCACTAAGCTCAAGATATTCTCCTCCCCTGGCACATTTTGAGGGAAGCGAGCGTTGTAGCCGATGACAGATCGGGCCTTCAAATAAGTTCGCGTAGGAATAGAAACCTTCTGAGTGGAGACGAGCCACTTGACATCCTCACTACAGGGCGGTGTAGTAAGCGAACCCGAGTATCTAAGACGACAAAAACCGTCAGCGGGCATTACTTTTTCTTGGCATGCTTAGTAGACTTACGATTGGAAATCGCCCTTGTTGAGAAGAGATACAATCTCGGACATTTTGAGCGACTTGATGTGAGTGGTTTGTCCTAGGGTCGCAATCTTATCCACCGAGTTGAGAACGGTAGTAACGACAGTGGATTTCGTAGCAGGGGTGTCTGTCTTGCCCTTGCGCGTCTCCCTGAATTTATACGAATCGGCCGCTCCATCGTCGAGATCGATGAAAACACCGATGACAGCGAGTTTGTTGTCCGCACTTGCGTGAACCATGTGCATCTCCATGGCCAGACTGGTACCGTTGTCAATGTGCTCGCTGGGAAGATGGAAGTGGAATTGCTTGAGATGATATGTCGTGTTTTCGATGGTGATTTTACCGCCGAGTCCTTCGGTGACTACTTCGACGGTACTTCCCAAGTTCTCAAACTCAGCGCCCTTGGTAAAGTTTGGGATCTCAATGTTTAGGTCTGAGGCGGGGATGATGTTGAATGAACCGTCGGCGAGGTTGATGGGGGATTGGTGGTGACCAGTTGCGCATAGTTCGTTGGCCTTGGGGTCTAAGTTGTACCAGTTTGCTGGGCCCTGTTGTATAAAGTCAGTAACCTGTATGGAGCTCTCTGAAGCCCTCGATGGATAAGAGAGACAGCAGATGAAGCCTTAGGTGATTGAGTGGCGTACATTGGCAGCAGAGTATCCAAATTTGGGAGCTTGAATAACATCGGCTCTCCGGTGAAGATGCGTCCCATACGCACACGACGCATGAACCTGCGGCGCACACGCAGCCAGAACAGCTAACAAAGATACCCAAGAAGTCATATTTGAAGAAATTGTCTACGTCAAAAGTTGGGGAAACCGTTGACACTCAAGAAATAAGGTAAAACACAAGCTTGTACAGATCTCAAACGCTTGAAACCGAGAAACACTCTCCATTTAAGTATTCCTTCATCCTCATCCCTACAATCCCCGACAGGTAATATGAACCCAGGGTCATAATCCAGGGGTCTACAGGCTGGGGCTTACATCAACGGCAACGGTAGCTAGCTGACTGCCGCCAAAGTCACGCCACAATGCTCGTACCGGCCAGACCGGGGGCGGTGGATCTAAAACGGGTGTGGTTATTGCCTCGACGCAGTAATGTTGCTGAAGAAAATGAAATAAGCGTCGCTGGGTATGCCCAGTTCAGTTATGTCCGAGTGTCCCATTGAAAACCGGGGGACGTTTTTGGTCTTGCGCATTTGGGTTAGAGTAGACCCTGAACTCAACATTAGTCTGCATGAATCAATTATGCTTTTGGCCAAACAATGCGTCTAAACTGCTGTCGCACACGTGAACTCGTGAAGCCTCATAGCGTTGCACTCGTAAATCCAGTTATTTATCGGTCTTCACCTCGAGTATCCTCTTAAAGCGCAACTCTGGATAATAAAATGACGTGTGCCAGGTTGTTATTTACGCCCGCAAAGCCCCGCGGAGCATCGCATTAAACTGGACACTCTCCATGGAGATGAACAGCGGAAAACATCACTGGCTGGAACAAAACCTCCAGGACCTCTAGAAAAACCGTTGCCAAGCGCCAGGGGTAAGCCGTTCAAGGGTCTGGGGGGCTCAGGCGGGGCAGAGGTTCTGGACTCCTTGGCAGTGCATTGGCTGTAATCTGACACACGGCCTCGACCTGTGGCTTGAGAATGACTCGAGGGCGTGGAGATGGTAATTTCATTTCTTAAATCTCTCAATTATGGAGTTCTCGGAAAGGATTATGAATAAGCTTAAGTTTTGAACGATGCTACGTTTCTCCGTACAGTTGTAACTTGATCGAGTCAGGTGACTTGGCGATAGTGGATTCACGATAACAGAATCCAATGGAATCATGTTCTGCATGACGACGACAAATCCGCTCAACCTCACTTACATCCATCCCAAACTCTTATCACAAGTGCCAAGACTTCAATATTAAGCTCTTTCCTAGTCTCCTTCCTATCCTGCACAACCCAGCCTAGCCTCAACCTACCGACAATTCGGCTTCCATCCCACTTTACCCCTCATCAAGCATTACCAACCCAGTCACGATACCACAGCAGTTGATACGACATACGCAAGCTTCTCACCTGTCATTTCCCTTCGATTTCATCTCGCGATCCTTCGAAACTCAATCTTGCACTGTTAGACATGGCTCCCTTGTACCAAAAGACCCTCGTGCTCGGTGCTTCTTCCGGTATTGGAGAGGCCCTTGCCGCCAAGCTCATAGCCACAGGGACAAAAGTCATTGTCGTCGGTAGACGGAGCGATAAGCTTCAGGAGTTTGTGAAGAAATATGGAGATGATAATGCAAGGGCTGTGGTGTTTGACGTCACGGACCTGAATGGAATAAAAAGCTTTGCCGAATCTATCACCCAGTCCGATCCAGATTTGGACTCTATCGTGTTTAGTTCAGGCATCCAAAGAGGATTTGACTTTACCAGCCCCGAAACTCTGGATCTATCTGTTCTTGGCGACGAACTTACCACCAATTACACATCTGCCGCCCATCTCACCGCAGCATTCCTCCCTCATCTCAAGGAACAGCCCCAAGGCCATCTAATCTACATCAGCGCGACGCTTGGCCTAATTCCTTCAATGATCCGAACACCAAACTACAATGCTTCCAAGTCGGCCCTTCACACTTTCATCCTAAACGTTCGAGAACAACTCAAAGCTAGTGGAGCTTCTCACGTCCGCATGATCGAAGTTTTTCCGCCGGCTGTTCAGACGGAGTTGCATGATGAGAAACATCAGCCTGATCTGGTGAACGGTGGAGAGATTGGAATGCCGCTTGGTGAGTTTACGGAGAGGATGTTTGATGGGCTTGTTAAGGGTGATGAGCAGTTTGCTGTTGGGCCGGGGGAGAGTCTGTTTAAGGAGGATGGGTTTGAGACGCAAAGAATGAAGCTTTATGAGGCGGGGCGGGAGTTTATTAACAAGTCTTTGGCCAAATACCTGAAGAAGTAGAGGCAATAGTATTTCAGAACTTAAGAAACTAGATTTGAACTTATGGTTTCTGATAAAGTCTAGCATGTAAGAGACTGGAATTCCTATGCCGGAGGAACATTTGTAAGAACCCCTACTTTTATGCATAATTGCTTGCATAATTACTCGTAAACCTAATTCTTCTCGGTTATAATCTCTGCTAGGCTATGCTATTATTGTGAGCATACGAGATCTCCCAATTAAAATCTGGGGCATTAACAAAATTGGACTGACCCAATACCTTTCCTCAAATTCGACTCACTTCACAGCTCATGCGCACTCCCCTCCATCTAGTTGCATGCATCAATCTACATGAAACTATCAAAATTTCGGATGAAGCCGGACATCTATGAAACAAACCTACATACTCTCCAAATCGCGCATCCTCAGGTGGCCCATTCTCGTATGATATCAAGCCACAGCAGCATAGCCTCACATCCCTGTCCTGGCTTACCTCTCAAATTCCTGACTGTCATGCCGATATTTTGGGAAGGTTATGTAAGAAGCTAAAGAAGGAAGGTAAGCATGCGGATGGCGTGGCGAGTATTACTTCAGCTATAAGCAACATGCTGGATTTGGAAATGCGCAGCGCTTGGTGTCAGAGCTGAGATAGCATGTGATATAAACCACCTGTACGCTCATCCGCGACCGAAAGTCACATTCTGATTGTGTTTCAAACACCTTTAGGAAGACCAGCTTTGGTGATTTGCATGGGGCCCAACTGGAATGATCCTGAATCGTATTCTCATCAACTATCTTAGCTACATAACCCTTATTCTCATGGCCTGTAGTAGATCACCGCGATGCCTATGTACATAAAACAGCCTTACATCACCACAGCGACGTGATCATCCATATACTTCCCGATATCTCCCAAGAAAAGAGAAGCGAGGACAGAAACCGCACCAAACGCAATGCTCACATAATACACCCACTTGTATGCCTCGGCATAGGCAATCTGGCCAGCCTGGATCACAATCTTATACAGCGCTTCATTTCCCGCGATACCTGGTACCTCGGCAATCTCGTCCAGCAAAGAAATACTAGTCAACCCAATGACCTCCCCGATGACTTCAGTTGAGGTGATGTTGCCATACTTCACCATCGCGCCACCAATGTAGTGTATAGCAGCAGGTGTGAACTTGGCCACAAGGACATTGTAGTAAATGGTGTAACCGATGCTACCGCCAATGACGCGGATGCTCAGAGTAAGCGCTGCGATAGTCGCGATGAGATCGTCGGGGCAAATGATTGTCGTGATGATACTTGCTGGGACGACGATTCCTCCGATGCCCAGGCCAGCCAGGACGAGAATTCCCCATAGGGTGGACATGTTGTCGGGCCTTGCAACAGACATGGCGCCACATCCAGCCGTCATCAGGATACTCGAGATAACCATGAGTGATCTGTTTGCACCTCTAAACACAGACAGGAGCCAGAGAACAATGCATGCACCAGCCATGATACTGAAGCCAACAGGAATACCTCGGATTCCGACTTGCACGGGGTCATGACCATACACGTTGAAAGCCTGCGTAGGCCAAAACATGAGGATGGAAAAGAAGTTTGCGCCAGAGATGAAGGTGATGATGAGCGTCAGGGTAAGAATCCGAGGCGCTTGGTTGATGCGGCGGGGAAACATGGGATACGGCGCAAAGAAGCCCTCCCAGATGACAAAGAGGACCACCAGAGCCGCACCAAGAATCAAAGGAACAAGGACATGGGCCGACTTCCAAGAATACATGTATCCACCCCACTGCAATCCAGCCATGAACAAGATCATACCAGAAATGCTAAGAAAACCGCCGACGAAATCAATGCGCTTCAAAATTTCTCCTCGCGTCAGGCCCTCTGAGTTGACACGAGGCGGTGGGAAGTAGAACAAAGCTGTCAAGACAAGACCGACAAAAGCCCAGAGAGCACAGAAGAGGCCGATGTATCTCCATGTCGAGTGTGCAGCGATGAGCTGTGCCCAGAGCACAGAGGGACAAAAGGGCACGATTGTGAAGATCAGGATGGAGACGTACTTGCCACGCTGGGCAGTCGGTGCCATCTCAGAAGTTGCTGCTAGGGCGGTGAGTTCGTTGATACCGGCTCCGACTCCCGCCAAGACCATTCCACCTGGATCACTAGTTAGCCTTGATCTGTCAAATGTGAAGGGGTGGAGGGCGTACCGATAAAGACATTCATTGTGTGAGCGGTAGAACAGACGATCATTCCGAGGACGATAAACGACGCGCCGGAGAGCGCAACGTATCGACGGCCGAACATATCCGATAGAGATCCCACAAACGGACAGACCGCTGCTAGCGAGAGAAGGTTGGCTAGAACAAACCAGGTCCAACGGTCATGTCCCCCGATATCAGCATAGATGTACGGCGGAACACCTCCGAATAGATAAACAGGGATCTGGGAGCCCGTCCAGAGAAAGGCTTGTGAAACGAGGGCCATGAAACGTCTTTTTGTCATCTAAAAATGAGTGTTAGTGTGCTCGAATATCTGGGCTCGTCTTCTGTATACCTTCGTAGACTGGCCCTCACCGGACTCATCCGCATGAGCCTGGAAGGCGTCCTTCTCCTGGCCATAAGTGACGGCAGCATGCTCAGTCTCTACATGGGTAGGCTTCTCGCTTTCGGAGTTCTGCCCACTGCCTTCGTGGGCGTCCAATTGCTTCGGACCCATGGCAATGTCTTCGATGGGATAGTGCAATAGGATATCTGGTTGCGAGGAATGTTGATTTGTTCAGTGAGTATGAGTTGGTGAGGGAAAGGAGTTATTTAAATTAATTATTATTATGTTACAGTGATCGACTGTTTATCATACTTATAAGGCCACTGCTCCGATCGATAACTTCAAGGTGCCGAGGCACCCTTTCATAAAACGAGGGGTCAGGATACGCTATTGAGAGTCTAGACTTGATTTGAATGGCAGGAATTGATAAGTAGCCACGGAGAGAGATAAAATGGGATAGTTTCCAGAGTTTCTGTGATAGCAAATGACCCTTACAAGTCATTTGCGATCGGCTCTTCGGCACCTTTAACACGAATCAAGTCTAGCATCGGGAGATGGAACCCACCTTGCAGGACAGCCACGTAGTTCGATCTGCCAATCGCAACTTGTGTCTTTTTTAACATGATGCTTAATATTGGGCAGAGATGAACAATACACTCGACTCCAATGTCTGGTGCTTCAGCATGGTAGAACGAGTCTCAGAACGGAATATCGTGGTACATTCACCCCTTCCTCTTGATCTGTCTGGCCTTCCAGATAAACTGAAGAGCAGAAAGAGTCTCAAGATTCCAGCAGAAGTAGCGGGTTGCGGCCACGGAGTATATCCCCGTTTCTGTCTTGGCGCGTTAATGCGACCTCGGCCCCGCGGACCTAACCTGCTAACCCACGGGGTCGAGCGCGGGGAACCTTGCTTAGTTCAAATGCCCCAAAAGCTTGCCTCAATTCTAAGCAGGGTTCCCCGTCAATTAGTTCGCGGGGCCTATGGAAGCTGGAAGTCTGTAGAGAATAGCTTGCTATTGATGGGTTGCCAAGTCGTCTAGATCTATCTTGCCGAGAGATTGTCATGCGCACAGACTCAAGCTTGCCTCGTCTAGTCGTGGTACTCGAATCGTGTAGTTAGGAATGGTTGATATGCAGCATTTTGGCAGGTCTTGGACAGAGCCCTCGACAGCTTTAACAAGTCTTTACACCAACTCAGATCATTACCTTGCATAACAAGTTCACAAGGATTTCACTACATCTTTGATTCCCCTTCGCTACTCCTATCCATATAAACGGTTATCATACGGACACTGACACTATTAAAGACCAGATGAATTACTCTATATTATCTCGCAATTAGCATAGAGGCTGAAAGCTTTAAGACACCTTGTCATCATTATATACGATCGGTAGTTCGCTCGTGTGCTCGTTCTTATTTAGACTATACTTAAGCACTGTTTAAAACTAAGAATCTTAACAACAAGCGCAGGCAGCCTAGAGCTCTGCGGGGCTTGAGACTTGACTCGGAAGATGTCCGTGGGGCTTATTGACGATTTTAACCAGCAAGTTTCGTCAGTAATGTATGCTCTCAAAGAAGGAAAGTCACTAGTTGTACTCGGGAACAATATTCTCAACCGGACATGCCTCCAATGCACTTCCATATCTGCTCTTCACATCTCGCCACTCCGGCCCTCCGCGCTCCTGACTGATGACACGATATCTCCTCTCCCCTCCTACCACTCTGCATATCAAGGCGTTGTTAGCCGAATACCTATTCCCATGAGAGAGGTCACCCGAGACAATATATTCTAGGGACTTAATCCCATTTGAACCAAAGGCCCAGTTCGCAAACTCTCGGAAGCTTTGTTGCAAAGGTGGTGTTTTCCACTCTCTTCTCTCTCTCACAGCGGTTGCGAACTCTTCGAGGCTAAGACGAACATGTTCTTCGGCATCGCCGTTGAGTGAGCTGCCTGCCTTTGTTTTGTCGTCGATGGGCACGCCTTCATTCTCTCCTTCAGTGATCTTGAGTTCTAGGGCGTGATTGAAGACCCAGGATGCACTGGGACCTGAACTCATTCCTGTGTGTCGAATGTGAAGCACTTTCAGTGACCGCTTGGACACGAAGGGAAGCAGAATGTCTTTCTACAGTTATTGCTTAGCATTCACATCCTAATAGTAATTATGGTCACTTACAAGGTACTTCGGTGCACATGTCAACCCAATGAAATCTAGGTTGAGTCTCGAAAGCGGATTCTGTGAAGGGTCTTTCCGGATACAGTTTCGGTCCTCAGACGATATCCCTAAATCCGATGAATCTCTACCCAAGCGTGAGTTCAACAGCTCTTCATCCTGGTCCGTGATCCTCTGATGATACACAAATCTTTTCAGACTTGCCGCATGGCCCGCGACATGTTCCCAGAACTGAAGAGATGACGTCGGACCGCATATACTAACGGTAAGTTCTTCGAGTCCCTTGAAGGAATCGATAAATTCAGTGATGGTGGCGGCTTTGCTCTTTGCGGTTTCGTGCGGCGTATCCAGGCAGAAGTCCAGTATTTCGAGAGTATTGAGTTGAAGTGGCGTTTGTGATTCCATGATGCTAGATAGGAAGGGCATCCAGTACGCGCACATCCTCAACGACAGATGCCTGAGAGCATTAAGGTTAATGGAAGAAGCTGTGACCTGTATACCAGTGTTCTCATCTCTCAAAGGGACCCGGGTGAATTTTAGACTCCGCAAGTTCGGAAAGCATGTCCGCTCAGCTGCTTCCGAAGCAGCCTCCTGCAGACCAAACATCTGCCGAGAAAGCATAGTACTTGCTGGTATCTTATCCCATACTTCAGGGTTATCTTCGTGATGAATCACCGTGGACTCGCGACTCTCTCGATCTTGAGACCAGCCCTGCAGCTCCAATTCCAGTTCCTCCAACTGCCTCGCATTGGCCTTAACAAGGTTAGCAATGTTGTCAAAATGACAACCCATAGGTGCTTTCCAGATGAGTCGTCGAAGGTTATGAAATGCCGAGAGGTCTATGTCAGCTGTTCGGCTCCAGCGGTTGAATCGGCTACAGAAAGGGTCCGTGACGAGGCTAAGACTCTGGATGGAGGAATGCTTGAGACTCAGAATCTCGAGAATCTCAGAGGGTATGCACGATGTATAGTTCCAACTAGGATCTGTTAGAAAATGCCCTCTGATGCGTATGCCTCATACCTGAAAGATTCGAGTTGCCCGTCCTTGAAACGGTTAAGCAATATCACAGCCCTCTGCGCAAGACACTCAAACTTCACGCGAAGAAGCTTTCCACCCTCAAGCCCAAAGCTATCGCCCCTAGCCTCCCAAGTATACTGATGAAGGGGGACTTTCTCGGCCCAGTTGCCCATGTAACCAAGCCAGTCACTCGCATGGATACATCGTTTCGGGTCTGCGTCGACACCAGGATCAAAGCGGAGCTCTCTCGTATACTGAAGACAAGGCTGCGATGGTCCATAAGGGCTTATGCAATGTCGCTCGCTCTCGGGATATGGCTGAATAGTCATGGAGCGCCAGAGTTGGCGAAAAGCTACTTTATGTAGCCATTTTGCCGTCAGCGAGAGCCGCTGGAGGTCGATACCGTTCAGCTATCGCTGTCAGCCAGTATTGATATGTATCAGTGAACTATATACCTTGTCGCAAATATTTTCAAGGATTTCTGGTGGAAGAGATGCTAGCATTTTGGCGGTGGTATCTACAAATTGATGCTAGGTTTGAGAACCGTCATCGATGACGGGAGAGAATAAATGACCCAATATCTCACGAGACGACTGACCACCAACTTCACCCTCACGCATCCTCCCCATATCAAAAGATGACGTGCGTCAGCACATTCTCATCTCAGCACTTGAAACCCCTCAGATTCAATCATTTTGACTGGACATCGTCACCAGAGACTATCACGCAGCAAAGCTCATATTTGCCTAATATCCAAATATGGGCCAAGTGGCACGAATGGCGCAAGAAAGAAAAAAAAAGGCTTGGATTGCATAAATTACGGGACAGGTAATATTGGTCTGGATGAATAGGCATAAGTGCTGGGGCGAGTGTGGAAAAATGCAAAAATAGAATTTGCGCTCCCCGAAACCTGGATCGAACAAGTGACCTTTCGGTGTCAGATTAACAATTACAGCCGAACGCTCTTCCAGCTGAGCTATTCGGGGAGATCTCCGAAGCGGAGGAATAGCTATTGGTGACAGCAGAGCCATAGACTGCAGTATATATAGGTGTGTCTCGCTTACTGCCTCTGTTGCTGTCCTTTCGTTTTCTCAACCCCAGTAATCATCCTCACAGGCATAATTGACTTCACGAGGCAGATTATCGGAAAACTCAGGTCTTAGTCTCTTATCTTAATTAATATGATAAATCATTTCTTATTCCCTTTGAAGTCTTCTCTACAACTAATTACTTCCGAAGCGCGGGTATCAAGACATTAATGTCTCATTCAACAACCTACCCTGGGTATCATGATGAATTATTTTCTGTCGCTCCAGTGACTTTTGATCGCCTCCAAATGCTCTTTGATCGAAGCACTGTCTTCGCTCTCCCCACCGACATCCATCTTCGACCTTATCCTCCCAACAAGTAAGTCGCGTGCAATCTTTGGTGACGCAAGCGACAACTCCTCGTCCAGCTTTGCCTGGCTGATGACTTTGCCATTGCAAAGTTCCTTGACAAGACTGTCAACCAGATGCTGACAATTATTCGATAGTAATTTATACCGAGGATTCAATCCGATATGATGCTGTCCTACTCCAAAATCAGTAAACGCTCCCTCCTTCTCTTTGCAAATAAACCCACCTATCGCTTGAATCTCCTCATGCGTCTTGGTCGTCTCGCCAATATAATAACACGAACTCCACGTCTCAACAAACTCCTCCGTAATAACAGCAACTCTGAAGTAATTCTTCCCCAACATCGTCAACTCCAGCCGATCGCTCATTAAATCATAGCAATAGCACTTCCCCAGGCCTCTATCAATAACGCAGACTGCCCAATGACTCACGCTATTCAGACTCATGCCGACATGTCTCGCTAATAGTTTATAGCTCGACTGTGAGACTTCAAGTACGCCAAAGGAGATGGGCGTTGTGACGAGGAATACTGCTCTTTGAGTTTCGCGCGGGTTGCAGTGGAGAGGTGCCATTTCGAGCGCTGAATCGCCTGTGACTTTAGTCGTGACGAGAGACAGAAATTCATTTCGCTGACGGATTTCTTCAGCGTGTTTCGCAAGCCATGCCTCTTCCGCCTGTCGTCGCTTTCTCTCATCCCTTTTAACAATCAGTAACTTATCCCACCAGTGGAGCTTTTCGGAAATCACCATTTTTTAGAGAGGTTCTGATAAACAGCCTCACCAGCTGAGGCGAGCTTGTTCAGGGCCTCCAGTCCCATTTTTTGCTATAACACTACCATATCGCGGTGCTTTGTTTGTTAATTCGCGAACGAAAGCCGGAAATTATTGAGGATTGAAATGTTGGCCTGCGTGTTGTTTTTAGTAGAAAATTTGGGGCGGTAAATTTCACAGCCACGCGGATATGCCGGTGAACTACAGTGGTATCCACGCTTGGCATCATGCGCCTCTTTTGCGCTGCGGCTGATGACGCGTGACTTGTTCAGAATGGACTGAGAGTCACTTGTGACGACATAGAATCAACGTAGGGCTGTCTTTGAGGCGCAGTGAATGATCTACATTCTTTATGGCTTCTATTAATTCTTCTACAAATAATTGGTGATCGCCGCTTCATTCCAGCAACAGAGGAATCGCGCGCCTGATGTCGCCTTGAATACAAGTGCTCAGACCCTCATCTTCCTGCTCCCATGGCACCATCGCCTCTGGGCCCATGCCAACACGAATCAGCTTGACTCGCCCGTCACTTCGCATCACCAAATCTTCATTCGGCCATCGCAATACTCCAGGTGTATTCATTCCGACACCAAGTTCCAGAATCACCAAATTCTTCTTCTCTCTTAGAACCCGAGATTTCCATGCTTTCCATTGAGCTTCGCCTTCTTGGTAGGGCGCTTGATTGAACCACGAACCCGCTCGAACGCAGATACTCATTTTCGAGCCGCAGAACCGGCAGAGAGGAATTTTGCTTGAATCCATCAGCTTTTGCGTCGCCTTATCAATGTGAAGCATTGCATCAGCTACAAGAGGAGCCGATGGCACGACAGCGTCGACTCTGCAGTTATTCAGGCACTGTAAATATCCATACGAGCCTTGCGGCGTAGAAAGTCGCTCATTCGACCAGCCATTGGCGAGAAACAGCCCGTCAGCATTTGACGTGCGCACAAACGCGTCTCGCCCAAAATTCCTCAGCCATGGGATCAAAGTTTGGTAAGTCGGCGTGTTTGACCAGTTCGCTACCATATTTAAATGAGTGAAGAAGTATCCCCATCGATGCTCCTCCGAAGGCCAGTCGTTGAAGCCAAAGACACTGTATAGTGATGTCAAGCCAAATTTGAGGCATCCTGGGAAGTTCCTCTTGAAGAGGTCTCGGGAGTGATAGTCCAGGCCTTCTGCGGCTGATAGACCTGCGCCAGCTGTGACGAGGACAGCGTCTGCTGAGGATAGCCACTCGCGTGCTAAGCTGAGAGAACCTTGCGGCGTATTTTCGACGGGCGAGATCGATTTTGTATGTGAAGGTCCAAGAAGTTTTGAGTAAAACTCGGTATCTGATTGGGTGAATGTGTTGAAGATAACGTCTGTAATCGTCGTTGACGGATGCTTCTGAAGCCAGGACGTGACGGTTGACACTGCTATCTCAGCTGCTTCATCGGCTGGAAATGCAAACAAGCCTGTCGAAATGCAACAAAGAGCAATAGACTTGCTACCATCTTCGTCAGACGGTAAAACCTCCAACGCTTCAAGAATTGACTCATAGCACTTCGCCAGTTGCCTTCTCTCGGTCTCTGTAGGTGAAGCACCTCTCTTTAGCTGTGGCCCAACGGTATGCATTACTGAAGAAGCGAAGAGAGCATGACCTTCAGTGACAAGTACCTCTGCAGGCTCAAGCTCTTTTCCTCTGGCCTGCATCCGCTGGAAGCACTCTTCCCGTAGCCGCGGTCCTGCCTCAGCATGGATGATGTTGTCGATACATCGATGAGTTGGTTGAAAACATCCCAGGCCCTGACTGTTCGCGGCATTGGTAATAGCTGTTACGCCAGTCAGAGTCGTAATATCACCTCTCCACAGATGAATATTCGTTGCTCGAGCTTCACTATGCTGAATCGTCCTGGAAGACGAGAGGGAGGAGAGTGGAGTAAGGATCTTATGCCGACGAACATGTTCGAGGACCGTGTCGATGTCTTGAAGTAAATCCTCCGGCAGAAGCGGCAAAGGCGGCCGCACGCATAGACATTCTCGAAGAAGTGCTAACTTTGATGCTGTCTCAAGATGGCTCAGATGGTGTTTATAGTGTTGCAAATTCTCATTGTCGGCAAGAAAACCAGACCTGTTCTCTATAACATCGTCTATGAGACGTGTCAGAGTTTTGTCTAGTAGCGTAACGTTGGTTACTTTGGTTGCTCGCATGGTTGCTGTATGAAAATGTCAAATAAGAATATCGCCCAGCCAAAGATATATGAGTTGCTGATACAAGATATAGTATATCTATAATCGCATGATGAAAGGAAATACTGAGCAATGACAAATTTGATCCTTCATGAATCCTCTTGGACTTGTCTATCCCACTCGGTGAGGTGGGATACCCGAGTGGGATGCACAGTAGATTAGGTAGCTTTATTAGATGTCAGCGACTTATTCGCCACGAGGCAATAAAACTTAGGACCTTGATCCTAAAAGACAAAAAGACTGATATAATTTATAGTAGGCTTCTGAGGCTTTTGGTAAGTTTATGTTGGCATCCTTCATGAAGGAATACATCTAAGCCTATCACTAACTGCTCTTACCTACATGGTCTCGTGTCCAACTGTAAAACAATCACCAAAGTAGTTGGGCGCAAGAAGCGCCTCTATCCCTTCAAATGTAAGACCTGTAATTCCCTGCAGCTGCTCTGCGGGGTTGTCTACCTCTTCATCAAACGTCGGACCTGCCCCTGCGGTTCCTAAGCAGAGGTCAGTGGGCATTACCTTGTTCTTAAGTGACTGCGAGATCTGTTGAATCAGGTTCGACGGACTTTTCGTATAGGCATAACTGTCTAACATGGCGGTGACTGGTCTTAGATTGGCTTCTAGGTCTGGCTTGCTGATGAGGCTCGGGTATCGTTGTGATACCTGGAACGAAAAAAGGGCTGGGCCGGTTAGTATGTGCAAAAGGCTACCGCCGAGAGTCTCACCGAGAAAAGTCAGCATTAAAGCAGAGTAGGTCGGTGCCCATTGGAATTGCCATTGATAAGAGGAGCTGTTTCCAATGAAGCGAAGTAGGTCCATCGACAACTTGGCGGTTCGTCTCATCAACTCTTCCTCGTCGGCTCCTGATTTTGGCCGAGGGTTCTGGCGGACTTTGCACAGGACATGGCCATACACATTCAAGGTTGTGAAGGCCTTCTGTATCCACAGGCTCGTGCGCTGAAATGAACGGGTATCAGCACCTTGCACTGGCACAAAGTCAGTAAATAACGGCCTTGAAGGACAGGAACCCAGTAAAGGGGAAGGGCAGGGCTCCGCACTAGCAAGTTCACCATCCCAATATGAGAAGCAATCTCTGACTCGTCTTTCTGCATCGTCGACCCATTCTACGGGGGATGTTGAAGTAAGAGACATTGATTCAATCTCCTTCAAGAAGCCACCTGTCCAGTCAGTACACAAGAAGGCGCAGTCGCTTGAGGGAAACAGTCTTACCACGCAACTGGACAAGCTCGATGATGGATATATATCTGATATCAGAGGATGTGGTAAGTGGCACGCCGAGGTATGCTCTCAAAGATGAGTCTTGAATGTGTGGCATCCGAGGTTCATGGGCAGTGCCGAATGCGAGCTCGCGCTCCATATGATGCAAGATGAACCAGGTTCGCGCTTGTCTCATCAACGCGTGTGTTTTCGAAGTTACTGTCGGTGTCTGCTTCACCAGCTGTCCTACCGCCTTGTCAAGACCGAGCGCTGAAGCCATTTGTAGGGCATGGCCAATAGCGAACCAGGATTTCTCCGAGTAGGCTGCAAGAAGAACCATTGCCTGGACGCTCTCGACTGTCGGGGGGCTCTTGAAGAGACTCTCGGCCGCGAGACGGAGGGACTCTTGCCCTGCGGCATCTCTCATCTTTTCTAGAGCATGCCTCGGAATACCATCAAGGGCTGCTTGAGACTGGCTAAGTGCGATGAATAGAATGGTGATCAAGCAAAACGGAGACCGCCTCCGTAATGAGTCAAAAGTATCTGCCAGAGGGTCAAACATTGGAAGGAAAGGATTTGCGCCGGCGAAATATCTGTTTGCACATGGGTTAGCGGAGAGAAAACAAGACATGGAGAAATGAAGTAGTGTTTACAAGGCGTAGAGATTTCTTGCCGAGATGTGGCCCTGAAATAATCTAGAAATAAAGTCTTCCACTTCCCAGGAGCGAGCAGCGAGTCCAACCCCACTGGACGATGCTGGAAGGGGGAGGTTTGGTGAAGCCGGTTCGCAGGCGACAGTGCGCCCGAGACGAGGATCATCACCCCAACCGCGACGTGATGAAGAAGCAGAGGCAGGTGGTGTCATTGCGTGGACTGCCGATAATGGAGCGTTCAGGGTAATCTGATGGATGCGCTGCGAGTCGTCTTCATCTTGAAGCAGGGCTCCTTCGTCCCAAAACCCGCCGTCCTCGTGGATGTCGCGGGCATCACCGCCGCCGCCATTAGTGCTACTATCGTTGGGACCAACGCTTCCTCTATCGGGCAACCCTTGACCGGTCGGGGTCTCCAGAAAATGCTGCTGCTCATCGAGTGGCACAGCTCGTTGGCTGACGTCGCGATTCAGGCCGGATGACTCTGGCTGTGATGTTTCGATGACGGCATTGTATCTATTCCTTTGTGCTGAGTGGACAATCTCACGCATCTGGCTCTTCATCACGCGCAGCTCTTCTTGAAGGGCACCTATCCTGGCCAGTCACAGCTGGTTAGTCGTTGACTTGCAGGAGACGCGACAAAGGACATTTCGGTAGTAAGTTTACTTTCTCTTCTGTGCTCCACTAGAGACACTGTCTGACATGTCCCGCCTCTCAGCGAGATCAAAGATACACGCGACTCCGGCGTTGATACACCTTGGACAGGGGTCGTTGGGCTTGCCCTCGCATCTCATCTTCTGTCGGCGGCATGTTCGGCAGGCCTTGAGTCGCCGGGGAGGCGGCTCACTCGGATCCGACAGCTGCTGTGTCATCCTGAGCGTGTTGAGGTTCAATGTGTTGTTTGAGGTTATGAGGGTAACTCGGTTGACGATGGAACGACTTCCCAAGTCACTGGTGTTTGAACAAGATTGATCACGTGATGGATGAATGGTTTGGTTCGGGTATTCCGGTGCCGGTCGGCGCCGGAGAGCCCGGTCAAGTAGCAGAGACAGAGTATTGGTGCTAGATTAGCTCTGGGGCCTAGAAAGCGCTGAAAGGGGCTGGATCGGGTACATAACGAGGTTCACCGTGCCTAAATCGTGAATCTTGATCCCAGGCGCCTTCTTGTCTGCGCCTACTCTCAGCAAAACACCCCCTCCCAATCCAATCGCAACAATGACCGCATCTCCTAACCAGAATTACGCCGTACTTTTCATTGGTGCCGTAAGTGCAGCTGCCACAAGCTTGGGTCTCCTCTGACAAATATAATCCAGGGCAACATCACTTTCGGCAATGACAACGTGAGGTGGAACCATTCTCTTCGGGTGGAGAGATGCCTCGGGGCTCAGCTCAACGTTGTTGGAATCGTGGATCCTTCTGTCGAGCGGGTCAAACAAGTCGTCGAGCAGAAGAAGCGTTCTTCAGCTTCGACGTGCTATTCCCATACTCGCCACTACAAGTCGCTCGACGAGGCGGCCACTGGTCTTGAGGAGCGAGGTTGTACTCCTAAACTCATCATCATCGGTGCTCCGCCGTATTTTCGTGGTACCAAGCTGCCGGGACGAAATCTCGAGGAGCAGGTAATTGCTGCATTCGGCAAAGGGCCTTCTATTTTCTGTGAGAAACCCGTCTCGACGGCACTCGCGCATGAGTCGCTCCCAGTTGTGAAGCTTTTGAACGAATCTGGAAATAGAGTGTCGATCGGCTATATGCTTCGCTATCTCCAAGTGGTTCAGAAAGCCATGTCCATCATCCGAGAGAATGAGCTAACCATTATGTCTATCACTGCACGGTACACCTGTGCTTACTCTAGAATTAGAAAGGTTGACTGGTGGGACAAGTCGAAGCAGTGTGGTCCTATCGTGGAACAAGCAACCCACTTCTGCGACCTTGCCCGATATCTTGGCGGTGATATTGACCTTGACACGGTTCAAGCATACTCGTTGGAACACTACGAACCTCCTGGGAAACTGAGCCACATGGCCATAGACGAATCCAAGATTCCCGAGGATGAGAGGATTCCCAGGGCCACTTCTGCCATGTGGTGAGTTGCCCATTCCATATCCTGCCGAGCCCGCTGGTATACGAAAGGGCAAGGGAGCCACTGACACTTCTAAAGGAAATTCCAGAACGGCGCACTCGGGTCTCTGACTCATCTTGTTGCTTTGCATGATATCAAATACTCGAACGACATCGTGGTCACGGCTGATGGGTACCAACTCCGGCTGACGGACCTCTACTCCATCCCTACATTGCATGTCAGGTAAGTGACGGTATATTGTCGTTATGGAAAAGCTTTCTTCTATAAACACGTATTCTAATTTTCTCTACCAGAACCCCAGAGTCTGAGGAAGAAAAGGAGTTTCAGTTCCCGGGTGACGACCCTTTCTACTCGGAATTTGCCGCTCTGCTGCAGAGTGAAAGAGGGGAGGATATCACTGAGACTTCAGGTGGCATTCTTTCAACTTACGAGGATGCTTACAAGACCTACGAGTTCACGTGGAAGATCAGGGAAGCAAGTGAAGAGTCTGCCAGGTTCTTGAGGCAAAAGAAGTAGAATTGTCACTGCGACCGAACAAGTGTGAGCAGGGTTGTAGCTTGGGTAGTTGCTCCGTTTCCAAGTTGCCATGAAACACGGTGATTCTGTTTGGAATTATTGTGCGCCTTACAATACGCAATGTGATACATTTTCGTAACAGTATACTATGATTCTGACGTTTTCGGCTGTGGTGGATTGAGTATCTCTGAGAGATTCGCTCTCACTCAGCAAAAAAGGAAATAATCCTTTTGTTGACGTAATGGGAATCTAGCAATGACACGTTATTCGGTAACACCATGTAATTTACTACTATGGTCGAGGGACTCTTTGAGAAACGTCGTTCACACGAACGCGCCCCTAAGCAAATCATTCATGAATGCCCCGTCACACGATCAACATTGTGAGGCAGGAAATCAGGGTAGGTGAGGAAGGCGACCATAATAGAAATAGGATAAAACAGTGTTCTATAGCTCGTGAGGTGAGAATTTGTTTTATATATCCCTACCCAGAACTTGCACACTTTACATCATTGTTAGCACGCAGCATAACACGCATCTTGTATATTTGTCGATCAATCTGTCTCTGTAGATACACACTCCACGTGAGCTCTGATGGGCAGACAGCTTCAGACACTTAGGCTCTGTCGCAAGATACCCTTGAGCTCCTCCCCGTCTTTCAGAAAGATCCGCAGACTCTCCGACATCTTTTCAAAAGCCATGCAATCATTGAACAAATCAAGACGGAAACGAGCCTCATCTTGAGCATAAGAACTCATTTTCAACATGCCGTTAACAGGCCGCTCTACCTGGTATTAGCTCATGATATTTGGTCTCAGTCGGGGACATGCTTACCTTTGTGGTTTTGTAATCGTTGGCGGACGGGATAATCCGCCTTTTGAAGCTCCTCCAGCAACTTGACGTTGATAGTCATCAAGTCAACGCCAGCGAGGTGGACACACTCGTCTATGTTTCGCAAACTCGCAGCCATGACTTCGGTTGCGATCCCGTGAGTGGTGTAAAAGTCAAAGATGTCCGTCACCAGCCTTACACCAGGGTCCTTAAAGCCGGTGTAGTCTCTTCCCGGGAAAGTCTTCTGCCACCAGTCCATGGACCGACCGACAAAGGGTGAGACCAGAGTTGCTCCAACCTCGGCCCCCAGCTTGGCCTGGGCTAGAGAGAAGATGAGAGTCATGTTGCAATGGATGCCCTCCGCTTCTAGAACACGACAGGCCTGAAAACCCTCCCATGTAGATGCTATCTTGATCAACACGCGCTGCTTCGGGACACCAAGACCATCGTATAGTGCGACGATCTCACGCGCCATCTTGACTGTCTTGTCCTTATCAAAGGAGTAGATCGCGTCCACCTCTGTCGAGACTCGGCCTGGGATGCACTTGAGGATTTCACTGCCAAATCCGACAAGGAGCCTTATAAGGGCATGCTCGACCTGCACTTCCAGCGAGTCGGAGCTTGCCTTGCCATAACGGACAGCGTCATCAATTACAGACTGATATTTTGGTTGTTTTGCAGCATTGAGAATGTGAGAAGGGTTCGTTGTGCCATCTTGTGGACCAAAGGTCTTAAGCACTTCAAAGTCGCCAGTGTCGGCCACGATGGTGGTAAACTGTCGAAGTTGATCAAGGGTAGACATTATGGCTGGTGTTCTGATGTGCGCTGAAATAAGATGTTGGCAGCAGGGGATGGGCTCAAGCTTTTCTAAACTCCTATTTTCTATTGAATGGGAATGGTAAAGCGGGTTCTTGCTCCTTGTTTTGAACCTCTTTCTCGGTATTGGTTCTAAATACGACCGGGGTAGGGGATCAGTTCCTCCATCGTCGGGTTTGGTTGATGCCGGGTTCGGGATTTTCGGCCGCAACCGGCTCCGGTATGAACCGGGGCCGGAGCCAATGCCGTCTACCGAAAGGGCAATTATATTCGCTTTGTGGCCGAGCAAGCATCAGCTTGTCGTACCCTGTCCTTCTATCACCTTCCCGCGCTGTTTGCTGGGAAACCAGTTATATTTTGCCCCATAATGTCTCAGCCTCAGGTATTGTTTTGCGTCAAGACCTCGGTCAAGTGTATGCTTAGACAAGTCCAGTTTAACGACCCAGCCTTGGTTCGAGAGCACGCTTTTGTCAACGGTGAATGGGTTCAGGCCAGTTCTAAATGCCGCTTTGATTTCACTTCTTGATCCCAAGCAATTGACCAAGCGATAGATCCCGCCACTGGGGGTGTTATCGGATCATGCCCCGAGCTTAGCACTCAAGAGGTTCAACATGCGATTCAATCAGCTTCTGTAGCCCAAGAATTGTTCAAGTCTTCTGATACGAGGATGCGTGCAACAATGCTACAGAACTGGGCCCGGGTGATGCGTGAGAGCAAAGCGGATCTCGCACAACTTCTGACCTGGGAGAATGGCAAGCCTATCAATGAGGCGCGAGCGGAGATTGAGTATGCGGCATCATTCCTAGAGTGGTTTGCTGGAGAGGCTGTCAAGTCCTATGGAGACCTTATACAGCCTAGCAACCCTACGAGTCGAACCATAACTATCCGACAACCTGTTGGAGTTTGCGCCCTTATCACGCCTTGGAACTTCCCTGCCGCTATGGTGACAAAAAAACAGGACCGGCTATTGCAGCCGGATGTGCCGTCGTTCTCAAAGCACCTGCAGAAACGCCTCTCAGTGCATTGGCCTTGGCTGAGCTAAGCTTGCGCGCTGGCGTTCCTAAAGGAGTCTTTAACGTGGTTACGGCTGACGAGAATACAGTCGGCACGGGCCACATCCTCACTAGCAGCCCACTCGTTCAAAAAGTGTCTTTTGCTGGTTCTACTCGAGTAGGCAAGATTCTTATGAGCCAGACCTCGCCTGCTCTGAAAAGGCTATCTATGGAGCTTGGCGGATTGGCACCCTTTATTGTGTTTGAGGATGCAGATATTGAAAGGGCAGTTGATAGTGCTATTTCTTGCAAGTTTCGTGGATCGGGCCAAACATGCGTCTGCGCAAACGTCTTCCTGATCCATAAACAAGTATATCACACCTTTGCAGCCAAGTTTGTCCATCGAGTTAAGCAGTTTCGCCTCGGGAACGGGTTCGATGCGGCCACAACCCATGGTCCCCTCATCCACGACAAGGCTGTGGCAAGGGTTGATGATCAGGTCAAGGATGCTCGAGAGCAAGGTGGTCGAGTTGTTTTAGGTGGATACCTTCTACCTGAGCTTAGAAGCAACTTTTACGCGCCGACTGTCATCTTAGATGCCCACGCCGGCATGAAGTTTGCACAAGACGAAACCATTGGTCCTGTGGCAGGTCTTATCCACTTCTCCACAGAGGAGGAGGCCATTGCAATTTCCAATCGGTCTGATGCTGGATTAGCGGGCTACTTCTTTAGCAGGGATGTGAAACGGTGCTGGAGAGTAGCAGAAAAGCTTGCCGTCGGTATGGTTGGGGTCAACACAGGTAGGAGTCCTTTCATTTCGTCTAGATCATTAACTAACCTGAGTAGGTATGATAAGTGACCCGTCGACTCCTTTTGGGGGCATTAAGCAGAGTGGATTTGGCAGAGAAGGAAGCAAATACGATCTCGACGAGTATACAACCATTAAAACGGTTACTTTTAGTGTTGGGGCTTAGGTGGCTTTATCAAATACGCCTGCCAAGTATTGTGTGTTGTCATGGTGGCCAGTGGTACAAGGAGGTGAAGAGCTGTGACACATGTATTGGCTAGGTATTTTAATCGCATGAAAATTTATTGATGGCGCTCAAACGCGAATGTCAAGCTCTCCAGCTCAATTTCTTACAGACAGAATCCTCAAGTGAACCTGAGACTAGTAAAGAAGCTACTTAATTATCTGCATGCTCCTGTTCTACATATGTATCCTAGTTGAGTGCTCACCCACACTTCCCGGAACTCAGCCAACCCTGCAGTTACACATCGCACCCAACATGCGTCTTTTTTGATAGGATCTGCTCTCGCCGCTAAACGAGACGACTCAAGACGTACTAACATCCGCTTCCTCCTTTATCTTCCCTTATATTGATGTCTTACCTCTTTCTATTATTTAGGCTCGCAAGCTACAGAGTCGCGACGCTCTCCTTCGGACTGTGGCTACCGGCAACCACGGCCTTCTCCATGACTGTCTTAGTCATAAGCGGCCCCTCGGCTCCATGTAACAGACTCAATGTAAGGCGTCATTTGTGCTTTTGAAATCCCGGGTAGGGGATACTGTATGGTTGGATCTTAGGTAGACTTCCTTTGCTCAGCACGTCTTTGGGAGACTTCTGGGGCCTCAAGACCCCTTGGACGAAACATATGTATTTATACATACATGCCCAGTTTCGACCAATGACAGACTCAATAGCGGGCAATACGAAGGTATTATCAAAGGGTCATATACGACTTTCACATGCGTGTGAGGAGACCTGTCAAGGTTCGATCAACGGGTGAAAGAATACCTTACAGGTCCAAAGTGCGGATCAATGCAACACAGTAAGTGTATAATTGTACATCAATTGACATAAATAAGACCGCCACAAGAATGTAAAATATTGTCCTCCCAACCTGTCCTCTTGGTCGCGGATCTGCAAGACCATCTTCACTTTGCCATCAAGGAGGTCCGAAGCTGCGCGTTTGGCCCCTGGCATTGGCAGGGCGTAATGTCTGCGAGTGCATTGGGCAAGTCTCATAGCAAGTACCTAAAGATGGAAGGTGACTTTTTAGATCCTTCTTCCCTTGCAATCTCAGCAGTCCTCTCTCGCAGGTCTTGATGTGTCTCCCAAGGATCTGCTCCATTCTCAATCTTATTGTTAAGGCGAACCAGAACGAATCTAAAGACGGTGCAGCCGACAATGGTTATCCCAAACATGCTCGTGACCACACCATAGCTGCCACGGTAGCCATTGTCTGGCAGATTCCAAACATAGGAGCCTGCGACATTTCCAAGCTGGCTGAAAGCATTGATGAGTGCCAAGGCCACAGCTCGCTTCGCAGGTGGGCGAGGAAAGGTTGAAGAGATCCACGAGTACATGAGGAAGAACCTGTCACATGTTGTTAGCTGTGGCCAAGTCAAGGCATAGACCGAGTTGAGCGCCCCCCTCCAATGCCATGTTATACGTACCCTGCGTAGGATCCTGCCTGGAGGTGCAAGGCCACATAACGGGCGGCAATGTTCTCGGTTGACATGCTAATTACGAACCCAGTGATTCCCATGCCCATGGGCCAAAGGATGTGCCAGAACTACAGCAAGAATTAGTGAAAGGTTTCCAGGATCATTGTGACACAACATGCCCGTTCTTGTCTTCGGTCGGAATGCCATGCGTTCAGAAGCATGACGACGCAAGCAAAGGCCCAAGGCGGAGAACTCATCAACAAAGTGGGCACATAGCCAAACCCAAGTGTGCCCGTCAGAGTGGGCTGCTCTAGATTAGTACGCTGCGGCACGCGGAGGGAGTAGTAGGATTTATCTTACAAAGAAGGCATTGAAAGACAATCCCACGGTGTAGGCCGTGAATACAAGCATTAGTATATAGACCTTGATATCCTTGACGGCGAGGAAGAGTCCACTGAATATTCCTTGCTCGACGGAATCAGCATCTACTTCACCAACATCCTCGGTCATGCGAAGCTGTGCTACAAGGAGCTCCTCATCAGTAAAACCCTTAGTGTTGTGAGGAAGGTCAGGTAAGATGAAAGGCGCGAGCAGAGCAATAAACATTGTGACTCCGCCTTCGACTATATCGACTCGGAAGTTAGCAAAATGGCATTGCAAGAGGAAGAAAGGGGAAATGCTGACTCCAGAACAACCAACGCCAAGCTGAGTGCCCCATGACCCCCTGCATATTAGATAGCACGCCGGCACCTATCAGAGCCGAAAAGGCATTCGATAGTAAATTGCCACAGAATAAGATCGCATTACGGAAGGCCAGCTCCCTTCGCGTATACCACTTGGATAAGATTAAAAGGGCTCCGGGCAAAAAGGCGGCCTCGATAAAACCCAGGAAAAATCGAGTAGCTAGCATACCACTAAAGTCCTTGGTGGCTCCAGAGAGAACAGACAGGAGGCCCCAAAGGACCATAGCGCATGCAATATAGACAGAAGGGCGTTGAATTCGGTTAATAAGCATATTAGATGGAACTTGCATAAGGATATAGCCGACATAGAGAATGCTAAGGCATGTTGCATACTGCGAGTTACTAAGACGGAGGTCGTCCTGGAGGCCCCTAAGTCGCGCAGCAGCAATATTATTGCGGTCGAGATAATTCATAATGTAGATGAGGACAAAGAAGGAACATCGTCGATCAAGTTTGCGTTTCATCGACCTTTCCACCCTGGCTCGGTGCTCAGGATCGGCCAATGCACCCATGGTAGGGAAGGCGACATCAACATGCTCCGAGTGGTGCGAGTTACCGCTTTCTGTGGTGGGTAGTTTTGCCTCTATGTTGTCAGCCATGGTGTTGGACGGATCCGGAGTTGGATGTGGGTTGATGGAGATCCTGGGGAAATGGCGAGTGCAGATTCTGGGGTAAGGGCGGGGTCCGGGGTGCAGATCAAGTACAGATGACAACAAGGAAGAAACGGTACTTATACGTGTCTGGCAGCAGCTTGAAGAAGAAGCAGTGACCAGATTCCAGAAGAACTAAGTTTTGCGCCAAGGTCTGTTTGTGCCATGCCGGCCACTAGGCTGCCCGGTCCAATTCGGTCCTGTCCGGCTCCGGCCGGCCCCAGGTTTGGCGCAGTGGATGGCCGGGGCAACACCCGCCTGGGGCGTCGTGACGTTGACTAGGAGAGCCTGACTGCCTCTGCATCTGTTTCATGGTGTGTTGAGTTTCCTGAGGGAAAGTACCTGTCCATTATCATTATGGCCAGAAACTCATTATGAGCCGGGTTTCAACTATAATAAATAACATAAAGATACCTTGCCTCTTCGCCTACTCTTGCTTGACGCATCGCGATAAAATAATTACCTACACGCAGAAGTTATCAAAATATGTATCTTTTTCTTTTCATCTAAATCTAATCTCAAAAAGCAACACTCCGATCTCAGCCTAATAACCAAGTCGGCGGATCGCATGGGCGGACAATCTTCACTTCAAACAGTCGTGGTAAGCTACACCGCCTACCCAATGTCTTCTTGAAAGGCTAAACAGCTTGGACACCAGCACTTCCGATTTGGCACTCGAGAGATTCAAGCCACCGGAGCTACATCAGATCATGCTCATTCAAACGTTCTGCGACTGGGAATTCATAAGACACTCACTGGGAGAATAATCCAAATCTTAATCAGGGTTATGTCGAAAGCCACTGGTCCAGGGCTGCAAAACAAATTTCCTGAGTGGCTCTTACCCGACAAGATCGTTTTAAACGTCAAAAGAGGACTGGAAAGAGGAATTTGATCATGAAGTCGTCGCGTACAGCAGACTACGACCTATTCAAGGCCTCACCATACCCAAGCTCTACGGCACGATTCAGTATGCAAAGACCCGCGCCCTGATACTCTCAGACATCGGAGGGTCTAGCCTCTCAACGCCTGATGGCGCCGTCCTGGATGAGCAAGATATCGAGCCCCTGTTACATCAAGCCTTGATTTCACTCAATGAATATGGCGTTTGCCACGTCGATACGAAACTCGACAACTTCCATCTTGTGGCTGATGAGGGAAAGGATAAAATCATGATCGTCGACTTGGAATCCGCAGACTTTGATCAAACTGAAGAAGAGCTTGCATATACGGCGAAGAACAAAACGAAATCGCTGCTTCGTCAATATCGGAATCATTTAAAATGTTTGGAACATGATGGTGTGCTATTACCAAGACGGCCGGTTCGAAGATGAGAAAATGTCTATCCCTGGTAGGGGAAAGAATCCACTTCTCGATCAGCCCAGTATATATGACAACAGTTTCAAGCTCGTACAAAATCTTGATTAAGTGTGTGAATTATAGTAACCCTATACAGCCAATGGCATTCTTCAGCCGCACGTATACAATCTTTAGGTGCCTATCAATCCGAACAGAACCCTCTTCCTTCCCCGCCACCGTGACATCCCATGTCCTAAACCCCCAAGTCAGAATAGAAAAATCTTCATTATAACGGAGAGACTTACCGCCTATCCTTGCCTGCAATCAATGTTGCCCCACTGATTCTTAGTAGCCCAATACCAAGAATCCATGACCGATCGCGCCTCACAACCGCTTCCAGTAGTAAACGCCCAAACGAGGGAAGAACCGCTGTTGTCGTAGCCACAGTACTGGTCGCTCACACCAGCGCACTCAGGGTATTGACCGAGGTTAGACCAGAGATTGCCGCAGACGGCATCGGCATTGGGGACCCAGCTGTTGGACCAAGCCTCGTAGCGACGGGACCAGTCGTTGGTGAGCTGGTTGGTGCAGCGCTCGGTGGCGTGAACGTGGTCGGTCACGAGAGCTGCGAGAAAGACTGCGGTGATGCCGGTGAAACGCATGATGAACAATTGGTTGAGAGTTGTTTGGAGGAGTAACTTTGAGTAAGTTGATTGAAGATGTTGCAGAAGACTGAAGAGAATGTGTGTGAGTGATATCTATTTTCTAGACGAGGAATAGACTGATATTTATATATAATGAGATATCAAGACAGGAGATAGAACGCAGAATTGAGTTGCTTGATGTGTTATTTACAGCTATGACCTGTAGCTGAAAGCTTGTACCCTCCGCATAACTGCAAACCCTTGCAAAGGCTCGAGAGTAAAGTCGGTAAGATGCTTGGACCATTCATGAAGTCCAGTACCACATTAGAAATAAAACCTGTGGCTGAAACTTATTTTCACCGTCTATATCTTGGGCATTAAAAAGCAATTACTTAACTTCCTAGCCTCTGGAGTAGTATCCGAGCGACTTCTAAATTTAATTCTTAACTGCCGATAGTCACCTGAGCGGCAGTTACTACTTGTTAAGGTTTCGTACTTATGGTTTTATTTGCTTATGCTCTTAGTTCTTGTCTTGGATTCAATTGTTCCGCTTCATCCGAAGACAAAGTCTTCGAAGTCTGTTGAGATTAGGTAACTCAAGTCACTGTACTACTTACGGCAGATTTATTGAGTTGTAGCCTGAGTTTGACGGTTTAAAGTATAAATCGTGCTCTGGGAATGAGGATCTACAGAACCTCGTAATCTATACTACAAAGCGTAAAAGCTAGGCAACGTTTCATGCCCGTGATCTCCGGTCGTGTTGTTCTCATTAAGTGGTGTTAGGGAAGATATCAATGGTGACTTTGGATATGATAAAATACAATCTTGCGCTATGTAGTAAAATCTATAAAATAGCAAAAGAATATTCCTCTAAATATACCCAAACACTACCTAAACAGCACCGATGCTAACTATATAAAGACTGAGTAAAGTTGGCCGTAATCCTTTTCTTGCGGTTGTTAAAATGTCTAATGGTCGCCAACTGCCCAATCCCCGCAAATGGTCCTCCAGCACTCATACCCCGGACATGTTTATTGTGAGAAGAATCGCACCGACTAACGACCTTCTTCCTCTGCTTCTTATTACCGTGCATATATGTCTCTGAAAGCACTTGCATAACGACCCGCGCAAGCCACCAACAGTTATGCCATTGGATATGATACTGCGGCTCTTCGTTGTGCACTATCAGTATGAGCTTGGCGACGTTGCTCAACCGTGCCGCATTTGTGTCCAGGTCAGCCTCCACGAGAACCCTATCATCACAGATGAGGTTTTCTCGGGATGGTGCAAGAGTTACGACCAATTGTGCCTGGTCTGTCAGAGTGTTACTGGCTGCCGAGCCTACGGGTAGTTCACCCATGCGTTCAATCCGCATCCAGGACAGTTTTCCATCGTTGGTCTTGACGCACATCAATAAGTATTCATGCTCGATGATGCTTTTCTCTTGGAGCCAGACGACTTTTGTAACGTAACCGGGAGTTGCATGGTTGATGATGTGTTCAATAAGAGGGCGGTTGTTGTTTCGCCAGATCTGGGCGCCTTCGCTCTGTAATTGAGCTTGCAGCGATGAGCCTTGTACCAGACTGGGTAGCGGCGGTCCTCTCAATCTGCTGTTTGACATTTTGATGGGGACTGGAATGATAATCTGTATGAGATGATTGATGTACAGAGTTGAGATGTGAAGGATAAGAGTTTTGGCCCAAAGTGATGGATCAGGGATATGCTGTATCAGCTTATTTAATATTGAGATTTGGAGTAACTGGGAAGTTACTTACTTTTATATTTCAATGTTTGACATACTTTCACAACTGATCAGAGTCACTGGTTGAATCAATTATCAATCAGCACAGCCTTATGACACTCCGCCACACGGACGGCCAATCATGTCTTACCCTGCAACTCCAATCATATCCTGGTATGTCCGTCGGACTTGACAGTGTGCAGCCCTCGCAAGTCAGCAAGTCCCCCCCGCATCCAGTAGGCTTAGCGCTCGCACTCGGTTCAATTGTTTCAGCTAACCCACCCTTCCAGAACAGCGCCTACTAGCACAGCTGATAATTTCACCTCCATTGGGGGCCAAATTATGGGTGGTCAGAGACAGGGGCTAAACAGGTTTCTCGATGTCAAGGATAGGGCGAAGCCTTACGCGCCTACGGATTAGTATTCGTCAGCAGAATCTCAGGGCTGAGTAGGGCGTGTAATGCAACTCATTGAGCAGAACATTTGTAGCTAAAAGTATAGCAGAGGATTTGCATATATATCTTTAGACTATCACTGCTTTGCAAGAGACAACTACTTAAACTTAAGTATTATTCATATAACATCACTATACGCAATGTCCGCAAAAGTTCGAACCGACAAACCCGCTATCAAAAGCGCTGCCCCTCCCCATAGTATCACGAACGCTGAGGAATATCGAAAAGACACGGAAGAACTCTCCCGGGAGATATTATATCATGTCATTCAACGACTCGAAGGCGGGCCGCAAGCTTCAAGACAAGACTCCGTCCACTCATCAAGCAAAAATAACAGCGACGACCTCGAAGTCTTCCGTTTCTTCGTCGTCACAATGATCGCCATCTCTGTCTTCGGCGCCTCAACCTTCGCCGTCATCGTAGGAGAAATGACCGACCCCGCAGACATTTGGGACCCAGAACCGCCAACCTTTACTCTCAAAACAGTCCGGCTGTTTCTCGCAGTATCATGGCTCGCGTTCGCCGTGTCCATTGCTTTGGCCGGTTATAGCGGAAGTTTTCTTGCGCTGATGCGACAAAAGGCAACGGGCGAGATTGATGAGGAGACGATAAAGAAGTGGACGCCTGCTGGGCTTGTTGTATCTGCTGCATTGCATCTGCTCATTGTCACGGGGTTCTTGTTTATGGCGCTCAGTCTCGTGGCATACGTTGGATCGTTTGGTTGGGTTATTGTTGGGTTTTCTGGCTTGATGTATGTTGTGGTTTTTTATTTACTTGGTGCGCAGTTTCGCGCCTTGTGAGTTGATATGTCAACTGGGCAAGCCATTTTATAGCATTACGGATACTTACGGCATGGCTCTTAGATAAGACTCTAACTATGATATTCATTACTTTCAACTTATGCTTACAATGGATGCTGTCCAGGATTGCACATGTAGGTTGAAAATAAGGCTCACGAGAGAAGCACCCAGAGCCATTCAGCAGAACACTGCAAAATCGCCCTGCTGACAATTACCACCACCAAAATGAACTGCGGTTGGCACTGTCAACCCTAGAGATGATATTACGTGCTGAGTGACTCACAGAACCCATGTTATCTATAAAATGTATACGAAGCCGGCTGTCCTGTAAAGGGAGAACGAAATTTCAACGTATTTACGCAAAGAGATCTATTAGACAGGATGGTTTAACAGGAAAGGGCCCAGATTCTGGGTTAAAATTTAGTAATGGTTTAAAGTAATCATCAATGCCAGAAGTTCAGGTGCAAGGATTCTCGTAGGTTGACCTGACAAAACTATGGGGAAGACTAGTGATCCCCTGACTAGCTTTCAGAACGACGACCCCAGCTTGCAGGTGCCGCCTTTAAATGATTTCGTCTAGTCCTTGTTATATCTTTAGTAAGTGGCTTACCATTAATGATTTAAATACTTTCACAATAAACAAACTTCCCAAGATTCTTATTATAAAAGCTAGCAACCAGTAGATTGACGGGGTATAAACTAAGAATCCTCAATAAGAGGGACTAACTACACAAGTTGACCATTCTGTTCCCAATATTCATGTATACGAGACTTTATGCCCTTACATGAACTTGTGGAAGAATCGGCGCCAGGCGGGCCATCCAGCAACAGTAGCACGGTAAGCATTGATTTGGTCCCAGTCATGCTCACGGAGACCGGTGTCAAGGTCGATCTTATCAACTGTGAGCCACTGAGGACGCTTCCAGAAGTAACCAATGATCCAGAAGACGAGGACGACGGGAATGGCGAGGCAGGCCATGAAGAAGTCCTCGGCATTGCCGTAGCCTGGCTTGTTTGGCGGGCAGATGGCGACGAAGAGCTGGCAGCCCAGAATGGCGAAGCAGAGAGCAAGACCCAACCAAGAGCCCCAAACGCCACCAGCAGCCTTGAAGGGAATCTGGTCGAGGCTTCGGCCTTGTTTCTTCCAAGCAGCGCGGAAACGGATGTGAGCCTACGGGATTTGGTCAATGAAACGAATCAATAAGAAGACTCGAAGTTCAAACTTACGTAGCAGATAGAGCCCCAGGTGAAGAGAGCGGCGAGGGCGGAGACAGCAAGGAGCCAGTCAAAAACAAGACCACCAGATGAGGCGAGGACAACGTAGGCGAGGGCACCCCAGATGAGGTTGAAGCCTACAGAGACGAGAGGTCGTCCTGAGCGATCGATGTATGTGAAGATCTTGGGCGCGTAATCTTGCTCGGCGAGAGCAGTCAGCGTACGGGAGCCACCATAGACTGCAGAGACACCGATGGAGACAACCGAAATGCAGATGACCAGGTTCATGAAGCTGTCGTAGCCCTTGAGACCAGCGTCCTTGGCGGCGAGCACAAAAGGAGAGGTACCGTCCTTGTAAGGGTTGGCGCTGTTGAGGAGACGCTCATCTGTGGAGCTGACGAGCATACCGACGAGAGTGAGACCGATGATGTAGAAGCTATCACGTGTTAATAAGTTGTGAGAGGGTTGGGGGATTGGTGGAATTACAGGGTGATACGCCAGAAGACCTGCTTTATGGCACCGGGAAGGGCCTTGGCGGGGTTGCGAGACTCAGCAGCAGCGAGGCCGACCAACTCAGTACCGGCAAAAGAGAAGGCGGCTGTGACAAAGACACCACAGAAGCCTCGGGAGCCGTTCTGGAACGCGCCGGGATCATACCAGAGCTTGGCACCCTGATATGTGTCGAAGTCGCCAGAGGAGGGACCGCCACCACAGATAAGAATGATGGCGACAATCATGAAGATGACAATGGCAGCGAGCTTGAAGACGGAACTCCAGAACTCTTCTTCGGCATAGCCCAGGGTACCAAAGATGTTGATGACAATGATGAATATCCAGAAGACTGTGATCCAGACAGCTTCGTTGATGTCTTTGTTCCAATATTGTACCGTGAAAGAGACGACTGTTAATTCTAGCGGCAAGACGATGACCCATTGAAAGACCTGGAGATGTCAGCGTCTCAATTGCGCGAGACGGGATCAGCGACACTTACGTAGTTCCAGCCCATGGCGAAGCCCCAGGATGGATCGATGAAGCGAGTAGAGTAGGTATAGAAACCACCAGAGACGGGATACATGACAGCGAGCTCACCGAGAGCGTGGACGACGTTGAAGATCATAATACCAGCGATAGAGAAGCAGAGGAAGACGGCGCCGGGACCGCCCTTGGTGAGGGCACCACCGGAACCGACGAAGAAACCAGCACCGATTGAACCTCCAATGGCGATCATGTGGAGATGGCGCTTCTTCATGGAGCGATCGAGCTCGACGACGCCAGTGCCGTAGTCGCCTGTAAAAAGACGTTAGGGATCAATTGGCAGCGGTGGACAGTGCATGCGACTCACGGCGCTGGAAAGACTTGAGGTTCAGACCATTGCGGGTCATGAAATCGTCCTCACGGAAATCATCGCGAACGCCCTCGACATCACCAGTGAAGGTATCCTTGGTATGCGCCTGCGCATGGTCATGAACAGGCGACGGCGGCGTAGCGCTGCCCACGTCGATCTTCTCCTCCTTAGAGGTCATTGTTGAAGGAATTAAACGAAGCTGTTGTGAAGGAGTTGTAAAGTGGGTGAGGGAGAGGGAATGAGGCCTGACGAGCTTGGAGAGAAGTGGGAGGGAATGGGAGTGGTTTTTATCTCCGAGGAGCGGAGACGTACGGTTTTTTGTGTTACAGGTTGCAGGGGAGTAGTTACACCAACACAGGCGATGGCGAAAAGGGCAGGAGATGGGGTTTGGAATTCAGAAGGTGGTGGGTTAACTCGTGTAGCGTGCCAAGACAAGACATGATAAGCATCAAAGAAGGAGACGAGATGGGTGAGAAGAGAAGCTGCCAAGTAGTTCTAGACGAGGCAAATGGAGGGAGACTGCAACATCCCTTGAACATGGGTTACGCCCTGTTGGTGCAGCTCTCCAATATGATTACAGCTGTTGGGTTGTATTTCTGCCGATACTGCATGTTCCATGCCGTGTCGTGTAAATAAACCATGCCTCGCCTCTCTCAGCACATGCTACAAGTTTCCCCAGGAAGCTTTGACAATTTAGTCAGTGACTAGCCGCTGATTTACAGTGATGACCCGCCCCGCACTTGGCAGTGCTCTGTGCACTATCCGACATCCGCTCACGAACATGATAATTGAGTTGACAGTAACCGTCCAACGCGTGATCAAAAATCTTGTATGCAACGGACATGATACTGAGAACGGAAGGTGCAACGATCGATCCTCTCACTGGAGGGTTGGGCGTGTTGGGGTCCGGCTTGGCGCATGCCTTGGTCTGATTTGGGGTTCTCACTGCTCTCACTCTCATGCAACAGGTGGACGGTGGCGCCCAGTCTGGTGGGTTGGGAGCGAGCTAAACAACAAGCTTAAAATGTTTATCACGAGGTGTGGGTATGACGCGCTGGCTTTTGTTTGCTTTCAGTCGTTTGAATTGAGTGGCGAGCAATCATTCTAACAATCCTGCACAATCTCTTGACCGTTGAGCGTCACAGTTACTGACTGTTACCCCAAAACTCGTCTCCAAAAACCACAAACACAAAATCGCAACGCCCAGCTTTCGCCGAGAAATCTGTCAAAATCCCGAACGCTTGGGGCCTCCGACGCCAAGGGAATCTGTATCATCTTGAAAGGGAAGGAGATAAAAACTTGGAGGTTATTCCCAATCATCAGCTAACGTTTAGGTTGGTGGCTTGGGTACCTGGCTTTTGCCTCGGAAGGTCAGCCAATTGTGCCGAGATGCATTATCTCCATCCTCATTGAGATTGGGTCGTTCAGATTGAGCCGTGAAAATCCGGGGATGGGATCGGGGAAAGTGGAATTTATTACGTTAAGTATTGTTAAAGTTGACGCAGCAACTGGGGCCGTTGATGTTTAAATTAGAGCGTATTATGTTGGTTGGGACTTGAGTCAGGACAAACACTCCTAAAGACAGTCTCAGTTCATCGCCACGCCTGCATGCATTCTCCCAATTGCAACAGACCAGAACCAAAGATCATTCCATCCTCAATCTCCAATCGCCCTTATCTCTTGGCCAACTCCAAACCCGTAAGATTACCACCGCAATCTCTCACAAGCCGACCCTACCGTCCAACAACAACCCTTCTCCTCAGCGCCAAGACAGCCGAATAGTCTTGGCAGTGATAAAAAACCAAGAATCGAACAAAAGCCCAAATTAAAACCCAAAGGGGAATGTCCCGCGGTTATCCCCAACGCCGCAAACCAATAACATCGCCTCTCAGTGAATCTCCCAGTTCTTGGCAAACAGCTGGTCGGCCGCACGTAGACAGCCACTTACTGTAACACTAGCAAAAGGGCCAAATGTCGCTATGACAAACGGAAATCCCAAACTTGGGAATAATCTACGTCAGAGTCTGGGGAAGCTTTGCGGGGTAAAAAAGCACAGTGAGAATGGCATTCGCCGTTGTGAGCGACACGGTAATAATAAGGACAGAGAGGAGAGAAGAGTCGCGGTCAAAATAAGAAATCGCCGTAGCGGATCGGAGACATGGAAGGGCCCTGCTGTCATCACTTAAAAAAAATCGCACCCGCACGAATTTTTACCTTTCGGACAGAACGTCCCCTTCTGGAACGGCAGTCAGAATCATACCACCCATTCACGGCGCAGCAGTTTCACCGGGGGGGGACGCAAGGTTGCAGCCGATAAGCCCTCTCATTTGTTTATCTAATGCTGCAAAAGAAAACCCCGGCAGAGCGAGGAAGCTAAGGTATTCTTAGCTCATGGGCCTTCTCGTCGTCTTCGAATGGAGACTCGGAGCGATTTTCTTCTAGGACCGGTTTGCCGCGCATCTGTGCCCAGACCGTTTTGTACACGGGTTTGGCGAATAGCGCGTCCATGTCTTCGAGGGTAATGCCTGTGAAAGTTATGCGTGTCAGCTATAGAAAAAGTCTAGAAGGATGTTTTGGTGTAACACACCTTTTGTTTCGGGGACGAAGAACGTCGCCCAGATTCCCATGCATACGAGAATTGAGCTGAAGAAGAAGTAGGCGCCGTAGCCCAAGTCTGAAATCATGTAGGGCGTTGAGCGCGCGATGATGAATGATCCGAGCCATGTGTCGGCTGTGGTGATGGCTACGCAGAGCATGCGAATGTCGAGGGGGAAGATCTCGGACGCGTAAGTCCACGTGATACCCTGCCATGTCGCACAGATGATGATGGCGTTGATGTAGACGCACACGATGGCCAGGTATCCCCAGCCATCGCGGTTCACAACACCAGCTGCAGCTGCTGCAGCGGGATCGGCTTCCATCACGTACCCGCCGATATACCACATGGGAATACAGCCGAGCGCAGCACCCCAAATGAGACCCTTGCGACGACCGACCTTCTCAACGACCCAGAAGGTGAAGAGGACCATGCCGAGCGTCTTGGAGATACCATAAAAGCCAGTGGAGAAGAGCTTCAGTGAAGTACCAGGAATTCCAAGACTCTCAAAGATACGGGGCGCGTAGTAGGTAATGATGTTGACACCAGTGAAACTCTGCAGAAACATGAGAGCCATTCCGATACCCATGCGGTTACGCACGCCCTTCTGGAAAAGCTTCTTGAACTGCTGCTTCTTGCTCATCTTATTCGTACTGCGCTCCTCAACCTGCGCACGAATATCGCCCATCTCTCGACGGACATACTCATGCTCTGCTGGAAGACCTCTAATCTGAGCGAGAATCTTCTCCGCTGCCTCAAAGTGATCACCACGCGCCAGCCAGCGCGGCGACTCAGGACACCAGAGCATACCGAGCGCAAGGCCCAAACCCGGGAGAAGCTGCACCGCCAGCGGAACAATCCACTGGGTCTTGGTGTTAACGTCGATGGTGCGGTCAGTAGCGTAGTTGATCCAGAAGCCAAGCATACCACCGCCCTGCGAGGCGATTTCGAAAATACCGACAAGACGACCTCTGATGGACGGCGGAGCTGTTTCACTGATGTACACGGGGACAGTGAGGGAGGACGCTCCGAGGCCGAGACCAGCTACGGCTCTTCCGCCGTAGATCATGTTGAGGTTGCCGTTTGCGGCGGTCATGAGGGCGCCGCCGAGGAGGAAGACTAGGGCTGCGCCCATGATGGTCTTTCTACGACCCCATTTCTCAGCGATGGGGAAGGTGCACAGAGCACCGAAGAAACAGCCAGCCTAGACTTGTTAGAGAGACCGGCAGAGAAAGACAGGAGAGGAGAGGTGTACCTGGAAGGTGGAGACGATGTTTCCCTGGATGGTGTCGCGCTGGGTCTTTTCGACGAGGTCGAGGCCAAAGTCCCTCATGAAAGAGGTCAATGCCATGGTACCTATCCCTGTCAACATACACTTCCACCAGCAGCAGTGAGTAGTACAAACCTCCAATAACAGAAGTATCATATCCGACTGTTCAGATCAGTATATCACCTTCATCTTCACAGCTTCAGAACTCACTGGCGAGGGCGGACATGCTAGCCACCGTGGCAATCAGGTGGATTCGCCAGTTCCGCACCTCAGGCGGATCATTGGTGCCCGACGCATGAGTATTCCAGCCCATAGATTATCGAAATAAAAGAGGTTGTTATAGTAAATATCAAGATATCAAGATGTCAAGATTTCTCTCAAAGACAAAAGCTAGCAAGCGAGTAGATAACTGCAAAAGTCTCTGTCCCCTCTTCTGAACACGGGGGCACTGCGGCCTTTTTATCTTCACAATGACGATGAAATTCATCCTCCTACGCGAATGGCTGGCCGTTGGAAAAGCTCGGGGTCTATTTTGCTCCACTGGTTTCCCCGTGGGGTAGGAAAATCAAGGTAACCCTGGGATCATGAGTGTGAGTGTGGAGTTGCCAAGATTGGATGAGGGGAAGTTTGAGGGTGCACTTTTCCGTGGTGAGGAGGGCTGGAGATTGCATTTCCGTGCATACTTTGTTCATATAGGTTGCAGGCGTTGATATCATCTCACCATTGTTGATGACGTACGTGGAACAGTCCCCATCGATACGCTCAAAAGCAGGCTTTTCACAGAGGTCGAATATCGACCCTTTCGCTGTTCAACAGTCATCATATCACTCTATTCAATATCCTTTCTTGAAGTCCTTCCCCCGCCAAGTCCCTCAAACATAAGGGTCTAATTGCCGACTCTTGGAGATCTACCAACCGGCCCGCCATTCAGAGTTTAGCTCCCGATACAAGCTTCAAGCATAAAATTAAGCGTTGCAGGCTCCGCTCCAACACCATTGGCCGTCGGCGAACAGAACTATGCTCCGAGACGCCTTCTTCCCCGCTTGAATCAGTCGATTGCCTATGGCGAATACTACCCTGTGCTTTATTTCCTTACAGGGACTTTTACAAGCGTTCACTTGGCGCCAGTAAAGGCCTTTGTATACGAGTTGTTATGTGAACTAAGTTACCTAATTGCCTCGGCGTTGCAATGACTGCCGATCTTGGCTGTTGCTTATCGTGGAAGGGTCTTGTTATCCCCAAACTGCAGCCTGGCCATCGTGTTGTACGACTGGCTAGTTTTACGCACTGAGATTATCTATTCGCTACACAGCCACGCTCTTTTTGCTCGCGTGAGAAGTCATTATTCGGGACAACTCGGGTGCTGTCGTCTGAACCCAGCATGATTGCAACATAGATCTGTAACCGAGCTCAGGATCATCACGCTGTTGTTACATCCCCACACTCATGGCCCCATATCCAGAATAAGCTTAAATCACTTGGCGCCAGTAAAGGCTCCGGAGAAGGTCAACAATCTGGTTGAGTCTGTGGAGATAACTTCGGAGGATCGGCGTTTAAAGGAATTACCCCACGGGGATATCGTCGAACCGACGTTGTTAGTGTCTGATAGCTTCACGTTACGGGCGTAAAGAGTTGTGAGTTGCGGAAATCAGTATCCGTCGTGAGTCATTCATCATCAATTTGGTTGAGTGTGCAGCATGGATGCATTAGTTGTAGGATGTAGGTAGCCGCACTAATATGAACCGCCTTTGACTGCGGACCTCTGATAGAAACATCTTCTTGTCTTGACTTCTTGGCATCCTACTACCTGGGATTCTATCTGTGTCCTATTCTGTAGATAGGCAATCCTTCACTCTCCAGGCAAAGCTGGTTCCGGCGAGGAGCTCTGCCATCGACTGGTAGAGTTTTGGTAACAAGGTTTCGACAGCGAGTTTGTTCACTTGGATTTCCTCTCATCGATTTGGCTGGGCGTGTGACTCTGTAAAAAAGATCACTCGTCGGGAACCTGGTCTTTGGCGCTTCTGCGGCTCAAGACCTTGGAGATCCTTACCATTCTCACTATGGCGATAGCCTGATCAATTCCTTCATGGAGGTCTTTAGTCTCGCCTTTAACAGATAAATCTAGGGCCTTGATTCTGTGCCCCTCTTCCTGCGCCTTGTGTAGTCATGAGAAGAACGGCATGAGTCCGGCCGGCCCAGGATCGTAGGCTATGGCGTGAGAACTGACACTCTCAGAATCTCTAGTAATGGCTCATTGTCTTTGCTTGACGAGAGAGTAGTTGGGCGCAAAGATGTTATCTTGGGCACCCCAGAGGGCCTGGTTCTATTGGCATATTTCTTTCCAACAGGGAGTTAGTCACTCATATCTGCTGTAGCACCTTGGCCAGTGAGTGACTAGAACATAAGCTTTCAGTTTCTTATTGTTCCAGCAAGTAACTGGGGTCATGGTTGGATAGAACAACTGGACGATATGATGTCGAAATCTTGGTTGTAGAGCCCATGTAAGAGCCTGTAATCACCGGAGCAGTATATATCATCCAGCACAAGCTCACCGCCAGTAGCCTAATAATTCCAATGTACAAAGCCTTCACACCTTATGACAAGTTCATGTGATAATACATGTTACTCTGAAAGGCCAGAGGCGTCCAAGCGGCCGATACGAAGCTACTCCATGGGATACAGAACCTTGATGCACTGAACCACTGTCCGGACATACTTGCAGGGCCTAGCACAGTATTTGACAAATGAGCCCCGAAAAGGTTTCCATTCCAATCTGATTTCAACTCACCAGGAACGGTTCCGTTCACAACTCCAACTTGGCTTCATCGTCTCGTGTTTGGCGAAGGCAGCTCGCCTGGACTGCCTGATAATACTGCTTGATGCGCTCTTTAGCCGTATGGAATAAGACTATGTTGGATTACAACGTAGATTCTTTGGTCGATTCTCATTCCTACTATTGTCTATTTATTTGCCTTGGCATAAGGATCCCTTCCAGGGCCTTAGTCAAAATGCTCCATGGGGAAGAAATGAGGCTCAGGCCGGGAATAGTGGTGGGAAAGAGAGGCTCAGTCCCTCAAGCTGATGCTATCTTGGTTTCCGGGATCTTATTGGTCAACCGTCAAGGGCACAGAAACAGTCCCCAAGATTTTAGGAGGCTGAGAGACTCAGCAATTGTGTGATTGTACCAATTTGCCTATGAGATACATCAACTTTGAATCGATGATAACATGATAAGATTCAGTGCCCGAAAATGATAAGTTGGTTTGAGACATTTTGAGACATCTAACTCTGACCAGGGCACCGGGTGTGTGTCTTTACCTTTCTCATTGTACAGTGATCGGAACTCATTCGACCAGGTTGTCAAGACAGCCCATGATTCGACTCACCAGTTTTATGGTGTCAGGGTGCTGGTGCGGATCAGATTCCACCCTCATTGGTGAAAAGGAAGTTGATCTTGGTATCAGAAGATATGAGACGAGGCTTCCGCGAATGCCTGAATGGACCACTGGCCTGGCCTAAAGATATCGGGACAAAAGTGAAATCGTACAAGGCTCCTGGAAATGTGGTCATAGCCCAATCGTCATGACCTCCGGTAGCTGAAATAAAGGCAATCAGAGTTCCACAACATTCAACTTTCACACTTTGAGAATATTCGCGAGGCTCGTCGCAGTATGGCATAGAGACGATGTACTTGGCTGCCGTGACGCCTATTGCCAAGCTTAGGGTGAGCGGGATCATGTCGATGCCTAAAGGGAGACAGAGATGAGTCTCACAAGGTCGAGGAATTTACAATGCCGATGAGCACCTCCCCATGACCTGCGTCTAGAGTGGAAACTGGGACATGCTGTTAGGGATTGGCTACAGGTCTGAGATGGCGCGGAGTCTGCGCGGCGGCTGGCCATCAAAGGAGGCCTCGTAGATATCTAGAGTCTAGGTTGTGAGGATGACGAAGGCGCATTGGGGCTTTTGAGGATGTGTAGTTGGGCTGTAACGTCTGGTTTGGTTGTTGTAAGGCAACAAGTGGTTGACCGGAAAAGGGTTTAGGATTGAGGTAGACAGGAGGAAGGGTTGGGAGGGCGGGAATGGAAATACGAATTGTGAGCAGGAGGTGTCCATAGACGCACTGACTAACACGGGTAATGTACCTATTTCAGAACTTCAACAGTTCTGTGACAACACGTTTAGCCACATGTCATCCCGCCCCTCATACATTTGCTTCAGCTTCCCGAGCTCCTCCTCAACAGCCCGCCGCTTTTGCCGTTCCCTTTCACACGTTGCTTGCTGCTGAAGCACGAGTCGAAGCAATTCCTCTCGCGGACAGCCCTGGGCGTAGTCACTCAACTCCCTCGCCCCCATTTTATCGATGCCTTCCGCCAGTGATTGGTCCATCGCTTGAGTTCCATGTACGTCACGCAAATGGACCCTGAGGTTGTCCTTTCTGGAAAACCCCTTGCCTCCACGACGACATCCAGGCACTTGGCAAACGTATGGTCTCCTCCGGTCATGGATGCTGGACCGATGCCGATTGACGTCATTTTGGGAACCAAAGGAAAGAGTACAATGGGAACAGAAAAACTTCCGAGTCCTCCTTTTGTCAATCGTCCTATTGTAAATCAGGATTCAATCATTATGGGTCGACGAAAAAGGGTCCAGACCTCAATCTTTTCTCAGAAAGTGGTTCCTCTGCGTTTATCTGCAAGTGGTGTCCGTGTTCCATCACTTCGCCCCCATCATTTGGGAAGTACTGAAGTGTGGACGGGTCATCGTAACGTTCAGGCTGGTCGAGAATGCCCGCGCCGTAAAGCCATTCGGTGTTATCGAAGAGATCGAGATCGGGAAACGAAGTGTCATCTAGGCCCCGTCAGCGAGAGCGCTGACTTCAAGGAGCAAGGGTGAGTGCATACTGGTAGCGCGCGGACGTGCGCGTTTTGGAGCAGAGCCGCCGCAATCGCCCCCATCTTAGCATAAATAACTTCACTGGCAGCGGGGCAGATGGGGGGATTGCAGCAGCTATGCTCCCGCACGTTCGCTCGCAGTGCCTACTCAGAGATCCAAGTAGGGACATTGGCAAATCCCGCTGCCTTTTGACCATGAATATCTTACTCGTTATGAGGTCCCATGACGACGTAAAGGACCCGCACGCTAAGTTTTTGGCGGCCATTTTTTTCTTTCCAGTATAGTAGATATTTCGAGGTGATGGCAGAATAATGAACAAATCCGAGTTGGTTGGAACTACTCGACTGATTGCTGGCCGTATGGTTAAACTTGGGCTGGACGGAATTGACTGAAGAGTGAAATCGATTCTGCTCAAGGTTGTACGCGTCTCTTTATACCACACTCTTCACCGAAGATGTAATCCGCAGCCTGAAAGTTTCAGGCAAAATCAGGCAAAATCAGGCAAATGCGAGGCGGCCTTCGTGCATCAGCTGACATACAACCCTTGGGCACTGTGCATGTACTCAATTGGGTATTAGACACGAGAATAGGTCACGTTCAACATCATCTATGGCATTGGTGGAACAGATAGCATGGAGGAGGGAGAGAGCAAAGAGCAAGGGAATTAAAATAGAACTGGGCACGCCCTGAGAGCCCCGCATCCCTGGGCACTTGCACGGTAATTTGTGAGCCGGCCAAGTATATAGTACCTACCCTGGGACCTCTTGTCGCTGAACTCCCTGCACTGCTGCGGCCCGGTTCGAGGAGCATGAAGGCATGTCCACAGATCGCGCCCTTGTCGACCGGTCCGCTGCCAGTTACTTCCTCTTTGGCTTTGATACTCACTCATTTCTGTACTCTCCTTAATATCTTCTAGGTATTACTACCTCAAGCAATATCGTCAAACTCAACCTTTAACCTTCATATTCCCTCCTAGAACAACGACCAAGTCTAACAGGGACACAGAACCTGATATATTATCATGAATCGTCAAACAGCTCCTGCTACCTAGTTCCAGCTTCTGGATGCATGCCCTCACAAGGCGTAATCGGGCGTCTCAGGGAAGCAACTTACCTCTGTAGTTCCTTTCATGTATCCCGGCTCTATCTTCTTGCCAGTGCATATCTCGTCAACGTAGATTCCAGCCATTGGGGCTGTTTAAGAAGCAGCTGCGCAGTATGTGACCCATGACCGTCGCTGTCTTGTCGACAGCTGCTTTCTCGGCCAACGAAACTCTTACTTTTTGAGCTAGCTTGCTGGGACAAAGCTCTACGCATGGCCTTCCTGGAGTTTGATGACTTACTGGTCTTTTTCGCTTGGTGTGGCATCTTCATCAGATGTCAAGTCCAAAGACTCTGAATTTCTGAAAACTCCACTCCACTGGGCAGCTATCAGAAACACGCCAGAAAACGCAAGTCTTCTTCTATAGCATGGAGCCCAAATTGACGGTATCGATGGGTCATCCAATGCCGTTGTGCTTAACTTCTGAAGATGGATACGCTGGTGTTGTCTAGGTACTCCTCAAGAACAGGGCAGATATGGAGGCCCGGCATCCTGAGTATGCACAAGCTCCTTTGTCACTGGCATCTGAGGGTGAACATGAAGATGTGACGCGGTTGCTGTTAGCGCAGGGGGCCAAAGTCGACGCAACAGATTCCCAAGGCAGGGCAGCACGGGTCCGGGCTATTGATGAAGCGCACGATGAGATCGTTAAATTGCTTGAAACGTATCAGGGGGTGCAGATTTCCTTGGCTTATGCATAGATTGTTCAAAGTATGTTGACCAAGTTACTTGTTACAAAGAAAAGATTAAAACACGGCGAAAAGAATAGACATCATTTATGTTTCTCGCTAGGGACAGATCTGAGCTACCAATAACACATGTAGCTCACACTTCCTCGTATTCGCAAGCATTTTTGCCCTTGCTTCGTCTCTCTAAACTAGCCATGTAGCTTCAAACATCCAATGCCTACTCCGAAATAGGCAAGAAAAATAATTTGGATGCCTTGAGATTCGGGGAAGGTTGTGTAAACGGGTAAAGGCGCTGGCGCTTCAGCTGGTACATCGCAAAGGTCTATGACAAGGCTTTGTTTCGTCTTCAGTGGCGACATGACCAAACTTGACAGAGAGATTCATTAGGGTTAGAGGTGATTGTTCATGTTGAAATTGAACCGGTTTAGATTCTTGATCTGGTCGACTGGACCTGGTGCGCTGGGACAAAGAAGTATTTCAGTCGGTAACGCTCTGTCCCATCGCCTGTAACCGCCGAGAATTTGATCCTTTATTTGCACCCTTGATCCCTTACTTCATCTTTTCGAGACACAAGAGTAAAGAGCAGGGTCACGGAGATGTCGCCAAAGATTATAGCCGTCATTGGAGCTCTGGATGCTGACTTGATTATGGTTACGAGTCGCATTTTTGACTGCGGCGAGAGCGTCAGCGCAATCACTATCATGAAGCTCTTGGAGGTAAGGGAGCAAACTCGGCTATTGCGACCTACAGAACATGCCAGAAATCACATTCATCAGGAGAAACACTGCCAGGTGATAGCCTCATCGTCGCGACAGAACAGGTCACAGTTGGGACTGGAGATGATATCCAGGTCGAAGTGATCGGGGCGGTTGGCGATGATAGATATGGTCAAAGATTCAAAGCCTAATGGAATAAAAACTGCGTTGATGCTTCGGGGATCATCTCAGTACCCAATATCAGCTCAAGCATTTCCTTCGTCATGGTTGAAGATCATACACGCGAAAATCGCCGTCTTTCCTGCATTCGACGTGAAAGTAGAGGACACCACCGGAGCTGGGTAATTTTCTTGCAACGTCTCAGTCCGCATGATCTGAAGTTATCAAGTAGTGACACCTTCACTGGGACATGTGCTTCAGATTACAAGCGAAAAGAGGGCGACGGTGGATGGGATATCAGAAATGCAGTTGTCCGTGCTAACAAGGCTGCTGCCATTAAGGGCCAGAGTTTAGGGGCACAGGAGATAATTCCTTGGTAAGAGGACATTGGTAGCTTTGACGCGCCGTTGAAGGGGTTGGATTTCCAGTAGTCAAAGGCGCCTCGTGGTCCGGGTGGTGGAGCTTGAATCCGTCACACGTATCTATGTTCAGGGTGATCGGTGTAACGAAAGGATGACTGAAGTTGCGATTTTATATAGGAGAGGATGGCGTATTTTACTTATGAGATAGACAATAATTCTTGACCTTCGATGATTTTGCTATAGTACATTCCCGACATACCCTTTCTCACACCATGGCACGAAGTCCTCTCTCGAGAACGACACCAGCAACACCAACACCCAACATTCCAAGCGTCCAGCTGTTCTTGAGCTCCTCTAACTTGGGCCAGAAGCTATTCTTCTGCTGGCGGTACTCCTCAAACTCCAGTGCCTTTACAGCATCGTGCTTGGAGTATCGCTCAGCTTGACTCTCCTCGTTCTCCCTATCACCACCGAGGTAGCGCAAGAAGACATAGTTGGCAATTGGGCCGAGAGCAGCGATGGGATGGAAAATGCCGGCACCGAGGAGAAGAATGGGAAATGAGGCGTGGATTAGGGCGTCGCCAAGATAGCTGATGTTTATTAGCTTGTGCTTTATTCATGGGGTGGATGCAAACTTACTTTGGGTGTCGAACAATGCTCCAGACGCCCTCGCGGTTGATTCCTTGAGTAGTCTCGTTCTTCTTGAAAGACTCAAGCTGAGCATCGGCCAAGGTTTCAAGAGCGAAGCCGGTGGTGAACAAAAAGATGGCAAGCGAGTGGAAGACAAATCCGTTGGAAGTGAAAGGCGAAGCGATGGCACTCTCCGCTACAGCGCGGAAAGGGATCGTGAATGGAAGCGAGATGATGGTCTGCGCAACAGCCTCGGGCAAGAACGTATTGAAGAGAGCCTTTTTCCAGAAACCAGGATCCTTTCTCTTAACGTCATAGCGAGGATCATCCTTTCCACGCTTCAGACTTCGAGAAACAACGCGGGAAGTAAGTCTAACTCCCCAAGCCGTAACACCAGCAAGAAGAAGCTTCTGCGAGTATCCAAGACCATTCCAAGCATCAAGAGGCGCAACATGATCGTAAACATACCGAGAACCAATAGCGCTCCACCAAGCATTCAACGTCATTCCAGAAGCCCAAAGAACATCCTTCCCCTCAACTCTATCCGCATACCGCGAAACCCCATACGCGACCGCCGACAACCCAGCATGCAGACTAAAAGACGGTAAGATTGCGGAGTGCAGTAGTCCCAGCGCACTAGTGCCTAGGCCTTGATACGCGGTGCGATTGAAATGCGCGCCATAAACATCTTGTTCGGCGCCAGTTGCCCCGAAACTCGCCCGAGGCAGAGATGGAGAGTGTCCGGCAAACTTGCTGCCGTAGATATCCTGCTCGGCCCCAGATCCAGCGAACGAAGGTCTGGGGAGAGATGGGGAGTGGTCGGCGAATTTACTGCCGTAGACATCTTGTTCGGCCCCAGATCCGGCGAATGCCCCGTGGGGAAGAGAGGGCGTGTGACCGGCTAGTTTACTACCGTAAATGTCTTGTTCGGCGCCGGAGCCAGTGAAGGTGCCCTTTGGAAGGGACGGTGAATGATTGGCGAGTTTACCGCCGTAGATATCCTGCTCTGCCATGATTGAAGATGTGTGAAGTTAAATGAGAATGAGTAAAGGCAGAATGATTGGAGATCATGATATACTGGTAAAGGTGGAGATGAGACAGTCGTAAATATTGCGTCATGGGTTATATCATCATTGCATCGTTAACGCGTTATGTGAAAGTGATGACCAAGGTCATTCTCAATGTTTCAGTATTGCTATAATAACCAATATGTTTTTACTCCCTTCTTCTATGCTTGGTGTCGCCTGTCAGTAGCAGATTGAGAGCAGATGTCAGCTCCACTGGCTTGGGACGGTGATGTTTGTCGGGGGTACATATTCCGACAAGTGAGAAATGGGGTCCAAAAACAGATCTGATTGAGTTGCCACTAGTTCAGCGGCCCATCTTATGCCGTAATTGCCTCGACAGACTCGTTGGTAAATGCGACCGCGTCAAGACCAATATGCAGTGAGACGCGACATGCAGGTCGCGTATCGTACCGCGTGGTTGGTTCAACATTCACAATACAACAATCACAGACAGCGCGAGCATATTATGATAATCATGATTAAATATTCCTAAAAAGTCTGTAGGCAAAAAGACAACTCAAATTGTCTTACTCCCGCATGACTCCATAGGTCGACATGTGATTTGCAAAACCACGTTACATAATCCAGCCGCTTAAATAAACAGAGCAACACGAGGTATCCAGCTTGATCTTCCCCAGGAGAAACCATGCTGCTTGCCTCTTGAGAGTAGCAACATCTACTCGTCGTCGTGGACATCGATGACGGTCTTCTTCCACTTGCGGGCCTGGACCTTGCGCTTGAAGAGAATGTCGATCTCTCGGTAAGATCGGTTCTTCATCTCAGGAAGCCAGATATATGCCATGACCAGGCAGACGAAACCGGTACCGGCCCAGACATAACCGCACTTGCCACCGAGGTTGGCGCCCTGTAGACTGTTAGCAGCTGATTTGAGAAGTCCAGAGATGGTGAACATACAGTGGGGTTAAGCATCCAAGAGGAGAGGAAGATACAGGGGATGTTGACGAGGTAGTAGCAACCACGGCCGACACCAGTGGTAAGAGGTCGAAGACGAATGGCAGAGGTCTCTCCGATGATGACCCAAGAAGCGGGAGCAGGTCCGAGGGTGAAGAGGACGGAGACAATGAGACCGAGAGCAGCCTGGGTGTTGGAGTTGACGGTGGACTTGACATCACCGACAGTGGCGGCGATACCGAGGGCGACCAGGAGAACAGTGTTTCCAAGAGAACCCCAGAGGTAGATGGATCGACGACCGAAGTAACTGGTGAGAATCCAAGAAAGCATGACGAAGACGGTCTGGAGGGCGGAGGTGATGAGACCCATAGCGAAGGCGGTCTTGTTAGGCATACCGGCCTCTGTAAATCAGTCAGTACAGTTCAAAGCTCACGCGAGATTTCACTTACGCTCAAAGAAGTAGACAGCCTGGTTAGCGATCAGGTTACCAGTAAGGTTCTGAGCGGCGTAGACGCAGCAAACGATGGCAGTACGGTAAGCATCAGTGCCCTGGAACAGCTCAATGAAGCTGGGCTCCTTGACGGTCTTCTCGAGATCAATGGTACGCCTCATCATGGCAATGGCTTCCTGAGCGTTGTCGACGTGGGTAGAACGTCCGAGACGTCGAACGGCCTTGGCAGCCTCTTCAAGACGACCCTTTCGGACGAGCCACCAGGGAGACTCGGGGGAGAGGAAGATGAGGATGGCGAGGGGAGTGGGGAACATCCACTGAAGAGCGATAGGCACACTGAGATGTTGTTAGCAATCTGAGAGATTGGTGATGAGAATTGAATGAACATACCGGAAAGCAGCCTGCTCGTGAAGATCATTGTAGCGATAAGCAACAGCACCGACGATAATCGCACCAATGGCCCAGAACATCTGAAGCATCTGCGTAGCAGGCGCACGAAGCTGGAGAGGCACGATCTCGGAACAGTAAGCAGGAGAGTTGGCGATGAAAATACCCCAAGGGATACCCTCAAGGAGCTGAGCGACAAGCATGACGGGCAGAGAGTCGGCAAAGTAGAAGATGAAGATGAAGGCGTTGAGGAGCATGAGACCGCTGATAGTAGCCCATCGGTATCCGATACGGCTGGTGATGGGACCGGCGATGGTGACACCGATGATGGCGCCAATGGGGCCACCGACTTGAAGAGCAGATTGCCACTTTGTCTCAATGACATATTTGCCCTTGGTGTCACTCCAGATACCGTATCTGTCGGCGAAAGCGGGGAGGGCGATGAAGTTACCGATGAGGAAAACACAGTAAGCCTCCATGATCTACAACCACTCATATTAGCCACAATTCACCGGTGAGGGGTAACAGAAACAAAATTTGGGGGCGGCGCTGCGTACAATTGTGCAAGACATGTTGAAGGCCCAGAGAGAAGCAGCGGGATAAGCTCTGACGGCCTCAAGAACGGTCATGTTATGCTCCGCGTTCTCAGCGTCAATGGCGCCCTGCATGTCAGCGGCCATCTCCTTCTTTGCCTCGACATCGTAGGCATGGTCGATATGGGCCCCGTCGCCCTTGACCTCTGAGATGCCGCCAACGCCCTTGTTATCGTCGTTGCTCATGTTGACGTGTTGTTATTGAAGATCAACAATGATTGAGGATGAGTCGAGAAAGGAGAGCATAAGAAAATGCAACGGTGCCGAGCGTTGACATTTATAAGAAAATTGAAACGTCGCGTTGGGAACATGCCGATCGTATGGATCCCTGTCCCTAACCTAGCAAGGTAAGGTATAATATGGAGTCGTAGCATCAAAAAGTACCTTTGAGCTAAAAGCGACCGGGAGAATTGGCAAAAAAGGGCTTTCGGCGATGATACGTAGCGTGCGTCTATGGACCGGGGTATGGGGTATGTGGTTTTAGGCATCTGGGGTATGGTTCCCTCGGGCATTAGACGCACGAATGGCGAGAGAGATTGGAGACCAACAGCATTGCAAGGACGACCTATGAACGAGGAGTTCCCCGCGAGAAACCCCGCAGACTACCCCGGATCAAGACACCACTACGGCGCGACTCCGGCGGGAGGAGTTCGGGGTCATGCCAGGATGGGACAAGGTTGCATCCTGCATCGGTCTTAATTTCCCCGTTTTACTCCAAACATCTCCACGCTTGACTCACGAGCCTCGTGGTATTTACTACCGAGCCGAGGTGAGCCTCTGACGAAACATGCCGATCCGGGAGTCTATGTACCGAATCCCCAGACTAACCGTCAAGAACGAAAAGAAAAGAAGAAAGAAAGAAGCTTGTATTTCTGTCTGGGGAAAGGCGGGTCTTGGTTCTCCAGTGTATACGGTTATTCATCTAGAGCACTGGAGAAGCTGGGGAACCCAACATGCGAGCGAATCATCAAAGACCCGGCTAAACGTACCACAAAAAGACGAGAAATTGGAGGGCTGCAAGCTCGCATCCCTGCTCACTTCTCCCTATGCTACCCCATCTCCCATCTCCGTCCCTTGCGAATCTCACGTGGGCCATACGAAAAGTCCAGAACCATAACCTGTAACAGTCGCACTTCCCGCACAGGCGCGCCAATTGATTCTTGACGCGCTTCTGCTAGCGTGGAATTAATGCACCTATCGGGTCACACTCCCGGTGCGTGCCAAGAGCGGCATTCCTTGCCGTTGATCCTTCGAGAAGCAATCGAGGGGAAGTAATAAAAGCTTGGGACCTTTATCCAAGTGACAAAAAGTCTTAGGTAAACTTAGGCATAATTTAGTATAGATTTAGTAGACCTTGGGCTAAATATTTTTGGCACCTCCATTCAGTGTCCGAGGTTTTCTTGCGCCCCGGGGGTAATCAGGCAAATGCAGGGTAGCTTTGGCGCATTTTATTTCCAGATGACACTTCCTGATTTGCGCGTGTAGATTTTTTTTTTAAAGTAGTGATTTAGAGTTAATGATATGCTTTAATTCCTATAGGAGCGTTAAGTGAGTTCCAACGGCCCGGGTAAAGTAACCTGGCGTATGTGACAGCGCAAGTGAGAAGCTGAGATGCAGAATAAAGGCTGAAACCAGCTGGTGATGGGCGAGCCATGTTGCCCTAGACTTGCATCCGTCAAATTCAGATTCCACGTGGTTTGTGTTGCATTAGTTGAGGTCTCCTCTTTAAGCTGTCATCTGGAGTCGTATCTGGGGTCTAGGTTAGGTTGCGTTCGAGATGGACTGCTGCTGCAATGAGACATGCCAGGAATGTTGCCGATTGACGCGAGATGATCAATATGGGAGGGAAACTGGACATAAAAACCCGTCGGATATACCTGGGACTTAGTCTCTGCGTTGTGACACGATGTATAATGGAGCAAATCATAATTCGCTATTGTAGATCTCGATACCTGATCACAATTGTTTTCGATAAATCCAGATGCCGATCTACGCAAGCCACCAGAGAAACATGACGCCTGATTACGGGGTCTCGGCACAGGGTAGGCTGTCTCAAGCGATATGCTCGATTGATCGCATTGGCATATATTCGTCAGGACGCGCTACTACTGGTACGTCTCCTAATCTGGCATGCCTTGGAGAACCTCCCCTTCCAAGATATGGAGTCTTTGCAGATTCAGGTGGACAGGGACGAATGATCGCCTCGGTCTGTATTCAAGCTGTGAGGTGATTAAAGATAACCTAAGGAACGACGCTCGTGACAACGAGTCGCTGTTATCCCCTTGCCTGAGATTTCCTATCATTTCGTATAACTTCCAGTTGCGGAGTGGTGAAGCTTGTAGATAGGATGGTGACATCGAGTCTGTCTTCCACGGCAAGCATCACTTTTACCAGCGCATTGGGTCTTGCTCCAAATTGGGGTAGCCTCATTGATGAGGTCTTGTGGCGAAGACAAGGTTACCGGTCCCATCACGAAGAAGAAGGCATGCCTCGATGTCTGCCTCTACACCGACACGGGTAAGTTCAGCGAGATTAAACAATACGTCCTAGATTTCCAAGCTATAAGAGAGATAGCGTGTGATGAAAGTACTCTTACTCGAAGATTTTCGACGTGCTAGCCACATCAGGCGCAAGCCCAGCGCTGACAGACGGTTGTTGTACATTGTAGCGCTTGGGAACGATTGTAATCCTACACAATGCCATAGGCAGATCGCCACTGGAGTATGCGATATGTGAACTCGTTACTATTAGCTGTGATTTTGATGGAGGAATCTACTTTGACACGCAAGGTAGGAATACCAAAGGTGGGCTTCAGTGGAACTGAGCTATTAGTTCCCTGAGATGCATGGGGTGTCTACATGCTCGAGAGTGGTACATATGGAAGGATCCTCTGATGAGTAAGTGATTGGTTACCGGCTGAGTGCTGACGCTGTGAAGAATCAGTCCCAATTGGTTCGCATAAGACTGTGCCCCCCAGATTCCTCTCTCGAACTAGCAGGGGCCATGATTAGCATTATCGGCTGATGAGGTACAGTTCTCCAATTTTCTTGGGGGAAGTCTGGACTTTCATCTAATATTCTACCCAGTCTTGTTGCTCAACCTAACCAGACCCGTCAGATTGTCAAATATCCACGGCACCAGAGCGGTTGGTGATTGAGGTGAAATCAGGATTTGAACTTTTGAGTACACATTACAGCCCATCTGAAAATGTGTTCTTCGCCTCTGGGGCTCAGTGCCGTTACGTTCATAATGAGTTGACAGACACGCCACCGCCTATCTAGCAAACAATAAAGAGTGATTGATTCGTACCTATGCATATCTACACTACAACTCAGATCGGGCTAAATCTAATTGAATCCATGATATCCAGTGCTTCTCGTAAGTTTTCCTTCCCTGCAAAGTCTCGCACCTTTCTCCGATCGGCATCAGTTGACTTGGCTTGAAATTCCACCAGGACTCGTTTCACTTCGAAACATGTAAGTAAGAACTTGGCTGCTCTGTTTGGTCTCTGTGAATTGTACGGGTGAAGGTAATGACTTTGCATTGCATGATGGAATGGCGTGAGTCCATCTTCGGATTTGTCTGGTGTCCATGCAAGTCTTGGGTCTGCTTCAAAGAGATACCCGAGAACCTCTATATTAACAAAGTAACCGCCATTGCATAATGCTGAAAATGCGGTTTGTCCTCTGTTGTTTCGACTGAAGAGATCAACAGACTTATTCTCCAACAGCACGCTAATCTTGTTCCTAGATGATGCCTCATGTAATGGACTTTGCCCCGAATTGCTCTTGTGGTTGATATCTTCGGTACTGTCAAGAACAGCTCGAATAACAGCTTGCGAGGGACCCCAATAAGACACTGCTACATGTGCCGGTAGTCTACCATCACCGTCCGTAATATTGGCGAATTTGCCACTGCCGTACTGAAGAAGGCGTCGAAGCATAGACATACAGCTGCTGCAACCTCCTCGGCATAGTCCTCTTAAGCAGCAATGTAATGGCGTATTGCTATCCTCAATTTTAATTTGGAGATATTCGTCATTCCCGATATCCATTAAGAAATTGGCGAGAGAGAAGCATCTTCCACGAAGCGCCCTGTGGAAGGAATCGACTTGTCGAAAAATTATGTCTCCCCAGATCTTGTACTCCGCACAGTCGGACTGTGCAATGAAAACCCCTTTCTCATTGTAAAACTCTGGCTTGACATATTGGAACCAGGCATGTATTAGCGTGGCGTCTATTGAGTGAGAGTCTCTTCGGACTAATCTCAAGTCGGTCTGGGATGTTATTTCACTTGGAACCAGCTTGATCACGTCCGCATGGTCTCTTGGCTGTCTTGTGGCCAGAAGCATGTTCAATGCGGCTGGCCGATCCGCGTGTATCGCCTGGGCAATACTTTTTGCCAAGTTGGAATTGTTTAAGCCATTGCTTCTATGCAGGAAGAATTCCAAGATCTCCTGGCGCTCTCGATATATCGCCGCAACGACTGGCGTCCTCGTTGTACTACACCTAGATCCCACACGGAAAGGATCAACTCCGTTATCGACGAGGTACTTGCAGATATTACCATGTCCAGCCTCGACAGCTGCACACAGCGGCGAGTCAATCTTTGGGCGATAATGCTTGAGATCAGCTCCCTCACGATGGAATCTCTTAACTTCAGCGAGGTTACCAGCTTTACAAGCTTCGTAAAGGTTCCATTCGCCAGTCTCAAGTTCAGCAGGAAAGACAGCTTTGGCTCTGAATACGCTCTGGTGAAAGACCTCATTATGGCTTTCTAGTCGCTTTGGTGAAGCGTAGCCCATTGTATGCGCAAAGCAATCAGAATGAGGGCATCTGAATGGTCTCTCATGTACTGCTAGGTGCTTCTTGAGTGCAGCTTCGTTAGAGCATCCCATGGCAAACTTCGAACATTGTATCTTGTGACACTTGTGCCTGAATGGCCCCTCAGTCGCGTCGAAAATAGGAGTTTCAGACTTCTCTCGTTGCAAGCCTATCAAGGTTCGTACAACAAGGACATTATCTTGAATGGCTAAGTTCAGATCTTGAGCTGCCTTATCACCCTCTTCTGTCTGAACTGAAGAGTGTCTGTAATTGGCCTTTGCCAAATCAACTGCTACTGCTTTGACAGCCTCCAGTTTGGGTGCTGCGTCTGTCGAAACCTCTGAAGACTCAACCTCGTGTATGTGGACAGCATAATGAGCAGCAGCATAATCCAAGAATCCGAAGTATCCTGAATGGATATCGGCACTGATGTTTTGGCTCTTGCCTGTAGTAAAAGGCCGAGATGATAGGTACCGACAACAAAAAAGCGCCATGTCGATATGCTCCTGCAACAGGTTAACCGTACCATTGCGAACAAGATATCTATGACTATGTCAGCTCCTTTTAATGGATTTAGGCTGGTGTATGGTCTTACTTGGTTGCTGTTTCATGAACCATGCTGACGAACTGCTCAGATCCAATATTGGGAAACATATCGCAATTTGTTACGTCAACGAGAGAGCTGCATATACTCTTACAGCTGTCTCGGCGTAGGTTTTTTATATTACAAATCTCTTTATCTGCATCGATACAGAATCTAGACTGTATTTCGCGCCATCGAAGGGGCCTAGTCGCACAAATGACCCAGCCCAAGATTTTCTTCACAGTCTTATGGCGTGAAGATCCCTGCTTCTTCATTATACGCTGAGCAATACGATCATAACTGACGACGTTAGCGATATTTCTCTTCCTTGCGTCTTTTCTTTGCTTACGCTCGATCCAAGTCTTCTGGGAACGTATCTTCTTCTAATTCGTCTTCAAATTCTTGTATTGAGTCCATCTCCGCGAGGTGGTCGAGCACAACTCGCGCATATAAAAACATGCCTGAAAATAATTAATAATTATTGACCGTAATTAGTAGTATCATTTCTACCTTGAGACGCGCTCGATATCTTAGAAACCAAGGCTTCCTCTTCCTGTTGTGTTAATGGGAACCTAGCGTGTAATTCCGCAACTTTCAATTTTGTGAAATGCTCGATGTCGTGCTGGTGGGCATCTACCATGTCGAGTCGAATCTGAGGTTGAGACGATAACATCACATCAAGTCGTCCGTCCCTCTGTCCACAAATCAGTACCTTTAGGTTACAACTGCGTGCTTTCGCGACTGATAATAGCTCATTCAGACACCAAGCGATAGAAACCTCATGCTCGCTGTCTATTGCCTCGTCTAGTCCATCAAGAACGAGTGTTGCCATTGGCCGAGACGTAAAGCAGTCACTTGCAAGTTTCTTCAGATCGGCAAGCTCAGTGGATTCCATGGTCGATAATCTCTCGTAGGCCAATCCCATTATAGTTTCGTCTGCATTAACGAGCTGCATGATGAGATGTTGAAGCATGGATCGAGCCGTTCTCCGGTCCGCTGCATCGTGCTTGAAAAAGAAATAAGCTAGGAAGCTCCGCCCAGAAGACTCAGAGGCTTGTTTCCGTTTTTCATGACAAATGATTGTCTTTGCTAAGGTAGACTTTCCTATGTATCAGATTATGGGTCAGCTGACAGACGATCGCAGAATTGCAAATACGTCAATGACTTACCAGAGCCAGGGGAGCCATTAAGGAACAAAATCTTATTCTCTGCAGACTTTCCCACTTCCCAGCATTTAAAGATCGGATTAGAGAATATCCAATTGCCAGAATTCTCAACTATAGGATCCCTTGTTTCCAGTTGAAGATCACTCCGAGATTTTGAAACATCCAGTCGACTTTCTAAGTAGGTCTTCATCTCCTGGGCTTGTATTGTTTTGCTTTGTAAATGCTCAGAAGCCAAGGTAGACCTGATATCTTCGAGACTGGTATGCAGTTTACTGAACTGGTCTTTGGAATAATGATCGGAGTCTTGGACCTCCTTCAGGATAGCGTGGGATTGCAGCTTGTCGTCTGATAACAATGCCTGTTTCCGTTTGAGACTTTCGAGAATTGGCTTGACTTCGCGTCGAAAGCTTCCCCACGCCCATTTAAAAACTCTTTTCCATTCTAAGCGAAACAGTCAACATGGGATAAGAGACGCAGAGGGGCGAGTATACGAACCTGGACGAGAAAAAACATCAAGAACGCATCGATGGAAGCGAAGAATATCTGAGAAATAATCCTCGAGAACCAGTTTCAGGTGATCTCTACTCTGAATAAGATTATGGAAGAAGGCGAGATTACCTAGGGCTTCAGCGATTTCTTCGTACGCGTCAATCAGCTGCCTGACAGCGTCTGTCCAAGTTGTGGCGACCATAAGCGCCAGCTTGATCGGACCCTAAAGTACATCGTCAATACTAAAATGGCGGTAACCAACAACTTGTCTTACCCAGATAAAAGCCACGAAATCACTAGCGTTGAGGAATATTGTGACAAGCTTCTCAACATGTTCCATAGCGTGGAGAAATCTCTGGATTCGGGTCAATTTGCAAAGGTCATTCCTGCGCCCCAGTATGTTCTGAGTTGCCTGGATCGTGTCGTCCAGAGTTTTCTGACTGACTCCGTCCATCTGCTTGATCTGATCGTCAGAAAGCTCTCGGCGAAAAAGGTCCAGAGACCTTTCAAAGCTGGTTTGTTGATTTGATGCCATTTTGGATGGTCATTTGATGGTTGTTGATAGACGTGGAATGAAGCCGAAGGAGTTGTATTTGGGGACTATGCTTAGTATCAACAAACAATATGCACGTCGCCTCACTTTCAACCTTAGACAGACTGACTCGTGTTTCGTGGCTGAAAATCACAGCCAACAAGAGTGAAGAATCACCTGCTGGGGTATGACAAGCGGGGCAGTGCTGTAATTCTCGGCGCGTATCCCAGCACAGCCTGATTGAAGAGGTTGTTTACGCCTCAAAATCATTGGTAAGGCTTTTTCAGCTTGACCGCCAGCCCAAATATGACAGCCGATTTCACGAGAAAGTTCCATTCTTCTCCCATACTATAGTCATGATCAACCCGGTGCTGGATTTCGATATGGCACTATCCCTCAAGCGACGGAGAGATTGTGGAAATGACACCGAAAATGGCAATCCACGCAAGTATGCCCAAAGACAAGCTGTCGGTTCCGGGGGAGCAAATTCTCCCTATTATTTTGACTCCGGCATGGAGTTAGACTTGCCAAGTGACACAAGTGGCATTGGAGATGACAAATCAGTTGCAGAAGGGGAGTTCGGAGAGGAAAGAATATGCTACGGAGCGGTAAGGCTATTCGAGAACATCCGAACCTTCAAATACTAACAATGGGCGTGATGATCCATAGATCTGCGGAGCCCAGGTTCTGCTAAATCCTCAAACTCAGATGCCCAAAGAGACGCAGCCATGGGCCAGGTATTGCTTATTCAAGATCGAGCCTGACGGAAGAAACTACTACTTGGTTGGTGATGGGGAAACCAATTCTAAGAAGAGATCAGTTCTCGACTGCGATACAGGCGCGATTCTGACACTCACAGCCGAAAGGGCTAGAGACGTCTCATTCGCAGTGGTCCTTGGAGTCGATGTACTTCGTGGCAAGCGCAAAAGATCTGGCAAGGGCTTGCCAGTAGCTGTCTCAGTCAACATCTATGGTCCAAGGAACTCAATGAGTGATGTTGATGAGGCCTTGTCCGGGATTGGCACTTATCGCACTTATTTACAACATCCTACATTTTTGGAACCCGGTGTTCCATACATCAACCCTCAGTTCTTCTACCCGAATTCTGAAAAGACTGACTTAAGGCATCTAGTTGGCTCAGGGTTCCAGGATAGTGATACTAAGTCCAAGATTTCTCAAGAAGTCGAAGACGTTATGGAATCCTTGGACGGTTCATCCGAGGATATCACAGCAGCCAGGAGTGAAGATGTTCAGCAAGTTCTGGATCATTTCTTGCTTAACACGAGATTGAAAGAGTACGCCATCTATCGGATCACTTGCTGGTATTGTTAAAGGCTAATCCCGATCGCCAATAGGCATCAGCTCAAAGGCGTTGAGTTCATTCTTGGCCGCGAAAACGAGGAGGTAGCCACGCAAATGCATAGACACATGCTCCTCTCGATCCATTATAGGTACTTGCTATTGATATCTCAATGACAAGCCTACGGCCAGCTGACTCTGGGGTTCTTTCTAGCTTGTTATCTCACCCAGACAGACCGGGCCGTGGCGGAATACTCGCAGACGTGATGGGCCTCGGCAAAACATTGACAATGCTAAGTGCTATTCTTTGCTCAAAGCAACTGGGCCAGCCCTCCATCAGAGACAGTACGGGCAATATTAAGAATCAAGAACACCCACTATCGAGCATCACTCTTGTTGTTCTCCCATCTCGGCGTATATTCTGGTGCCCAAGTTCCTCCGTTACCTTCTGTTATGTGCTGACAAAATGTAGAGGTGCTTGACGTTTGGCAGAATGAAATTGAGAGGTAAGTATTTTAGAACACATACCGCTTCCATGAAACTAATCACCAGTAGACGATTTCAACCTCAGAGCTTCAAAACGGTCACTTTCCACGGAGACACGCGACCAAAAAAGCGAGAACTTCTTCTTGGCCATGACCTCGTCCTCACAACATATCACACCCTAGAAAAAGACAATCGGGTAAAGGGGATTCTGAACTCCATCAAGTGGTCAAGGATTGTTCTCGATGAAGGTAAGGCCGTCGACTTGTGACGAAATGGCTGTAGTTCTTCTGACCAATCCTTCCAAAGCCCATCAGATACGGAACTCTTCGATCAAACTGCACAAGGCCGCAGCTGCTCTTGAAAGCGATACCCGGTGGTGTCTGACCGGAACACCCATTCAAAACAGCTTCGATGACCTCAGATCCTTGTTGAAGTTCCTACGTTTCGAGCCCTTTTGCCAGAGCAACGTGTTTGAACAGCACATAGTAAAGTCATTCAGGGAGGACTCACCAAACGGAAACGACGAGTCTCGAAACCTGAAGATTATGCTCAAATTATGTTGCCTACGAAGAACGCAAGCAAAGCTGGACCTTCCAGCTAGTACCATAGAGAGAATCGATGTAACGCCCACCGAGACTGAAAAGTCTATGTTCACAAGCATTCTCGATCAATGCAGAGAGGATTTCGACGAGATGGCTGGGAAGGAAGGAAGCTCAAAGAAGTCAAACATCTTGTTCTCGGCAATCATGAAGCTGAGGAGGGTCTGTAATCATGGAGCTATCCCTATCAGCGCTTGCAGCTCAAAACGCACAAATCAACTGATTGTTCCCAAGACAAAAGGGAAGGCTTCAAGATCGCCAAGTGCAGAGCCAGGGTGCGAATTTTGTGATGAAAGGACTGGAAACGCTGATCTTCTTGGTTGCCTTGACAGCTGTCCTATGTGCGGTCGGCTTCAGTTTGAGATGAATGACGAAGCCTCATCCCTGGCACCCTCACCATCTCCAACGCCATCTATGATGGATCTAGATACACCGGATCCTCCTACCAGAGACATCTCTACACAATCGAGCTACTACAAGAAACAGCAGTCCTCAAAGATGTCAGCAGTCATCAACAATATCAAGCCATCTTGTTTAGATGCGAGTTCCAAGAGGTATATCTCCAAGAAGCTCATCGCATCTAGTCTTGTTAATTTTTATACAGTGTTGTGTTCTCGAGCTGGAGAGACACTCTTGATATCTTAGCAACGATGCTTGGAGCAGAAGGTATTGCCTTTGTTCAGGTTGATGGACGCAACCCGCCGGTCGGCCGAACGGAGCTACTCTCCAAGTTCTGCCAGGACCCAGTGATTCGGGTCCTTCTCATATCCATTAACACTGGCGCAGTTGGGTAAGCTTACCTTCAGCTTCCAGGTATTTAATTACTCACACCACTTTAGTCTCACTCTTACACAAGCAAATATGGTTCACATCGTTGAACCGCAGTGGAACCCAGCCATCGAAGAACAAGCGACCGCAAGAGTCGTCAGGATGGGCCAGACGAGTCCAGTTACCATCTTCAAGTACATAACGGCTGGTTCCATCGAGAATGTAGGTCTTCCCAATTTCACCATGATGATGGAGACTAACGTCCTATAGACTGTTGTAAAATTGCAAGAGAAGAAGACGCGGATCATCAAACTATCAATGCAGGACAAGGACAGTGTTGACTCTGATGCGAACTTGGACGTAAGCCGCTACACTTTTCCATATTCCTTTTGACGGTTTCTAACCTCAAGCAGAGCTTCAAATTTGCCATTGATCCTAACGAATGGGGAGTTGTATCATGAAGACGTCACGACCTGCCCATCATTCGTGGCATAGTCCTTGATATATCACTGTCTCCTCGTCTCTTCTATCACTGTATAAATGTTGTTGCAGGTCTCGAGTCAGCTCACTGACTATATTTTTCCATTCAATTTGCGCCCAATTGAATTCCAGCTTGCTCTAGAGTGCCCATTGCGAGCATGAATTGTCCTGAGTAGTAAAGAATCCAAACAGCATAGTCCATCCAGACTTGATGTGAAGATGATGTAGGTACAAGAAATCTGCCAGAGGCCAAGATGGTATCAGATACTGTAAATACAACAGCTCCCAGTGCGACCTTATCATTTTCGATCGTCAATGCCGAGAATATCATGCCCAGAATTGCACAGGTATAGAGAAGAATGGGTAAGCGAAGCTCGCTGTTGACTCTCGGAATCAGCAGTGTCAACATCGTGGGTCCAAGTAGAATAGCTAAGACAACGATAGCGACGCGTGATTGATCTTCTAGAACAAGCCTCTTTGCGCCTGTCTCAAAGAAAAGCGCGATGTAGAAGAGATGCGATGTCAAAAAGCTTCCAAGGCCTGCCAAGAATGCCGGCTCTGAATCCCAAGCAAGAAACGCATCGCCCAGCGCCCCAAAGCTGAGTGCAGCTAGGAGGTACGTCGGCCCATCAACAATTTTGACGAGGATCGCAAGTAAGGAAACTGCGAGGGTTTTGGTGGTCATGCGCGAGTAGCTCGGCCTTGCACGAGCTTTGACGCCATAGAGTATGGCTGCGGTCAAGGAACTGGCGAGAAGATAATTTTCTGGCTGCATGGTGTTTAGGTGATGTGATTCTGGGTAACAGAGGCGTGCTCTCAAATGCGAAGTCGTGAATTTATGGTCATGGCTGGAGTCAACCTCGGTACTCACTAGACTCACACGTGACAACTCCGTTCGACGACCTGCCTGTCTAGGCTACTTCTTTCATTCTACATATCCTTATTCTGGTAATTTCAGCATTTTATACGTACTTATGTCAACTATGAAGTCACTGAGGTTAATTTTGATCGCTCGGGCGGAGGTGGTTTGTAGTCTGACTGGCCTTACTCATGCAAGGAGTCTCACCGGTCTTAAACCAAGGAACATATTGGCCTCCATGTTCATTGCGTATACAACAATAAGAAGTGCCAATGCCAACTCGGGAAAGCAAATCCTATTGGCGATTTCTGCGTCTTAGTTTCTTGTCCGCAGCGCAAGGCATTCTGCTAGGCAGTGCGGGGTATCAACAGTAGAATTGTTTATGGCCGCGGATTACAATGTGAGAAGAGAAACAGAGGATGTCACAGGCCAAGAGACAAAAAGACAAGCTAGATCCTTCTCTATACGTCATAACCCTTAGTGCAACCCGAAATGCGGCTGTGCGTTACCATCTGGCAATAAGTGTAACAAGGCCCAAAGACAGGCAGAACTGCTCCAACTCAGCTGAAAAGCAGCCCGTTTCAGATCATCCAATCACATCAGCCTCTTAGCCTGCTCAGCCTTCCTTGGCGTCAAATGAAGGCGTTCATCTCGCTTCATGAGAGACTGAGCTTCCGACTACTAATGTTACGCATCGACTCTGAATCTTCGACCATGGAACGTCTTGAGAGCATGTTCACGTAGGGCCTGACAGGGACGTCATGTTTCTACATAGAGGCCAGCTTTTAAGAGGCGCCCGAAGCGTCACCCACGCTCGGCCTAAATCACGACACCGACCGCATTATCACCTGCCTCATCAATTGCATTCGACCCAGGCACGCGGTCCAGGAAGAAATAAAGTCCCACGCTCGAAAACTACTTTTGGAAAGATAATATGGATATCTGTCGGTGCCCTTGCCTGGGGCCAAGTCGTTATCTCATATATGTACGAGCCTCTCAGAGACAATGGTGTTTTCACAAACATTGCCCAATCGACCATCTTCCGAGCAATACCAGCAAAGTTAGCACATACGACCGAAAGAGAGGAAAGTGAGCTGTATCAACCGATCACTGGCGATAAAGAAATACGACTGCTTATCTTAGAGCCGGGAGCACACGAGGACGCATTGAAGTGCCAGTTAGTCAAACGCTGAGCTGTCGTGGAGGACCAGATTCGAGGCTCTTTCGTACGCCTGGGGAGACGATACTACCAAATATCAGCTGAAATGTTCTGGGCACCATATTGGTGTCAGGGCTAATCTCCATGATGCCTTATTGGACTTGCGACATCCAACACGAAAACGCGTCCTGTGGATCGACGCTCTTTGCATCAATCAAGCCGACAACGACGAAAAGTCTAAGCAGATTAGACTTATGCATGAGATCTACTCACAAGCCCAAGAAGTTCTCATATATCTCGGAAAATCAGATCCTTCGGTCCATGGCGCGATTGGATCAATGCGTTGGCTCGACTGGAAGCTTATGCCTCTCTACGCTCGGCAATTCCTACTAAGTTCGAATATTGGCATGGCAAGGTTTTTTGTCGAGAGATGGACAGATATGAAGCCTATGAACCCAGAGGACTTTAATTGGGATGCCCTTATAAACTTGTTGACTCGCCCATGGTTCCAACGCACTTGGGTTATTCAAGAAGCGGTTATACCGCAGCATGCACAGGTTATATGTGGCGACCAGTCCATCTCCTGGGCAAAGTTTCTTCGAGTTGTGGATGCCATCAAGCACTATCAGTCCTCTGTAAAGACGATTCCGGGGTACCACTCGATCTACGATACCATTTCCAGTCTGGACTTGATGCGAACAGCTCGCAGCAACCGACATCCGAGGATTTATATCCTTGGTCAGTGGTGGTACCGTCCTCTCCTGACTCGGCGCCCAATGGAAGGTCAAGAAGATTCTAAGCTACTTGATCTCATTTTGATGAGTCGTAGATACAAGTGCACATATCCTCATGATAAGATCTTCGGTATGCTTGGCGTCACGGGGGAGGACACGAGTAGCGAGCTCCTGAAACCGGATTACAACATCTCACCAATGGATGCTTATCGGAACTTTGTGCTGTGGGAAATCAAGAATAATAGAAGCTTCCGTGTCCTTGGCACGAGCTCACAAAAGACCAGTCGACACCGCTCGTCTCCATCGTGGGTTCCAGACTTCAACAAACTTGATCCGATCGAAAGCTTGACCGGGCCTCTCTTCAGCGGTTCAGGGATCGACGCGAGTGCGGGGTTGCCGATGGAGGTACGAGAATCGAGCGATGGTACTATGCTACATATTAAGGGAAGCGTAGTAGACACAATACATACTGTTGGCAAGAAATCGTTCACGGACAGATCCACCAGAATCAGCAAATGTCACCAGCAGGACGAGAGACTTTCAGTCTATGACCAACTTCAAGTGAACAGAGGAATGATTGAAGAAGCAAGGGACATTTGGCTGGAGGCGACGAAAGGATTAGCTCGAGGCCTTGGACCTGGCCCTGGAGATCGAATCTTTGATACCACGGCAACCAGTGGCAGACCTTTACCTGGCAGGTCCATCTCTCCAGGGTGGGAGCCATTTTTACGAGTTCTCTTCGGCGACATCTCCGTCGGTAGCAAATATTCCATGTTCATCAAGGAGATCTCGACGTCCTTTCTTCGCTTGACCCTTGCAGAAGACAAGTTACCGAAGGAATATGCGAAGGGAGAAGCAGTCTTTGCCATCAAGGCACTTGGCTTCTTTGCAGCAATAGCACAGTCACGACGCTTTGCACGAACACATATGGGGCTGGCTGGCTATGTGCCCATGAGGGCGAAGAGGGGAGACTTGGTAGTAGTTCTGTATGGATCTAAAGTACCTTTTGTGGTCAGGGAGCAGGAGCATGGTAGATATTCCTTGGTTGGGGAGTGCTATATGGATGGGATCATGAGTGGTGAGGGAATCAGGTTTGCAAAGTACGAGAATAGAGACATAGAATTGACATTAGTGTAGAGAATGCAACGCCGTATCGACCCATAAGCTGAGCAGGCTTTTGTGTCACTTCACCCATCCTGCCTCATAAACCGGGAATAATAGGTATATCTGTCCATAACATATCAAGCCATTAACCGTTAACGTACAAAATCGTTTCCACCGCTGCGCTTTACGCGGCAGTCTCGGACAATGACATGATAATTCACCCTCGAGTCTAGATTGCGAGCGATGATTGTGTCTTGCAAGACCCCTCCACGTTTTATCGGCCGCTAAGATAGCGCCCATAATTTCCACCATTTAAGAGACACCTGTGACACCCGATTACCTTTGATCGGTTATCACAAAGGATCTCGATTGTCCCAGCAAAAGACGAAACGTCAATCTCTAATCCTTGTGAGCCAACAGTCAACAAAAACAAGTTCACAAGCACGCATCCAAGTATTCGGTTCAGTGGATGTTTCGAAGTGGATAACTGGTCTCCATGAAGATCTTCATAACGCTAAAGCTCCATGCCAAAGCTGATGGGGAAACCCCTGACGCTTATGCAGGCCCTTGCTCACGGGCTTGAATTAACTTTTCTGAGCTCAGACTTTGCACGCTCAATTGCGTGAGATTCGAGACGGCTTGTAATTACATCTTACGATGATTGTGATTCGACCTGCAGGAGACCAGGGAACAAAGCGGAATATCGACGCCACGTAGGCTGCGACGGACGAGACAGCAGGCTAGATCGTCCACTAATCCAGGGTGGAATTAGGGTCAGATGCCCTGTAATAATTTTAGCCCGCTGTGGCTTTTCGCGGGCACGAGCGGGAGGGGCCGGTAAATGCCATTCCTTCAATCCAAGCTACGGCAGATGGACACGTTCACTTTAACTGAGCACGGCAATACGATAGAGCAGCTTGTGAGGTTGACAGATTGATTAAGGAGAAGAATGACTGTCGATGCAGTCGCGTGTTTTTCATTAATAAATACATAGAATCTCCAAAGAAGCCTTCCCAGTAAAAAAAAAAAAAAGTGAAGATAAAAGAGGGAATCACTTGTAATCACCAAACTCCCATCCCATAAATAAATCCGTAAATCCAGTTAAATTACCAGTCAAATCATTTAGCCATGGAGATTCCGTTTCCTGCCTCGAGGGTATCATTGGAGTCAATTGAGCATCGTCGGTCCTTGACAAACTTGGGCCACGTGTTGGTGAGCACCAAGTACTTGATGTGCTGCTCCGAGTCGTCGAAAATAGTCGCATCAAAGCCCTCGGGGATGTCACCCCAGTACATAGCCTTGTCGCTCATGTATCCAGTGTCAGCGACAGAATCAGCTGCCATGATGCCGGTTTCGGAGCCGTGTGATGATGCAGCTGAGGACTTGACTTTGGTTGGTGATGTTGTCATCTGGAATGTCTCGAATGGCAACGCTGGGTCAACCTGCTTCTTGTCGCCGTAGAGGATGCGCGCAGAGCTCTCAAAGACACCCTCCAATCTTCTTTGTTGTTGCGATGATAGGTTAATCTGGAACTCTGCGTCGCGAGAGCTGACGAAGCCGGTGTAAATGCGAAGAGCGCTGTTAAATCTCTCGCGGACGAGTTCTTGCACTGACGGCTCCTTGATCTTCTCGGGGTCGCGCACAGCAGGTGGTAATGAGGACTTCCACTCTGCGACAGCTCGTAAGAAAGCAATGTTCTCTCCCGAAAAGTCGCGAAGGGCTGAGAATTGTTGAAGAGGTTCGGGGTTACGCTCAAGGACGTACTCAAGAGCTTCCATGGTGAGAATACTCTCACCGGAGGCGCTGCTCTTGACAGAGCCGTCCTTGGACCAGGACGTCAGAGCGGAGGGGGCAACAGTCGTAGATCCAGTAGCTACAGATCGAGCACCATTAGTTCCAGCGCTTTTGTTGAGCTGCCATTGAGCGATGGAGTCGAGGGTCTCTTGGCGGAGGTTCTGGTGCTGGATGACTTCCCAGCAGGGCCAGAAGATGGTAAAGATCTCAATGGCCATGATGGAGATGGCAAGCCTATTGTGCGACAGTGAGCGGGGATGTTTTCAATAGGGAACCTTGCTGAGGTAGGTGGCTTACCATTGAGGAGGAATCCAGTAGTAATTGACGGGTGCCATGGCAGGCACATACAAGGCGATGAGCCACATAGGAGTGGCATGAAGGCTGAGTGTCTCGGTCAGTGTGGAGGTCGGTGTTGGCCCTGATCAAGGGATAACTCACTTAGCAATGCAGCATGCGACGGTTTGGGTCCTCCATCCCTGCGTGTCGTTGACACCGCGGGCCTGCCAGAGGATGTAAGGGGCGACGATCCATGCCCAAAGGAACTGCCAGAATACAGAGGGCCACCTAACAAGAGAGAGTCAGTACATATCGCGATGAGATCAGATCTCGGGTGAGTATGCTTACCATTCCCAGCCCTTTCCGACCTGAGACTTTCGGTACTCCTCGGAGCCGGGATGGACCTCTGTGCCGGGAACACCCCATGAGGGATGGAATTTCTTGGATAAGCACCACATGATAATGGTGAGGATGAACTGCATACGTTAGCATCGCCGTATGTATGTGTGGTATAGTTCCATACCTGGACTACCATTCCCAGTCCAACCGTAACAAGAATCTTCTTGGAGTAATCAAGGGCCTGAAAGCGTCCAAGCAACGATCCAGGTCTAACGCGACTCTTGGGAGGCATCTTCTCATCCGAAGCAAACAGTTCCTTCTGCTGCTTGGCGACATGTAGGAAACGGCTGTTGGAAGCGTGGAACAGAGCGATACCGAAGGGGAAATACAAGCTCATGATCCAGAACTCGCCCTCCGGTGTAAATAGAGGGAAGTAAACATATCCGGTCTGGATAGCCCCCCAGTAGATGTGGAGGAGTATGATGGCGGCGAAGGAAACCGGGAGGTCTCGAATTCGAAGCATGGGCATGTCGCGTCGTCTCCAGAGGAAGACCATGCCGCCCGCGACGATGAATGTCCAGACGAAGGTCCAGATGATCCAGAAGATGCCGAGCCCATCGAGTCTGGCCTCGGGTTTTTCGGTTTCGGCCATTGTAGAAAGTGTAATATCGATGTTTTCGAGGAATAATAGGGAAATATTTATTGTAAGGAACGTGGTTTGGAAGGAATGTGCGGTCTCCGCAACACAAAACGGTCGAGGGAGCAGAGAGCAAGTTCGGATTGAACGACAAGCGGAGATGACGACGTATTATAGTAATACGTTAATCGACTGTGATTCCCCGAGCGTCCAGACGCTAAACAAGGACTAAGAAATCTCTTGCAGTGAAAGATGGCAAGAGAATGTGAAAATGGGAGAAGATCGAGAGAGTGATCTAGCAAGAACACGCCCCCCAGATAATGCCATCTCTCTCTCTCTCTCTCTCTCTCTCTCTCCCTTGCGCACGCCCAGTAACTGACCTGAGCTTTGGCTCGGGAAGCCAATTTAGTGCCGTCTAAGCTCCCGACCTCCGTTGATCTTGGCCCCTCTTGGGTAGGGCTGCCCCCCTGCAAGATCCAACCCGCAGTTCGGGACAATTCACGAGAGAGAGAAGATGCCCACTTCGCTCAGACTGACAGCAAAAGCTAGAGGACATTGGATATGGGGGTCGTGAACAGACCGGTTCGCGAAGATGAAATTGCAGATCGACGTAGGTCGACGTCTGTCTGTTCTGTTCCGCCAGGCGTTTGTGATGAATTGGTCCTGGGGTATTTTTTATTTATTTTATTTTTATTTTTGCTTCTTTGCGTAAGGGCGATTTGAGACAGTTACAACCAAGGCAAGGATCATCCTGTGTGACCGTGACCAGCTTTGATCATCATCATCAGCGCCGCGAAGACGAGCAAATGCCCTTGCATCAAGAGGTCGTGTCTTTCCAGCCACGAGCGCAACATTTCCTTTTTTTCCCACTGTCCACGTTATGTCTCTCTTTTTGCCTTGATTGACTGCGATATTATCTCGGAGCGCCATGATTGCTGACCGAGTTCACGCCACAGTGAAAGAAACCTCCAGTTGAGTTTGTTAGTGAAACGCAGCACGAAAAGCTTGTGCCCCCTAAGGCTCGTACTGTATGTCCAAACGGCCGCAGCTTACGGATACAACGGCTGCGTTTGGATTAAGTGTCTTGTATCTTTAATCGCGGAGGCGGGCCGTACAGAATAAATTGAAACGGCTGGTGATGACAGGAGCAGTTCGTCCACCGCCGTTTTCTATCTTCTGTCTCCCTTGCGTCTGGTGTTGTGCTCGCTGGCTCCCTTGCAGTGATGAGCATGTGCTGGAGGTAGGGAGACACAAGAGACAGTGAGCTGCATGCTTTACTGGGGCTGTATCCACTGTGATTTAGGTTACCGTTGGTTCCTGGCGCTTCCGTTTGGGTTTATGACGGTGCTGAGTTTCTTTTTTGCAAGCTGCAATCACTGTAATTTTCCATCGTGTGTCTGTTGGGGAAAAGAAGGGAAAAGGGTTTCTTGCGTGATGATGCTGCATTGTATTCAGGGAGTATCCCCGGCGTCACCCCACTCAAGCGCGATAAACGAAGAGCTGAGGTCGATCTTCAGTGCCATCCCATCCCCATCACATTGCATTGCTCAATTGAGTTGGCTGCATTGTTGGTGGAGGTTAGTCCAGCCAGCCTCAATTGCGAGACACGGTGACTTCCGTCCAATATCCGCAAAGACCGTTTTCATAATATGTGACATTATTGCAAGAGGCGCATGCATGTCGTGTTTAGCGCCCAGCGAAGCAAAGCCCAAGAGACGCTCTGAGAGGGCAGGCAGACCGTGAGGCCTCAAATCTGATCGGTTGTAGATCTCAATAACCCGAGCAAGATGCAATCGCGGGCCCTGCAGCGAGTAGTCACTGTCAAGGTAAAATGACGGCCCAGAACCTGGCCCGACGAGGATAGACTGGGCATCAAAAAAGGAATGATCAGCCCAATCTTGTCGTCATGACAAAATAAGCGACGCTGCATCGTTTACCGGTTCTTCGGGTTGGCCACTCCACCTCCTCAGCCAACTCCGTAACGGTGCCACCGAGCCACGAGATGATTGTGCGACAAGACTCGGTGTTTGCGAGTACAGGTTTTAGGAGAATACACGGCAGCATCGCGTGGCATTACAGACTTTACTTCAATTGTCCTGGTTTCAGTGGCACAGCTAGCTCTCGATATTCCCGTAGATGCCGTCCCGCTTCGACACCTTGTGAGCTGTCAGGAGATTGCACTGTGGGGGAGATCGGCACTGGATGTGAAAAAATGACGGGGGTTTCTGGTGATTGCACCGTAACTCGCACCAGTAAAATTCCCGAGTCTTCCAATGTTTGCTCGTCAGCCGCGACAAAGTAAAGCCCAAGGCCAACTTTCAGCTTATCGCTATCAATTTGCTTGTTGGTAAGACGAACAAACATGTAGCAGCACAAACAAGGATCTTGAACAAAACCTCCGAAGATCAAATCATCCCCACTCTTTTTCACAAAAAGATCACTTCTGACACGATCTTGCCGACTACGACCCTCAATCCTTGCACCAGCTCGTCAAGGGCCATTAAACAATCCATTTCAACAGTGGAAAAGATCAGCACTTCAGTGCCGAAACATATCGGAACGACTTGGCAGATTCAGCATCGGTAATAATAATAAAAAACAGTGGTCAATTTACGCTGTCACGGGAAAAACAGTTCCGCGCCTGAAGGGTTTCATTGATACGGTGATACAAGATTAGTGCCGCCGCCAAGAAATGAATACCGATACTGAATAGTAATCTTTATCCGTACATGCTCATTCAAACATCTTGGACAGGTTCTGAACAGGCCACGCCCTCGCATCTCGAAACTTATCAACAACACCCCTCAGCGCCCTCCTCTCATAAAGATCCGTGAAAAAGTCCCCGTACAACTCCATCCCAAACGCAGCGTGCACAAGAGCCGGTGGACACGCCGGATGGCAGAGGCTTATCCCACACAGATCCAGAATCATCTGCCGTACCTGATTTTCGATTTCTCTCCACTGCGCACGTGTCGATGAATTTCCCCTGATTTGACGTCAGTGGATCACCGTCTCTCAAGAGGTACTATAGTTAAATTAAATTGCTGTTGACCTACCCGAGGAAGGGGTTCTCTGCCATTAGCACCATTTTCGCTATGATGCTGAGCTGCATGGTTGTCACCTCCAGCGCGGAGGAGTACCAGATTATCGGGAAGATTTCTCCATTCGACCTGTCAGCTGGTCGTACATAGAACGGTTGATACTCCTTTAGCGCTTCTTCCTCGAGAACCTCGCCCTGCTTCTGGAGTCGTACTGAACCCGTTAGTTTCACCACCACTTATTCAAGGTAGCACATACGCCATTCTTGTTCTGAACCATCAGCCCATCGCCATTTCGCAACCTGCGCCGTATGAAGAACGATTTTATTCGCCTTCGACGCGCCGTGTCCATACACCGGATCCAGAATCATCTTTGGCGGATGACGCTTTGTAAACGAGTGGTACAGCTCCTGGCGAACGGCCATCCAATATGCCGCTTGGATAAGTGATCGTCGGCCAAAGAGGGTCCTCGACGGTGGACTTCTCAAAACAGCGTCTATGATGGCTAGGAAATTAACCTGAGGTTTTGCGTTCCGCCTTTGGTTCCGCTCCTGCTCTTGGTCTTCTTCGTCGTCGATCTCTTCCAACTGCCGGAGAATAACTGAAACCCTTCAGCGTGAGCTATTGCTAGTATGTTTGGTGAGTCTTACCAGCTGTGGCGATGATGCTCTCGAGTTTTTCGTCGTCTTGGATGAGGTGGAAGTCTCGTAGGGCGGGGATGCATTTTAACGTGTATTCTACTGCGTCGTGGGGTGTGAGTTTGGGTAGCAATTGGCCTTGGTAGAGAATTCCCTGTGGTGTTTTGTATTTCGGAAGACGGCTTAGATGGCGGGCCGAAAGCGCAAAGATCGCGTAGAGAAGTGGTGGATGGTGTCGAGCTCGCAGGGGTACAACGAGTTGAAAGTGCCGTCTCTCATCGCACAGGTCAAGCTGATCACGTTAGCAAATATCATCCACTACCACCAGATCATCGGTACCCAATGTGACAGCTCCTCGACAAAGTATCGAAGCAAACATGCCTCTTGAGGATCTTCAAGCGGAAATTTCGTTGACTCTCCAGAACTGTACGGCTGGTGTGATCGGGGAGAAGGAACATGATCTTGCGGTGGACCATACGGAGATGAAGCGTCGTGAGTTACGGTGTATGCGCTCGAGTTGCTCGGCAAGTCCGTGGGTGATCGACCTGTTGCCTGCTGCCATGGCGAAGAAGGGTAGCTCGGTGAGTTTCCAGCTGATTGCGATGTGCTTGCCACTGGGAATGCTGGGTTGTTTCTTGGGGGTTCGTTGTAGGTTGTTTGAGTCTCTCTTGTTGATGTTGGGTCGTTGAAATTTGCTGGGGCTGTTGAAGATGCACCTGCACCTCCTTCGAGTGGACTTCGCGGGTGGGTGTTGACTGTCAAATGATTAACCACCTTTCTTCACTACAATAATCTCCGTGGTCCTTGACTAACAGTCGCTAATCTCACTGTTGACCCAGGTCTGGTTCGTCAAAGGTCCTGTTGATGAGTTTCGAAAGACAGTTTTCTTCGCAGGTCGAGCACAGGGTAAGTTCTTAATGATACAGCGATGACATCTTGGTTGCCCTTCATCGCCTATAATTAATCAGTCATCATTCGCTATTCATGGCTGCTCAGTTCAGTGAATTCGCCTACATTTGACATGTTTTTCTGAGTATCGGTCAGCACCCCGCATCCAGCCACCGACGCGACGATCTCACCTTTACATTGAAGACATGGTCTCTTTACCACTGGCATCGTTCTCAAAACACTCTTCACGGCCTTAGAAGATGCTGAAATGTCGTAATCAAATACTTTCTCACTGGGTATCCACCTCTAAACTTCTCCATTGCGTTGCTTTTCCCATCACGTGCGGTGGAATCGCTGTTCTCTCCGAGATGGATGGACGCGTCTTGAGCTACCCTACACATTTCTGAATTGCAACCTTTTAAGTTGTAGCTGGAGCAGGAAGAGGCGAAAAATCATCTTTTATAGGGATATGTAATATATATGAACCGTTCGCAGATTAGACAAATTGAATATTGGAGCTGTTGGACGTTGGTTAATTGGATTTGGTCTAGCGTAATCCTTCGTCGCGTGCTGGCTGTCAGCCTCATCTCAATTTCAGCCGTGAACATTCACACTCTCATTCACGCTCTTATAAACACCAAAAATGTCAAGAACAACAAGATCCACCGCCAAAAGGCTCACTCGTCTCCAAACCTCATCCCCAGCACCCATAGTCTCCCCCACAACCACTCTAGAAACAAAACTCTTCGCTACCACATCAGCCTTCGAATCCTACCTCTCAACCAACCACTCCACCAACACAACCGGTCTCTGGCTCAAAATCGCCAAAAAGAACTCCCCCACCCCCTCAATAACATACGACCAAGCCCTCGACACAGCCCTCTGCTACGGCTGGATCGACGGCCAGCGAAAATCCCACGATGATTCTCACTTTATCCAGCGCTTCACGCCTCGTCGGAAGGGAAGTCTCTGGTCCCAGCGAAACGTGAACAAAGTCGCGATTTTAATCGCCGCTGGCCGCATGCAACCTGCAGGACAGGCGGAGATTGATGCAGCGAAGGAGGATGGGCGATGGGAGAGGGCCTATTCGTCTTCAAGTAACGCCACCGTGCCAGAGGATTTTCAAAAAGCGCTGGATGGGAATGAAGCGGCGGGGGAGTTTTGGATGGGGTTGAATAGAACGAAGAGATATGGTTTTATACAGAGACTTGAAACGGCGAAGAGGCCGGAGACGAGAAGGAAGAGGATAGAGCAATTTGTTGAACTACTTGCTACTGGGAAGACTGTTTGATCCATTGCTGGAGGGATTCTCTATTACATTAAAATCTATTCAGACACGATATATGAAGCAAGAATGTTGTGGAATTAATAGTCATCTTCATCATAGCCATCTTCGCCTTCTCCATCTGACTCATCCGCCATACCCATCGTGAAAGGATTTCGCTCTTCATCGTCATCTTCGCTCTCCTCGTCAGCAGTCCTGCTGCTTGCATCAGAATCGTTGTCCACTGGGTTCTCTTGTCGATGGAGACGTAGTCTCTCAGCGAGAGATAGTTTCTTGGGCGGAGCGTCTTCATCTTCTGATTCGTCACTTTCTTCTTCGCTTTCTTCGCTTGGGGAGTCGCTTGCGCGGGGCTCTTTCGACACGCCGCCCTCGTCCTCATCCTCATCATCTGACACGATCGCCCTTGAGCGCTGCCGTGTCTGTTCTTGCTGCATCACTGGCTCATCATCTTCGTCGTCCGATTCAACGACACGAGCCGTCCTTGCGCGTTTCGCTGTCGGTTCCACGTCCTCCTCGTCTTCGTCATCAGAGTCCGAGACCACTCGTCGTTTGCGTCCGCGCTGTACAGGCGCTGATTCTGGCTCGGTTTCAGGACTGGAGAAGTTTGCGCCGGCACCGTCATCCTCATCGTCGGAGATTTCTTGGGGGACGGGCTGAGGGGAACCGCTGGCTAATGAGATACCCTCCTCGTCTGAAGGGTCGTATGTCTCTACAATCTCATCGTCGTCAATGCCATCGCTTTCATACTCATCGAGGTCGGGCCCATTGTTTCCATCGCCATCGTCATCGTCATCCTCTTCGTCTTCATCCGAAGTGTCGTCGCCCAGGTCCGGTCCGAGGGTTTGTAGCAACTCAAATCGTCGAAGGCCGCGCTCGTATTCAAAAGCGACCATGGGCCATGCCTTGAGACCTCTGTGTTCCAACTCACTTCCAAGAGGATCTGGTAAGTTGTCCCATGTATCCCTGTCGATCTGAAATCTCGCAAAGTCGGGATGTCGTTGTAAGTCAGGCCAGCACCACAAGAACTGCAGGTCTTCTCCTAGTCCAGGCTGTTTTTCGTATGTTTGCGTTTGATACCGGTTGATGAGATCCGACGTGCACCACCCCAAAGTCGATTTCTGGCAATCCGTACTTGATACGTTCACGTAGAAGCACTCCAGTTGGGTGAATTGCCTCAAAAGCGCAGGTACGTCTGAGCCACTCAAATCGTCAAGGATGTTGGGCCCGCCAAGCGCAAAGTTTTTGACCTCGCCAGCGAAACCTGGTAGGTGAAACACCATTCTCCCCGGCGGACAACTGAGACCATTCATCAGGACAACGTCGGAATTCCGGTTAAAGCGAACAGTGGCGTCTCCAGCTCCAGCATCGATGCTCAGAGAATCAGGGAAAGCGTTGGTGGCCAGAGCGCGCGACTCTTTGTGAACGGCAAACACCGTGCGGAGGTTCTTTGTCTGATCACCAAGAGCGATGCCGTCGCGTACAGTCCAAACGAAAGAACTCGCCGAGTCGGGATGCAGGGCTGTTCCATATGAGATCTGGAAGTCGAGCACGCGATGCCGAGCGCAGAGTTCAGGACAGAACAACTCCCAGATTGTGTTGCGCAACTCACTAGGAAGGCGACCGAACTGGGGGAACGAGTCGAGATACGAATCCTGCGTGAGGTCGTTGCGGTGGTAAATGCCGTCATCTTCATCGCTGGACTCTTCTTCGCTGCCGTCAGCGGCCATGGTATCTAGCAAGCCTCCACCGTCGGAATCATCGTCGGACTCGGATGATTCATCGCCGGATTCATTTTCGCTGGAATCTTCTTGTTCGCTGTGAGCGCGCTCGTCGTGAGTCTCATTTTCGCTTTGGTCGGATTGAGATTCGGCCATATTTGACAGGTTACGCGCGCGCTTTGAGTGAGGGAGATAGCCTTGACGCGCTCTGCCTGAAAGCTTTGGTGAGAGCTGATGCAGGGCAGGATGAAATGAGTGCACGTGATTGCGACTTCTTATCTCCACGTGATCATGGTCGCTGGTATCATATTGCGCGCTGACCGCAGCGCCATAAGCCCCACGCGTGAATCATCGTCGAAATTGACGAAATAATGGAGAAGTCGGAACTGGCATTCTTGTAATATTCGAATTACAGATCCATACTCTGTATTTGCCGCCCGGTATTCGCATCGTTTCCCGAGCCTCTCAGCACAATTAACGCGCGGGGGCATTGGAGACACGTTACTAATCTTAGTGCATCCTCACTACTGCACGACTCTCGCTTTGTCATGACCCATCTCCATATTTCTGATCACTAACAATTAATCTGACCAATTGCCATATCACAAACTCTCCCTGTTCAGTTAGGGCTGCATCTCGATGTCTTGGCGTTTACCGACATGCCGACTCTGGTATACGGCTTACCTGATGATTATACCAATCATTGGTACGGACTCGCGCAAAGCTCCGCTGCTGTACGAGGCTGTCTTTGGGCCCTTATTCATCTGTCTAAGTGGACAAGGTTTGGATTGCTAAGGATTTCTGTGCCCATCATGCATGCAGCTTTGTGGCTGGATTCACCATCACGGTTGTGTCATGGGCCTATAAAGACAACTCCTCGTCTTCAATAACAGACTCTTTATCAACTCACTCCCGATTCAATTCACCCAATCCATAGACTCTCAAACTCTTAACGTCTCACAATAACTCAAAATGTCCAAGATTCTTACTGTTTTCGGCGCCACTGGCAACCAGGGCGGCTCTGTCGTTCGCGCCATCCTCAACGACCCCGCTCTCTCCAAAGAGTTCAAGATCCGTGGCATCACCCGAGATGTCTCCAAGCCCGCTGCCCAGGCTCTCGCCTCAAAGGGCGTTGAGGTCGTTGCTGTAAGTTAGGCCATATTCTCAATCAAGAACTCAATCTGACTCTTGCAGGCCGACATGAACACCGCTGAGCAAGTCGCTCCCGCTGTCAAGGACGCTCACACTGTCTTCCTCGTCACAAACTACTGGGAGACCAACAGCGGCAACGGCGAGATCGCTCAAGGAAAGGCTGTCGCCGACGCATGCAAAACTGCTGGTGTGAAGCAGCTCATTTTCTCGTCTCTTCTCGACACCAACAAGATCAGCAACGGTCGCCTTACTCACATCAAGCATTTTGAGGGCAAGGCCGAGATTGAGGAGTACATCCGACAGATCAATGTTCCTGCTACTTTTGTCCTTCCTGGTTTCTTTGCTTCTAACCTCTTCACTTCGATCCGCAAGAATGAAGACGGTAGCTATGGCTGGGCTCTCCCTGCCAATGGTGACAAGGCCAAGGTTCCTCTCTTTGACGTGAACGCCGATATGGGTAAGTTGGTCAACTAAAATGACAAGGATAACTGCTAACTCATACTAGGCAAGTTCGTAAAGGCCGCAATCAAGAACTTCCCCGGCACTATCAATAAGCGCATCTTTGCTGCCACCGATTACTACTCCCCCAACAGAATCATCTCCGAGTTCAGCGAAGTCATCGGAAAGCCCGCTACCTTTAACCAAGTTCCCGCCGATGTCTTCGAGTCTTTCCTCCCTGCTCCCGTCGCAAAGGAACTGACTGAAAACATGATGCTCTTGGAGGACCCTGGATACTACGGCGATGCTGATCTCAAGGAGAGCTTGGATCTTCTGGATGAGAAGCCTGTTACTTGGAAGGAGTTTGTTGAGCAGAACAGATCTAAGTGGGAATAAAAAGATGATATCAAAAACGGCCCGCATAAGCCATAAGTAATAGCAAAAATACCTATTTTCTATAGTTCTGCATTTATAAAATCTTATGATCTTGCGCTATAGCTATCGCCTAATGGCCGATGGCCCGATACTTGATAGAATCAATTGCTAGCCATAATAGCACTGGAATAAAGAACAGTTTAGATCTTGAGCGTGATATCACACCAGAACTCCATACGGATGCCCTTCAGATGAGTAAAGTCAAGATCCTTCGCCTGCAATCCCCCAACACCAACCGTCAACTCCCATTCAGTCAAAGGACTTTGTCTTGTATAATCCAGGTTTTGCCCGTAATCTCCATCGCAGATGATAGACCGGTCCTCGACACTGTACTCAAAAAGAAGGGCGCGAGCATCTCCGACAAACGCGTTGAAAGGAGCTGCACCGTCCTTTCTTCCAGGAAGACTGATGTCATAAAACCTCCCAGAGGTCTTTAACAAGAGCCGAATACTAGCGTTGTCACCTGTTGCGTAAAAGCTCGGAGCCACAGAGACCCCTTCAAGATAGCATCTGTTCACAAGGTGTCAGTAAGGGTGCCGAACTCTGCTAGTTCTACAAGCTTACCGTGCTTTCGAAACCCGAATGCGAGAGAAGCCGGCAAACATGGCGTCCTTTGGATCCAACGAAACAAAGACAGACTCATTCTTGAGCAACCTGTCTCTCAGGCTCGAAGTGCTGGCAGCATCACCGCAAGTCAAGATACTGAACTTTCGCTGCTGCACCATGACCCGTGATCCGAAGGCCGCGACATTACCTTGGAACTTAGCAGCGTCTTCCAGATAGTCAAGCACGGGCTTGACGGGCGAGATGTTGACGGGAGGCTTGTCAGTCAAAGCGTGAAACATGTAAGCTTCCGAGTACATGTAAAAGTCGAGAAAGACAAGCGATCTAATGGAAAGAAGACGGTCAAACATGGCTCTCTTCAGGAGATCCAGCACAGCACCCTGTTGCTCTGTGGCCTTGGCGGATAGAGTCAGGCGATTCTTCTCTTTGTGCTGAAGTTTGACTTTCAAAAGAATGATGGCCAGCTCATTACCTCGCTGACATAAATTCTCTTGAGTCTGTAGGTATGTCTTGCCATTGATAACAAGCGTGCGCAGAGCAAAGAAATACTTCTCTTTTGCCGGGAACTCAATGGTTTCCACTGTACTCTCGATCTGGTCAACCTTTTCCCTGAAGATGTCCCACAGAGCGGTAGCATTATAGATATCCAAGCTCATATCGGGGCGCTGAATGGCGGTCTTCTCCTGGAGTGTTTTGGACGCGTTGAGAGCTGTGACTACAGCCTGGATCGTTTCGGAAAGCTTTTTCAGCTTTTCCAATATTGGCTTCAGCTTCTCGTATATCTCTTTGATCCTCTTGACAACATCCTTGATGGTTTCTATGATCTTGGCAATCTTATCGGCAGCTTCCACAGCCTTTCCTGCAGCACCAGCAATCATAGGAGCTGCAAGACCACCAGACGCGACAGTTGCGGTGACCGCTCCAATAGTGCTAATACAAGCAGAGAATACAGCTTTAGCTGCTTCAATCTTCTGCTCTGTGCACCAATCTTCAAGACCTTTGCTGAACTCCTTCTGAAGAGGAACCAAGTCTGTGTTATTCTGATCGTATCGTTTGAACGCAACTCCTCTGGCTGATTGTGCTGAAGAGTAGGCCTTCTGAGCAAGATCCTCGAGAAATGCGTACTCTGACATGGCGTCTTCGCTCTTTGCGATGAGGTTGACAGTCTGTCCAAGAACAGCGGCTGAAGTTCGCTCCTGTGCCGCGAAATTCTGGAATGCCTGCTCAAAGGCTGTACTAGCTGCCAGTCGCGATTCGAGAACTTGCTTGCTTGCGTAAATGTTGACAGAAGGCACATTGAAGACCTTTCGTTCCTGCGAGAGAACGAGACTGTTTCGCAGAGAACACGCATGTATGTTCAAGGCGGCACTGCTCTCATGAGCACTCAAATTGCAAACCCAATTCAGAATCTCCAACGCAAGCTTGGGATTGATCTTGATGATTGTGGCGGCGACAAGAAATTGGTACATAGCGAGCCTGGGTAAATTGTCGTTGTTTTCGATGAAGTTGCCAGTTTCCAAGGTTCCGTCACTCTTGATCCTGTTCAAGTAATTTGCTGTCGTCATGTCCAGAGCAGTTGAGTCATGGTCAATGAAAAGAAACTTCGTGCCATCCCAGTTGACAGTGATACCCCAGCTTTCGGGGGCAATGGACAGTGGAAGCTTTATGATGGAACCATCACCGAACTCAAGGCGCGCGGTGAAGCCCTCTTTGAGCTCGTATGTGTAGAATTCAAGCTGGCAGTCTTCTGAGAAGTGCATATGGAGGGCTTGACTGGCATTCTGACATTCGACCTTGCGAGCAAAGACTTGCAGACCAAAGGGTTTCTCCGAGTCTTTATACCCAATGACCAGACCTTCAGTAAGATTAATAGTGTCGCAGTAGAGAACCAGTCTTCGAAGATCCTCTTTAGTGTGAGTTTGAACATAGACTTGTGCTTCGTTCAAGACCTCGGCTAGCTGGACGAACGGCCGACGAATATAGACCTGTAGTTATGAGAATGGCTCAGAAGAGCATTGAATGATGAGAAAACTCACAGTTCGAGGAAGCTCATCGAGGTAAAAGGACTCAGACAAATCCTTGGCTAGTTGTTTCTCACCGAGAGTGAAAGTGTTGTGCAGGTAATCAGCTGCGAGTTGAAACTCCATGTTGATTCAACTGTTGACGTAGTTCAGATCGAAAGGAAAAATAAAGATAGGTATCAGAAGAGGACCAAATTAGATCACTGCAATAAATTGAGGCGATGGGGATCTATTAGATGGATTTCCTCCAGGCTGTCGCTGCCGGATTATTATAGTGTTTGAGGCCTTGATAGCTTTTCATATCAAGGGCTTCTTCTGATGGTGAATTTATCGCCGCGCTGGCCACGTACCATAGCTAGATTGCCATTCAAAATGGGAAAAGGGCTTCCGGAGAGTCTTGTCCTTAAAGAGGTCAGAAATTCAATAGCGCGGCCGACTAGCCAATTGAGGCATCAAATAAGTGGGAATAACGCCTGTCAGTTGCATGGACTATTGCCTCGCCTCAGGGCGCAAGAAAACTTCATACCTTGAAGCAGGATATCAAAAATAACTAGTCTAAGGTCCACTAAACTTACACTAAATTTACCTAAGTCTTTCTGTCATCCAGGATGGAAGTCCTAAGTTTTCTTGCCTCCCCTAGCCTTGTTTAGAACAGCTATCAACCAGTCGCACTGCGCTAAGCCGTTTCTTCTGAACAAGCGGGGCTGTGCTCTGGTTCAGCTCGACACTTGTGATCTTGGCGACGTTCAGGGTGCCTCAAGGTCCACGAATACTTTCCCAAGTGAGCGAGAAGCAGGAGTCTCGACCATGAGAATTCAATACTTGAAGTTCCGGTGACGCCGAGCTGAACACGTACCTTTGAAGAAGCGGTGATGAACGTTGCTCTTCAGCTCGCCACTTGCTAAACCTCTGGTATTGCTTACCATCCTCACATAAACAGACCTTCCCATAGTCCCTAAATACCCGCTGTTGCCACGAAGTATTTATAGGTGTTTGGCAGGAAGTTTATGATCTCCAGTAAGCTACCAAGCAATACATTCTTCTCTCAATTGAACCTTCTCATCCTCATATCAACTAAGCACCTCTTACCTTGTTCTCCTTGTTGTACCAAATCTTTCACCATGACTGCCGTAGTCGCGATCAATCCGAATCAAATCTTTGAAGATTTCACCAACGGAACTAAAACATTCATCAGAGAGGCCCCTGTCGCCTTTAAGGCCACTACTGAACAGAAGCCTGCCCCGGCTTTCGTCCTCAATGATGTGATGTTTGTAGGGCTTCAGTCCTATGTCAAGTCTGCTTTAAAGATACCCAAGACAGACGAACTATTCAAGGCGACCTATCCGTTCAAAGGCCTCGACCTTTGGATCCAAACTCAGTCGGAATATGATGTCAGTGACATTCACTTATGGCAACCGTATTGGAAATGCTGACATGACGACCAGCAACTATACAAGAGCCTTATCCCCATCCATGAGCACTGTGAGACCTTCCTCAAAGATGGAATCAATCCTATGATCGGTCTTGGTAAGTGCTCACACCGCGAAGAACCTTTGGATTATAGCTAACAGCCCGATTTTCACATAAAGCTCATGCCGTTGCTGACTATGCTGGGAACGCAACCGTATTTCTCGAGGAGCTGAAAAAGCAGATGGATATAATTTGTGATAGGAAGATACCTACTCGAAGCGATGAAGCAATGGAAGCAAAGATGAACGCGAAAGAGATTCTCACAGCTTTGCAAGAAGAAGCTAAAGAAACTAATCAGAAACTAATCAGGATTACCGAGGCGATAAGCTTGGTGCGTACATGTCGAATGTCCTTCCGGTAAAGTATTGCCATCAGGCTCTTGGCTAACAATTCGGCTTTAGTTCAAATCACAGACGGAAAGCGACGCAGCAGCGCTGAAAATCCTGAAACCTATACTTGATGAGAAATTTAGTGAAAAACACCTTGACAGCCCTATGACAAAGCATATGGAGGAGACGCGCACATGTATCCGGAAATTGATCAAGAACCAACAAAAGACAGTAATGAGCCAGGAGTATCTGAACAGCTACAAGTGGCTATGTATGCTTTTCGTCATTTCTTTCTAATTGTAGAGTTCCCTACTGACAGTCAACCTGCAGGGGATTTCCCTGGCGTGGGAGGCCTTCTTCTTCCCTGGGCTTCTGAAGATATGAAGGAAGCTCTGCGAAACTACGCAGCCAAAAATGACAAGTATAAGATAATGGTAGCCCAGGGCGATCAAGAGAGAGCTCATCTTCTGAAGTCAATTGGTGAGTTATTGGTCTGATGACATCGACCAGAGCTGACCTCTTTCATAAAGATACCGCCAGAGGACTGATCGAGAATATCGATGGTGTCATGAAACACCTTGACGAGGCAAAAAAGTCCTTAGACAATATCTTCGGTTGGTTTTTTCAATTAGCTCTTGGAATAGGACTTGGCTAACTTGGTTTTAGATGGCATGACAATGATGAATATGTCATGTTCCACCCTCCGAAAAAAGCTCGAGAGTATTGACGGGAATGTAAAGACCGAAGCGCACGGTTCTTCCATGAGCAAGCTTTACATCAACATGGCTGTGACATCGTGGAACAACGTGAGTAAAGGATTGCCAAAGCATCGAATGCCACAACCCCAGGCTGACTAGGTTGGATTATAGGTGCTTGAAGTGGCACGCTCGTTCGCGAAGCACGGCATCATTGAGGAAGCCACCAACACCAACACCGACACCCCTAAGCGCAGAGGTCAAGCAGTCATCCTCGCCGCTTCTTACGGCGGACAAACTGTCACGGATCTGGCCAAGATGCAGCTCAACTACGGCTCCAAAATCGTCATCTCCACAAATGACCTCATCTTCCCTGACAATATGCCCGGAATGCCAAAGTCTCTTAGCATTCTGTATCGATTCGACGACGACGCGAACTCCTCGCGTATCTTTACCTGTGACACAGGAACTGGGCAAGTCCACATCCTCACTGCACAGAGTAGCTCCGGGTCTGAGGCAGCTCTTGGCTTCAACAAGGGTCCGACAAGTCGATATAAGTTCCATTCGGCGGTTTTTGGTCTGCGACAAATCACCGACAAGAAAACCTTGGAATATATAATGAATTCAGCTGAAACAATGAACGCTATGCCAGTTAGCACTCTGGCCGCTTTGGCAAACTCAAGTAATGATTCTTGGCCTGGAAAAGTCAAGAGCGTGGCAATCTTCTACACTGTAGATGGGGTTCTTGCTTGCGGATCTGCGGTCCAGGATGGAGCTATTTTCTTCTAAGCGGCTAATACTGTTTCGCATTAGCGAGAGATATTAGTATCGTGAAGCTGCATCAGATCGAGTATTTGAGTCTAGCATTAACCTTATTGAACTCGAATAATACATGTTGCCTTTTTGCATGCCACCAACTTAATTAATTTATCGAAAAATGCCTTGGACAGCAAGTCATGGAATTTCTTTGTGTATGGTCAGCCCTGTGCTTTGTGGGACTACGATATACATACTTCATAAAAAAAGAAAAATGATCCAGGATACTTCTCATTCCCGGATAAATATTCAGTAAACTATAGGTCACCATGTAGATAGCTAATAAGCAGTTCTTCCCTCAAAGTAAAACCCAATATAATCACTCGTCCACATGCCAGTCATCCATCAAGCCTCTATCTGTCATCTGCTTCAGAAACCTCTTGATTTTGTATTCGCCCCCAAGTCGAAACCTTCCTCTCGCTGGGAGTCCGACACTCATTGTGACAGGGGTAATGACGATCTGGGCGCCATGACCTCCATATTCTCTGGCAAGCTCCTGAAGTTTCTGTTCATTACCAGGTGTAGTTCTGATTCTGGTGAACTTGGTGACTATAACCCCCTTCGGCTCTATATTCTTCGACATTGCAAAGTTTGGACTGTTGTTGACTTATTTGTATCTCTACAGAGATTGATTGAGGTCTGATACAATCGTAAATTTGGTTGCTTGAAGATTGGAATCGCGAACAGCGGAAGAACAAGGCCTTTTATACCTAGAGCCGGATTCTTGTGTAGAGCTTCACTATGGTTACTACCATAAATGGCAGTGATTCCCGTGCAAGAGCTGTTTTCATCACGAAATCACGCACGTTGACAGTCACACACTCGTATGACTCAAACCATGCTATTCTGATAAGCAGTGGCCAGTGGTCATATGTGAGCTTTTTCAGTCGCTTTGCGGATCAATGAAAATGGTTCGCCATGTTGCTTCACACGTTATCGAGGAACAGTTAGATAAAAGTGACCTCTTATTTCGGTGATAAAGGTCAATTATGAAAGTAGTCGAAGTAAAGCTGGGGCTTTTTTCCTTATTGCTGCACATCCGTCTCTCCACGATGAGCAACGATTAGAGGGTCTAGGATCCGACTTTCCTCCAACTTCCAATCTGTCATTAACCCCACCTTTTCCATCCCGTCCTTAATGGTGTGCAGACTATGTCTGTCTGGTCTCATTTCTGCAGTGGAGAATACAATTGTGATTTGATCATCTGAAATAAAGAAACTGGCTCCATGAGGTTTAACTTCCTTCTCAATCCTATCGAGCTTCTCCTTGTTACCTGATGTATTGTTGATCCTTGCGAAATCAGGTCTCGGTTTCTAGCTAGTTGTCGTTGTTTGTGTTGAGTCCTCTCATTGTAGCGTTATGGGTGTATATAGTTTGGTTGTAGCTTTGTGGTAGTTCAGTGCTCTGTGCTTTCCTGGTAGAATGGGTTTATTTGATGAATGAACCTGCCGAAAGACCAGTGCCCAGTGTAACTATACATACCAGCCCTGTCACCTGCGCCGAGAGCTCCAGCTTGATCATTGAACTTAACCCACAGTGATTCTCACGGACCTGCTGCGATTCACTTAGCATGTGAAGGTCAGTGTTATCAGAGTCAGATAATGAACTGATTCCAAGTCCGTCAGCTTCAAGAGCAGTGAATCCATCTGAACCGCTTGTGTTGAGCTTTCCGCAGTCGGTCGCTTTCACACAAAAAGAGGATGTTTTGGGCATAATCCCTTTTGCTCAGAATCTTGTTGTGAAATTCACGTTTAAAATATGCAATGAAGTGACTTCGAGGTTAAAAATATCCTGGGCTATCATTGTGAAGAAAGGCCCCCCACGTCTTGGACAAAAAGAACTGTGACAGTGTCATGGGACCCCCGTGGCTTTCTTTACCAAATCTTATATAGACTGGGTACTTCGAGGCCAAGTTATGAGTCGAACCCAGAGCAAGCATTCACCATCGTCTTATTCTCCTCTCTTATCCCCGTAGCCTCCGGCTTCACCGCATAGTGAGATTGTTTCCAGCTCTCTCCAACTCCACTATTGACCACCAGATCCGCCACGTCTGCCATGGAACCAAAGGAATTAAATCGAATTCGGTATTTCGATTGAAGGATGGCTCCCCCGTCGTGTAGTTTGTAGTCCCAGTCATCTTGGCTAAGCTCTTTGAGCTTTGGCAGTTTCCCTTCCGGGTTCATGGCATGATGAACCGACATTCACTGGCAGAACAGAAAGCTCTGATACAGAGACCAGCACATGTCCCTGATCAGAGGACATGTCAGTTTGGCGAGGGTGAGAATGACTTGGAGGGAAATGTCCAGCCTTTCACGCCTTCCCTGGTGGACTGCCAAGATCTATGACAAATTGATGGATGCGATTGACGGTGAATGATGATCTGATTACTGTGAACGGGAAACGCTTTAGTCAAGTGTGACGCCACCCCTCAAACTGGTTGCCACCACCAAGCCTTTGCAGAATAGAAATGATGAACTTGAACTATATATATATAATGACTAAATAAATGCCCCTCAACTAATGATACCTACAACCGTTTACGTAATATGGTCAAGAGAAATTAATCCCAATATTTCAATTGAGTCCTAAATTAGTACTTCTTAACGCACCGTGTAGATAATGAAATCTGCAATTATAACAGCTGTTGATGGTTCACCTAGAATGCGCATGTCAAGTTGGAGTTCTCGAGGACTTGCACAGGGAAGAAATTCACAGCCTTCAGGGATACATATATGCATCTGGACAGCGAAGGGACTACGAGCAAGCAAGTAAGATCTATAAAATAAACAGAAACGAAGCTATGCCATCGGATGAAGAGACTTACCAAGAATTTCCAACGCAGATCCGCATAAGAGGAGCATTCGGGATACCAAATGGCCATATGAGTATGATGTGAAAAGACATGTCTGGGTGCCTCTGCTGGGATTAGTAACAAGGCCAATGGAATGCACTTATTGCTTGCATAATGGCTTTAATTTAACTACCTGAGCCCACGAACAACCTGTCCTTTACGCATTCTTAGTCCAGGATAATTCCTGTCTACCAATGGTCAAGTGTCTTGACACCTGTCTTTCTGAACATGATAGATTCTTGACGACCAGTCAAGTTTCGACCTTCGAATCCTCCCACAAGCCATCTTTTTCCATCTGCGCTCGAAGGTTCTTGACCGAATATTCACCTCCGCTCTGAACTCCAGGGGATGTGATGGAAGTCATCTTTTTGGGACCGACCGTAATCTCGATTCCCTTTCCTTTCCACTGTGAGGCGAGTTTCTCGACCTTTTCATGGTTGCCGGCAGTGTTACCCGTTCGGGTGGAAACACTGGTCTCTGACGGCTTGGGCATTTTGAGGATGTTGTGGGTTATGTTATTGAATGGTATTTGTACTTGGTAAATTGATGAAGTTTAGTGCTGTGATGATCGATGTGTGTGTGTTGCAAGGATTGAACTTGATGCTCTTGGGTGCAAACGTCCATCTATATACTTGGGTCCAGAGACCTGTTTCATTCAATTCAGTCACTGATCATAGACAGTGACTACTCAGTGACTCGTTTTCATAGACAGTGACTACTCAGTGACTCTTTCTCATAGACAGTGATTATGGGCGAGCTACGATTCGGTCACTGAACACCTGTAGCACTTGTCTGATCAGAGGACATGCCAATACAGAAAACGATGGGAGAATGAACCAGAAGGGCTCGAGCAGCTTGTCACTTCTCCCACTAGCAGTAAGATAGTGAACTTTTAATTCAGTGCAAGAGACCTTGGGAGAATGATTCACAAGGAACATTGTCATATACTTGAATCAATATTAATCATAATACTGAAAAGGTCTCAAGCTGCGCCTTGAACACATTCCTGTGAACAGCATCTGTTATTAATTAAATTATAGAAATTAATAAAATAAGAACAATATATGATTAAATATAATTAATATTATATATATTAGTTTTAAAAGCTTGTGTTAAAAAGCTAATTTAAAACCTCTTAAATATATTTAAAATTTAGAATTTCTGTTTTTTAATGGCCTACTTTAATATATAATAAGAATATTATTAATAATCTCTTTGAAGTTTATATTTTTTATTAAATATAAATAACTTATAATTATAAAGGGTTTATACCTAAGGTTGGAAAAGTTGTGTTACTCCGTCTCTGTATTATAAACTGAAATTTCTAAATTTATTGCTAAAAGTGACTTATAGGCTAAAAGGTAGTCTTGTTATATCAAACTCCAAATTGTTCTTTAAATCTCATTTATAAGACTTTTATTAAAGTCTAAAATCGCAAACTCGCTATCATCCTGGGTAATAACAACGCGGTTTCCAACTGCTGTGCGCTTCTCTTCATCCGACCTCCTAACATCAAAAATAATACAATAGCTTGCCCCGTCCAAATGATTGTCCCAGTCCTATCAGTCGTCCAGCCGAAACAAACACCGACAGATGTTTTCTGGCTGGTCGAATCTAACAAGTCGATTTTACCTGATCTACCAAAAGAGCCTCCAACGGCGAGAATGCGACCCCGGTCTTTTCATCGGAAGGTATTTTCAATTTATTAACCAAGAGGCTGGAGTGCTCGTGAAACCACTGTCGCTGGCCAGTGCTTCAAAGATCGCTGATATATAAGCTTTTAGACTCCGTTGTTACATCTATGTATCCTATGCGCTGAAAGGAGCCGAGAACGAAGTCTCTTGGGGTAGCGGAATGAGCCTTGAGATCCCATATATTTACTCATCTGCGTTCTGCTGCGACAGCGAGCATACTTCCGTTGGAGCAAATAGCCCTGTGATCAGCCCTGCCGCCAATAGGAGGCCACTCACGAAGATTCCTATAGCTAAGAGGTGGGAGGTCTGATGGAATCTCGTGTTGCAAAATCCCCGTCGTAATGTCCCACACCAGCCCGGGGTGAGTCTTTAAAGCCGTCAGAAGAGTTCGCATGTTGGCTGCCAGCTTTAGGCCCACAACTTTACTCGGGCTTGATATACTCTTATACCCAGCGTACGAGAAGCTAGACATGCTGAATAGTTTATTCAAGCTATTTTGATAGGTTGGATACGAAGTCTCTGTGCTACCCGTCCTTGCATCGTTGCGGACTTGGGTCAGATGTGTTATTTGCAGTTGAGACTTGTGGCCGAGAGCTTGAATTAGCACAGAGAGCCTGGAAATATATACCACCTCCTGTATAATCTAATAATCTGTTTATATATATTGCTAGACTACGATAAAAGCGTCGTTTGCAGGATCATCTGCCTGAATATTTTGAATTACAATGTTATCTTGTTGCGTAGGCTTGCCACCGCCCACTGGCTTAGTTGGCGCATCTACGATTATCATAAGCTCCGGCCGAAGATATTCTTTTAGAGAAATAAATAATGGAGGATGCTCATACCTGAGATATAAAGAATAACACAATGCAACATAATGGCCAATATTTAGTTAGTTAAAGGGGAAAGAAACAGAGCAAGGATAGGTTGGAAAGGATCCAACTGAGGGGTACACGGCTGAGAATCCATATTAGGCATTATCTTGCGAATTCTGTGAAACATCTGGGTGCCTGATAGACAACCTTGCAGCAGCCACATGTACCACCCCTCGTCGATGCTTGATTAGGCAATATGTCGCGTTATTTAACATCCAAAGCAACCCTTTTGGCGTGGTCCCCTTGGTATAACAGGCGCTGGAACCCCGCAAAGATGGCTACACTGTGCGACGGCACCCGTATTCTTCAAAAGCCTCACTGTTTCCTCCCACAAAGACTACAATTTCAGCCCAAGTTCACACTCCGAACCTTTCACTCTAGTCCTGAGATGGTTTCGGTGTTGCGCTAGTTTTCTGTCTAACCCTATCAGACTCTCGTCTCATTTCTCACACAGTAGCACGTCAGCTTAGTGCGATCTTACTACGACGATACCAAGGAAAACAGTATCTCTCACCAAGAGCAGGAGGTATGGCCGGAAACAAAGAGACTGCGGAGATGGAGCTTTGCTATTCGACATTGAGCCAAGCTAATAGTCAAGGTCAGTATATGCTTGGAAGTTCAACCGACTACTACTGTCGCAGCTCTGGGCATCTCCAAGGATTACTGACGATCAGTTACTAGTTCAAGAGCCCAATAGGCGATTGGCACCTGGTACAGGTGCCTCCGGCTGGCAAAGTAAAGATCTTTGCACATCATGCCAATCCGTCAATCTTAACCAGTTATGTTCGAATGACACTCTATATGACACTGAAGTATCGCTACGTATCTCTGAGACTTCCTCATGCCCTTTGTGCCGTTTCCTCAGATCACAATGGCGACATGGCGACATACCTGTTGGATCCGAGGACTCGGCAACAATAAAGCTTAGCCGCTGCGATATCAATGGAATCGATCACGTTTGTATACTGCATGAGGATCAATTCGAATACATCTTACAGATAACCGATAATGAGCTGCTTAAAGAAGCAGGCAAAATTGGGCAGTATCGACAAATAGATCCCAGTCATGTTGATTATCACATGATCAGGAAGTGGATTGCCCATTGTTGCCACACTCATGGTAAATCGTGTCAAATGCTTACAGCAAATCCACTGCAGATAGCAAAGTTCAGGCTACTGGACTGCAAGACCAAGGCTATGATGGAGGTTACAGATTTTGTTGAATATGTTGCACTCAGCTATGTATGGGGTTCTTCGTCTAATCTCCCAGAAGGGCATCTACACGTCCTGTCTAAAGCCGTGATCAGAGACGCCATGCATGTCGCAATTCAGCTCGGATTTCGATATATATGGGTTGATCAACTCTGTATTGATCAAACAAACACTGAAGACATGAGCTGCCAGTTAGGTCAAACGAATACTATCTGTACGTTCTCGAGACGGTAATGAACATAAGACCCGGACAACGAGCTAACAGCCTTTTAGACAACCAAGCAACTGTCACCATAATAGCTGCCGCCGGAGAAAGTTCGTCACATGGTTTACCTGGCGTCGGGCAGCGTCCTCGCACGATTCCAAATAAGTTCACCCTGGACGGAACGACATGGAAATTCATGCCCAAACCAATTAGCTATCACGTGGGCGACTCGAAATGGTCGACCAGGGGCTGGACATATCAGGAAGCAGTGTTCTCTCGCCGGTGCGTCATCTTTGCTGATAACCAGGTCTTCTACCAGTGTGGTTGCATGACCTGTGCTGAGGAATTGATTCAAGATTTTGCAAACTGCGAACGTGTGGTTTTCCCCATCTTTGAGCGTATATCATACGAAGACTCAGATACAGGGATATATTTACCAAGGAGTTGGAGGTTCATGACATACTTGGAGGCATACTCTAAGCGTGAACTAACATACGACTCCGACGTATTGAGAGCAATGGAGGGCATTTTTCGCTTCTATGTCCAGCTGGAACCTTCAGTGGAACAATACTGCGGTCTGCCACTACGATGGGTTGGTTGTCAACTCTCAAACCTGAATGAGCAAAATGTTTACCGTATTGCAAGATCAAAGCATGATGATGTTGTCGGTGCTTTTCTCTGGGCGATGCTATGGGAGCCAGCGTGGAGTGAAGTCCATATTCCCAAGACTGGTTTTGCCAAGAGGAATGGCTTTCCAACATGGTCATGGTCTGGCTGGAAAGTCGGAGTGAGATGGAACTTCTTGGAGAACGTCGAGCATCTGGAAAAGAGCTTCACAGCGCCTCCGTTTGTGGAAACAGCAACAGGAGGACTTGTAGAACTCAACAACGCGCTTGCTCGGTAGCTCACTTCTGGCAAATCCTACAAGGCTTTGGGTTCAACCTACATCTTGAGAATCGCGACCGAGGTTTTCGATGTGCCTCTCATAGAATGCGAGCCCTATAGACCCACGATAACCTGGGAAAAGAGCGACTCGTTTCCTACCAGACGCAAAGGCCAGCACTGGGTCGCCAAGGAGGATTACCCCCGCGAAGGCATATGGACCCATTTTGTTGCTCGAAAGAACATCGGGGCGTCTGAGAGAGGACTAGTTTGGTCGTTGGATCTTACACATGGCGGGGCGGCCACTAGTTTCGACCTTGCTTTCGACACCGACACCATCAACCTCAATCCCATGACACTCCGATGTATTGTCATCAGTTACGATTGCGGGATGATTGTGCAATGTAGCAATGGCATCTCTAAGCGAGTCGGGTTGTTGCGCTTCGAAGGGGAGTTTTTCGAGAATGATCGAGTAAGTACTGACGAATACGGCCACCACGATGAGAGCGTAATATGGCCATGGACCGACTCCGTACAGAGCAAAGATCTTAGAGACCACTTTCCGGGTGTTGAACGGACTGTACGTCTAGGCTAGCAAGGAGTTGCTGGCGTTCTCGATTCCTGCAGCAATAGCACCCGACTGTGAGTTTTGTGCACGTCAGTCGCACCATCTGATTGGAGAAGCATTTTCGGGTTTGAGATTAATTAGACTTTGACTAACGTAGTCCCTTGGGCCAACTGAAGGTCGATCACTCCAGTTGATGCGGGGCAGCTATAAAGCTAACCCCCAATGATACTGCAGGACATATTTAGAACCCGTCTTGGCAAAAAAGCTTAGCATCGACTAAGCATTGAGAGCATGGACCAAGGCATTGGGTGCGGGAATTGACAGGATCAGCAAATAGACCATTACGCGTCCCACAGGTCTTACCGCCAGACTAGTTGCATGCGGCTTAAATATATCTCGAACTGGATTGGCTACTCCGTAACTCGATGATGGGCTAGATGTGACACTGGCTTTGCAATGGCCGTTATCGTTTGCTCAAGATGTGTACCATGGCATATGTGCATGACGGGGGTTATTCTCCGTTAGGTTGGTCTGGACTATGTTAGACTTGTTTTCTGGCATGGCGCTAAATGATGTGCCACGCGTCAGGTATCACCAGCTATCCTTAACTACCTTGATGATGAACACGACAAATGAGCTGTCTAATCGATGTAGTGTACATAGCCTCTAGTTTTGAATAAGAAAAGTGTTGGATTGAAGAACATGTTCGTCGACAGTGACTGCCTTAATTATTCTAAATGTCTCATAGAAGTTTATAAGACTACCAACCGCCCCGTATAATAAATCAACCCGATGTTGTACAAAAGTATAAAAGATAGAGATAAACCCATTTATGCAGCTTCCCTTGGGTATCCTAACTGTCGATACTTTATCGCTACACTGGCGATGTCATTTGCATTCAGTAAATCAATCCCCTCTTGCATAAGTATTTTCCACACGTAGTCCCTATACGATATCGGCCAATCAGGCAATCCCCATAATCTTGACTTCAAGTTTCGTTGCTTTGCAATTCGAAGCTGGTTCCGCAGAGTTTCCATCTGCTGAGTGCTGAAGCCCGTCCGAACACTGCCAATGGCTTTGTTGAAAGGGGCCGAGGCGGTATAGAATTCATCTTCCAATTCAAAGGGGCCGTAAAACCCGTTGCTTTGACTGAACCCTGTTTCAGTGAGCAAATGTAAAGGAGCGTCAAGAAAAGCATCGTGGCGCTGCTGCCATTCCTCAAGGTCGGTGCCAATGTTTATGTCGCGCCGTTTAATAATGTTTCCTGTGCCCACTATGGTTATGGGTCCAGGCCAGAATGTCTGATTTGTCGCCATTGTTTTGTCGTGTCGAGATAGGTATCTCATATCACGCAATGGCCCTAGCTGCTGAAGAACCAAGGGCCAAGTCTTGACTGGGTCGTCCTTCACATCGATGAACAGTATCAACGTTTTATCCGGCTCTGTGGCAAAGACACCACAGGCTTGGGCGGTGGGATTGAAGATTTGGTGCGGCGCTGGCCGGTTCATTGAGTTCAAGATCTGTAAAAGCGGGTCGATATAGAGTGATCGTAGTGTGCGACTTGAGGAAAGTGATCGTTTGTCATGACCGACTAGAAGGTCTTCTCCGTCTGGACTAAGCCATACATCTGCTTCAACGCTCGCGCAGCCTACAGCGAGCGCGGAAAAGAGAGGATGTGGTCTCCAATAATCGTTGTGAGAGTGACACCTTACTGGAGAGACAAGGCGCGATAATTCCGTGCTCCATACCGCTGCATTGTATGTTGAATTTCCAAGTCTGTAAAATCGGTCGTAAAACGTAAACAGTGTCGTCTCATATGTATATAGGGTATTTGACAAGCAGACGGGAAATATTAAGAAAAGAGGCGCTCTATCTTAACCGTTAGCCGCTGTAGGTATATTTTCGCTACAATGAGTATGAATCGATACAACGTACATGATTATGATTGTACAAATGACGGCGGCAGGCCAAAATCCGGCGCGCTTTTGCCGTGCTCTTGATATGCGTTGTTTCTGTTGTGGCAGACAGCGTTCAACTTGGCACAAATCGCCATCTCTCTGTGAGGGAAGTAGCCTGTATTCGCCGAGCCCGGCTAGACGCTTAACATAGAAGTAAGACGAATACTTCATGGTATGTTGTCTTTGACGTGTATTACCAGTGATAGGTGCAGCGCGAGTGTGAAAATAACGGGAGCAGTTGACCAGGATAACATTGGGGAAGAGCAGGAATAGTTTCTTCTCTCCTTCTTATCGAACCTTTCAAGAGGCGCTTTGGGTCCAAGGTGATTCCCAAGCTGGACCGTCCATTGTTCTGGCGGAGCAAAGATCGCGAGCAATTCATCCCAGTAAGCCAGTAGATCAGATGTTTCACAAGTGACAAGACCCTTTCTCCTGATGACGCGTCCTCATTTTTCGCCGCCAACGTTGTGACCAGAATTTGTGGCTGCACTTTAGTGCTAGCTGAGGATAACTAAAGAACATGGCGCTGTTTAGACTAAAAGTATGCGGTTGGTCTAGCGGCGGAGGCCCTTGTGGAGCACCAAGTTCACCAGGTGGACGCGCGTAGCCTGAGCGGGCCAGGCTCAATTTGATGTGGGTAAACCTCAGTTGTGATCCTATAGAGGTGCTCTGACGAAGAGTCAGTCAGCGAATTTGCTTCGTTGGAAGCTTCCGTGACTCAACGGAGCTTGACGCACCATCACAAGACATTTCTTCGTTCCCCCACTTCTGCTACCGCACGCGCTAAGCTACAAGTCGCAAAGCGAAGGAGAGACGTTTGGACAACAAGATCCCGCGTGATTGAGTATTGTGTGCTCATTATCTGTGTGAGCAGCCTAAAGTTCAACCTTGTGGCCAGCAATCAGCTAGGTAGCTGCACCATTAAGGGGCTTCACGGTAAGTTCCAAGACGTCTCCCTCCTGCTTAATGTAGCATGCGTTATACGCTGCAAGAAACTATTTTAGTCAACGTTGGAGTCTCTCTTCGGATTTACGATTAACTCTCAATACATCTGTCTCCATGGGCTGTTATCGGTGTGCACAGTAGCCAGGCCGCGTTTCTCAAGAGTTACCAGTTCTCCACTCGTCATGACTTGTCGCTCGCTCTTGCGTCCACTGAAAGCCCCTGCTCTCTCCACGATGCACAGTTCATGCCAAGCTTTTATGCCAAGACGGGTTCTATGTGCATTAGCGTAGCTTTACCAGAGGCGGTTACGTAGACTGAGCCACCAGCGAATTTTCGGGCGCGGGGGGAGCGAATATGGAATTTGTTTCACCAGGCCTTCGAAAGGGTGATTTGATCATATTCCCCCACTGTATATAAGCTAACTTGTTAAAGTTAATGTTGGCTGGGAACTTAAGTATCCGTGCACCAACTCTCATCAACTAATCCTGATAGCAAGCCCTCCGCGCATCACAATACATCGCAAAGAGATAAGCGCGTAAAGAGACCACTCAAGCCTGAAGTTGACGTAATCGTAGTGGGCGAAGTCCAGGAAGTGTCCTACCAGTAAAAGCAACATTCTCAACCCCTAATGGTACTCTTTTCTCTTTTGTACGCTTAGAATTGAAGTTGAAGGGCTGTTATACTTATCTCTTGGTGTCTTGAAACATGAACCCTCTGGATCAAAATATAAAGAGATCAAGATTTCCCTGGAGCCTTTCATCTTTTGTTTGCTCTTTGATCACTTCATCCTTCTTCTAGTGCCTTCTTTTCTACCATGACTCGCAAAAATGTTCTGCATGGCGTCTTCCTTCGCCCATCACGTCGGGTACGAGTTTTCGCTTTTCTGTTCTTCTTTGTCGCAGCAACATGGACCTTTACAATCAAATCACGTTCAACTTGCTCCGTTGAAGAGGATATCGCGAGGGACTATCCATTAATCTATAGGCATGTCCATTCGTTTAACGGCACGGGAGGTGGTAAGTCGGACATTTCAAAATCGTTCACCGTAGGAAATGCTCATTAGGCTAACACTGGGATTAAGCATGGCATATCCCTCCATATTGGGCTGATATGCACAGTAAACAACCGCACAACATCCTTGATGCTGCTCGTATAGCCTCCAAGGCCGCCTTATCAAAAAGAGAGAGACAAATGCCATTCTCCAATATTCCATTGCTCGTCCACCAAACTTGGAAAAAGACGGCGGCCGATAGCTGGAATCCCAGGATACTGCCTTGGGTTGAATTGTGGCTCGAGGACTCAATTTACATTGACCGTGGACCGTCGATGGCGTACTTATTCTGGGATGATACAGGGATGCGTGCGTTGGTGGAAGAATTCGAGAACGACTTCCTTGAGCGCTATGACACACTCCTAACCCCAGTTGAGCGAAGTGATGTTTTTCGCATTTTGGTATGCAAACACTTTGGTGGAATAGTAAGTTCACTGTGAAAACATTTTACACTTCTTTCTAACTCATGTAGTATGGGGATCTCGATACTGAGCTCATACAACATCCTGCTACCTGGATAAGCGGATCAGATATGGCTACCTGGACAGACCCGAAAACAGGAAAGGCTCATGGCTATTATAACACTTCGGTAACGCCAGACTATGAAACGCCAGTAGTTAGCCTTCTTTGGGGCTTAGAAGCCGATAATGACCCGGAGTCCGATGCATACTGGCGCCAAAGCTATACGTATCCTCAACAACTATCACAATGGGCTTTCGCCGCTGCCCCTCAACACCCGGTATTTGAACGATATATGGATAATCTACGCAATTATACCAAAGACAACGAACCAACGGCTCAGAATAGTGACCCACTTAAGCGAACTGGCCCTGCAGCTGTTACTCTTGCCACAAAGTCCTGGCTGGAGGACCACGTCGGCTTTCGATGGGCCAGCTTAACAGGCCTGAAGGATGGGGGTAAATCCAAGTTGGTTCACGATATCCTTATCCTTCCTATAACCGGCTTTCAGTAAGTTCATTTCCCCCTAAGCATGTTCTACCTTTTGTAGAATGCTAACATTACAAAGTCCAAGTCACGGAAGCCGTAACGGCGTTATGGGCAGAAAACCGATAACAGACCCCGCAGCGAGATTATGCCATCACGGCACGGGATTGTGGAAGCATTTCAATTTCGTAGGGGAGTATGGAAAGGTTTGTCGAAGACTTTTTGGTCTTTGTAGGGATTGGCCAAGAATAACAGGATAAGGGAGGTTTAATATTACTTTATAGAACTAGCTTTTCCCCAACTCTACTATTAATATCAGATATAGACTCCGAGTAGGTTATACACCCTACTCTATATGAAACTCGATATGAATTGGATAGAGGAAATGAAACGCATTTCTAATTATAATACTTAAATGGCTATGACTCTAATAATCGTTACAGTCGCTTTAATAAGTGGAGGGAAAAGGAATTTTAAACAATACTTTCTTCAACTCTGGCTTGAAACACCATATCCCATTCGCGATCACAAGACCCCTGTCATTAGCTATTTTTATCGAGGCTGATTACATGTGTAGCTCTGTGGCCAGTAGAAGAGCTTTAAATACGCCAACGGCAATTTTAGTCCCGTGCAAGTGAGACAACTTTTCAGCTGAAATAAACCCCGCGCCGCTGATCATCACCAAGAGGCAGCCAAAACTTCAACTCAACCGTGAGTACAACGGCAGAAGCAAAATGGCCGAAGCCCTCGGTATCGCTTCCGGCGCCGCGGGCCTCCTAAGTCTAGCGATAGAAGTGACCAAGCTCAGCTATACTTACATCGCCAGCGTTCGAGGCGCGCCTAAATCATTAACCTCATACATTGGGGAGCTCGCAACGCTCACCTCTGTTCTTTTACAGCTCGACGACCTCATCCAGGCGAGAAGGGTCAACAGCCAGAATAGCCAGATTCTCAGCAAGGCTTTAAACGACTGCAAACAGGAAGTGGAACACCTGAAGGCAAAGCTGGAGAGAAAAGTGTCATATGGCAGAATTAAAGCCAAGGTGGCTGCTCTGGCTTGGCCATTGTCTGAATCGGAGTTGCAGGATAAAGTAAACATGCTGCATCGCTACAATGGCATTTTCTCGTCTGCCTTGCAAGCCGATAGTTTGTAGGTCGCTCGGCTGGTATACGGATCATAGCTAATCATTTGTCAAGAACCGTTGCAATCGCCACAAACAAAGAACTGCAAGACTTTAGGCACAGTAAGTCTTTCTTTCAAATTCGTCTTTCTATCTAGTGGACAAGGCACCATAACGTGTAGCAATAGGTACCGAAGCGAAGGAAATAATTGCCTGGTATAAGTCGGATGTCGCAATTGAGGTTTCAACCTCTCACCTGGAAGATTACTGTCCCTCTACGTGGCAGACATTTCTGTCGGGCTCTTTCTATCAATCTTGGCGCAGTGGCTCAACGCCTGTCGTTTGGGGTTATGGTAAACGTGAGGTGCTCTCTCTCTCTTGGCATTCTCGATACTGAATGAATTCTAGCTGGTGCTGGGAAAACAGTATTAGCGTAAGAATTCCGCCCAATGGTAATTCATGACATGGCGAATGTGTGATACTAACTCCATTAATAACAGTGCACTCGTTCTCCGAGATGTCAAGTCTGGTAATCTACCTGGCACAGCCATTGCCTCACACTTTTTCAGCAGCAGCAGAACCAAAGAGTCTGTGAGCAATGTCCTCCGCAGCCTCATCGCCCAAACACTCCGTGGCTGCCCTGTCATCCCCCAAGAGGCATTGGCTCTGTATGAAAAGGGGTCCCAGAATCTAATGATAACCGATCTGATCAATGTCCTTGGGGCGATTGCTAAATCAATGACCACCTGTATCATTCTTGATGCACTTGACGAGTGTCCCTTCCTTCCTAAGCTTTTCAACATCCTTTTAACGTTGCAGGAGCTAGGAGTCAGAATCTTTGCAACAGCTCGCGACCTGCCAAAGATCAGAAAGCATTTTGAGAAGAAGCCAAGGGTGAAAATTTCAGCCACGAGACAAGACTTGGATTTCTACGTTAATCACCGATTGGAGCATGGAGAAGTTGATGTCGAGTCAATTGGAACAGAATTGAAGTCAGATCTTGTGTCTGCGATTGTGAAAATGGCGGCGGGGTCGTAAGTTCAATCAGGGGTCATCTGGTATGCTGATAGACTGATAGGTTTGATAGGTTCCTACTTGCTCGGCTCATCATGGATCACATCACCAGCCTTCTCACTATCAAGGACATACGAAAAGCCTTGATCTCGTTACCAGCTAATTACGACGAGGCGTACCTAAGCACGTTTGACCGTATAATCAAGCAAACCCCTGGTCTGAAGGACCTCGCCTTGAAATCATTGAATTTCATTTCTTATGTCAAGGAGCCTTTACGAATAGTCGAACTGCAGCATGCCCTCGCTACCGAGGAAGGCATGCTGGAAATCGATCCTGAGGATCTTCAAACCTCTAAAGCTATCATCTCATCCTGCCTTGGACTACTTGTCGTTTCAGGACCAGAAATGACCGTCGAGTTCGTACACTCAACTGCGCGACAGTTCCTCCAGAGACGACCAGAAGGAATGGATAAGCACCCACATCTGACAATTGTTCGCAGTTGCATCTCGTACATGTCAACAAATGAGATGCGCCAGGGCCGCTGTACATCCCACGAAGATATCACACAACGTTGTCTAAAGCAGCCGTTCCTCCATTATGCAGCGAACTTCTATGGCTACCATGCTCAAGAAGTTGAAGAGGAATGCTTCGACCAGCTTTCAGAGTTTTTACAAGACGACGTTGTTCGGGAAAGCTCTTGGCAACTTTTGAATTTCAAAGCTCACCTCGATACTTCTGTCTCCGAATCTGTGTTCGACTCTAGTCCTAGAAATGTACTCGCTTTACACGTTGCCGCATTCTGGGGTTTCAAGACATATATTGACAAGAGCTTAAGCTACACACGGCGAGGAACTCCGAGTACTCAGAAACAGAATCTAAATAAGACTGACTCTCACGGATGGACGCCTTTGCACTGGGCCGTGTCCATGGGCCATAAGAGTATGGTTGAGATTCTTCTCAGATCGGGAGCCAGTCCTGATCTACCGGATCTTGCAGGATGGACGCCAACATTCTGGGCAGCTTTCAAGGGCCATGCGGATATTATTGAAATGCTGTGGCGGTATGACACAGCTCCATTCCGCTGCGACATCAAAGGACTCACTCCACTTCACTGGGCAGTATCCGCGGGCCAAACTGAAATCATCAAGCGGCTTTTAAAACTCAAAACACGCTTTGGACAGTACCAAAAGTCGCCAGTACTCTCACTACCGTCACTGGACGATTTGACGGTTGCAAGAGCTCGTGCCTTGGCAAACAAGGCAAATGAGAGTCCTTTCAAGTTCTACTCAGAAGGAACAGACATCGAAATGTTTTCTGCCATCTTCAACGCCCTAAAGCATAGCTTTCGTGACAAAGAAAACAAACCTCGTGAACGTTGCGAAGGCTATTACACATTTGATCCCTTCCTTTATGGGCCCTTTGGACAAAGTCTCAAGGCTGATCATGGAAGAAGAGCAAGACCAGACCGCGACTACAAGTGGGGAAAGCCGGATGTTGGATTTTTTGAGTTTGTGGATCAACTGCTCATTCATGCTACGCGATCACAGGACTTGCCCATCATTAAACTCGTACTTGATCTTAAGCTTATAAAAGCTTCTGGGATTGATAATATTGCACTTCTTCACGAAGCGGCAGCATCTGGTTGGGCCGAGGGCATGTCTGCCTTGATCGCCCTTGGGGCAGATGTCAATAATGGGGATACAAGGTATGGGCAAACGCCTCTTCACAGAGCATGTCAAAACCAGCGTGAAGAAGCAATCAAACTGCTGTTGGCTATCGACAAGATTGAAATCAATGCTCAAGCCAAAAATGGACGAACACCAATCATGGATCTGATGACCGCTTCCTACAAAGAGAAAGGAGTCGATCTATACAAGCTAATGATAGCCAGAGGAGCATCAATATCCATCAAAGACACGGAAGGCAACTCCCTCATGCATTTCGCTATGCGTACATGCAATACTACAATCGTCCAAATGTTGTGTACAGCCGGGTTAAGCATAGAATCTCCAAACAAAAGTGGCCAATTGCCGTTGCACTGGATGGCTCATTGGAATTACTTCGAATTCCGGAAGAGTGTCACGGCTGATGAAGCAGAATCCATAAGGGAACAGCGACACGAGTGTATGAAGCTCGTCTTTGAACTCTCGAGCCCTAGCTCCCTGGATTCTGTGTGTGATTGGGAAAATGGAGCAACGCCTTCAAAGGAAACGCCTTTGTCATTAGCTTTATCAAGAAACAATTGGGATCTTGCAGCCAAGCTACTGAGGCACATCAAGCAGCCCGGAAATACGAGTTTCTTCGGGGGTAAGGATGATTAATTCCATCACCAGTCAGTAAGTTACTAATAATGTTGATATAGATGCCAAGACTCACACTATACACGAGCTTTGCACCGTGTGCGAAAGACTTGCCTCAGTCTCAATGCCCAGTAGCCATAATCCGACGATCCTATATTATGAGCTTCAGCCGCTTCCCCTGGATGATTGGACCCATCTGCTTCAGCTTTTTCTCGATGCCGGAGCTGATATCAATGAAGTCAATTGGAAAGGGGACACGCCCCTGCAGCTTTGCGTACAGAGAGCAGCTAGCATACCTGTTATTGATACTCTGCTCAAACTAGGAGGTAATCCCTACCAGGCAAACAGAGATGGGCTAGATTGCTTCCAGCTTGCACTGCTGCATTACGACGAAGCAGGCAGTTCCGAGATCATGCGCTGTATTCGAACTTACGCGAACACTCATCCAGAGCCGGCTCATTATTTCTGCCAAGGAGGCTTCCTCATTGCACCCGATACTCCCATAGACAATGAGGAAACTCGCTACCTTCAGGTCCTCCGCCAGACTAATGCCATCAACTGTGAGACGCGGTCAGGTCGTACGCTTATCTACGAAGCTGCTAGTCGGGGGAGCACACACTTGGTGCAAGGATTACTGGATCATGATGCTTACCCGCATTACATTGATGACTTTGGTAGTTCCGCACTGCATGCAGCGGCGATGCAACAAGCTCCGACAACAGTGGCCGTCCTACTACAGGTTGGAGCCGATGTCCACCAAGTTTCTTTGGCTAGAGGTACACCGTTGCATGCATGTCTCGAAGCTTTCAATAACAGTACAATATCCAGCGAGGCAGTCGAAGTCGTCCGCATCTTGCTGAGTTATGGTACTGACCCCAACCATGCGGTGGTCAGGGACGATCGCACAGAGACGAGCCTCTCACTCCCTCTTAAGGCACTGTGCCAGTCTATATACTTCCCTCATCTCGACAGAGCCACTCCTGAAGATTCAGATCGCCTGGTACTAGAGGTACTGAAACTACTGGTTGATGCGGGGGCACGAGTCGCTGATAGCGCTGATGATATCATAGTTGGTGTTGTTGCAAAGATGGAGGGTTATGAATTGCTATGGGAGGAAATGAGATCACAGTTAATGACAAGCAGGTCATAGACTCATAGGTCTAGATACTGAGTTATGGGGACGCTAGGCATAACTAGCAGTGATAATGAGAGGATTGTTGATGATAACTGTTTGAATATCAAAGACTATTATAATACGAAGGAGCTACTAGGACCAAAGCGCTTCGCTCGACGTGGGGGCTACAGCCACAACAGCCCTGTTTTTAGGGTAGGCAAGGCAGGCATTGACATATTGCTACTCCGCGCACAGGGCTCAACAGCGGTCTAAGATTCTTTGGGACAGTTAATAATTCAATTTATAAAACTCTCTAACATAAATACAAAACAACGAGTTAGCAGCTACAGTGAGTGTATATTGTGTGTTAATTTAGCATTGGCAAATAATAAATATGCATATACAGAAAAGTCGACAAAGATAAGAAAGCAATAGATAGTTAAGTATAAAAAGATAGAGCATGTCTGCAATGCATTCATGCAATTGCAGTAGCCTTGACGGGAGGACAGACCTTGTTAATAAGGTTGCTGGTACATTCCGGTGCGTCATTATGGTCGATGAAAAACGCCTCGAGGTCGAAGAAGCAAACAGGAATGATGTTAAAACCCAAGTTATCCACCTGAAGCTGTTTGTCGGCATTGAGAGCACAGTCGAGGACGGCACGATAGTACGAATCATGGTTTCCAAGGTTATACTTGGCCATGTTCGTATAGACTTCCTCTTCGGCCTCAGTCCACGATTCGCTGTAGTTACCACCGAAGGGCTTATAGCGCATGATGTAGAAGCAGTACTCCTCCCCATCTCTAAGAGACATCCATTGGCTGCCGGTAGCATAGCCACAGTCCTCTCGGCTGTGAATCCTCTTGTCAGCTATAAGGCGGAGATTGGCAGCTTTCATGACATTATTCGCGATCTTAGGCTTGATATTCTCGGTGATAGACTTGATTGCATCATCCAAGGCTATACTATCTTCGTTGAGGAGGAACCATCATGTGCTGAAGAACTTGGCAATCGGTGACTTGTATCAGTCATCATCAGGCTTCGGGTCGGGCAGAGCTTTAAAATATTCGATGCTATTGGCGCTGCCTACAGCAAGCTTGAGAGTCTCGTCGATTTGGTTGGCGGAGGCTATGAATAGTTCGACCAAGGCACCGGAGATAGTAGACGTGTCGATTTCTTTCTGGGGCAGTCTTGTCTGCCACGGCACTGAAGATGCTGCCCAAGATACCAGCACCAGTCGATATATAAAGTTCCTGTCACATTTAGCATTTCACTTCACAACTCAACGTCGAGAGAATCAACATACAGCTACAGGGACATTACCACCTAGGCTTCCGCCAAAACCAACTGCAGCAGCAAGCCACTTCATGATATCAGACTTCTGATCCTCTTTGCCTTCCAAGTCTTTGACCATGCTGGGAATAAGCAATCCAGCGACCATAGTATCGGAAGTGAGTTTTTCTTTCAGCATCCTGAACTTGGCCTGCATACCTTTGGCAGCTAGGAAGATCCAGTAAGACGTCTTTCCAAGGATATGCTCATTGCCATCCTTGTCTGTGACGTACTTGTTGAACTGCTCCTCACAGTTCATGCTACCTAGAGGATTGCAGCTGCCTTCGGTAGTGCCACAGCCCCCAACGACATTGTCTTCGAGGTTGAGTAGCCAGTTAAGCTCATATTCTGCTACTGTTAGCCTGAAAGTCAATACTGCATCAGAGGAGTTGATATATACCCCAGCTTTGAGCAATGAAAACATCGAGTTCATTACCAGCGGTCGTGTCTTCCCAAACCTTAGCAGCACCCGCAGGATCCCTGAGAAGCTCTGCTTGATTATTGCGGAAACTATCAACGTTGTCCCAAATATGGCCATTCTCGTCTTGTCTTTTTTTGAAAAGGAGAGGCGCGTATGACAGCCGCGATGGCTAGGAAAGTGACAGTAGACTTCATGGTGCAGGATGAAGGATGAGGATATGTTGGGATTGATAGAAGTTGAGTGAATGAGTGAACGATAGTCATTATTCAGGATGAGATAAACGCTTTATATCTACTTTCCCCCGCCATGGCTCAAATTACAGGGTTATGCTAGCCCTGATATATGCCAAATATGCCTTACATGATCATACAAGTGCAGGACGAAGCTCCTGATTACAATGCATCGCTTGCCATTAAACGATCGTTTGGATAAGCGGCGTTTGATAAACATTAATCTACTCAACATGGGTTGATAATGTTTCTCGGCTATGATTAGCAATAAAGATAAACTCATTAAGATTGCCATGCTGATCTGAAGGATTTACACAGCCTCAACCGTCCATCGTAACCATGATGCAATCTTGGACAACGTAGTATTCGCATTTTACGCTTAGATTAACCTTAACTACTGATTGGCTCACGCTTATGGATGAAACATGCGGTCGTAAAGCTACCCTATCACGGCATCACGATGCTCAGCCTAAGGCGCTAAGCCAACCATGGTTACACTACTAACAACATGCGGCCGTCCTTTTTGTTAGTGCCGCATCCTTCCAATGTTTTGTGCGTGCCGCTGACACGACCTACCCAGGTTGAGACTACGCATTCGGCAGTTGAAATCAATGTGCCTTGTTCACGTGATGATTGGCTTAATTCTAGGATCAACAGGGGCGGTGCAAGAATATCCAAGGAGCAGAAGTATGTTAGGGTCAATTATACGAAGATCTTCACATAGACTAGGTAGCCCAAACGGAGCTCTAGCTAGATATAAGACCTAGCAATCTTCACTTAGATATTTGAGGATAAGGCCTTGGATTTCATGAAATTAAGCTTATAGAGCATTAAAACAACGCTCACGGACCAAACAACAACTAAAGGCAAGCTGTGAATACTGTTGAGAGTCGATAATTAAAATAGACGACAAAGGGAAACCAACACCTGCATTAAAGTCTCTGTATACATAGCCTGGATAGCAGGCTCTGCCTGGAACATCGGGCCCCCTATTTGATAATAATCAACTCGCAACTCTCTTCTTGACCTGTCTTGCTATCCCCTCCCTGTTTATCAACAATGACTCCGTATTCTGGCACGGAAATTGACTCATAATCCAAATCCTCCCCGGTTACGTCTTCATCATCAATAGACATGAAAATAGCCTCCTCATATTGAGTGCTGTCGTTCTCCATGCCTGGACCTTCTTGCATATTCTGTCCAAGCTCGTATAAAGCGCCGTTACGGTACGGCTTGGTTTCGGTCGGAATTCCCTTTCTATACCGGATCTCTCTTAGCCGATATGCAAGGATGAAGGGAGACGATTCTTTGAATGAGACTGATTGCGATGCTCCTTGGTGAATGTTTGCATGCGGGCCAGCGCTGAGAGGCACACCAATCGCATCACCGTCCAGCCCAATAGATGCATCGACGTTCCCGTGATGACTCTCAGTGTCCTTGACCTTTGCACCGAACGCGACCTTGACTCCAGTGATGACAAAGACGCGCTTCCGCATATGATAGCGGGCAAGATACTGTTGCACTTTGGGCACAGATAGACTCTTTTTCATGTAGTCATCAGAAGGTTCAAAGGACAATGTCTGAAGTCTCTGGATGCTCGCAGAGGACTGTACGCGAGTGCTGCTGCTTCCAGACACAACAAGTCCGGTACTGTGGAAAATCTTGGCAAAGAGCCCAGCACTCGTTCGATCAATATTCGCTAAGTTTATCTGTACGTCGTACTGGTCGTGGCTCTGGACTGTCTCGGTGTCAATGGAAATGGGTCTGTCGCTGAGCGGCGCTTCGGGATCACGTGGGTCGACAAGAATGCTCCCCAAGGCAACAGGACCATCCGGGGAACAATCACGACTCGAGGTTGCGAAATAGGACTTGGGCATGGTACCAGAGTATAATGATACAAGAAATGTGTGAGTGGATTGTGCGAAAGATGCAAGTCGGTAGCTTAAACATGGACAGCTATGCGGTAATTATAAAAATAGGGAAAAGAGCGCTTAGCTACCCAAGGCTTGGAACAATGAAACCATTCGCCGAGTTGGATTTCTAATTTTGGATTCTATGTTTTCTATTGGAGCAGTTAAGCGCTGAGGCTGAAGATTTAGTAATCTGCATCATACCAGCTGAAGCCAAGGATGCAATTTCCCCTCACTTCGCGGCTGGGAAATTCTATAAATAACCGTAAATCGAATCGAAGACCTGATCAAGTATAAAGTGGCAAGTACACTAAGCAAGGTCCTTGTATCCCTTCTAACAGAAGTGCATGCCGCTCACTACGCTTTGCTTTGCACCAAAATCATGGCTCAGGCAATTCCCCAACATCCTGCCAATCAGAAGATGGACCTGGCTAGGGTAAGCCTGACACCCGGCAACGTCCAATTGCTCAATCCTCTCGAAATTATTCCCTACCACACCCTGAAAAGGTAAATTCGGATATTTTGTCATCAGCCGTTCCAAGGCTAACTCAGACACTCACTGCATAGTAAGGAAAATGCTGACAAATGGTACCAACTCTATGAACTCTTCTGTCGGCCCATTGAGGGTTACGCTGGGCGCGCAGCGGGCCAAGTCAGGATCGCCGTCCTGGACACCGGGATCGACAAGTCAATGCTCTCTTCAGCGTTCCATGAGAATATCAAAGATAACATGAGCTTCCTTCTAGCCGACGATGCCCAAGACTCTGGCGGCCTTGAAGGCAATCATCATGGAACGCAGGTTGTAGCACTTCTCTTGAGTCTTGCCCCTTGGATACACGTTTATGTTGCCCGGATTGGAAAGGATGGTGACGAATCGATGGATCCATCTTGCATTTCCAAGGTTGTACTCTAGCAACTAAACTCCCGATACCCTGCTAACAGCGGCAGGCAATACGTTACTCAGTAGAATACTGGGATGTTCACGTTATTTCCATGTCTTGGGGTTTCAGAAGAGAGCATGAGTGCATCAGTGACGCTATTCGACTAGCGCACTCCAAAGACAAGATCATGTTTGCTGCTGCATCTAACGAGGGAGCAAATCTACCAGCTAGGGTCACGTTTCCCGCGAGTATGCAGGAAGTAATCTGCGTAAACTCCTGCGATGGATACGGCAACAGCTCTGACTTCAATCCACCACCTCGCGAAGGGGTCTTCAACTTTTCGACCTTGGGAGAAGCTGTCATCGCTAAGAAATCAACTTTGGAGCCCAAAAGGCTTACAGGCACATCCTTCGCAACCCCCGCGGCGGCGGCGATCGCCGCTTCTATTCTTGAGTTCGCCACACAAAAGCAGATTCTCAAAGAACAAGAAGAATTGAAGCGGCACGTCGCTACTAAGGACGGAATGATGAAGCTTCTAGTCGCAATGAGTGAGCCTGTCTCAGGTTTCATGTACCTGCGGCCTTGGGATCTGATCAAATGCGACTCTGGGACGCCAAACTGCTCATGTAAGAGCTGCCGCAAGGATGCAGAAGCTAGGCTGCTTCAAATTCTTAAACGAGATTTGCCATCTGTGGCAGGAAGGACGCCCTTCCTTGGTCTACCAGACAGAATATCAAGTGCTGCCTTCGACGCAAAGAGCAGACAGAATACGTCTTCGTGCCTTCCGAATACCAGAGTCAAGGTCCTTGATGAGATTCGCAAGTGGGCCGATAGCGAAGACACTCGACAAGTGTACTGGCTAAAGGGCATGGCTGGTACAGGTAAATCCACTATTGCTCTGACTATTGCTCGAGAGTATCACCAGAAGGGTAAACTCGGAGGAAGCTTTTTCTTTTCTAGAGGCCATAGTGGCCTTGCAATATCTGATAAGTTCGTGGCCACCATCGCTTCCCAGCTGGCACAGCATAGCCAAGAGTTACAGGCAAGAATCCAAGAAGCTGTCTGCGCCAATCCGGATATAAGCAGCAAAAGTCTTTCTTATCAATGGGAGCGCCTTGTCCTTCAACCTCTCGCGTTGGCATGCTCGCAAGGGTCTTTGCGCTCACTACTCATTGTAGTGGATGCGCTAGATGAGTGTGAGGGCGACGAAGACTTGTGCCTGTTGATTCGATGCCTGGCCTCTTGTGTACCACCCGGGGGACACCAATTACGGATCCTTGCCACTAGTCGTCCAGAGCGCCCAATTAGTCTCGAGTTTGACAGTATCTCTACCCAAGAGCGCCAACATCTAGTCCTTCATGACGTGGAAAGGTCCATTGTCAAGGAGGATCTCACCGAGTTCTACACACACGAACTCAACAAGATCAACGACAGGTTTGGCCTGCAAGACCTCTTTTGCGATACCACAATTTCGAAAATGGTCCAGCAATCGTGCGGCCTGTTTATTTATGCTGCTGCAGTATGTCGCTATATCTGGCAAGGTGGACTCGATGGTGCTAAAAGTCGTCTATCCGGCCTTGTTGAGTCTAAAGCTCCAAATTCAAGCCCTCTTCAGGAGCTAGATCAGCTTTACACGATAATCCTCCAAAACTCGATTATTGTGCATTCAAGTCATGATTCGTCCGAGCCATCGCAGTGGTTTCGTCGTGTGGTCGGCGCTATCATCGTTTTGTCAGACACGTTTTCGTCAGCCAGTCTTTGCACCTTTCTTGGAGAAGGAAGCCTCAGGCCAGCTATCGACAATTTTCATTCTGTTCTCAATATCCCTGATGATCCCGAGAAGCCGATAGGCATACTGCACCCGTCCTTTCGTGACTTCCTCCTCGACCCCTCTCGATGCTTAGATTCTCGTTTTCATATCAACGAACAGAAAGCGCATCAGTACTTACTGGATTGTTGCTTTCGTATCATGAAGAATGGGTTGCACTACAACATGTGCAATGTTGACAAGCCAGCTTTGCGGGTTCATGAGATATCCGAATCCTTTGTCAGAGAGCGGATCCCCTATCCAGTCCAGTATGCCTGTCGCTACTGGATACACCATTTGAATCATAGTGGGATCAGCGCAGTGCAGCACGTTGCGATAACGGATTTCTTTCGGCACTGCCTGCTTTTTTGGCTCGAAACACTCGCTTGGACTAGAAATCTAGTTTACGCTATCGAAGGTGTAAAGTCTCTTCGAGCGATGTTAGCAGATGAATCTGGAGGTACACGAAATATTGACGATTCATCTGTTCATTGGAATCGCTCTATTTTCTCTACACTGAAAGAGTCACTTGGGACGAAGCAGAAGCACATACCTGAAGAAGACATAAGCTCCATGGTACACGACGCTTCGCGTTTTCTATCAATGCATGGTGTTATAATTGAACAAGCACCATTGCAAATTTACTCTTCTGCTCTACTTTTCAGTCCCATGAGGAGCATAACCCGAAAGCACTATTCTCAATATATACCACAATGGGTTCTCCAGTGCCCCCATGTCAATGGAACCTGGGGCTTGCATCTACAAACAATAAAGAGTGAAAATCATGTTAACTCTCTTGCCTTCTCGCCCAACAGTGCCATGCTTGCAGTACGGTCAGGAACCGTGGTACGACTCTGGGATCCCTCAACTGGTATTGAGAAGTGGCTGCCCAAACAGCATTCTGAACTTGTCAAGGCCATGTGTTTCTCACCAAACGGAGAGAGGTTAGCCACTGTGGTTGGAAGTGGCGAAAATGGTGACGAAATACGACTTTGGAAAACGGGAACGGGCACTGAATGCTTAACTATTGGAAAAGGCCTTGGGGCAGTGACAGCGTTTAGTTTCTCACCTGATGGGAAAAAACTGGTGGCTGCAGGTCTTATCGACAGAAATATTGGTTGGAAAGTATTCATGTGGGACATGGAAACTGGATCCAAAGTTGCGAGTTTTGGTGTCGAGGGAGATTTGATCGCCGCTGGTTTTACTTCGGACGGAAGGCCTTTTGCTGTACAAAAGCTTGGATCCCAGATCAATCTATTGGACCTCGAAGACGGCAGTGTCCAGCACATTCCTGCGCCGCTAAAAGGTGGCATCTGTGGCCTAGCAATATCTCTAGATATTAAGTTTCTAGCCATCAGAACTCACAAAGGCCATCGACGAGATGACACGAACACATGGCTGTGGCTTGCCAGCCCAATGAACGAAACCTGTCGGCGAGTATACAGGCACTATCACAAGTTCGGCCATGATGCAGCTGTGGGCGAATCTCTAGTCTTCTCACCAGATGGAAAGCTTCTCGCCGCGTGCGTCAGCCCCAGTCAAGGGTATCTGATCGACTCGTCAACGGGGAAAAAGAAATGGATCTTCTATGGTCCTTCCATTAGGGATAACGCTGTGACATTTTCTCTCGATGGAAGGTTCCTTGCTGTAGCGTGCACCAACTATACATCATGTGTCTATGACACAGCCAACGGCACTCTAATGCATACACTCAAAAGCTACTCGGGCTTAGTCACTAGCATCTCCTTCTCTCCTGGTAACAATTTCATAGCCACAGCATCGAGTGATAAAACAGTTCGTTTGTGGGAAATCGAACAAGAACAACCCAAAAAGGATTTCGTACCCGACCCTACTCCCGCAAGAGTCCTGATGTTCTCTCCGGATTGGGAGCTTGTGGTGGTCAAGTTCAACCAAGAAGTGCAGATACGTGCTGCGGGGACAGGTGCATGTTTGTTTCGAACGGACGAAGAGATTGGAACATATGCCTTTTCTCCTGATGGGTTACTGATTGCGATGCTCTATGAAGACAGGAGCGTTCGAATTTTGAATTGCAGGACAGGCAAACTTCATACATTAACCACGATACCCGAACACATATCCTCAAGATATACCAGAAAGTGTTACTCCATTCCTATGAGCTTCTCTGCTGGCGGGGAATTACTGATAATACCGTGGGAGGGTGTGTCGAATGCACATATTGGAGGGCCGGCGGGATCAGTACGGATGCATATTTCAGGCATGGCTCTTTGGGAGGTATACAATGGCAGGATTTCCAAACTCTTGCCCATTGACGATCATTTGATCACCGGTTTCTCATTCACGCTTGATGGGAAAGTTATGATTACTGCCTACGACTACGGCTTCTGCATGTGGGATTTACAAGCTGGAGCCAAGTTTTGGGATCCAATCGAGTGCGCAGATGACTTCCATGTTTCTGGTGTCATGGCTCTTTCACCCACCTCGGATTTACTTGCAATCACTTGTTACCCTAAAACTATTCAACTATGGGATCTGCGGAATCGAACTAAAGTTCACTGCTTTGCCCAGTATTCGGGATTCCTTTGCTTTTCGCCTAGTGGGAAAGTCCTGGCATCACTATCAACAGAATTCTCAGCGACCCTTTGGGACGTAAGTTATGGGACAGCATTGCAGACCTATGATTTCAAGGTTCAAATACGACAGTTGTCCTTTTCTCCTTGTGGCAGCTACATAAGGACTAAGCTAGGCTGTTTACCAACTTCAGCCTCTAAGCAATTATTTATAAACCTATTCTCTGGGGATTGGGTAAAGAAAGGAGGTAAGGACTTGTTATTTATTCATCCGGATTACCAGCATTACGTTGGATATGTATATAGTTCTAGTATTGTGTTTTTAGATATAAAGAGGGCAGACTCATACCTAGTATTAGAGTCATAAGATACTAATACTGGCCATGTTCTGTTATCTTGGGCAAAGAGAAATATACCTCTTTTAAAATTTCTATAGATATACTTTAGTATTAATATAATTAGTTTTATCCCCGTTCCAAGCGATTAGCTAGGTCTTCTAACGCCTCTATCTAGCCTGTGATATTTTCGACGAGGGATGTGTCTTGCTGGATACCGAGGAGCTGTACTTGGCAACCGAAGATTGCGAGATTAACTTGCTATATTATTCGAAATTTATCAATATGCGGTAGGTATCTGTTTGTGATTTTATAATAGCAAAGGAAGGAATATAAACTTAGGATATGCTTAAAGTTAAGCCAGTTGATATCTACTAGAGGACCGGTTATGTAGTTATTGGCTACTAAGATCAGATAACTGTGGCCAGGTTGATTATTATTAATGCTAATTATATAACAGCGTATCTTATAATAGAAGTTAGTATTCTTAGCTTATTTTAATATAGTCTTTTAGTGTTAGAGCCTTAGTGGTAATTGCCTTAGGAGAATACTAATAGAGAGGGCATTTAGCCTTCTAAGGATAGGGAAAATATCTTTTTTATACTTATAAATTAAGGCTACTTATTTAGTTACATCTTAAGGTTTAAGGCAGTAGCTATATAATCTGCTAAGATATGATATTAAGGTTAATATGTTTTTTTTTTAGCATAGTATATAATGCCTTTTATTATATTATATTAAAAATAAATACCTTATTTTATTATCTTACTTTAAGGCCTTTGGCTTTACTTTATGTGTTACTAGATAGGTATTTTGACTTTTAAATAATTAGTTTTATATTAGGGTTATATTTATATAATCTCTTATTTAAAATATTAGTAAAAAGGTTATCTCAGGCTATAAAATGGGTAGTTGGTACGCAGCCAGAAGTGTGTTTTGAAGAGTATTATTTTGAGTAGATAGGCCCGACAGCTGATTCTAGCATCTCGCACCTTACCTCGAGTGCTAGCCAAGTTTCGTACTGTCATTACTAATGCAGTTGCGTAACGTCCACCCCAATACACCGAACACACGCTTGAGCCGACTTTCAGAGTCATAAGAAGCAGGATCTGCAGCATTTAGCGCCTCCTTAGCCGTCTCCGGAAGTATGATTACTTTCTGGTTGACGTATCTTTTCACCTGCTTCGCGACCTGTCCGGTGACTGTGACCTCCCTGTCCCAGCCATTAGCTAACACCGCACCCCAAGGCCCAAGGTCAAGACAAGTGCCGTATCCAGATTGAGAATACGGAAGATTTGGCTCGCCGAGGAGGTCTGTTGCTGCGTTGTGTCCTGAGAAACGGCCAAGGACGACGGCGTGTTGGCATGATGGCATGGTGACATTGCCTTTTGTATCAGTTGCGGCATGGGCGGCGTCACCGGTAGCAAAGACATGAGGACAGCCAGGAACACGTAGATCTTGGTCGACGTAAAGTCTGCAGAGCGTGTCCTTCTTCCCAGGAATTTGCTGAGTCAGGGATGTTGCTCGCACGCCAGCGGTCCAGATGACAGTCATCGCTTCAATCCGCTCTCCAGAAGAAAGGTTGACTCCACCTGAGTCAACTGAAGTAACAGAAGCACCGAGCTTGAGTTCAACGCCGAGACTTTTCAGAGCTTTCATGATCGTAGGACGAGGACCTTCTCCAAGCTCGGGACCGACCTCTGGAGCACTTTCAACGAGAACAATGCGGGGGTTCCCAATGTGCTTGAGCATATTCGGTAGCTCTGTCGCAATCTCAATCCCTGTGAAGCCACCGCCACACACAACCACGGTTTTGCGGGCTTTGCTGACGGGAAGGGACTCCAGACTATTGATATGAGATTCAAGCTTGGTGGCAGCTGCGATTGAATCAATGTCAAAGGCATATTCTTCGAGACCAGTAACACTCTTGGGTCGCGCAACTGCGCTTCCGGCTGCAAGTATAAGCCGGTCGTAACCTATATCCGATTCGTCGCCAGATGGAGACTTGACATGGACCGTTTGCGAGTCCGTGTCGATTCTCTCAACGGTGCCTTGAAAGAACCCGATACCAGTACATGTAAAAAGCGGCTCGAGGTGTTGTTTCATTATTGATGGATTGGGCTCATACAGACGTGGGCGATGGGTCAGCGATTGGTCAGGGGCGATGACGAGAACCTCAATGCCTTTCTCTTTGTTATTGAGGTTGATGAGACGTTTGGCTGCGAAGGCGCTCCACACTCCAGCAAAACCAGCCCCTATGATGACAATTTTGCTTCGCATGTTTATCTTGGATCTAATGTGTTGGGTTGGTTTAAATGACTGGTAGACTCTGAGATATATGTGAAGAAATGATGGTCTCGGAATGCGGTCAAGTTGATTGTATCAATATCCTTACGATGGTAACCTCTCTGGCCTCTTTATACCAACCGTGATTATATTCTTTACGTCAATCGGTACGAGTAATTCCCCCGAACTTATCACTCATTACCCTCGCTGTTTCCCTTGGACATCTGTCGCCGGCTTTCAGAATAGCGGATACCCGGCCCCCGAAACGGTTACCCGAATACCCGGGTGCTAGTCCACGCGACCCCCGATAAATGGACGAACATTATATTTAAGCTGTACAGACTTGAAGGTTCTTGTTCTCGATCGCCTTGGTTGATTCAAGGAGACTGCCGCCGGAATAAGCACCTGTTTTACTAAATTGTGGGCATGTTCGGTAAACATCACTCGTTTGCTAGAGCAGCACCTAAGAGCAGAGTTATATTAAAGCGGATGTACTATCGGTATCTTCTCAAGGCTCCCCACGACATTCGTCTTCAAGGCAGCAACATGCGGACATGTACAAGAGCTGACAGAACCTGGAAATCTCATTGTCCTCCAAAATGTCCCGAATTGTGAGTCGATGAGCAGTCCAATCATCACCTGCAGCGAAGACATGCAGCTCAATCATGTTGCGGTCTACATGATCAATGCCTATGACATTCTCCACACCGTAGCTTTGTTCGATATCGACGAATAGCGGTGCCGCCGCATCGACGTTTTGCCTACGGATGAAATGGAACGTAAGATGAGTTTCGCCTGGCCGGGCCAAGCGCAGTCGTGGTGCTTCGTGCAGATTCATTGTATCCATTGCGTTGTGAAGGTATTGTCGTTTATGTGTTTACTGTTTGTGGGGTTTATCTTGGATGGGTTTGTTACTAGAGTGCGAGATGTCGATGTGCGGTGACTTTATATACCAGTCTTCACAAAGCGCACTCATACCTACCTCTGAATGAGTGTGCTCCAAGTGCATACTATTCACATCGAGATTCATTAGTGACACAGCGGACGTATTCTTTGCTTCAGAGAATGTTAGGGGTGTCGTGATAAGCACTAGCTATTCACCTCTTTACGTTAGTGACCCAGTGATTACCCAAATACCCGATTGCCACTCACCCGGACCTAAACCCGTGCACGTATATTCAGATTATTTTGAATAAGACTTCAGAGATCGCCTTGATCAGTTCAAGGAGGCCGCCACAAACTTGTGAGATCTTGGGTTTCGCTTACATTGAAAAGGTCTGGTATTTTTGAATGGCTCAGCGGGTAGTGTGTACACGTTGCACAAAACTGAAACTTTTATGACTGGACTTATGCCTGTGTGCTATCATTCATCTACACATTTCGTCAAGGTCCAAGTTCTTCGCAGAGTGATATAAGTCTTCATGCCAAGGAGTAATACAATTTGCAATATGAACAGAGAAGTTGGACGGGAAAAACGTTGTACGTGCAGTTCCTCATATCACGTTTAATTACGACGGAAAGACTGTTCGAGGGACTGAGGATTTTATCGTCCTTGAATCTGAGGTAATAATAAAACGAACACGATAATCATTAGCTATCGATATCCCCTCCTAATATAATCGCAATTCGAGAGAACGGCCTATCTGGACTTGTCCATAGCACCCCTCATTCCATGGTGTCAGCACGGGTAGATGTCCCCATCCACATAAGCCGCCAATCTCTGGCAATCTTCTTTTCCTCGCAAATCTTCAAAGTCTCTTCTTTGAGCGCATTCCAATCATGTCCTGCCGCAAACACGTACAATGAAAGCAGGTCTTCGAATTCAGTGTACATGATGTGAGTGACCTCTAGGTTGTAAGCTCGCATGACACCGTCGAATGTTGGCTCCAGGATGGAACCGTCTGGCTTGCGTGTGAAATGGAAAGCCATGCGACTTTCACCTCGTCTTGGGTCTCGGACTGACAAGAGACTGCAGAGGCGGATTGTATCCATTGCGGAGTGCGGTGGAGGAATTGTTTTGTTTGAGTTGAGTTGAGTGTGTCCAAGATTGGTTGTTGATCTGTAAGGAAGTGTAATGAGCGGTGGGTTTTATGCTAGTCTTGACACAGCGCCACTGAGCTTGATGTCTGATTCAATCACCGTCGTGTCCCAAACACATCTCACCCACATGTGGGGGCTGTTAATGACACAAAGGGCGTGTGATTACTTCAGTGATTACATCGGTTTGCGGTAAGCACTAACCATTCATGTTGATTTGTCGGAGAGATTTAATGAGGTGATAGGTGGGTTCGGTTTCGTGATTGACTCACCAGCCATGAAATTTGTCAGCGATGCACCGTCAATTGTATATTTCTACACATATAATCACTGGATTTGCGAGAGAAACAATACTGGTTTTCCAATCACTCTTGACACTGAAACGCGTGCTTCACTGTGCCACGCCGAAAGCGTTTAAGATGCACGATATTCCAGAGTTTGAGCTTGATCAAGTTGGTTAGTAATGTCGGCCCAAATTTGTGTCTCACGTCGTAACTGATAATCGGTAGCTCGCAACTATGGTGTAAGGAGTCAAGGAAGGAAAGAAAAAGATGACGAGAACTAACATATCACTTCTGTAGCCCAGAGCGAAGATCGCATTGCATGGTACGACGTTCCTCCAGTTCTGGTCCAACGTTCTGACAATATGCAGGATCAGCCCCATATGCCCTCTCGCTAGACAACCTTCGAGATCTTTCCGCTAGCAAGCTTTCTCCGATCGATAACGATATCCCACTTTCTTATGCTCCGTCCCTCGGATCAGTCGAGCTGCGTAAACGCCTTGCAGAGATCTATTCAATCAAAAGAGCACCACTGACAGAAGACAATGTGATCATCACGCCTGGATCAATTATGGCTAACTATCTTGTGCTGAGCACGACATGCACCAAAGGCGACCATGTAATCTGTCAATTCCCGAACTACGGCCCTTTGTATCTCTTGCCCAAGTATTTCGGCGCTGAGGTGGACTTCTGGGTTGGGAAAGAAGAGAGATCGTGGAATCCTGATATTGAAGAGCTCAAAGCACTCATCAAGCCGAATACTAAAGCCATTATCCTAACGTGAGTCTCTGCCGAAGGTCTCGTAAGGATTACTGACAGCGTTGAGAAATCCGTGCAACCCTACAGGAACGGTCCTTGGCCAAGAGATCCTGGAGCAGATCCGAGATTTGGCCAAGAGGCATAACATTACTATCTTTGGCGATGAAGTCTTCCGTCCCCTTTTTCACGACGACACTCCGACTCCGCCATCCGTTATCTCGCTGGGGTACAACAACACCATCTCCACTGGATCCGTATCCAAGGCCTACTCACTCCCGGGTATTCGTATCGGTTGGATAATCTCACCAAACAAAGATATCCTACAACGTATCATCGCAGCTCGAGACTACACAACTCTCAACGTTTCACGCATCGACGACGCCATCGCTTTATTCGCCTTATCTCCCGACGTCCTTCCCAAGATCGTTGCACAGATTCTGGCAACTCAATCAAAGAACATAGAGCAGTATGATCAGTTTGTAACAAGAAATCCGGACCGATGCAGATGGGTTCATCCGCGAGGCGGCGGAACGGCTTTCATACACTTTTCTGGGTCAAATGGAAAGTCAATTGATGAGGTTGGGTTTGCAGAAAAGCTAATCGAAGACTTTGGCGTCGCCGTTATTCCAGCTAGTGCTGGTTTTAGTGAGGAGGGAGTTGCTGATTACAAGGGCTATCTCCGTCTGAGCTTGGGACAGCGAGTGGAAGCAGTCGCCGAAGGACTCCGAGCTATTGAGTTGGCTATTCAAGACTTCTAGTCTTTGAGGACATCAATTATCTAAACAAATGGCAGAATAACATGGCTATCGTGCTCTCCGCCAACATGAACCTCATGTTTCCCATGGTTATCTAAATGCTCCAAACTTCCAAAATTACTCACGCCAATATTCCTCCCACAAACAACAGCTCGAATTGACTCGCCAGCTTCATACTCAATACCCATAGCCCAAATACCAATGTCAAGTCTAACAACATCCCCAGGTTTGATCTTCTCTACTTTCTCGTGAGGATGGAACGGCCAGTGCGGGTGCATACTCTTGCTCTCATCGATCTCACGATGCGATGCTCGGAGTACACCCATTGGACCGCGATAGACAACTACTTCTATCTTTTCTTTTGGATCCATTTCTTCAAAAGATTGTTTGGGGATACCCTTCCATGGAATGTTGAGGTTCATCATGACTTCTCCGTTTGAATCGAGCTTCTCGAGGGTGACGTACACGTCCATGTCGTCGTAGTCAGGACAGGACATGTAGAGAACTGCCTTGGGCAGACCGACTAATCTTGTTGTTTGGTCGAAGCGGTATATGAAGCTGACCTGATCATCGGTTTCAGAGTTGTAGCTGACCACTGATGTCTCGGTTGGCTGATCGAGAGAAAGCTTGCTGTCTTTCGTAAAATAGAGCTTTTTGTATTCTGTTCTTGGAATGGGGAAGTTCTCCTCGACAATGTTCTCGTATGACTGAGGTTCCTTCTTACCAAATCGCAGAACAGCCGTGCGGACCTTTGGTACCCTGTCCCAGCCGTTGTCCTTGCCCTTCAGGAAGTAGTCAAAGAAGTCAAGTAACTCAGTCCTCGCTTGCTCGTTGCCCCAGATGTCATACCACTCTTGCCAAGGATGGAAGCGAAGCCACTTGTGCGGTGTATCAACCTCAAGCCAGCCTCTAATAGCACCCATGCCGTGCATTGTGTTAGTCCACGTACCGGTGATGTAAGTGGGAATGTTGATCTTCTTCATATCCGGGCGCTTGTCGTTCCACCACTCATTCGCAAGAGGATGCTGTTTGAACATCTCTCGGAAGCTCTCGATCCCGCTGTGGCCTTGCATCATATACTTGACAATAAGCTTATCAAATAAATCACCGGCGTAGATACCGCCACGGGCAAATTGTTCGCGGTACAAGTCGCCGCAGCCTTCCCATGGAGCAATTGCTTTGAGACTGGGTGGGTTCAACGCTGCGATGAACCATTGTACGATAGCCAGATGAGAGTTTCCTGCTAGACCAACAGAGCCGTTGCACCAAGGGAGTTTGGCGATGCTCTCAATGGTGTCGTATCCATCCTCAGCTTCTTGAGTGCCCATGATAACCAAGGTTCCTTCACTGTCGCCTGATCCGCGAGAATCGATGTTGACAACAGCGTAACCGCGCGGAACCCAATCAGCAGGATCAGGCGCCTCAAACTTCTCAAGTCCAGAAAGGGTCTGTGACGGAATGCCCAGATTCCAAGGAACCATGAGTTCTAGAGATAAAATGCCATTGAACTTCTTTCCAAAAGGTGACCAGCAGATAATAGCAGGAACAGGCTCATCCGTATTCGGTGGCCGATACACATCAGCGTATAGAGTAACGCCATCGCGCATCTTGAACGCTACATCATGGTCAACGAGAACAGGTGACGGTAAAGGCCGTGCTTGAGGACTGTCGTGTTTCCAACCTGCTGGAAGGACTTCTGAGTGAGGGTTTAGTCCAACATAACCGCCGTGACCGACTTTAGGAGTGCCGATGGGCTCAATAGGGACTGTGAAGGGAAGATTTGCGAGAGGCATGATGTTTGCAATGACAAGGATTTAATTGGTAATTTTGTGACTTCAATCTTACAAGCATTTGCGAACCTATTCATAGTCGATACTTGAGATGCCAAAGTGGATTCCGAGGTAGCGAACCGGCCGGTGGACTCGTCGGCCCCACTGCAAATGGCGCGGCTCGGAATCGGAGTTTCAGAGGGGCAAGGCCAAGATTGCCGGGATTCCGAGCCGAAGCGACGCTTACAGTTCGGAATCAACTGTAGCACCTCTGGTGGCAGGCAAACGTACCTGTTGAAGAGAAGAATAAGAAGCAGAGATTGAACTAACTCAAACCCAAATCATCAAACAGTTCATAACAACACATTAAGCTTGAGACTGATACCTCTGGTCATATCTCATCCAGCCCATATTTGAGTAGTTTTTTTAAACTCTTGCATCTACCAAAATGGTCGCCAACACAGAGCCCGCTGGTTACCAAGCCAGCTCCGCTTTGAAGTTCGCTGAGCCCACTTCCAACAAGCCTATCCAAGCCAAGCCTTCAGGCCCAAACAAGCTTTTCGCCAACCCTGGAACTACCTTTGGCGATTGGCGAGACGACCTCTACCGAGACGGCTTCGCTGTCATCAAGGGAGCTATTCCCCTTGAGAGAGCTGAGAAGTATGGTGATGAGATGCTCTCATACCTCGAGAACTTGTAAGCCCCCCAATACCCACATACAATAGGGTCTACTAACATCCAACCAGCAACGGCGGCATGGGCTTCAAGCGTGATGACCCCAGCACCATCAAGGCAGAGACCCTTCCCGTCATCACCGAAAAAGGCATGATCACAGGCTACGGTGTCGCCCACGAATCCTTCGCCTGGGCCATCCGCCAAGAACCTGGCGTCATCGAAGCCTTCGAGCGCGTCTACGACACCAAAGACCTGATCGTCTCCTTCGACGCCGTCAATACCTCTTTCCCCAACCGCAAAGATGTCAAGGTCAACAAGCCCTGGCCGCACCAGGACCAAGACCCCGAGAACCCCGGTTTCCGCTGTCTTCAGGGCCTGGTCAACATCTTCCCCAACGGTGCTAAGGATGGTGGTCTGATCGTTTGCAAGGGCGCACATCTCCTTAGTGAAGAGTTTCACAAGGACTTCAAGGATGAGCCAAACAAGATCTGGGCTTGGACTCACGAGTGGTATGGTTTCACAGCAGAGGGTATGGAGTGGTTGAAGAACAAGGGTTGCGAATGGCAAAAGGTCAACGCTGGACCCGGTGATCTTATCGTCTGGGACTCTCGCACTCCTCACTACAATGTTAGTCCTGAAGGTACTCAGCCGCGATTCTGCACTTATACGTGCTACATGCCTGCTGCGGATGCTACACAGGAGGATCTGAAGAGGAAGAAGGCAGCTTTTGAGAATCTGCAGGGGACGACGCATTGGCCTAATGCTATGCATGTTGGAGGAATTCCTGTCTTGAGAAATGGAGAGCCTTGTCCTTATAATACTAACAGGCCGAGGAAGGCGCCCGAGTTGACCAACCGAGGATTTTTGTTGACTGGTATTCCGTATATTACTGCATAAGCCAATGTCGTTAGTTCGCATCAATCTATATATCGCTTCAATCTTCTTTTTAACTTCTTATTAATTCATTCAGAACAAGTTGCGTTGCCCCGTGTTCAACAGCGTCCGTATCGTGACCATTAGTCTCATTTCGATAGCTGATAAACGTGAGTAATTACCCAATTTGCTTTCTCTAGGCACAGCCTGCCAGACATGTGGGGGGAAGTGTAGTACAACGTTATGTTGGTCGACTGACCCTGGTGCCAGAGAGCTCAAAAGATCCTTGCCACTTGTGTTGGTTGTGTCTGAGGAAGAACTGGCGGTTTCCTTTTCGCTACAACCCCCCAGTAACTTAAAAAAAAAAAGAAGAAAAAAAAAAGAAAACCCTCCTTCTTTCTTGACTAGAAAGCCAGCATCAGAACACAGAAACTGTCAGAGTTCATTTACCCTGCACGGGAAAATTTCCAGATCCGATTATGCATGCCCTAGCTTTCCTACAAAGTTTCCTTATGTTACTCCCCATGCGATTGAAATTCTGCTGGAGAATGGTGAATTTTCGTTCTACGTTTCCTTTCTGCTATTTATCAGACCAGAAGGTATGATGTTTTCTTGGCTATCGGCGTCGGACACATTTCTGTCGTCGAGTCGATAAGCAGTCCCCCTGGTGTAGCTGCCGTTACCCAACGTGTTCATGGAATTGAAGGCTCTTGATCGGTGAGGGTTGTCGAAAGAAACGGTCCTGAAGCATGTAAGTGTCTTTAAAAGCGGCCGAAGGGCAGTCAACGAGGCGGCCAGGATGCTAAGGCTGATCTCGAGTATAGAACTAAAACAGACTTTTAGTATTCAGAATACATTTAATTACTGGCGAATTTACTTACTAGATGGTTCCTCCAAGTGTTGTTTCAACAGCTTCTTGTGTTGCGAGACCACCAGAGGCTAGCGATAGCCGGCTCAAATCAATGAGATATTTTAAACGAATGATGATTGCGATGGAGCTCCTGAACCAATGTTAGACGACTTGCACCACGATAAATAGAAAGGGATAAATATTCACGGCACCCAGTCCGAGTAAAACCATCACCATGATCTTGAGCTTTAGTTCTGTATAGCATATAAATAGGCAAAAGGCAAAAGCTGCAGGTCGTAGTCCGATAGTCAGTGCAGAGCACATAGGAATCGTGAAATGAGGTCTTACATACCGCATAAAACCAGCTGATGGTGACATCCATACCAGATAGTGCAAGTCCAGTGGTTCCTAAAAAGGCTGTAGAAGGGCATAAGCCTTCTCCAACGACCCAGGCCATAGATAGCGGACGTCATTGCAGACCAAAGATCAAGGCGGTTACCAAACACCACAGCGACACGATGATCATTGAAACCGCAAGAACCCTTCGAACTATCTTCATGCTGGCGGCGTTCGCGAGGCGGAAGAGTACAAGTCCAACGGCAAGTTTTGAGATGCCGGTGGTGAGAATGTAGACGATTTGAGCGGCTTTGAAGAACTTAGTCTATGTCAGCGCCGTTCCGTCTACATGGGCATGAAGAAAATTATACCATGGCTGCTTTTGTAAGGTCGAAGTCGGGTTCAATCGTTGTTGCACCAATGCCGCATCGTATCGCTTGAACCTCCATTGCGCAGAAGATAACGAAACCGACCTAGCTCTGTATCAACCTACCTGTCATGGTAATCAAGGGAATCAAGGTCGTTTACCAGAGAAAACATCATAGCTATGTCATCGTAGCCGATAGCTTTCTTGATGCTTCGTGTCCAGAGTCTCAAACCAACGGCGATGCCATCAATTACTAAAGAAGCGATCACCAATGGGCAGTAGGCATCTCTCAACCCCATTTTGACAAAGTATTATGAGATTGGAGGTGAATTCCGCAGAGAAGATGGCTCGGTCCCTTGGAGTAACTAAAAGCTCTCTGCCTTACGTCTCAACTGAAAACCGAAGAAGATCAAGGGCCCTCATACCTTCCGCTCCCAGATATTTGGACACTGAGCGTTAATACACTTCCTGGACGGATGCATGTTCTGCAGGGCAAGGGAGCTTTCTGACAACAAGGGCCCTCCATGTTGATATCAAGGCTTGAGCTCTCGTGGCTCCCTTTTCACTGGTGAGATATGATGTAGAACAGGTTGCTATGCAAATGCAATAACAATCCCGACTAAACTATGTCAAGGGTAATCAACAACTCTGAAGATATTACTATCGCCACACGTACCCCGGTAAAGGCAAACCTGCCATTCCAAAGGCTCACGTTCCTAACGGATGCATATGCTTGGTATATCACATGATTTAAACCACGAATAAACTCAAACCCAATCCATGATAAGATGATACCTTAGCAAATAAAACAAGAGAGATGAAGGAAGGGCAATAGAGGCAGGTGGATCGACGACCTGCTAACGTACGATAATTTGCCCCGAGGGATTTAAGGACCAACATACAGCCCCTCGAGCAACACGCATAAGGGTCGAGAGTGGATCGCAGTGAAGGACATTGGGTAAAGTAGACATAGAATTTCGCACAAAGCAAAATGAATGCTACGTTACCAGGAGCTTTGCTTCCGCTTCTTCGGTAGCAACGACGGATTGCTATCCGGACTGGGATACGATCCACACTGATTGCATGTAAGCGAGATATCTCAGGGTACAAGAAAGGGGACAAGAATACCGGACCGCTGCAAGCTCACTTTCATCTCTGTATAAGAACAATTGGACTTAAATCCCAGTGCTGGCAGCTCCAACTTTTACGACTAGTTCTCTATCGATTATTCTAAGATGAATTCATCCGACATTTATCCACTTCCAAGTGTTCCTGAACAAGTCACTGCCAATTGGCTTGGCAAGGTTCTCGGACAGAATGTGAAATGTCTGGAACTAACTCGCAGTGTTCTGAACGCCACAGCCAGCAAACTCTTCTTTACCATAGAGTATGAGAACGATAAAGATGATGAAGACAGACCAAAGCATGTGTGCATCAAAGGAGGATTTAATCCCGCGATGCTGGCAACAGAAGGCTTCAGAGAGCTTCTGATATCCGCCTACACCAACGAAGCGAAGTTCTTCAGTCTTGTTGTACCAACGCTAAATCACATGTCTCTTACAAAGGTGTGGTGGGCAGGCGTTAAGGATGAGCAAGGCATTCTTGTGATGGAGGACTTGAACGAGGCCGGATATACATTTGGAAACCCGCAAGATGTGTGGTCGGTTGATCAAGTCAAGGCTGGTGTCGAACAGCTAGCAGCACTACACGCTAGCACTTGGGGGTACTCGTACGAAGATTATCCTTGGATCACGGCTTCATATGAGGGCATGATGATGGCTCTCACTGATATGTGGGATGACCAGATCCACGGTGCGGATCGACCTCCGTGTCCTGATATCATCAAAACTTCCCGAGAGCGTACGGTGAATGCCATCAAGAAGCATTTTGCCACCAAGAACCCAAAGTTCATGTCTCTGATACATGGCGATCCGCACACGGGTAATACATATCTCGACAAAGCTGGCAACCCACGTTTTCTCGACTGGCAGACCTTTCACATTGGATCACCATTCCATGACCTGTCCTACTTCATCGTAGGTGCTTTATCAGTGGAGGACCGAAGAGCGAACGAGGTGGCGGTAATCGATCATTATCTCGAAGCTCTGGCTAAATTCGGAGGCCCTTCTCTCTCGACGAATGATGATGATGTTATGAAGGAGTATGCAAAAGCGACGATGGCCGGTATGGGTTGGATTCTTACACCGTACGCTTTGCAGAAAAAAGAATGCGTGTTTCCGATGTGCGAACGATATGGTGCTGCGATCGTTGATCATAAGTCAATCGAAATTGTCGAGGCTCTACGGGACCTTGAGTGATTATGTAAAATTATGCTCTAAAAGTCTGTAAACACCCCACCTTATAGCAACTTAACCAGTTTAACTATAATAACTTTACTTATATATATTTAATTTAATTAAATTCTAATTATAATAAAAGTCATATTATTTTAAAGCCCTGATTTTTCTCTTTAATATTTTATATATTATCCTCTTATATAAATATATATATTAAGTCGGCAGGGAAGTAAGTTAATTAGGCAGTTAATTTACTTTAGTATTATTACTACCTATACTAGCTTAATATATTTTATTAACTTTGCCTTATTAACTTTATTATTTTTTAAGAGATTTAAATAAGGAAATATCTTATAGATATTTAGCTTTAATTACCTCTAAATATACTTAATTAGGTTTAAATTAGGACTATAAGTAGGCTAGTTAATTTAGGATATATTATATTCTAATAGCTAGTTTATTATAAACTCTAATATATATATATAAGTATTATCTTATTAAAAATAGTAAAAACTAGTTTAAATAGGAAGTAAACCTTTCTCTAAAGCCTACTAATAACTTAGGGAAGTATATCCTCTTTTTTATATAATTTAATTGCAAATTATAATTATAATATTAGATTTACTACCTCTTTAGATTACTCCTTAGATTATAATAAATAATTATAATTTCTATAAATTATTATATTAACTAATTCCTTTATAAACTTCTTATAAGGCTTTTAAAATACCTAACCTTATTTATAATTAGATTATAATTAAACTAATAATTTATTATTAAAAATAATTTAAAGGTATTATTAGTTAGGTAAATAATTCTTAGGTAATATTTATTAGTAAACTTTAAAATAATATACCTCTAGTAATTTATTAATATTTTCCCTTTAAGCTTAATACTAAAAAAACTACTAATAAGTAGTTTCTTTAAATAGTAATATCTATTATATAGCTTTTTATTTATAATTATAATAATACTTAATAACTTAGTATATTATTATTTATAAGATTTAGCTACTTAAATAATTAATTAGTAATTTATATATAATCCTATAATTATATTTAAGAGATATTAATATATATTAAATCTGCTAAACTATAAGTTTCCTAGGATACCTAGAATAACTCTTTTTATCTAAGGTTTAATAAGTTTTTTAGTATTAAAAGATCTTAAAGACTATAGCTATAGAATATCTAGCCTCTTTAGTAATATCCTAGTATAACCTCCTGCTTTCTATAGCTTAAATAATAAGAGCCTTGGTAACCTTGCTTAGCTTATAATTACTTTAGCGCTTAGTATATATAATAGATAAAATCCTACTCTTTTATAATATCTTTTATTAAAGTTATAGATAATTAAAGAAGTTAGACTAGTTTACTTTCTTAGTGGTAGATCAGCTGTTGGCGGGGCAGCATTTATAGACTTTTGGAGTATAATTTTAACACTTTGTTGTCATAGAGAGGAATTTCCTATTGAGTCGGACTGGAGGTAATGCTATAGGAATTTAGGAAGGATGATACCGTCTTTTCACGAGTCAATTGAGTTTTCCTTGCACCAACTATTGTCACTAGAAGCACAATACTAATTCTTGTTTTGCCCTTGACTGGATGTCCTTAAGTATGGAGAATAATACAATAGAGGTCAGCATAAGTATACAATTTCTCCATGCTTTTAATCCGAATGGCTCAAAGAATGGACGAACACTATCTTATTATCATGGTTCGGCCTTTATCCTTTCAAGAGCTTCCTTCTCGAGTATAGCCCAGAAACCAACACGAGGCTATATCGGGCGGGATCTTTGAAACACAGAAGAGCATGCTTGACAAGTAAACAAATCATTCAGGTTTACCATCAGCTGCGAACTATTCCCTGAACTTAGCTTTTGTGAGTGCCTCGAGAGTTCAACCCGAACTTAGGATGCCTACGATTTGATTTCCTGTCGTATCCCAAAGTTACTGGCGTTTGAACAGGTTCAAAAGATTTTACTATCGTGATTCGATGGGTTGATTTAAATTCATCTTTATACAGCGTATTAATTGAAAACGAGAGGTCAGAGTACTACAATACCTTTGGCTTCCTCGCATGGCATTATCAAAGCGCAGAACTAGAGGCCGATATCGACTTAAGCGCCGGCACATCAGTGGTCAAGGTACTTTTGGTATCGATGATGTGCTAAAGTTAGACCTCGTATTTCGGCAATTCGGCACCACATGCTATCAAAACTCAGCGATCCATTGCTTTTCCGCCTGTCCTTTGAGATAAGTCATTGGGGCTTCCCTTCAGCTAGTCCAATCATCTTCTTGCCCGTAAAAGGAGTTCAATGATTCTCGAACTGGAAGGTAGTATTGGATAGTCGGCCATTAGAACCTCAGTTTATCTATATATTACACATGATTTGATGTATAAAGGTGAGTCTGGCCTTGAAATTGCATCTATTCTCAACTAGCTCGGTCCATCGCTTTTAAGCATTCTGAATCAAGACATGCGTTACATCGTGGGATTTCTTCTCGTCTTTTTGAGCTTGTGCATGGGTGAAGAGGTGCGCGTCGCTCATGAAACGCGAAATAGCCATGGGGACATGTGGATTAAAGGGGAGCGGATTGACCCGGACGCTCGCCTTCTCCTTCGCATTGGCTTAAAGCAGTCAAACCTCGAGGACGCGGACAGTCTCATCCACAACGTCTCGCACCCGTCATCTCCCGCATATGGCAAGCATTACTCCAGACAAGATATCGTTGAGCTGTTTGCACCGTCTAATGATACGGTCGAGACGGTCCGCTCGTGGATATCAAGACATGGCGGTTCTTCAGCACTGTCGCGAGATCGGGGATGGCTACACGCCAACATGTCGGTCGTAGAAGCAGAGAGCATGCTTAACGCCAGTTATTACAAGTACCGCCATACCCTTCAAGATTATTCAGCAGTATCATGCGAGGAATACTATCTTCCTGCCATTGTTCGGCCACATATCGACTTTGTTACCCCTGGCGTGATGCTTCTAGCGCCTAAGCAGCCTCGCATCAACAGCAAAGTCAAGAGACAGGAACCACCTATTTTTCAACCTGATTCCACGAGTCCGCCTTCGACAGGCACGTCAAAGTGTGGTGACGCTATCACTCCCGATTGCATACGAAAACTCTACAATATCCCCAAGAACACATTAAAACACTCGTCCAATAGTCTGGGAATCTTCGAGGCAGGCGACTATTATGCCCAAGAAGATTTAGATATGTTCTTTGGCAAATTCGCGCCCAACATCCCTAAGGGGACCCACCCTCACCTCGTTTCAATCGATGGGGGCTCTGCACCGGTCAAGCCATCTGAAGCCGATGGAGAATCCGATCTCGACCTGCAGGTCGCTTACCCGCTTATATACCCTCAGTCCATCACGTTATATCAAACTGACGACAAAGTATACACTGTGAATGGAGCTGGAGGGCTGTTTAACAACTTCCTCAACGCCATTGACGGATCATATTGTTCTTACGAGGCCTTTGGAGAGAATGGTAATGATCCTGCATTCGATGATGTTTATCCTGATACACAACCTGGTGGCTACACAGGTAAGACGCAATGCGGCATCTCGAAACCTACGAACGTGATTTCCATCTCGTACAGTAAGTCGGAGTCTGACTTACATTTCTACTACCAGCAACGCCAGTGCAACGAGTTCATGAAACTGGCACTCCAGGGACATACCGTTCTAGTTGCTTCCGGTGATGCCGGCGTGGCCTCGCGCTCCTGGGATCCAGAGCCGAACGGATGTCTCGGTTCGAACAATACGGTGTTCAATCCCAACTTCCCCGGAAACTGTCCCTACGTCACAGTTGTTGGTGGAACTAGACTACCTCCTGGCTCTCCGGCGATTGAGCCAGAGGTTGCTGCGTATCTCCCACATCAAGACGGTTCGGATAGCACATACACAAGTGGTGGAGGTTTCAGCACCATCTATTCGATCCCAAGCTATCAGAAAGCAGCACTCGATAAATACTACGTGCACCATGACCCAGGTTACAAATACTTCAGTGCTTTGCATAATGCTACACACAACGACACAGCCCCCATTGGGGCGAATGGTGGCATTTACAATCGCATAGGGAGAGGCATGTCAGAGTAAGTCCATCGTTCCCGCCTTATAATGATTCGCATCATTGACCTGCTTTACTTTATAGTGTTTCGGCTATCAGTCAAGACATAGCAACCTACGCGGGTGGCGAATACGGGCTCATCAGCGGTACTAGCGCAGCGACGCCTTTGTTTGCTTCCATTGTGACACTCATCAATGAACAGAGACTCAAAGCTGGAAAGGGTCCTGTTGGATTCATCAATCCAGTCATGTATCAAAATCCCCAAATATTCAACGATATCACAAAAGGGTATAACGAGGGATGCGATACAAAAGGGTTCTCTGCAGTCCCGGGATGGGACCCGGTAACTCGGCTTGGGACACCTAGGTATCCTGAGATGTTGAAGTTGTTCATGGGCTTACCCTAAATAGTAATCAGGAACAAGGTTGGTTTTTATAGAATTCTGTGACGGCTTGTCCGGCATGGGAGACTGTCTCTCTCCGATTCTCTGCCGTGATAAGGATCACATCTTTACTTAAGTGTTAAAGCTTAAAAAGATAGTAAATCTCTAGGACTTAGTTAAACAAGACATATATAACAATTACTTCTATACCTTAATAATACTAATAAACAGGCAACTAAAAGAAAGAGTTTATTAATACTAACAATATTAATTAAAGAAGCTCTTAATTTCTGTATAAACTATTAGGCATGGTTATAATTTCCTCTTTATAATACTAAGACAAGTATAAAATCCCAGGATATACATCTTGATTCTCCGCTTTCTTATACACGACGTCATCGACTATGTAAGTTTCACATTATGCTGCCAGCCAAGGAGTCAAGAACCAATGAAATATGGCAAAGCCGAATCACCGCATATTGGGCTGCGGGGATAAAGCAGGCTGGTGATTTAAGCTGAAGGCTTGCATTATGCTGTGTAACAGTTGGGTAGCACAACGTCAATAGTCTCCTCTGCAGCTTCGAAGGTGGCTCACCGTGCATCGGGCTCCATACGGATCTTGCCCTTCCCGAAAATCTCGTATTTATTCTTTGCTTGGGAATGGTCCTTCACACTTTCTCCTCTTCGTTGTATATTACCTAAATCCTCGGCTCTCTTGTTGAGCCCGTTGAGAAACGGAAGTCCACTTTTCCGCCTGAACATAAACAACCTGTCGACCCTCTCAAAATGATTACACAGTCCTCTCCAACGGAGCTCTCATACGTCGGCACCGCTGTGGTCCTCTTCGCAGTTTTGCTTTGGTGGATAATATCGACGTTGACCTCTCCATTGCGACCTTATCCCGGCCCTCTTTTCGCTAGTGGGTATTTCACAGATTAAGATAAAATGCAGAGGGTAACGGTCTCTTGTCTCTAGAGTGGACGAACCTTTGGCGTTTATATCAAGTCCGGACTCAGAAATACCAATGGACCATTCAAAACCTTCACAAGAAATACGGTCCCATTATTAGAATCGGTCCAAACTTACTAGATCTGGACTATCCCGAACTGATCAAAATTATATATGGTACAGACCGTAGATGGCTCAAGGTAAGTGCGGTAGGCATAGAGCGGTAACACAGCTGACGTCTACTAGACACAGTTCTATATCAATAACAGTAGTATGGTGGATGGTAAGATCAAGCATAATCTGTTCAGCACAACGAGCCCAGCAGAACACGCACAGATGAAAAAGCCGATGGCTAAGTATTATGCATCAAGCAATGTTCTGACCTTGGAGGTAAAGATGGACCAAGTAATCGAGGAGCTCTGCAAACAAATCGACAACCGGTTTCTAGAGGACGACAAAACCTTTGATCTAGCAGAATGTCTGGGATTATGTGTGTACATTCTTGGCTTCCAAGCTTGACTGCTCACTCACTGTATCAGATACTTGGGACATGATCGGTTCTTTGACTTTCAGCCAGCCCTTCGGGTACATGAAAAAGGGGTCACGACTTTGACGGGACCATCATAGCATCTGCACTATCGGTAGACTACTTCGCTCAAATCGGCCAAATGCCCTTCCTGGACTGGCTTCTCAACAAGAATCCCATGGTGCGCAGTGGTCCTCCGGATATGAGCCATGTCACTCACTTCTCGATCGCCCAACTACAGCGCCGGCTTGAGCAACAGGAGCAGCGCAAGTCATCAGAAGAGCCAGACTTTCTAGACCACTTCATTGATGGAATGGAGAGCAATCCAGATTCTATTAATGCAAAGCTCGTGCTAAACTTCCTATTAGCTAACATCCTTACTAGAGCAGACACCACTGCGATTACACTTCGTGCTATCTTTGACTTTTTGTTGCAAAACCAACATGCCATGACCAAGCTCAAGAGCGAAATCCTCATGCTGGGCTTCAATGGTGCTGAGGCTGTGCCATACAGTAGAGCTCGATCGCTGCCTTATCTTGACGCTGCCATCCGGGAATCGCTGAGAATGCACCCCTCTGTCGCTATGCCTCTTGAGCGCTACGTTCCAAATACTGGACTGACGTTACCAGACGGTAGCTTCATACCTCCTGGAGTTGCCGTAGGCTTGAACCCATACATCATCGGTCGCAATGAAGTGGTCTGGGGTGAAGACACTCATCGATTTCGTCCTGATCGATGGCTCAAGGCAGAAGACGAAAGTGAAGAGGAATACCAGCGGCGTTTGAGGAAGATGAATGGAGCCGATCTAACTTTCGGCGGAGGTTCTCGAATTTGCATCGGGAGACATATTGCTCTTATACATATCTACAAGGCTGTAGCTACATTGGTTTCACGGTATGACATTCAACTTGCGGATCAAAATGTCAGGATGAAGATCGTATCTGGATGGTTTCCGCGTCAAACCGGATTAGTTGTCAGAATGCGCAAAAGATCAGAAATGGGGAAGCTTTGAACAGGAAGGGAACAAAGTTTGTCAGATTGCTGAGCTATATATCAATAACCATTCCTTCATCTCCAGGATACAAGGACCCTTCACTCTCAAGTCTCTGCAACAAGTTCTCAAAGTCCGCCCAGTCACAGCCAATCTCATCAGGGAGTATCGGCATGTTAAATGGCTGACCCGAGAACGGATCGAGGATGCCCTCGTCCATTGATAAATTCGGATGGCTGAGCATTGCAGGATCCGATTGGCCTAAGGATTCTGCAAAGGTCTGATTACCTCCCTGCGGGTCTGTCAAAGGTGTCACATTTTGATCGGATAAGCTTGTTGACGAGTTCAGCGCTGGAGTTCTGTGGTGGCTATCCTTTGGAGCTGAGATGGGTCTCATAGCTTCTTGGACAACACGAAGAAGGCCATTTAGAATGGTGTTCAAGCGGTCTTCTTCACTGAGGCCAACACAGTAGCAGCGGACCAAGTCAGCGGCTGTCACGAGGAGCTGTCCTAGTTAGCATCGTAATACTCATAGTAAATGACTGAACTTACACTTTGGTCAATTTTGGAGACACGGGAATGAGGCTGTTTCAAGATATGCACCGCCAGAACATACATAGCATGAAGTAACGGAAAATAAGCAGGTGCAAATAGATGTGACGCCGAGTCGTCGTTATCAGCGAGAAGATGAATCATCTTTCTTGCTGAGTTTGCAACCATCGATTGACCGTTGCGGATCTGGTATTCCCATGGCGTATCTTTGGCAATGATCTCTACTGCCATGTGCAGAGCGTTTTTGCTGATCAGAAGGGAGTTGCGGTTCAACATGATGAGGCTGCAACACATTAGCTTCAAAAGGCATCGGCTGGCTTTGATGAACTTACGCGTTATGGTAGTGTAGAGACACAAATGACGCAAGGCCCAAGTTTTCTGGTACGCGCATAAAGTCCGACGTAGGTCTATCGCATATTAGCAACCAGGTAGCTCCTGCAATGAGGTGACCTACCTTATACCAGCAGGGACACTATTAGCCCAGTTCGTCAACATCAAAAAGGCCTCTCCAGTACTAGTAACTTTCTCCTTAACAACCGCCTCAATGGCCCGTCTACTAGCCCTTTCCTCAAGCTGTCTTGCCGTAGCGCACCGACGACTCATCTTGCTAAAGACATTCGCCATCGATAACGAAATACGCGACGGCTCAAGCGCAGTAGACTTAAGAACATCCAGGTCCAGGGTGTCGAACGCGTCATCCGAGATCGTGGATACGTAGCCAAGCTGGAACGAGAAAAGCTTCTCATAGCTATACAGAGCCCACCACGCAGGATTCCAGGCATCGAGATCTAGAGGTTTCTTTCTATTCTTTCCGGGCTTGTTGAGGCCGAGGGAGTGGGCGATTGAAAGGCAGATACCGAGCGTTGTCCAAGCTGAGATGATTTCGTCGTTCAGGCGGAGACATACTGAGAAAAGAAAGAGGACTTCGATGGTGTCGTATGATACGTTGCCGATGAAATGTCCAAGTGCGCTGCGGGCTAGAGACAGTGTTTCGGTCATGTAAGCCTTTCGCTCGGCATGTTGAAGAATGCATCCTCCCGCAGCGAAGAGTAGATGACTTCTCAGCGCTGCAATGTCAACCGAGTGCGACGTCAAGCTCCCAGGGTGCGGAGGGTGAGATTGCACGACATCGGCACGAGCTTGGTCGAGCCTCACAACAGGGTAAAACGTATGTATCTCCCTCGCATATGCGTCGAACAAAGTCTGGGGTACCCATGTCTCCGGTATGATTGGGATTCCGTGCTGGGGCTGAGATACCGATTGCGGGTTTAGAGTGGAGGGGGGATATGAGCCAAAATGGTAAGGGATGCTCAGCCGGAAACAAGCCAGATCCAGCCATTCCGTCAATATCTGGAAAGACGTGGTGCCAGCACTTTGTCGCCAGATCGGCAAAGGGTTGCTAATCGTGTCTGTATGAGAAGAGTCTCTACTCTGCGACGGTCTCGGACTCTGCGACCTCGCGCGAATCGGCCCAGTAACCACCGCAATCGTCCTCGGCTCAGCAACAGAATGCCTCCTCTCCACCGCCCCATCAGCACCAGCCTGCAATCCATACTCCGACGGACTCGCAGACGTGACAGACCCTCCATCAGTGGACTTGCCCGCCTCTCGTCTCTTGATCAACTTCCCCGGCCTGCGCCTATCTTCTGTAACGCAAGCGATTCCCGCAAGGATACAAGCCTGACAAGAGGGCTGCTGTTCGTCACAGCGCGTTTTGCGACTCCGACAGTAGTTGCACGCGAAATTGAGGCGGCGCCGTTTGCTGGATCTGGGGATCCCGGGGCTGCCTTCGGTATCCATTGGAGAGGGCATGGGGTCGGCAGCGTGGGGGATATAATGTGGAGGAGTGATTTGTGATGATGATTGGATTGATGCGATGCCGGTAGATGAAGACGGGTTCCGGTGACAAGGGTTTGAGAGAGATTGAAGATCTGGAGTTGATGGGTACTGTGTGTTTGGGTGATGAGATACCGAGCCGACGGAGGCGCAGACAGCGTATTTTAATAAACGATCGGTAAACCTTTGTGCTTCCCCGCATTCATTCCCCTCGGAGACTCGGCTCCACCCCCGCAACCCAAGCTCACGATGCTAGGTCCATCGTGTAACAACCAATCGGAATCTATTCGTTACGCTATCAGACTAACTTAGTACGCAGGCCCAGACCACGACTCCGACCCGGGGGCGATTTGATTGATATAAACCTCGTTTCGTCGCTGCTTTAGATATGGGACATCAAACTCATCCAGTTGACAAGGTGTAGTCATGGCTGAGCGACGCGATTCTTTCGGTACGAAACCTGATGTCGATGCTGTTGAGGATATCATCAAGACACCTCATCATGAAGCTCACGATGCGTCTGGTACGGTTAATTTGTATCAGGACGGAACTGTTGTTCTGGTCCCGACGCCTAGTCCTGATCCCAAAGGTAAACGCACCATTCTTTTTGATTGTCGTCGACTCACATTTTATGATAGATCCTCTCAACTTGCCCGTCTGGCGCAAGTACATGATCATCCTCCTCGTCGGCTTCTATTCCGGCATCTCAGTCCTAGGTACCTCCGGTCTCGGCTCCGTCGCTCCAGAACTCTACGCGCTTTATCACAACGACAACCCCAAGCGCATCAGCGATTTGCTTACATATCCCACTCTTTTCATGGGAATCGGCAATTTGCTCTCCATGCCTCTCGCCAACGCCATTGGCCGTCGACCAGTCTTCCTCTTCTCTCTTCTTCTTCTGACAGTTTCTGGAATTTGGTGTGCTTGCTCAAAGTCGCTTACAAGCCATATCGCGGGCCGTAACATCTTCAGTCTAGCTGCTGGGCAGAGCGAGGCCCTTGCACCTTTGATCGTGCAAGAGATTCACTTCCTTCATCAACATGGCATCAAGCTGTCATACTTTGTTGGAGTTCAGAACACGCTTACTGCGGCCCTCTTCACTGCGACTACATACATCGTCCCATCGCTTGGATTGCCCTGGTGGTATGGTATCATGACCATCATCAATGGTTTCACGATGATCATGTCTATCTTCTTCCTGGCTGAGACTCGCTACGACCGACCCGAGGACGCGACTGGTAAGCTTTTTTCAGTCCTCTTCATTAGTCGATACTAACCTTAAACAGAGGGCGCAGTCCATCTGAAGCTCGACAAGAACGGCAACGTAGCCCGCGAAGGTACCAACGAAGTTTTGTACCAAGTCACAACCCGCAACGGCGTTGTTCTCCAACCTGAGAAGTTTGGCGAGAGAACATGGCGCGACGATATGAAATTGTTCCACGGCAAGGCGGACTGGAAGAGCCTTGTCTCATTCTACAAGGACGTCGGGCTCTCTCTCATCCTGCCACCTATCTTCTGGATCTTTATCCTCAATGGTGCTTTCCTAGGTCTTTACATCTACCAAGCCTCAACCTTCGCTGTTATTCTGGTTCAGCCGCCCTATAACTTCGACGGCAAACTTCTCGGCTATGTGCAGCTTGTTCAGATCATCGATTGTCTACTTGCCGTCCCGCTACTCGGATATGGCTCGGATATCATCTGCAGATTCATGAGTCGACGAAATAAAGGTGTTTTCGAGGTAAGCTTCCTTCCCAGCTTTTCAAGACCGCATACTGACTGATACAGCCTGAATATCGTCTTCTTGTCTTGGTCATCCCCGCGGCTTGTGCGATCATCTCAGCAATTGTCTACGGCCACGCAGCCGCCTCGCCCAACGACTATCACTGGATCGCTATCGTCGCTCCATATCACCTCGGCTTCTTCTCTTTCCTCGGTGCGAACTTGGTCGGAATCACTTTCGTCATGGACAGTTACCCCAACAAGTCTGGACCTCTTCTTCTGGTGGTTTGCGCTGGCCGGGGTTTCGTGTCATTCGGTTTGAGCTACGCAACTGTACCTTCGATTCAATCCCTTGGGTACGACGGTGCGATGAACATTCTTGCTATTATCTGTGGCATTCTGAGTGGTATGGGAATCATCATGTACTTTATCGGAAAGCGTGTTCGTGAGTGGGCGCGTCGACGTATCTGGCCTAAGCATCACGAGGAGTAGGGTTTGGCAAGAAACGAGGGTATGAAGACTAGAACATTATGTCTCTAACTTGATTAATTGAGCACCTTTATTGAATGATTCAGGATGCAGAGATCCACGTATCTGTCTTCTTGCATAAGAATTCTATAATGCAATGCTTTAGTGTGAAGTCTCAATACTGCCTAATCGGGAAATATCAAGAGTGGGACGGTAGGATGACAAACCACGAACCAGCAGATTGCTATTGGCGAGCCGTGTCCTTGCTGGACATAAAACTCGCCTCTGTTAAGCGACTTTCGCTGCATTGATCTTTCTCCTGACAAGGCCTTTAAACGGTCAGTCATATTACGGCTTCTTATATGGACCTCAGCTATAGACCTTTTCTTGTGTAACAGCTTTAGTTCTTAGGCTAGCACGTTTTTTTTGTTTCGTTTATCAGCATTGACTCCGTCGCTGAACTACCAATGGCATTGCATCCATGCACGTCAAACTCATGCACTGTAGCCTAGTGGAACCATACGCCAACAGTGAGTTTAATTAGACCTTATGCAAAGCAGCGCGGGTAGCCCATGCATTGAATTGCAGGGATCAAATTCTGCTTCTAGTTCCAGAAGAATGCTAATGCATTCAGACATGGAGCCCGTGGCATAAAAGATAGCCTGTCAAGGTTACATAGACGACAACATAGAGTATCGCGTTAAAGGGCAGACACAGGATCTCGTGAACATCTGTCAGGGTTCTTAAAGGACTGCAGTCCCTGGTATTTGTTCTCCTTGCTTTTCTCTCATGCGGTTTTGCTTCGCGCCCATCAGCCATTCGTTATATCACGAAACAGAGTAGTCGATCTTATCGAGCTAATACAGCAAATAATCACATCCCTAATTCATCTTTCGTTCAATGTTCTCCGCAATGGCCAAATCAAAGTCCAAGACAGAGGCGTCGCCCGACACCGACACCGCCCCCACAGAACCGACTCCCCGTCCCGTGAGCACCTGCGGCAGCGAGCATCTTCTCATGACAACCCGTCGCCAAGCATCAGAACAATATGCCAAAGCAGCCAAAGCCGAAAAGGCCTACCGCACCAAGAAGCGCGCTGCTCTCGCTCGCGCCAACTACAACGAAACAAAGACACACTTCAAAGAAGCCTTCTCGCACCTCTGGCTTGCGTTGAAGGGCGTGTTCCCGGTGATCAAGAACTCAAGATATCTTCTGGGTGAGAGGCGCGATAAGAGGAGACAAGAGGCTGAGAAGAAGAAGCGAGAGAAGAATCTGGAGAGGAAGAAGAAGCTTGAGGAGCAGCTGGCGAGGGAAGAGGCGGAGGCAGAGGCTGATGGAGAGAAAGAGGAGGATAAGTCTGAGGAGTAGGGACTTTAATGAATCATGAGCTTACGCTTGTGATGATGGCTTGTCGGTGTTTTGTACCTTGACTTTTGAGGGTGGCGTTTGTCTCTGGCTTGAGGCAGCGATACCCAACTTTCACTCGTTCATTTCCTTTGTCCTAACGCAATATAGATTATTGCAGTACTTTTTCTGTAATCAAACAATGTTTAATCAATAAACAAATTTTTGCCTAATATTACTTAAATCTCCACGCTTGAGGTCGCAGTGTAACTGAGAGAGCAATAGCAAAAGCCTTATCCTGGATATAGCGTAAACCCGATCGCTACATCATCCAGACCTGCTCTTCATTGACTTTGTAAATGCACCGGTAGCTTCAGGCATGAGGCGCAGAAACTCAATGGTTGAGGTCCAGATCTGCTCCCTCCTTGACAGTGCTCCAATACTTCTCCGCACTTCGCTGACGCAAAGCCCGTCCCCATTTCATGACGGGGAAGATTGTCAGGTTATGTGCCAGACCAGCGAACGCACCCAGGATGAAAGCATTCTGGTAGCCCAGGTTGACAACCCAAGGAGTGACACTGACAGTATTAGCGGAAGCCCATGGTCAATGAGTCGTGTTTGTGTGCTTACCCATATCCAATACCGAAAGCCATCGTATTCCGGATAATGATGGCAGTGGCCAAGGCTTCACTTGCAAGATCGCGATAGCAATCGATGCAGTACGCAATGGAGATCTGCGAACCGGCAGTCGTGGTGAAAGAGATGACGCCCATCGCAAAGACGATTGAGAACCAATGCGCCTCGTAATAAGCTCCGACACCGAACAAGATGCACCCAAAGGGAATGAGGATGAGAGAGGGCAGGAATAGCCAGAGTCGGTGCTCAGCCTCCATGAAGCCCCCGTTTCGACGTGCCATCTTGATGATGAATTTATCGCCAAAGATTCCAGTGTAGATGCACCTAGTTTCTGTCAGCTTCTCACTCGATCGCGGGCGTCGGGGACTTACGCGAGGGTTGTTCCAACAAGGGGAGCGATGAATGTCAGCCCAACTGTCGAAGTAGGCATGTTATAAGGCTTGTTCGACAGAACCATAGACTCTGTCGCGTTCAGAACAGAAAGCCAGACAATATTGCAACCATAGATGAAACCAGCATATGAGATGATGGGAAACGCGAGGAGGAGAATCGGTCGGCTTATGAGCTTGATGAGTCTGTTCTCGCCTTTCAGGTTCTTGCGCTCAATGGGTTTCAGGCGAGAGATGCGTGACTTCTTGCTGAACTCGGGGTTTTCGAGGTCGAAAGTCTCGTTAGGTGCGCTCACGTTGGTGAGAGTGGTAGTCGCGACTTGGTCTTGTTCAGCGTCGTGCTTCGTATCGAGATCGTCTTTGGTATCGGGCCCAGTCGATGTCTGATTCGCGCTAGACACGGTCTGTCCTTCGATATGGTTGCTTTTCATATACTTTACTCTATCGAACTTGGTCTCTTCCATGAAGAAGAAGATGATGAGGAGCAGGACGGCGCAGAAGATGGCACACCAGTACTGTGAGCCTATTAGTTTTTGCTTCTTGTCAACTGGGAAGCGAGTACTCACAAATACCCATTGATACCCTTGTCCATCGTTGATGAAGCCCATGATGAGTGGAGCGATGCCGTTGCTATAACCGAGTGCGAGAGCATAGAGAGCGATGAACTTGCCTCGTTCGTGGGTGAAGAACTGCGCCCAACTATTAGTCTATCATACGTCGTCGCCTTGTGGGAATAATGACTTACGACGTCTGAAACAGTAATTTCCGCCAAAGACTCAATCGGCGCGCCAAAGATGCCCTGCAGAATCTTGGTCGCGATCCACTCCCCGTTTGATCGCACATGTGGCTGCCAGACCATGACGCCCTGGCTATGTCAGCTTCAATACCATCATTCAGATTCAGAGGCTCACTAAAGTGCCCAATGTCGTCAACAGATACACAGGTCGCTTGCCGTACTGGATGGCGATGGCTTGCCAGATGATGCATCCCCAGCCGAAGAAGAGAAACTAGCAAAATGTTAGGCTGTCACTGGAGTCATCAAATGGAGATATAACTACCATGTATCCAGTCCCAGAGTTCAGATCATTGTAGCTCAGGCCAGTAGACTCTGACAGCGGTCCCAAAGTCGAGTACAGCGCAGACGAGCAAATGCCAATAACAAGTACATAACTAACATCACGTCAGTGGACTCCTAACACAGCATGATACCAAAGCGAGGTTGTACATACGCTGCCATGCAAAACGCAGAGAGGTATTTCCTCCTCGGCGACCAGTTCAGCGGATCATCCGGATGAGCTGACGGGGCTGGAACGAGAACAATGTCGTGCTCCGCTCCTTTGGCGTGCTGCGAGTCCATACTTCCCTGGGCGTCGACCAAGTGGACCGTCCCGGGAATCACCTCGATCTGATCTGCCACGTTGGCAGTGGTCTGACTCTGAGTGGGCATTGTGGGTATGATCCAAAGGGAAGATAACGGTGGAGTAAATCTGGTCGTATGTTTGTGGATTCTCTTGGTGGATGGCACCGTCAGCTGGGGTTGTTGTCTGTTTTATATATGCTTGCGGTCACCTATGACCTTATCTCAATAACGCTCTGATAGTTCCAACACTAATTTCTCTGGTACCAGCGCCATACCTTCGTAGCCCGCCAGACGTCTCTCAACCTTATCAGTCTTGACGTCAATCTCTCCACTTCTCAATGCGAAGCCGTTCATCCGAAGCATAGTTCTGGGGTAGCAGAAGCCAGAAATATCCCGATTTGGAGAATAGCTCCAGAAATTAGAGCACAAAGACAATGCGGGGGCGGAGCCATCCTTATCGCTAGCAGACAGCCCGGCCACTTGGTATCCAGGGATATCATCATCCGTAATCAGCTCCTCATTCTCAAGAGAACCGGCGTCTTGGCACGAAATGAATCCAATCTCGTGGATCACCAAAAAGAGAGACAATATTGCAGCCGATGAGCCGCAGGGAGATAAGGATATTTCCTACTCAAGTTAAAGCAGTTTCGTTGGCGAACTGTCTAATATTCTTGTCCAACCAGGTTACTAGAGTTTTCCGAGAGGCTCGGAATACTTCTCCGCATATCAAATCTTTAGCTTATCACAACAGGCGCTAGAGCATGACTACTCGATCGGGAAATAAGAAACCCATCAAGTTACAGACTGTCGGGAATTACACTTCCAGCCAAAATGTTATATAGAGATGGATCAATTAGTGCGATAATGCTGCGTAATGAGATTCTCAGAAGATATAAGACCAGCAGATAATATTCTGAACACTTGAGCCGATTTCTCATTCACAAGCATCAATAGCCAATATGGTTGCTTCACAGTATCCCGTTCGCCCTGCACTTCGCCACGATGAAGAGGAAATCACTGGCTACGTAGACCCATGGGTAGTTTCCCCTGGTGAAACAGCCCACGTCAAGGTACACCAGCCCTCTCATTCTCTTAGCCTCCATACTCACCATCTTAGATCTCCTCTACAAAGCCCAAGCTCAAGTATCAGCTCGTCAGACTACTCCAAGGCCTTGACATGCCCCACGCTCCAACCCCTGCCAAAGAAGTCATCGAGCATGGTCCCAAAGGCGAATTAAACGGTCGCTTTCAAGCGTCTCATCCGGGTTCTTACGCTGTTGTTGATGCATGGAAGAGAGAACCTTTGTTGGGCAAGTCAGAAGGCGTTGAAATTGACTTTTATGTTCAGCCTTGGATGCTTAATGCTCCTCATCCTCAAGCTATCTTGTCCAACCTTGACTCCGCCAAGAGCGCTGGTATAGCTGTTCTTATTGATCGGGATAATCAACTTCTTGTGTGGATTGGTACCTCCAATGGCGTTGAGGTCAAGAAGATCGCTTCTTCAGCCCGTGAACGTCGATGGTTCCATGTTTGCATCACTCTCAAGGGGAGGGAGTTCCAGTTGCAGCTCACTCACATTGCTTCTGGAAACGAAATTGCTCCTTCATCAACCACTGTTCAAACATCTCTTTCCAACACTGCCTGTCTGGACTCGGGTACCCCTATGTACTTTGCAGCCACTACAGCTGCCAGCCCAACATCTGCTTCACAACTACCAGTCCACTTCTTCAACGGCCGCATCGAAGCTCCCCGCTTCAGAGCCTTAGGTCGAAAGAACTGGGACATCGCACGATACGACTTCTCTGTTGGGATTGACACAGATGAGATTTTCGATGTCTCTGGTTCTGGTCTTGATGGCGTTCTTGTCAATGCGCCAACTCGAGCTATTCGCGGGCATGACTGGGATCACAAGCTCATTGGACTCGGCTGGAATGAAGCAACGTATGGTTTCGGTGCTATTCACTTTCACGACGACGATCTCGATGACGCTGCGTGGGACACCGACTTTGAGTTCACTGTCCCTTCTGATCTGCGCTCTGGTGCTTATGCGATCGAAGTTCAAGACACAGAGTCAGATCTCAAAGACGCAATTGTCTTCTTCGTCCGTCCGAAAGAAGTCCGACCGCAGGCAAAGATTGCTTTTGTCTTTTCGACGTTTACGTACCTGGCATATGCGAATGAGCATATGTATGACGAGACCAAGTCAACACATATCTCATTCCCCGAAGGTGTTCAGCTCGTCGCGTCTGATAACTATTACAAGATGGTGCGACGGCATGATCTTGGTCTCGCTATCTACGATCTCCACAGCGATGGCTCAGGCGTTGTATACAGTACCACCAAGCGACCGATTCTGAACGTGCGTCCTGATTATATCCACTGGGGCTTTCAGCGACCACGGGAGTTCTCAGCTGATCTATTGATGGTCGGATTTCTTGAGAAGCATTTCGGCGACGGTTACGACATTCTCACAGACCATGACCTTCATCTCCGCGGCCGCGCTGCATTGTCTCAATACGATGTTGTCATTTCTGGCTCACATCCAGAGTACCCTTCTGCAGAATCTCTGGATGCTTACGAGGGGCATGCCAAAAATGGAGGATCGCTTATTTATGCCGGCGGCAACGGTTTCTATGTAAGCATCGTGATTTTTCCAAGCACTACGATGCTAACAATTCTCTAGTGGAAGTCGGTTACGGACCCGAAGCGACCTCACCGCATGGAAGTGCGACGCGCTGATGTCGGGGCACGAACCCACGAGAACCCTCCAGGCGAGCGCCATCACGCATTGAACGGTCAACTCGGTGGCCTCTGGCGCTCAATCGGCCGCCCACCCAACGAGCTCTGGGGCATTGGCAGCTGTGCTTCTGGCAAAGGGCCCGGTCGACCTTTCATTCCAGCCGATGAAGCCCTAAACAATCCTTCACTGGATTGGCTCTGGAAGGGTCTCAACGAAGAGTCTCGGAAGCTCCTCGGTACAAAGGGTCTTGCCGGCGGTGCAAGTGGCGATGAGCTCGATCGTCTTGACGTTACAATCGGTAGTCCCGCCAATGCGATCTTGCTTGCTCGAAGCGAGCGACATGATGATCATTTCATGCTGTTCAATGAAGAGCTCATCTTCCCCATGATCGGGACCCTCGGCTCAACTTCACCACTTGTGAGGAGCGACATGGTATACTATGAGACGAATGGAGGCGGTTCTGTTTTCAGTGTTGGTAGTATTAACTGGAATAACTCTCTGGCTTGGGATGGGTATCAGAATGATATTGCACAGGTGACTGAAAATGTCATCCGGGAGTTCCTCGCCCGTGGGAAGAAGAATGCATCGGCATGAAAAGAATGAAGCAAACCCGCAAGGCCAAAAGCAAGAATAGCGTTTGTTCGCCTCAAGCTCAAATAAACATATCTATATACAAATTCCCAAATCTATCCATCTACTTCTTGTACAGTTTTCGTATCTGCCATTCCTCCCCTTGAAACGTATGTCACCCTCGTTCCATCTCACTCAACCCCGCTGTCGCTATGAACAACGACCTTCTCTGCATCCTTTCCAGCAGCCATCTCCTCAAAGTAAGACTCATCCTTCTTCTCACGGCTGACATAACCGGGTGGCGTCCACTTCGCGCTCTCCCATGCCTTGAGGTCAGGCAAACAGTACATCATGTCAATATGCTCGAGACTAAGAGTCTTTGACTCATAGAGGGAGAAGTATACGATGATGGTACCGATCAGATTCATGCCGGCGAAAACATAGCCAAAGGCGTAAGAGATACCTGCGTCGGCGAAGGGAGTCAGGAAGCTGATGAGGACTTGTTCATGTTAGCATTAGCACGCTAGGCTTGTTAAGGGACACTTACAATTTGCAAGCCAGTTGCTTGCAGTAGCCAAAGAAGCCTGCTTCGCGCGAGTGCGCAAAGGAAAGACTTCCCCAACAACGACCCAGCCGAGTGGACCCCAGCTAACAGCAAAAGAGGCGATGAACATGCAAGCGGAAACAATCATGACGATGCCACTGGTACTGCTGCCCTCGGGGTCTACGGCTGTTCCGACAGATGCAAAGATGAGCAGCCAAGCTGTTTGCCACAAACCGCCAATGATGAGGGGCCAGCGACGACCGAACTTTTCTGCGGAGTAGATACCGAAGAAGGTCATTCCGACATTTATGGCGCCGAGGATGAGTTGTACCAGGATCGGGTCGTCAATACCTGCGGACTCGAAGATGGTGGCTCCGTAGTACTAAACTAAAGTTAGCTGGTGTCGCTGAATGACAGCGGTTGACTTACGAAGAAGTAGTTGGCGCCAGTCCACTGCTGGAAGAACTGAACAGCCATACCAAGGAGTGTTCGGTACAGGACCTTCGGTCCCTTGTTGCGCACACCAAAGCATTCCAACCAGCTTCCCTGACCAACCTTTCTTTCCTCCTCCAGAAGAATCCTCATCTCCTGGATATTTTCCTCAACCAGAGGATTCTTCACATCACTCATCATACCCCTCAACCTCGCCAGCGACGTTCTCACACCATCCCAATCCTCCCTCATAGCAAGCCATCTCGGCGACTCAGGACAAGCCAAGACCCCAAGACCAAGAGGGATTGAGAAGGCCATCTCAATAGCAATAACAATTCTCCACGACGCATCGTTATCCTCAATCTCTCGTACACCATAGTTGACGATGTTTGAGATGAGAATGCCGAAGCAGATCATGAGCTGATATGAGGACACAACAGCGCCGCGGATTTCTCGCGGTGCACACTCGCTTTGGAACATGGGTACGCCGATGGAGAGGGCACCGACACCAAGACCGGCGATGAGACGGCCTATCATCATGTGGACCCATGAGTACATGGCTGTGATTTGGATGACGTTCCCGAGGAGGAAGATGACGACGAAGATGGTGAGACTCCATCTTCTACCGTACCAATCTGCAGTGCTGGGGCGCGATGTCAGTAGACTGTCGAGTGAATGAAGATGGGAGGCTTACTAGGATCCTGACAATGCTCCAATGAGACATCCGATGCTCATAAGAGACACGAGGATACCTTGGATGGCGGGTACCCAGTATTTGGTACCGTCATCATCTGTTTGAGCGAAGCGATCGACGTAGTCTCTGAAAAGAAGCATAGCCGAGATTTGACCTGTTTCACGTTAGACTCAATAACTCCAAGAGTTCGGGTATCGCTCACCAGTATCATAGCCAAACAGAAAGCCTCCAAGAGAGGTGATGAGGGCCAAGACCAGAGCCTCAGCTCCGCAGGCTGCCCCGTTGACAGTGAAAGATCTGGTTATCGTATCAGCTCTAGTGTATCGCCTCAAGGTTGTAAGAGATAAGAGACATACTTGTTCCCAAGCATATCGTCAGTCAATATCTTGTAAACCCAAAACTAATTGATCTTCTCTTCTCCTTCAACGTGGTCTGTACTGTCTTTTTATTCCCTCCATTCTCAGCGGATCCTTTAAAAAAGGAGTCCTGACTACAATACATCGCAAGTCCCATGAGGCCTTTCGAAACCACGACAACGCGATACTCAAACCTCCAATTCTGCTCAGCGGATCAATACGTCTCACCGTCATCCTATCGGGGAACAAGGCTAAATAGAACCTTCACCTTTAACCGTCAAGGTGAGGCTCCCCGGATATAACCAGCTCAGAAGGGCCGAATCCAGGGGTTTATTGGGCCGAAGAGCGCCGGGCCGGTGAGCTTAGTTATCCTGGCGATGTTTATTCTCCGTGGGATGTGTTTTTTTGTGGAGAATCACGTCGTGGGGTCACCGCCGGACTTCCCCATGATAGGAGAAATGCGGTTGTGGGATGGGAAAAAGTTGGGGTGATTCAGCGTCATGGGAGAGAGACCATGGTTTCTTGCTGCTGCCTGCACCGCTTGTTTGTTGTTACACTACAAAACCTCCGCTGTGACACAAGCGATATTTCGTGATCATCTGAGAATAAAAAGAGCACCTGACTTGCACGAAAAATTGCAAATAAAAACGTCAGCACAGACGAATTCCGCGGCAGTGAGGCCGGTATAGCCGGTCTTGGCGTCCATCAGCTCGGGACGGAACAGCCATCACCTGACTTCAGCAAAGATACTGGAAGGCATGGGACTTGCGGAGATTTATTTAAGTATTATGCTTGAAGTTAAATGACTCAGTTAAATTCTCGCGTCACGTTTTTTATAAAGCAACGTTCCATTACGCACTGAGCAATCGCTGCCTTGTGCAATTAGCACTCTTTCGAAAGAATTTGAATTGAGTGGCATGGCAGCGCGACTTACAGTCTCCGGATTATTTCTCTGTACCACACAGCATTTGTGTAATCGAGCATTATCTAAGTTTGAGATATACTAGTAATGAAAATGAATATTTTACAATGAATGCTGTAATTGACCTAAATTCTGTGTGGTGACACAACTTCCAACGTAGTCCTTGAGTGGAAACAACACATCTGGTATGCTCATTATTTGTCAATCTCGACTGAAGACTTTTGACTTGGTTGCACCAGCGATTTGGGACATCTACGCGACTTGGGTAAGTAAAAGGTAATCTTGCAAGATCTCATAGAGTAGCCAGCATAGTTTTACCCTTAGTTTGCCATTTAATCGTCTTATAGAGAAGTAAATTCAAGAAAATCGAAATACTATCAAGCTCTAGGTTAGGTCAACCAGGCCAAGGCCAATCGAAGGGAAGAGAATTAACCCCACTTAAGCAGGAGTAGGAGGATGCCTTACGTTGATTGGACCAGTGGTACTCCACTCCAGCACCACTAAAATCCACTTCAAAACCTCCAAAATCCAAACGGCCCTTTAATTGGACAGGCTATAAATAGAATTTATCACGGAGCTGAACGGCCCGGCCCAGATCCTGGAAATAACCAGAAAGCCATCGGAAATAACACGTGGAGCAGAGTCACTGAATCAGCACTCTAGCCAAACCTTGATTATGCTTTCCTCACTCCAAAAGCCAAAAGCCAACACTTCGGATGCCGTTTGTCGTGGCACAAGGGTATACACTATATCTCAAGACTTGCGGTGCCTAGGTCGTTTGTCAAGCCTCATGCTAATGAAAGCTTACGTCATGTGCGCCAGCTGAGTTGACGGCTCTAGGCATCCACGCCTCTATTGGAGTTGCACATGAAACTCAACTCTCGCCCGTTTTTAACCTCTCAAGCTCCCGGTAGACTTTCAAATTTTCATCATCATCGTTCCAAAATGTCGGAATATCTAGAAATACCAAAATTCACCGTCGATCTATCTCAACCCCCCGAGACCCGCTATGACCATATCATTCCGCACTTCAAGACCGCCGTGGACTCGTGCGATTTACCTTCCCTGTTCTATGCCTTACTGGATGAACTTGTTGGGAAATTTGCCGGGAAAATATTGGCTGCTGCCTCGCCGCTGATTATGCGACGCGTTCATTCAGATGAGGAAAATGCAGAATTGGTCGGTATCTCGAAAGCGATCGGCATTCCCATGCACATCCTCGTGGCATTCAATGTTCTCTTGGACCTTCTGCTGGGATGCACGAGTGGCGGGGTAAGAACTCTCGATCCAGATTCTGGTGGGAAAGCAACGAGAATGCTTCATTTTCGGACTCTCGACTGGGGCATGCATCAATTAAGAAATATTATTGTCGAACTCGACTTCGTTCGTAGGCCTGAAGGTCTAGTTATTGCGACAACAATTGGGTATCTTGGATACATTGGGGTGTTGACTGGAGTGCGGCAAGGCCTGAGTTTAAGTTTGAACTTCAGACCGTACCATGCCGCGGAAACTCTTCGGCAAAGACTTTCTTACAGATACAACCAGGCGATGGTGGTTCTTGGGCACCGACAGTCCATCTCGAGCAGTCTACGACAAATTCTATTAGATAACTCTACGATACCGGAGAGACAGTCCGATGAAGCACACGAGACGGGCAATGTCAGCCCCGATTCGCAGAACCAACATATACAACAAGTTCTCACAAAACTCTCGTCATCCAATTCAACCGCCGCGTATCTCATCCTCTGCCAACCAGACCGCGTCTTCGTCATTGAGAAAGATCACCGAAGCGCATCGATCCGCGAATCCGATACATTTCTGACGGCCTACAACCACGACGTCAAAGACGAAGACAACCCCGCGCATCTCCAACAAGCCGCAGCAGAACTCGCCGAAGGCGACGATGCAATAGGAATGGCAGACCTGGTGGCCTATTCACTTGAAAGAAAGCACGATTTGGATGAGTTATGGAGAAAACGTGTCCGAGCTTGTAAAAGAAGGTACAAGCTACGGAATGACGTCGTGACGAGGGCGGATGTTATCAAGTTTTTGCAAAATGATATGATTAGAAACGAGGAGACGCATTACGCTGTCATCATGGATCCGAAGGAGGGGAAGGTAATGTGGCGGAGGGCGTATGAGTATGTTAGTGAGAGTGAAGGCGGGAGTACGGAGGAGAATTAATGTTTTCAAGACGCACGAGTGCCAGGACTCATACTAGTGGGTCTTGGAAACAGTATGATAGACCAAAAAGTTACACGACGATCTAAAACGGTATCTTGGTACTTTCTGATCATGCACTTTCACGGATTGTGTTTTTGCTAAACGTGGTTGAAAGCGATACATCACACCAAGACCACGGTTCAGTAGACATGATCCAAATACTATCCACGTTGATTTCAGTTGACTACTATCCAAATGTGTTCCTTTTCGTATTTTCAGGTAAATATAGGGCTTAGGCTTACTCGGCTGGCAATAATGTAAGCCGCATTGAAGCAGTAAGCCAATAAGATGGAGGTTTAAACGAACCAGCCAATCATACAGAGAATGGAGCAGCCCAGCATACATATGGGGACTGGACAAACCATCCAATCAAGCACTCTTCAGGAGCATGGCCAGATACATCACAATAATCTGCTGGACTTCTTGGCAAAGTCCGAGTGCCATGGCATTTTGCTACCTTCTCTACGCAACAAGGCTTAGATGCACAGGGTAGAATCTGATGTCAGCAGGACTGTATGAGCGAAGAGTTATCCCACTTTGCTGCATAGAACTTCCTATTCTGTCTGATAGACGGCAAAGAATAGTGACCATACATGGAATTAGTTGCGAACGCGGGATGCAAACGACCGGTATCTTACTGCATTCAGGTTCGATGTTGGCATCGTCGCAATGGTTGACATTCGGGGTAACCTACGACGCAGGGGTTTACCACAAGGCGTAGCACTCGACGGAAACCATTATCCAGTGACATATCGGCTTGCTCGGCACCTACTTCGGCTGGCGCAACTGCCGACCGTAGATCACGGCCAGTAGCTTCAACCTATGACTATATAGCACTTTAGAATACACCTGCTTTGCAACACTTGACAAATATATAAGCCCATTTCATGTTGATACTTCAGAACTGTGTAACCTAAGAACGCTTATGTGTCAGAACGTTTACGAGACGAATATTTGAGTGCCCCGTCTCGTAGGTTTGTGGGATTATGTAGCAACGATCCTTCTTGAAAGTATCGACGTTTACTAATCGCTGGGTTGGACAGTTACAACTCCGTCAGCCCAACGGCACGGTGATTTCATGGTCTGTGCAGTCTTGACAAAAGGACTCGTCGCTTGGACTCGAGACTTCCAACCTCAGCATCACGGGCAGATGATTCGACAGTGCCAAGCTTCCAGACCCACCATGAGTATCTTCTGACAGTTTCTGACAGACTGAGACATGGGTAACGGCAGCAGGGCTGAACTTCAGCCCTGGTATAGACCACTCATATACCCCCGGCACTTAATGATGATCGACAAAAACTGTAGAGAGAATTGAGCAAGTCTTTCTCCCGGTGATCATATCCACAAGGCCCCATGCGAAGGAATGAACTTTGTACTGGGGACGAGATGGGAGCCCTATGTGGTAATAGCCGAGAGCACGGCGCTCAAAACGAGTAGAGAAGGGAGTTGAGTGAAGTTTAAAAAGCTCATGTTGCCCTCCCCGAAAAGTCCTTCATCACCATCTCACCTCTATCAGTTCAACAACAATCTCAATATCACAGCCCCCTTCCTCCCTCAAAATGAAGACATCTACCATCCTTACTGCTCTCGGTGGCATGCTCGCCTTCAACGCCCAAGTCGTCAATGCGGGATGCTACACCACCGGCGACCCTTGGCCAAACAAAGATCAAGCAGCCCAATTCGTCTGGGACGCCTGCTACGGTTCTCAGGGCATGTTCTCTGGACAATTCAGGCCCAAGCAAACCAAGTCCATGTGTCCCCGAAGCGGTCAACTTGGCCTTGTTTTTGAAGTTGAAAACCAGTGGGACCAGACGCTTGACCTTAATAACGACGACTGCTACACGCGCCTCAAGAACGAGATCTACGGATGTGACCGCGGCGGAGAGTCAACTGTTTCTAAGTGGCGTTTCCGGTGAGTTTGCATGAGCACAGAGGCCTGTTAAGATTAGATGCTAACATTCTTGGCAGTGCTGATCCCGGTAACTGTTAAATGTTGAGGGCATTTATGTTTAGGACCCCAAACAGGAAGAAGTGGAGAGTAGGAGGAAGGAAGGCCGAGTTGGAGGATTCTATTTCTATTTCACTCGTTTCAAAAGATAGCATTACTTCTCTTGCTGTAAACAGTATTAGTCACTCATTTCAGGTAGAACAAGAAAAAGACCCAAGCCTTTCAAGGAGCTTGTGGGAAGTCATCACATATTTTGCTATGCATTGGAATCTAGAAGCCCTTTATCTATGAAATATCAGAAACAACGTATAGAGAAGCTAAACCAAGTCTCATTAATTTCAACTCGCGTCCACATTGGCCTATGGCCAAGTGTTAGGTCTATGAACTGAAAGTCCGATAGCTTATGGATCAAGCGTCCTGAAGCTGCGCCTCTTCATCCACATCTGTACTGCACGCTGCATCTGTTCTGTCAAGCCGTACGTCAAGGCGTTGACGAGCCCTATGAATTGTGTCGAAGCTTGGAGGCCAGTGAGCCACTTTGGTGATGTACCAACTGACTCAGCCAGGCGATTCGCCATGCCTGGCAGCCATAAGATTATGTATGCGATCGGATATCCGTTTAAAAGGAGCATCCTTCTCAAGTTGGGTGTTTTCGGTACACGGTGGTTTGGTCCGTTGCCCGTGGAGACATTTTGTGTGTTGTTCGTTCCATGGTCTTCAGTTGTAGGCGGTTCTGGTTCAGGCATGGCAGATGCTGACCATTGGACCTTCCCACCAGGCGACATATCCTCTCCTTCGCTCTGGTCTCCCTTTGCTATGCCCCTCGACTCAAGTTCATACGAAGCCTCTACCGTGGTAGTGACCCATATCCGTTGTGTATCCGACTGCTCGGCGTTTTCTCGATCGATTCTCGACTGCGCGTTCGTGGTATATCCTTTTGTAGTAGAGGAAGAGAGACCGTATTTGACAAAACTGAAGAGTCGTCGGAGTTTGATGTATATGTAAGTGTAAATAGCCACTGTTGCAAGGAAGATGGCGATGCGCCAAGCGTGAGTGAGGCCGTAGCGGAGACCCAGATGTTGGGTCTGTATCCAGCACCAGTTACCGCTCACCGGGCCGTAGACATGGAGACCGAGCCCGACAAAACCTGCAAATTAATTCAGCATCATGGCCAGTCGTTTAGTTCCTATGATCCTACTGGTGATTGTGCCGGGGATCCAAGGTACAAGGCAGACAATTGCAGTCATCAGCCTCGACGAGTCGTCAAGAATCTGTTGTCGCTGAACCGCTAGTAGTACCGATACAGAGATGATAAGAATGTTGAAGTCGATCGCTTGTACCGAGAACTGACCAACCCAAGCATTGGCGACGCAACCAGTGCTCGGGGACGCTTTCGGATCTGCGTAGCCATCCTTAATGGCGAGGATACCAGATACTGTATTGTTGAGACTATTGATGAAGTCTTCGTTATCGAGTTAGGTTGACGCAGGTGTCTGATGGGATTGATTGACCTACCTGCAACGAGGAGGTTCACAATCAACGCATGGCGAAAATGTCGTCGCGGCGGAGGAACAATAACGTGAAGACAGAGCGCGAAAAAGCTCGCAACACAGGATAGCAACGATCCGGTTAATGTAGGAATTGAAATAGATAGATTGGCCGGAATATTGGCCATTATGGCTGGGGTCGTTGAAGAAAGTGAGGCATTTGCTTTTTTCCAAACAATGCAAGACATCAACTCAACAGCTGAAGACTTTTCATTGTTATAAAACACCTGAAAGGGGGGGGCCTGAGCCCAAAACTAGACCAACCTTGGAATGTCAAAATCGATGAAACTGCGCCAAAACGTGACATCTTCTCAGCATCACAAGTACCACCTTCCGCTTTTTCCACGTTCATGACAGAATTATTGCCGTTGGCCGTGTTTTGCACTCTGCGCTAAAGAGATCGGCAGAAAGTGTATTGATGAAACAGGAAGCTCCTACAGGGGGTTGGGGTGTTCTGATTGGTGGCTTGTTTTAGCTGTTCGAGAACCCCTGTTGATAATCGTAATAGCGCCGACGTCGGACTCTCCGCTGCTCAGGGGCTGAGAATAGAGTTTGCAGTTATTGATTCTGTAACTTGTACGTCCAATAAGGGCTGTAGATCCGATGACTCAAGGTTGGAGATGGGCTAAAGTGAAGCGATAAGATAGTCTTTTGGCTTGGCCACGAGGTCTAGAGTCTGCTTGTAAAGAGTGGTTCGATGGCTTACCCGTCGGCCTAAAATATACCGCCACCAAAACTATTATTCTAGCAGCCTCTGTAGCGCCGATGATTACCTCTTTTGTGTCACTGACGAACACTTGCTGGGGTCTGCTGTTGCCAAGACACCTGCGGTTCATTATCTGCACCGCTAGGCTGGGGTTGTTACTCGTAGCTTGACGTTGTCGCTCCGAGATAATCTGATAAGATAAACCATATAGACAGCAAAGACTCTAGCTTAAACCTTTACCCAAGATAAACTCAAGGCGGGTAAACTAACTCCGACTAATAATACGCGTAACACCGTCAATGGCTTTGACAGGTACCCCAGTTCTTCAGGTAGACTAGCCATGTGTAGAAAACATTGCGAGAGCATTAAAGTTTATACTACAGAAAGAAAACAAGTTCTCAGACTTCTCGGCATTCCCCAAACCACTGGAGTTTTACTTGACTTGCCCTCATGACCAAATGCTAAACAGTATACATGGTTGTGAAACAGGGTCCACCATCACTGCGTTACGTTACATCAAGAGTAAATACCGGCATATCAGCGAAGATAATATCTAGTCTCTCAGCTGCAATGAATGGAAATTGATACAAAACTTGGGTCACGTCATTTCAGACCCTAATTGGCTAGAAAGGTGCCTTAATGATGGATACAGCGATCGATCTATCGCGTCTTGGCTCGCTCCAAGTTATCTGCGGGTTCCACTGTACATCTCGATCAAGCTTTGACAGAGTCTACCTTATGCCGGCAGAGAGAAAGTTAGACTAACGCTCGGATAACGGGATATCCGTCGCTCTATTGACCACTTTTCAGCTTGACATGGGAGTCAGTCTGGGGTCAAAAGTGGCTGAACTTCCGATCAATTGGAGCTATATCTATTGATAAGCAGTCTGAAACCAACTCTATTACCCATGTTCACCTCGTATCTGAGATTAAAAAGAACACCAGAACAGGTTGTAACGCCGAGACTATTAACTGGTTAGAGGTTGAAGCCTATGATACCTCAGCAAGATAGACTAAGTTCTCTGTGCTGATATAAGCTCTCAGCCACAAGTCTCAGCTGCAAATAACACATCCATCAGCAAGACAGATACTACCAGAAAACCATAATGGCTTGGAAGATGATACTGGCTTATTAAAACATATAGTAACGAGTCTGTTATTTGATGTTACTTGGAACACCCACCGGAAGAATGCATTAGTTTTAAGTCTTGTTCGGTCGCTCACAAGTCTACCACAAACCTTCAAAACTTCAAATGAAAAATCGGGGGCGCTGCAGACTCAAGCACAACGTGTCTCAGCCCAGGCCGACTTGTTCGCTGGAAGCAGACCAAGTAATTGTTATGTCAGTCCCATACTTATCTATGTATTCTGGCCATGCTATGAAAAGCCGGGAGGGAATTATAAGAAGTGCAGAGTAAAAAGCATATTAGGCTCAAATTTACAGCCTCGTGCCTTCTCGGTAAGCGGCCAATATTTGTGAACTGTTGACATTTGAAGTAGCCATCTGTCTGAAAGCATAGTGTGATAGAAAATCATGTCGCCGAAGCTGAGAACCTGACTCAAAGTGGATTGAACCTCTCAGATCATATTGAGAAGTGGGATGCGGTAGGAGGCAGATAGAGTGTCTTTTTTTGACATCGTAGCACTAAACTAAAATACTGGAGTGCGTGACATTTGCTGTGACCGAGAGTGAGATAAAGCTAGGGCGGTTATAGCTCTATTCACGGGGCATTGAACTCAGGAAGGTAAACCAGTCTTCCTGGATTCCTTTTCTGAAGGCCATTTTCATCCATTTAAGAACACAGGAGTATACTCCTGTATTGTCTTGAGGTCTGGAAAATGCACGAGTACGAGGTAAAAATTCACAACGGAACCCTACAGCTACACCAAGCAACCACGAAGCTGATAACATAAACATAGATTTAGTTGATAGAATATTAATTATAAAGAGATTTTCCTGTACATCTATTGGTCTTATTGCGACTTGAGCTTACGAGCTTGAGGGTATAGATAGGACCTTTCTTATCTTAGCAAAATAATTGGCCCTTTGCAAGAAATATCGATAGATAGTGAGATTCCGATAACATGCGGAGCACTTCAGACGTTATAAAACCCCGTTTTTCCGTCAAGGAAGAACGTATCAACTAAGTCATCGTTTGCAAGCAAGGGCCGTCTGTTTGGAGATGGAATTTAGAGTGGGTTCGGATCGAACGTGCCGAACGAGATTCGGGAGGGATGACAGGAGATCAGGGAGAAGCTGGAGGTTCTGAGAAATCTCCCATTAGTCCTTGCTTTAACCTACCTATAGTTATCTTAGGTAAGGATCGTTATTAAGAACATAATCATCTTGAACTCGTGGTCGAGGTCAGAAGATTGAGGAAAAGGGTTGCTTAGTTATATTGGTTAGTATAAATCCTACTTCCGCCACACTCAAGGGCATGGAAGGCTAAGTTATGAAGAGCCTCATACCTGACGAGACAGAGACGCGATAACACAATGATTAGTTACTTTATACGCCGGTCAACTCCAAGCTCTGGTGCACTATCAACATATCCCGGAGTGAAGTCCTCGCCTGGAATGTGAAATTGCGCTTGGTGGCTGGATGGGGCCGGTGCATCCGTCAAGTGGCTATTTTTAGTACACCTTCAGGGGTTGGCTAGGCACATGTGCTGTTATTGAAGTGTAAAACCCAAACAATGACGGATGACTACTGGCCTTGTGGAATGCGAACAATTGCTGAATGTTCTGAGACAAGGTCTTAACGGCACAAGAGCCGCTTTGCACCAAGAATACCAAATGTAGTATTTAAACATATTTTGTTAGACTTTCGCATCAAGTCAATGATGCACCGTATGGAGAAGGAAACTTCTGGATACAACATTGAATCTCCCAGTATATAAGGTCTAAGTTGGCCCAGTAGACAGACTCATGCTATGATGGCGAGCTTCGATCGCTTTGTCGAACCAAGCTCACAACAGCAGACATAGTTATTCACGGACGATTGACAAGATACAAGGGTGATATAGGTCAATTAAGTACCAAGCTCAACTCACAGAGATGAGAAGGTAAGGCTCGCTTCAATCGATGCTAATCTAGGAATGCAAATACAGTGATCCAAACCCCACAAGAGACTATGAACAGTCGAAGTGTACAGTAGGGAATGTGCGTTTAGATAGCCATGGCAACGGCAATACCAGCAATGCCAGCCATTCCGAGGATATCAGCACCCATGGTAGGAGCAGCAGCGCCCTTGGACTTGGAGGTGGAGTGAGAAGACGTGGCGCTGGCCTTGGCGGTGTCGGTCTTGGTGGTGGTAGAGTGATGCTCAGTCCTGTTCTTGTTAGTGAGATTCACACTGGTGAGATGAGGGGTTCATACTTGGTGCTGGTCTCAGTGGTGCTGGAAGCAGCCATGGCGCAGGTGGCCAGAGCAGCAGCGAGGAGGAAGTTCAGCTTCATGTTGAAGGATTAAGGTATTAACTCAAAGTTTGAAAGATTGTAGTGAGTAAAGAGTGAATGAGATGTGATGGTTGATGCAGTTTAAGCTTTCAGAATGAGGCTGCCATCTCAGACCTTTTGTACTCGAAGTGTCCATGGTGTTTACTGTTGCTGGCTTGTAATTGAGTTATACAATGTTCATTATTGGCTAATGCGTAAACCGGCATTTCGGTGCCGCAGTCAGCCAGGCTAGTACTAATTAGCTCGCCTACAAGCCTCAACGCGGGCCGAAGGAGGGAGGATCCAATAGCTGTGGCGCGCAAAAAGGCAACAGTCTTTTCTGGCGCAGGAAAAAAATACGAGACCTCCAACCGTTGCGTTAAGCGTCAGTCATGCCATAATATTAGAGGATGACGCGGCGTACAGCGACGGAGTCTGGAGAGAAGGGCTGACTGCGCCCCCGCCGTCATCCGCGGATCACCGTTGGTTCGTTGGTAATGCCGTATTATCCAGGCAAGTTCAGAGTTGAATCAGTTTAGGGAAATTGCCGAGGTCTAGAACACACTAACAATGGCTCAGATCCAATTGTTCGATCGTGTGCAACGACTTATTGGTGCTGACGTTTGGATGTTTCGGCAATTTGGTACCGAGTGATCGCCCCTATGAACGACGTGGCTTGCTTGATTGGGTTGCTTTGACATTGCCCCGGAAAACTTCTGATCTACTAATTTAGTCCATCCCTGGTGATATGCAGGAACATGATGTCACAGCAGTGTGCTAAGAGGAGAGTTGGATAGCTTCAGGGTAGTAAGCTCCATGGGCCACGAGTAAAAGGTTCGAGATACTGCTTCATGGTTAGATCTGTACGGATACTCAATATTCAAGCTTAATGTGAACCAACGGGTATGCGAGGCACAATCATCTACTCAAAACAATATTCCGAGACCATGGGATCTATGCTTAATGCTATAATCGGAACCGTTGAGAGACAAAATGCAAATTAGTCAACGAAGGTCCGTTTTGGATGTGAATCTCCGTAAAAGACCGGTCCAGAGTTTATGCCCAGACTCTCAATCCTGACTGGAGAAGAATCAGCGAAGACGCGACATCTTTCGGTATCCTGTCTCTTTCTAAACGCAGCAAGCGTATCATGAAGTTGGAAATCTTGTCGTGGATTCAGTACCATGACAAAAGGTCTTCGAGAGCTTACGTATGCCATGAGATGTGTCGTGATGCTTTTCATCCTGCCTTGGACGCTTTGCCCTCTAGTCTCCCTTCTCCGCGGGCCCCATTCGGTGTACACGCGTCACATACTGCATTGTGATCTGGGAGCTTGGTGAGCGCATGGCAGAGTCATTACCTGACGCAATAAGAAGGTCGTGAAGTTGAGGCTTGACTGATGGAGAGAATGGGCATGTATGGTCGCTGCCGTATTGTTTACGAGCTTAGCTTGGGCTTAGCCAACCAAAATGGAGTCTGCGTAACTCGACCTGGTACTTTAGAAACCCCCCCAGCCAGCTCCTACGCTATTACACTAGCCATCATACCCCTGTCTCGTACTTAAGCTGAGCCGTTGGATAGTGTCCCAGCGAATCTCAGCCTATGCTGGATATGCTGTCTGAGTGACAGATCCCAAGCGAATCGGAGCTTCTGTGCTGTCACTGTCCATGTCATGTCCTCGACCCAACACTTCCTGCGACGTTTGTCCACTATGATAAGCACCTTGATCTCGGAACAGGCCAAGCTCTCGAGGACATGTTCTCGAATACTCTAAAGAACAACACATGCGTCAGCCAATGTTCCTAGACGATCCCCTTATAGGCTTAGCGGCGACTCACCGTGATACGTGCGCAATGCCTGGAGAAATGGAAGCACCAGTATCAGGAGGCACAGCAGCTGACTAACTCCTTCAATGTCGCTCTCTGATTCCATCCCCTCCCACGCACTAAGTACATAAATTCTCTCTGCCTGAATCCACCAAACCCCGAGACCAAACCACAACACTCCATCAAAGAGAAGAACGCCCAATGCTTCTGAGTTAAATACATAATACAAGGGCATAAGTATCAACCGCCACCAGCGTCGTTTCTGTCCATTATTTGGTGCTCCCAAGACTCTATCATCGGAACGGAAAATCTTGATCCTGTTCATCCACCATATCGAGACTGCGGGCCACAGCGACAAACACTGGATGGTATACCCTTGGATGAGCAGGACATAGCTCGCGATCATCCAAGAGAGAGGACTTCCTGACTTTCTCATGCTGATCGCACAACTCGCTTTCCGTTCGTCGTAATTATCCCATCCTCCAGCCCCGGTAATGAAGGTGCAGTATAATAACAACGCCGCTAGAATAAGCATAGCGAAAATTCGACATAGCATGTCTGTCCCCAAGCGAGAATGTAACTGAGCCTTTTTGAGAAAAGACCTGTCTTCTGTTTGGTGAACAGGCTTGTTGCTCAATCCTCCATTCGTTTCAACGCGTATGGCGTAAAGCGTCAGTATATGTACACCACTTGTGAGCCATGCAAGGTTAGTCGCCGTCATAAAATGATAGACCGATATCTCTTCTCTGCGTAACTGGATGATGGCAGTGCACAATATCGCCATGCCAGTGACGAGTTGTGTATCAGCGAGGGTTATCACAAACGAGTAGAGACCGCGTTTCAGCTGGTTAATATGCGCTCTGATCCACCTTGATGTGACAAGAAGCTTAACAAAGGGATCAGAGACATTTCTTCGCACCCAATCATCAATTGGATTGACGGATTCTACGAAGCCAAGTCGAGGTGGTGGTCTCACATTTCCAGCCTCAATGATATTCAACCCAGATCTGGCAATGGCAAGATACAAGCTTATACTGAGAATAGCCAAGCATGAGGCAGTAATAAAAGCGGTGACGACCTAGTATCGTCAGTCTTGATTAATTTCTCGCGTCCCCGGCACTTACACCAATCCCCGCAATGTCTGGATCGGGATCATATTCAGTCGCGCATTTCTCCCAAGACGAGTTCATTGTAACAAACAAACACGAATGTAAAATGGCTGAATAGGAGGAAGAGAAAGGAGAAAAAAGAATGATGCCTTATGTTTAGGGGCAAGATGGTTTCTCGTATAGTTTGTCTCCTTACGATGAATAAGCCTCAATACGTACGTCACCCCAAACGCGCTAAGCCAGCCACAATCGTGGTCTGGTAAGGATTCGCATCCTTCTACACGAGACAGCAAAATTAGTTCCAAGTGTTGAATAGTAGATAGACAACAAGTCATTCGAGTTCAAGTCTTGCAAGAATATGAAGTCAAGATATTGATCATACAGCAGTGGATATGCATATGCACTACTTATAGCCAAACATCAATGGCAGTGTCTTGGGAAGCATAAAGCTGTCACAAGGCTGGGACTCGTAAGCTGCTAATCAGTCAACACCAACGCTACTCCTAGCCAGCCTATAGGGCCGAAAGCGGCTGAAGATAGAACAACCCTATTCGGTTGCCTAAAGTTTATTGTTGCGAGTTACGATAAGCCACCTCATGCCTCACAGTTTGTCTTCTCACGTCAGTCAGTATGTAAACTTGTAGAAAAGAAGCAACCTGAATTTTAATGAGCCTGGCGAACTAATTCTCCAATCTCAAGGTAGATGATATTTCCACCAGAAGAAAAATAATAACCCTATCAATAGCTACGATAACCCCCAGAGTCCAAGATAAAGCTTGTCCTAGTTCCCAGCCGCCTTGGTTGTAGTGACAAAAGCCGAAGACGCAATCTCTGTCGCAGGATCCTCCTCAGAGACCATGCGCCAGTTGCACGGAATCTCCCTCCAGGTCGTCTTGTAGCATGTAGCAGCACAGCCATAAGCGCTCTCTGAGTCCTGAATCATGCAGCGCTTTCCCTGGCCAGAGAACCTGAAATGCGCACGTCTGTTGTCCCAGTCCACGCAGAACTCAACCATCGCAGGAACTGAAGTACCCCTGCAGCCCTTGTCGGCATCGACCCTATAGGTGCCGTAGTCGGTGTAGAACCATGCATCGTTACTCCTGCATGAAAAGCCGGCGCAGGTGGTAAAAACCTCCATGCGGTCTGCAGATGCGGTTAGGGCCAGTGAGGCAAGGATGGCGGTGATGTCGAAACGCATGTTGATGATGAGCTTTGGAGATAGATAAAGAAGGGCAGGAGGATGATCTGTAATTTGCGAATCAGAGTTGAGTTGGTAGAGAGTTGAAGGATTGCGAGACTTAACGTGATCTTTCAGACGACTGAGGAGAGATAGCAGTGGAAGTTGAGATGAGGGAGATGTTACTGGAATGGATCATTTGAGCTCAAGGCGAGATGTTGATCAGTACTTATACTTGAAGAACTCCATAGGTTTAACTTTTCCCTTATTCACAAGATTGAATACCAAATATTGGCCCCATAGTAAGCACGCCCAGAGAAACTCATTTTAAGAAGAGTATACAGCGGTGTCACCGACAGTGGTCTGCATAGACCAGTCACGGCCGAGACTTGGCATGATGCTGTTGCCGTTACGAGTTTCTATACTACTATAAGATAACAATATTCTTGGCTCCGTAGCATTGAAGGATTAAACGAATGCCGTAAGGTTACATCGAGAGCCTGTATCCTTCCCGAAAATGAAGTGTAGAGTAAGCTCAAAAACTACCTACCGAAAACAGAATGCGGCCCGAGAACACTAAATCTACTTCTGGTGATATGCTTAACCAGATTTGTATTCATTCTTCGACTTATACGTTCCAGATGAGACCCTGCATCACGAGGCTAAACCTTTGCCGCCTTTAGTGTTTACGCCAAGACCATTGAGCCCCTGTCACGTATATGTGGACTAATCCAGCCTTATCCGGAAGTCTGACAGGTCCAGGGTTCAAAGGCATGCTCTTTTCTTATTGGTTGCATCGCTGTGCTGGCATAAGGGTCGAGTTATTGAAAAGCTGTTGAGATTTTCCCGCCTATATGAAGCTTTAGGCTAATCTGCCAACGTAAACATTAAAGAAGAAAAAAAAAGATTGTTTATGCGCCTTTGATTGGTATTCAGGAGGCAGTCTCGGTGAAAAGCTGCTTGTCATTCACAGCTGCATTCGTTGTACCAGCAATTATGCAATGGGAGCCTTGTCGCGTAACAGCGTCCCGTTCAGAAGTCTTGTTCTGTCCTGTGCAACCCCAGCAGCTATTTACTGTTGTGTCGCCTGGGAGCTAGAATAAAAGAACAATAGAAAGTAATTTGAATTACCAGAACGAGAACGATACGTACTAGGGACTGATGTCTTTACTCAATATGGACGGTGACCGGAACCTGAACATAGAATACAATAATAGAAGCAAGCCGTATAAAAATATTAATTGGAGTAAGTAGGGAATCTATTTAAAGGTTATAAGATGATATTCTTACTTGTTTTAACCTTTGTTGTCCTTGCACTCTGAATTTCACCATGTTTTCCACTTTCAAAACTAGTCACTCAACTGAGGAGACTTCTCTTATCAAGAATCACGGTGTCACCGATGCACTCTCTATCATGAATCTCGGATATTCACCAACACCCATCTGGCAAAAGTTGGAGACCAGGGCCTCACCGCTATGAACCCCGGCGTTCGTAAAATCGCCTCTGGTTTAAAAGACCCTATTGGACCCACGTCATCATCTGAGTACCGTATCCTGGCCTTCTGGTCTAACTGTCTTGGAGGTGCAAAGGTACCATTTCTCGCAGAACATGCGCATACCATTTATGAGGCACGAGGAAAGACTTGCCCCTCCTCCAAGCACGACCTGGAGTTTATTCGTTAGACTGTTGGTGCTATGAAGCGTGAGGTCGCTACTACAGACACAATGTCGGCTGAGGTCCTTGCAGAGCACGGAGAAATCCTCGATTTGGTGTATGAGATGCTTAACAAGGCAGGCATGGAACGCCCCTTGACTTGACGCGAGAAGCCCAAGGGAGAGTACACATCTGGGGAGGAAAGGATGATGGCTCGTGCGGATGTGCCTAATCCCTCTTTATCAAGGATTAGGACATAGATAAAATCACGAACCCAAAGCTGATCAGCACGTTGGCTGGAATGGACATGGCTACCTCTCGCATCAAAGTGTATAGAGAAAGACTAAGTGGTGAGAAATCTCGTATTGACAATGACGCCAAGACACTATGCCACAAGAAGGAATTCGCTGAGAAGAGGCTCAATACACTGAACGAGAAGCGTAAGTATCTGAAGAGCTAGAAGCAGTAGATGAAAAGGCTGAGGCACTGGGGAGTACGGGAAAAATGAAGCGACCTTTTTGCCGGGTAAGTCGATCTTCTCAGCGGGACTGAGAGAAATGACTCGTTATTTGGAACGTCTTGATAAGTCTTGAACGAGGGTTGGTTGGCATTGATATAGTACAGCAAGTCTTTGAGGGCTATGGGTTTGTCATAAAGCTTAGGTAGATAAATAAAGTCTTATAAATGCTGATCCCTCGTTCAGCAAATGGGGACCAGACATCTTGAATATATGGGCTTATGGTATGCTCACTGGATGAGTTCGTTCTGATTGCTTGTGTAATGCTTGGTGAAGTCGTATTCGATGCTGGACACTTTCTATGTGGAGATCAGTCTCATATCTCTCAAACACCCTCTGATACACAACAAGAAGACATACCAGGAGAAACGCCTTCATGTCATCTTCATCTTTCTGAAGATCCTTCAAGATACCAAAGAACTTATCTGTTTCCAGCACAGTATGAGGATCAGATGTTGCCACGCGATTGAGATTCTTGATCGATCTTGGATCCACGTATTTGACAAAGATATCCCGTCTCACTTCTGCATACTTGTCGAGGATGTCTTCGTCTGCTAGACCGTGGTAGTATCCGATGAAGCAATCCGCTAGACCACCGACGTCCAAGACGGCAGTCATGCAGCCATATCCTCCCATAGGGTTGCAGACATGCGCTGCATCGCCCGCTAGCATGACACGACCGACCTTGAAGCTCTCAACACAACGATTGTGTATGTTGTACAAATTTGTCTGTTCAATTCGATACTGTTCAGTGTCGGGATGTCCTGGCAGCATTGCTTTCATGTGTGCTGGTCGGCGGGCCAGGTACTCTTCGTCTGTCAAGCCTATGACTGGATCCCCGTAGGTGACGCGCCATAGACCACCTTTTCCTCGGCGGGCGATGAGGCCCCAGTGGTCATTGTCTACCATGTAATTTCCGCCATCCCAATTATGTTTCTGGAAGCCGTCGTAGTAGACCTATTGTTCATCAGTACCGGAACATCACTGTCAGTGTGAAAAACGAACGTTCTGAACGACAAATCGGTATGGCAGTGTCTGGCCAGGCCAATCTCTTCCAAACAATGAGCGTCGTACAGCACTAGATGCTCCGTCGCACCCAACGACGTAGTCAGCAGTGAGTCTCGCTTTCTCAACCCCCCCTTCACCTATGATGTTGACATCAACATAGGCCGACTTGTCATCCTGACCGACATTTGTAACCTCATGCTTGAACTTGACGTCAATCAATCCCTCTCCCCTCTCAAGGCAATGCCGATATAGGATCTGTATGATCTCTCCAAGGGGCAAGATCGTCATGCGATCAGGATCATCCTCAACAAGCGAGAGATCAAGACTTATCAGCTTCTGGTGATCAGAAACGCGTCTCCAGCAAATGCTAGGGAACTTTGCAATACTGGCTTTACGAATATCATCCAGTATGCCTGCGCGACGGAAGACCCGGGTTGCGGGTACTCCGTACTGAGTTGCTCGTAGACGTGTGTCAAGATGCGGCCATGCCTCCAGGACTACCGAGGGAATGTTTTTCTGGGCAAGAAGAAGAGCCAGTAACAGCCCCGAGGGGCCTGCACCGACGATAATGATCTGTCTGATGTCAGCAAAGGTTTCGAAGGACACGTAGGTAATACTCTGCCTTATCGAACGCGTGACCTGATGAAGATGAATCCATGATATAAGATGACTTGAATTCGAAGTCCTCGAGGCTACAGTGAATCTTAGTTATGCTATCAACTTCGGTATGTGATAGTACTCGCAGTAAGTCAAGAAAGCGATCAAGATGTTATATATGTCGTCAAAGGCCCTAAGCTCCGCACCAACCTTGTTGGCGATCCCCGCCCCCAGCGCGGGGTTACAGTACCAGATCTCACATCATCGGCATCTGTAACCGGTAATAACAAGGGAACAGCCCGCTAACTTGAAATGGATAAGACTTGGCCATTATCACAAGATTCCACCCTGAAAATTGCTCAGGATAGTATGCGTCAGGTTCTTAATTAATATTAACTCTATACAAAGCCAATTTTGACTTTCGACGGCAATTGCCACGAACAGAATGAAACATGCTTCTAGGTACTCCTCCCAGCCTCAATTTAGATCTCTGAACCAAAAGGCAGGTAAGCGGGTGCTAAAATGCCATCGCAAGAGTTGCGCACAATGTATGGGCTGGCAACAACATCATTGCCGACGAGAACCTGTCCATTGGGAGCTGTGACTGTAAAAGTGAAGCCACCGCCATACTGCGCCTGACCATAGACGAACCGAATGGGAACGTATACACCAGCGGGGAGATCGATCTCAAAGTGTGCACTACCGGCGATGTGATCCGGCTGGTTGTACAGAGCCTTGGCATCAGCATTACCAGCGCTCCAACTAGCGTACGCCTTTGCGCCAAGCCACAGGTACAATGCGTCGTTGGAGTAGGGAATGTCAAACTTGTAGGTACCAGCGTCGCAAGTGTAGAGATAACCGTGGTGGTTCAGGGCGAAGTAGTCCAGAGGGAGGTCTTGTGTGGAGCCGTAGATGGCACCTGTTTGGGCACCACCGTTGGGCTGAAACAGGCCACCGATCTGGCGGGTCGTGCCGGAGTATAAGGGATTGACCTGCTTGAAGGATTGGGGGACGAAGCTGGAGTAGGTCGTGTCGGTGTTTTGAGCAGGGTTGCTGTAGTACGCCCAGTCAAAGCCGAGGTTGTTGCAAGCGGAGGGGGTAGGGCATTGCGCTGCACCGGTTGTTGTTGTTGTTGCTTCCTCGGTGGTTGTGGTTGGGGCCTCCGAGGTGGTATCAGCAGCGGTAGTCGTCGTTGCGATCTCAGTAGTAGAGTCTTCAGTTGTCTGAGAGCTCAGCTCAGTTGTAGAAGTGGCATCGGATGCAGAGATGGTGGTGGTCAGATCAATCGACGTAGACAGTTCGGTTGTTGCGGAGGTGACCTGAGTAGCTTGAGAAGTGACTGGCTTGCAGGGTCCGGCAGAAACACCGACGCTGAGACAAGCCAGCACGCTAAGGAGTGTCCTTGAATTCATCATGACGTTGACGCGTTGAATAAAACTTTAACGAGAGACTTAAAACCCGTAAATGAGTGGGTGGGTGAGACAATGATTGAACTCCAAAGGTAACGTTGGGTCATGGGGGGAGCGTTGATAAATACCATCCCCTAGGATTAATTCTGCAGAGGCTGACTATGACAGCTGGCTGGCTAGACCTATTCCAACGCAGTTACTAACTCGTTTGGTGTCCTAATTTTACTGACGCTGCTGCGATTGGTGAGCCCCTGCATCAAAATCGATAGCTTGGCCGCTAACGGGATTTTCATGGACGCTATTGAAATAGAGCCCCGGAGCGGCTGAACGAACAAGGATAAAGAGATCACGATGGGCGGCCAGCTTGGAAATATTTATTTGCTCTTAAAAAAGGATGACGAGGGGTGATAATTATCTTTTAGCTTAAGTAAAAGCAGTTCCTTTTAGTAGGCAGGGGATCTAAAACTTAGTAGTATTTATTCTTAAAAGATAATATCCTAAGCCTAAGATGAAATACTTCTAATTATTACCTAGTATATTCTTAAACTTATATTTAATATATAAAATATAAAACTTAAGATAATTAGAAATATAAAGTTTTAAATTTATACTTTTAAATAAATAAAATTATTTACTTTATTTATTTTACAGCAATGGCACCGACAGTATATCTAAGCGTTCCACGACCAAGAACGTCACAATGGCATAGCTGGAAGAAGTAAGTCAGAGAAGTTTATATTAGATTAACCTGTTCAATGCTTGGAACATCTCTAACCTCTCCGCAAGATGACCACTGCTCTAGTCTACTTGTTGAGGCAGAGTCGACATGAAGTCAAAGCGAGGAGAATGGAATCCTCTTATGTATCGAATACGCAAAAGCCCACTGGTCTGCAAACCTCAGCTACTTGATTAGAGTTGAGAACTAGGTATCGCTTTGGGAAATCGATGGAAATCGATATCGTCACATTAAAATGTGGGCGGGTCAGATCTGCCCTCCCTCTTAGCTGAGTCATCCTGGTCGGTCTTCTGTCCATGTCGGCTTCCGACCCAGTCCGAGATTTCTAAGCCGACTGACATTTCAACTCATCATGACTTATCGATGTTCCCACTCTTGGCCACGGCATAGCCATCCGCGGCGGTTTGAGTCTCTTGTCTCGGCAATTGATGAAATCCCGAACTAAGCAAGGAACACTAAAAGATTACAAACCCTGTTCTATCTCTCACCTACCGATGAATATATATAGCAGGTATAGCTTCCAGTCTATCGTGGACCTGTCCTGCAATCCTCACTCTCGTACATCAGCGATCTGTCTTCTGACAATTTGCACACATCTTTACGCACCCAGCACAACAGCTCTCTCTCAAAAACCATTCAATAACCATGTCTAAGATCCTAACTGTTTTTGGCGCCACGGGAAACCAGGGCGGTTCCATCATCCGGGCTGTCCTCGCCGATGCAGTGCTATCCAAGGATTATAAGATCCGAGGTATTACTCGCGATGCATCTAAGCCTGCGGCAAAGGCCTTGGTGGAAAAGGGTGTCGAAGTCATTTCTGTATGCTCATGTCCCATATGAGACATCCCATGCCAAATCTGACACTATTCATCAGGCCGATATGAACTCGAAGGCGTCACTCGCCGATGCCCTGAAAGGCTCCCACACCGTCTTTCTTGTCACGACGCCAGATTTCATGTCTGGCGGTGGGACGCAGGAGCAAACTCACGGCAAGAATGTTGCAGACGTCTCATCTGATGTTGGAGTAAAGTATCTGATCTACTCTTCTCTTCTTCACGTTACTGAGGCCACCAACGGACGCCTCAGCCATGTGGTTCACTTCGATGATAAGGCGGAGGTGGAACGCTATATCCGCTCCAAGTCTATTCCGAGTACATTCGTGCTTCCTGGATATTTCATGAGCAACTTCACCGCGTTGCAGATGATCAAGAAGGGCGAAGATGGTGTTTACTCGCTCGCCTATCCCGTTGGTGACAAGGCCAAATTTCCACTTGTCGATACTGAGTCCGACATTGGTAAGTCACAGGACCCTGTCTACCGCTCCAGCAGACTCAAACTAATCCTCTGGACGAAAGGGAAATTTGTCGTCGCGGCCATCCGTAATCAACCCAAGGTCTTGGGTAAGCAGATCCTTGCCGCAGCTGACTACTATACCCCTACGCACATCGTCTCCGAATTCGAGGAAGTGACGGGCAAGACGGCGCGTTTCATCCCTATCGACGCAGCTACATATAAGAGCTTCCTCCCCGAACCGTTGGCCGATGAGATGCTTGAGAATCACTTGTTTATCGAGGAGCCAGGCTACTACGCTGGACGAGATCTGAGAGAGAGTTTGGACTTGCTCGAAAGTGTTGGACTGAAGCCTACCAGCTGGAAGGATTTCTTGACCGCCAACAAGGACGCGTTTCAGTAAGGCAGGCTTGTAAATCTCTGTGACTATATGATGGATAAAGGAGATCCCTTTTCACCACGAGCAATGGCAAGGGCAAAGGATGATGGTGCAGTCATCATCTCCGATATGACCTTTAGATTCGAGTTTATAAGCATATAACACTGGAGTTCCGTTGTCCGAAGGACAGTTGTGTGTTGCAATGATCGCCATTGACGTGTATAACGATCACTCTAGCCATTGTGAGATGTCTTGACGACCTACCTGATTGGAAATTGGCCGCTACAGTACCAGGCGGCAAGGTAACAACAGCCTGCAATGCAGAGGAAAGGCGGCAATATGGAGATCTGCTACAATGACACAAATCGCTATAGTCTATCTTCTATTACCAGGCTGAATAGCGTTTGGACTATTGGTTTGATCCAAGCGCAAGATAATTGTCCCCATGGGGACTTCGCTTATATATTAACTCCTACCTATATTACAACTTTGAACTCCTGCAGCCTATTTCTGGCTCTCTGTGGAATTCCAATCTCTCCAGACCTAGCAGATGGCTTGACTTGTCCCGTAAGGTAACCATCCCAGCCATATAGGTGGCTGTCAAAACACGTTGGCCGAATCCTTGCTTTACTGCGCCATCAACTCAGACCATCTCTCTCAGCGAGTTTCAGCTCCAGCTGCTCACTCAAAGAAAGTGCAATAGGTGAAGTTTTACCAGCTTGCCGTAAAGATCGCTGCAGGAATTTAGCACTGGCGACTTTCGATGCTTCGTCTTGGCCAATATCCGAATTAGATAACAAGACCAAGGCGACTGTATGTGCAGCGTAGCTCTGTATGGGATTTTGCAAGGCCGTGTTAATATCCTCCATCGATTTGAACATGTTGACAATGTGCAGGACTGCAATCCCCACGTGCTTGCAGCTTGGATTGGCGATATATGATGAGTTACGTCTATTGCCGCCTTGGGCGCTCTGCATCGTTGGTTTGTAAAGAGAAAGTATGGTCATTTGTATCAAGACATGTATGAAAACAGACTGCTGACATTTGAGGCCGTGTGGTAGCCTGAAGCTTTCAGGTATAGCAGATTGTAAGGATATTAGCTCGTTCTCAATAGCTTTATGGATGCCCCAGTAAGCTTCATCGTTTGTATTGTCGCCATCTTCTGTTTTCCTTGAGTCGGAAAGATAGACGGCACGATGGAAAAGAGATGCTGCTAGTACTCTCAGAGCCAGGAGCGAGCATGCACGATCTGGGCTATGCAGCACGCGTTGCAGCGTACTTGTTTCCTCTGGACATCCACTCTGAAACGCTTGATCAGAAGCTGGGAGAGAAGCATGTGCCTGTCCAAATAATATGTCAGAGAGCCGAAAGCTAGCTTGATTAAACGCACCAGCTTACCTGCGTACTATCAATGATTGAAGGCAGGCCCGAAGTTGCAAAGAGAAGCCGATCCGAAACATATAAGCACCACCAAGTCCTGCGACACTCCTCCAGTACAATCCAGTCGCGCGATGAGCCGAAACCGCGAGGAGGGAGGGTCTCCGTCTCGTCATTCCTTCGTCCGCGATGCAGATTTAGCATTTGGGCCATGCGGATGCTCCGAGCCAGGCTGACGGCTGCCCGTGAGAAAAGACCTTTGCGCGCCTCGAAGTTTGCAATCAAGAGCCAAGCCTGGACATGAGCTAGGTCAAAGGAACGCTGACCTTCATCCTACGTTGAGCATCAGTTCAGATAAAACTTGGACACGAGCTTGGAATTCAACCATACATCCATCTCATCAGCTTCCGCATATGCCCTGGCCTGCCGGTAGAGTGGCATGGCTAGAGGCTGGCAAGCTGACCCATGACTTGCCCCTGTTGCGCAAACCATGTACTGCAGGCACATGGGCGGCTGGTTTGCACTGGACGACTCGACACACGTTTCGTAGCGTGATCGATGAATCATGGGTGTTGCATGGTTCATTTTTTCGAAATACAATTTCATCCTGGCCGTCAGGAATTAGATGTCAACATGTGACTGGGGCCATGAGTTGACCCACATTTCGGGAGTCACTGGAGGATCACCAGCGATGCCGTCAGTAGCTGCAGCTTCATTCGACGTTAGAGCATCACCCCTAGTGGAATCGTCCTGTAGACTGCCAAGGTACCCAGGGCTTCTACCACCTGCTGCTAAGCAAGTCTCAGGTAGCGGCGGTAGCGATTCGTCTCCGGCATGTGGGCTTGTGTTTCGACCAGATGCATGGCCAGCCTGTGAGTGAGATCTATCGACTCGAGCTTCCAACAGCGCTGTTCATACATAGTTTGTCAGCCACACAAAGATCAGATGCTCTCTTCCCTGCCCAGAACGGCAGAATGCTTACTTAATTTGGCTTCGAGATCGCGAACCTGTTTGCGTTTGCCTGTCGCTGTTTTCCTCTTGTCCGGGTAGCTGCAATTGTAGCCTTGCCTAGAACATCGGGAGCATTTGGGTAGGGCGCGATCACAACTTTGCTTCTTGTCCTTGCACGTAAGACAAGAGAAACGTGGCGTCATATTGACAGGTACTGCCTCGATTTGAAGAATGAGGAATACGAAGCTGATAAAGTCTTGATAAGATTGAATCAGACAGCTCGCAAAGGCCAGCTTGTGGATTTTGTCATCGCCCAGGCACGTGAGTGGCATAATCGAGCCTTGTTGGCTCCACAGCAAGCTAAGGTAAGCCAGGCACTTTAGGTCTTACGTCGCACCTCGAAAGTTTCTGTGTTCGTGTTGGCGCAATGCACAAATATCGTCATACATGCGACCTATTCATTGACTCGATTATCCTACTGCATGAGAAACGTAAAGAGGATAACTAAGGGAATCATCATCGAGGCGGTACTAGAGAACATTCCCCTGACAATTAAAGACGAGGCTTGTAACCTCAAAGGACTATGAAAAAATGCTATAACTACTACACATGATAAGCGGATAAATGCTACACGTAGTGTGAGCAATGGTAGAAGAGAAATGGAGTCGCAGGGTGATTACACAGTCCAAGGTGAACCAAAAACAACACCGACTATGGGCGCTTCACATATACGCTTCCTTCCAACCAAGTGCCTAGCGTTTTAAGCTCAGGATGCATGCACCGCAATTCTTTGACATCAGCACCATACCCTTCTCTTTCAAAGAAGGCAAACATGGTGCCCATTTCCTTCGATAGCCACAGCGTCATCCTTGCCAGGATGCCAGCGGCCAAGGGCACCTCTGACCCAGTCTTCTCCTTGAATACCGCAGCCATCTGATCGTACGTCAACTCATCCCCTGCGAGCGAGATGCTCTTGCCAACGAATTTATTGGTATCGGTGAACGCTTTGGCTGCAAATGCTCCAATGTCGGCCGTCGCAATGAGTTGAAGAGGTCGAGATTTCACAACCAATTTCCAACACGAGGCAAAGATTTTGCCAACAAGACCGCCGTCAAAGTTCTCCATAAATGCGACGGGGCGGAGTATGGTCCAGCCCATGTCAGTCCCAGTAGTTCTGCGTAACAAATGGAGCTCGACGTTGTGCTTGCTTATGAAATGGGGAATGTCGGTGGGGTTCTCGATCGATTTGAGCCCGTTGCGGTCGACAGAGGAGTAGACGAAATGCTTAACCTTGTTCTTAAGAGCGGCATCTACAAGATCTTTGCCTTGCTTCTCTTCGATGATCGGTCCCGTTTTGTTTATCGCAGGGGCTTGTTCCAGCAATCAGTATGTCCATTTGTTTCGAGGTAGTCGAGATGTACTTACTTGAACGCTGAAAACACCCCATATAGGCGAAGTCGCGACCTTGCTGGCGTTCTTGAAGACGGCATCTGTGTCATCCAAGTTGCCTTCTAGAAGTGTGATCTTGGTGGATCTGGCTGCCAACTTCTTCGCCGAGGGTGATGAGACGTCTCGTGTAAGGGCGAGGATATTAAAATCGGCCTGGGCAGCAAGCAATGCAGCTATTACAGAACCGCCTTGTTTACCGGTAGCACCAGTGACGAGGAGAGTGCGCGACATTGCTAAAGGGACGTGTGAGATTAAGAGGAGGGAGTTTCGCAGCGAGAGGCTGTAATGAGGATCACGAATGGGTCGGTTCTGGCAGTCAGGTTGCTGGGTACGTGTGCCTTTATATAGACGGACAATGAAAGTCCATTTCAGTCACACAGCGGTCAGACCGAAGATTCTTCATCTAATGAATTGTTCGACTGGGTTTCGCTGATTGCATCGAGCAGGAAGAAGCGGGCATTGGAAATCAGTAGAAGCCGCATTCCATCTGTGTGGAGTCGGTTCTGTACGAGGGACGCGCCCAAGTCCGGAACATTTCTTTGTCATCTCTGCAAACATCGTCGGTGTTTGGTGGTGGATCTTTGTCAGGGTCGGTGTCCGATGGATGCCGACCCTTTAGCGCGAAGCTACGGACGTCCCAGGTGGGGACAACAGTGGAGGCAAATAGCATGGAGAGCCCCGAAGCACCTCAGTCCTTTCTGGTGATATAAGCTCTCAGCCACAAGTCTTAGTTGCAAATAACACAGCTGGCTTACAATGCTATTCAGTTTGGGTGAAACTGAGAAGCATAACTGGATATTTAAGAAGAAAACACGCTGGCACTTAACATTAAGGGACATCAAAAACATGCAGAGATCCGGGGAGGTATTCCCTACTGCCATTCCACGCGCATGTCAAGTCAGTAAAATATGCAATTACCATCTGGTCTCGGTCACGTTATACTTGTTGATGCGAATCGATGCGTAAATCCGAGATGGGTCATGGGGCAATCGGCCAAGTGGCGTTACCTAACCTACATCAAACTGCCGAGTCACTTAAACAACCCCCCTCGGGCCTTTCCAGTCTTGTCATTATAAGCTAGATGCTGTTGAAATTTGTGGGCTGTTCATGCGTATTCCTTTTCTTCCAGATTCTTCTTGCCGTCCTGCGCCCTCCCATCGAATGAATCATCCTCCATTTCCTGGGTAGGCATCCTGCGAGCCATCGAAACCACTTCGAAGACCGTGCTCGCTTCTACGAAGGTATTATTGAGCGCCTCAAGGTTGCGATTCATGGTCTCCGGATAGAAGAAGAAGACGACGATGGGTATCGAAGCTGATATGACGGCATACATGATATAATACCGGTAGCCAATGTTTTCGATGGCGACTGGCGTGACCATCGTGACAACGAAATTCCACAGCCAGTGGTTGGCCGTGGAGACCGAGTTCATAGCCACTCGCAACCTAACAGGCGCAACCTCACTACAGTATAGAAAGTTGGCTCCAAGGAATCCGATCGGATAGAATGAGTTGAAAAGAAAGATGAAAAAAGCTGAAGCGATCGAGGCCGAGCGTGACGAGGAGGGAAAACTGGTACAAATAGCCAAACAGGTCATACACATAGACATGCCAGCTCCACTAATCATAAAGACCGCACGGCGGCCCCATCTGTCGATTGCAATATAGCTGACGAAACAGCTGAGGAACTTCCAGGTCAGAGCACACGCTGCCAGAATCTTAGAAAGGCTTACGCCAAGGCTGAGGTTGTCTTGAAAAATAGTCGATGCGTAGGTTGAGATGAGATTTCCGCCGCACATTTGCTGCACAAACTGCAGAAATATACACAGAAAAAAGCGATAACCAAGTTTCTCTTTGTTCTTGGAGAAGATGCTCATCAGAGAGGTTCGCTCCTGTCGAGCATTCTCGAGTGACGATTCAATTTGCGCGATCTCGGTGCTGATGGCTTCGTCGATCTCGGAACGATTCTTAAGTGCCATCAATGTGGCGGTGGCCTTCTCTGCCTGGTTTACTTGGACCAGCCATCTTGGCGATTCGGGCATGAACATGATGACTCCTAGAATGAGACATGAAAGCGGCATAGACACAGCCAGTGGTAGCCGCCACTGCAAGGTTGACGTGGGTAGGTTGTAGAACCCGTAGTCGATCCAGTTGCACAAGGCATAGCCGAGACACATGAATATCCCAGCGGCCACCACGTCTCTTCCACGATGCGATGCAGGGGAGCATTCTGAAAGCCAAATCGGTACCACGACGCTAATTTCACCAATTCCTATTCCGAGTATAATACGGCCGACAACGAACTGAATCAAGTGATAAGCCGCTACCTGGAGAATCTGGCCAATTATCGTAAGAACGGCGGCCAGGAATATTGTTTTTCGTCGACCGAGCTGATCTCCGAGAAAGAGACAAGACAGAGAGCCTATCAAGGCGCCGATCTGGAAAGAAGCTATCACAGCTCCTTTGCTGGTTGAGTCGTGAGATTTGAGTGATCCGGTCGTGTTGACAGTGTCTACGTCGGGGAACATATGAACGAAGCTCTTTAGTGTCGCTAATGGGCCTACGCCGGCCTGATTGTAGCCAAATAAAATGAACGCTGGCGCAGCAATGAGGCCGATTTGAGCTTGGCGCAAGGCGCGGCCTCGAAGATTGAGGAAAGAATTGTAAGAAGTACCCATTTTGCCAGCAAAGAGAAGGAAAGAACAAGAGCAAATTGAGGGCTTGACTGGTTTCTCTCATTCTGGATTCATGGTTTGTTCATATACCAGTCCCGGGGAGCTAGTAGAACACGGGGGCCCATGGGTAACTTGGGGCAATACGGGTATCACGGCACGATTCTTGTTGTGAGCTTGATAGTATAAGATGACCATTACGTGAAAATATTCACCTATTGTTAATAATGAATAAATGTCATTTTCATCAAGACCGAGATGGTGATGATCCCGCAGTTAGTCTAGTCCGCGCAAAAGATCGCACGCACAAAGAAATGTCCGCAAGATCTGCAGCGAGTTAAGTCGGGAATACGGCACGCAAGCTTTGAAATAACGCCCCTATGGTTGGATCGAAGGTGCCGTGAAGAAATTCGGCCCTCTTGATGGCGCGGTTAATTCTGCGGGAGCTGTTGGCAAGTTTCATGGTCAGAAGCTAATGGCGCTGTTGGATGACAATGATTGGAACCTCGTTATGGGTATCAACGTCAATGGTTCATGACTTCCGAGCCTGTGCACTGATAGCTCTGGAATAGCTTTCCGCGTCGACGGTGGGGAGTTTCGTTAATCACGTCGAGCATATCACTGTTCCATGAGAATCTTGGCATGTGCTCAGCAGTAGCTGATATTTGAAATGCCTCTGGATTGCTTCAAAGTCGTAGTAGGCTAGAGACACGTCTCTAGTAAATCGCTAGATCGGCCACTAATAACATTTCACGGGAAGTCTCCATCTCAAAATATGGATTCCATTCCTATATTTCTAGTAATCTTCAGGTCTTGGTCTAGCCCGTTTTCCGATTGTTCAGTTAAATGCTGCCAGTAACCAATAGGGTAGGGCTGAATATTTACCGAGGCTGACTAGGCCCGTAAGCCATCGAATCAGCGGCTTCCATCGACTCCATGTCCATGTCTCTGGGTCCTGTATAGCGATCATCACCTCCCATCTCTAGTAAATGAACCGATGCACCTACAGCACCTAAAATACTGGGCCATGCAGGTCCGCGAATCAATCCGGCAACCAGCTCGTGGCCATCCCATCAAAATTTCAATCGTAGCGGTCAAACTCAATGGGCTTCATCATTCATCCTCTTCATCAATTGTCAATCATCTTGTGCAGTTCGTCATGCTGAGCAGCACAGCCCTCAGCTTGCTATTGCTGGCAGCCTGCCCTGCGATCGCGGCAAAGAAGACTGAGTCTGGCTGCGATGCACTCAAGCATGCCTTTCCCGACAACACCTTTTACCCCAAGGACACAGTCTACGTGTATGAGTCGCAAGATTTCTGGTCCAACAATGAGGTCCTAGAGCCAGCTTGCGTCTTCCGCCCTACCATCGCAAAGCATGTTGCTGAGGCAGTCAAATTGATGAGCACCGGTCGTACATCCTTTGGTCTGCGTGGAGGCGGACACATGGCCATTGCAGGCGCTAATAACATCGACGGAGGTCCGCTATTCGTCATGTCCAATTTGACAACTCTCGAATTGGCCAAAGACAAAAAGTCGGTTTGGGTTGGACCTGGCTTGGATTGGGGCCAGGTTTATCGCTATCTAGGCCAGCACAAGCTTGCAGTTGCGGGTGGTCGCCTTTCTCCAGTCGGTGTACCGGGTCTGCTTCTGGCTGGAGGCATCAATTTCCATGGCAACCAGCGTGGATGGGCTGCGGATAACGTACTCGAGTATGAGCTCGTGGTGTCCAGCGGCAAGATCATATCAGTCACTTCAAAGTCACATCCAGATCTCTTTTGGGCTCTGAAGGGCGGATCTAACAATTTCGGCATTGTCACCAAGTTCAAGCTCGCCACTTTCCCATCGGATCAGATTTACGCTGGTATCTACAGCGTCGCTGATATACCTGGGTTCTTGAAGGTACGAGACACCATAAAGAAATTACTTGATCAAGACTGACAGAACTGCAGGCAGTGGCAAATTTCTCTGCCTTCAATACGGACCCTCTTGCACACATTGTTCCTCAGGTGATTGCAGTTGATGAGGAGACAACTATTGGCGGCGCAATTCTCTTCTACGACAGCGATTCGAACCCGGAACCTGAGTGCTTCAGGCCATTCTTCGACCTTCCCGCTATTTCCAACACGTTCGAGAGGAAGACTCTTGCTCAATTCTCAGATGAGACTGGCCAACTTGTCACTCCCAAGATCAACGACCAGTTCATCGCCGGCACCACTACGGGTAAAACATACGAAGAGATACTCAAGGGCATACAGATTGTGAACGATGGTTTCCTCGACGCTCTTCCCGACTTATACAAGATCCTCCCCGCTAAGGACCGCGTGCTTATTTCTGTCGACTGGCAGCCTCTAGGATCTCTCTGGACAAAGGCTTCTAAGAAGTACAACCCCGGAGGTAATGCCCTGGGATTGGATGTCGAGAAGAAGGGCACGTACATTGCTTGGGCAGAGGTTGTTGAGTGGAGTGGCGATGAGCACAATGATGCTGTGTTCAAGTGGATCGAGGACACGACTTGGGCAATTGCTAATGCTACCCAGAAGGCTGGTATCTATGATCCTTTCACCTACATGGGAGACGCAGCCGGGTTCCAGAACATTTATAATGGCTATGGAAAGGAGAATAAGCAGAAGTTGCTTCAGATCTCTCGCAAGTATGATCCTTCTCGGACTTTTCAGAAATATTGGCCAGGCGGGTTTAAGATTGGATTGTAAACTAGATTTCTAGTCGTGTACCCATAGGGAATTGGTGCAGGAGGTTGGATACATATATGATGGGCAACAGTTAGAAGAAGGATGTCATCCCCAAACCACTTGAATAAAGTTTAAGAAAGTGTAACTCCTGATGTAACTATTCGATCGGTTGCAGGATGATCTGAGTTCTCCCATTAATCTCTGCATCAATGAACGCCTTGCCGGCCCCATTAGCTGCGACTGAACCTCCACTGCTGACAGAGTACTGCTGACCAGGAATCAAACTCTCAAACCCAAGTTGAAAGACTCCAGTCTCTTTTCCATTATAGACAAAAAGATCAAGCTTCTTTCTATCCGCGCTGTACGCCTTAGCAACCAATACTTCCGGGAAAGGCGCTTCCTCGAGGATAGATCCACTCAATGCCTCCTTAGAATGTCCATGAAGCGTAGCGTTGGCCAAGTCACGCTGCTTGATGAGGCGAGCCATCAGCGTAATCACCTGAGTAGTAGCTGAAAGACCCTTGTTGCGAATAAAGTCTGGGTGTCTTCGACGTGGAAGTAGACATTATCAAGCTGCTCAAGCGCCTCCTTGCGGATCTTCTCGTCACCAAATGAATACCTTTCCTAAAGAAAAAAAGAATAATATTTATTCAAGTTTTAGTTCTCAGAGTGAGATACAGTATGCTTAGCCTTTTCATCTTCGGTGCCGACATTCTTAACATTATGAGCAGCCTGCTCCACCTCCTGCTCTTCCATTGCAATAAAGCGAGAGGGACGCCGGACCTGAGTAGGTTCCTTATCCAGAAAAACGCAGATGCGCAGACCCTCGTCGAAGACAATGTCGATATCTTCAAGTCTTTTATTCGCAGTTTCGGGGTAAAAGACGTATAGAATCGGTATGGAGAAGAACTGCATAAAGACCCAGATAAGGTAAAACTTCCAGCCCAAGTTCAGAATGCCGATGGGGGTGATTTGAACAACCATGTAATTAATGGCCCATTGAGTGGCAACACTGGCTGAAGCTCCCTTCATTCGCATGGCCAGGGAGTTTATCTCGGTGTTGTAGAGCCATGCCGTACCCTGCCAACCGGCGCCAAAGATAGCATAGAAAAGGAAGATCATCGACACCGAGGCCGCTCCCACCCTGTATCTCAATCCATCATCAGTGGTGTACTGTCCAGTCCGGACGAGAATCGTAAGAACGAGATAGCATATAAAGCACCCCGAAGTTCCTGTATCATATCGTAAGCACTCCATGTTCTTGTTCCCAGTGACAACGTGTGTTATTGCTTACCGTAGATCATCGCACCACGACGGCCCCATTTGTCAATGAGCATCATTCCCAGGTATGAGAAAAATATGTAATGGACCGAATTGACAGCGGTCAGGAGACGAGCCAGCTTTTCTTCAAGTCCGACGGACTCTATCAAGACGGTTGGGAGATAGTAAGAGGTGGCGTTGATGCCGGATAATTGGACTATAAGCTGGGTGCCCAGACCAAGCACAAAACGGCGTAGAGCTCTAGATCCACCCTTGTCTGACCCTCCACGGATAAGTTGGGACCAAGTCATGGCGTTCTCGGTTTCAAGCTTGTACGCACGGACGATCTCGTTGCGCTCGGCCAGTAACGTGGGGCTCAATATAGTGTGCCCGCCTTCCTGTAGATCAGCCAAAATAACATCAGCTTCCTCAATGCGACCTTTGGAAATGCTATGCAATGTATGCGATTATAGACCCAGAGGAAATCGAAGAGTACTATATTGTTCCTTGGTCCTGTACTGGAGAGACACGCCCCGGGAAACCCGTCCCACTGTATATAATTATATAAACGAGCATTGCTGCTATCAACTACTCAGATTTATCCCTTTGGCATCATCTTGCTTTTATTCTTTCATTACCTTGATTCATGCAGACAGGCTTGAAAATTCCATGCAGTAACAGTCATAACGCGACTATGAACCACTCTGACGAAACATCTATCAACACCATTCGACTGCTGGCCGTAGGTAGAACTCCCAGCACCTTGAACGATGCTTAGTCACAGACTTTACTTGATTATTCGCTGAATAGTGTATACTGACCGTTGTTGATAGGCAGATGCCACTTTTAGAAGCAACTAAGGGCATCCAGGTGCTCCAATGTAAGCTCTTTTATCGCGTTACTTCTTTTGTACAACGTCCCACCTGACACGGTAGTCTATAGGGGGCTGGCTCCGGCTGCCCATGTACTATTCACTAAGTTTCTTCGATGCAGCCCGGTGGATCTGAATTGGTTGAATAGGGATCGCTTCGTTCTTTCGTGAGTTCAACTTGGATGTTATGCATAGTCCCCGAGGCAGATGTCTGCCGTTCGTTGGATTTTGCCCTCTTTAACAAGACTGGCCAGCTCTCAAATCTCCACTCCGAACTCTATAACATCACAGACGTCTACTTTGGAGGGCCGTTTATTCGAGGGCATCCTCAGACAATCCAGACGCTCAACATTTCCCACAACTATTATTCCAAAGGGTAGAAGCAAGCGTACTTTGTCACCTACGAAGATTCCATTGGCGTAATCGGTGCACGTCTCAAAACCTAGCATCAACACAGTCTAAAAGTCATTACCTTAGAAAGATTGAACCATTATCAGTGTAAAGCTCAAGTATTGTGACTTTTAATAAAATACCACTAAGGAAAGAGACGCAATGCATATACAGACAGGAACATGGTAATTCGATATATTACAGCCCACACTATGTACAGTAACCCCCTATCATTAATAGCGTAATTTCATTTTGTCTGGGATTCTCCTTCGCGCCGCGAGCTAGAATATTCTGATAGATTCGGCGTGGCTCTCTCCACTGTCGCATTCCCTTCGGCTAGGAGATTACCCAGAGCATGAATGGCCGCCTTTCGGAGATAAGGATCTTGAGGATTGCTTAAAGAGGTTATAATGTGCTGGAGGGCCGTGTCTGGTAAATTCGGTTGCTGTCCTAGTATATCGATAGCTGTACTTCGGATAGAAGTATCTGAATCATTTAAAAGTGTTATAATATTCTGGAGGATACCCTCTGGTAGGTGTAGTTGCTGTCCTAGTATACCAATAGCTGCGCTTCGGATGGAAGTATCTTGATTGTTTAAAAAGGCCACAATGCTTAGGAGGACCTTATCTGTCAAACGTGGTTGCCGTTTTAGTATTCCAACGGCTGCGCTTCGGATAGAAGTATCTGGATCCTCTAAGCGGGCCACGATGGCTTCCAAGATTTGTTCTCTCATGATAGTTTCGTTTGCGATGCCGAATTTTCGAATGTCGGATCATGCCCTAGTCATACTCTGGAGCATAAGGTTAATAGGGAGGATAATGGCGCGAGGTTGGACGTCGAAGACGGCGGAAATCATGCGGCAAACGTTTATCCCAACCACTATCCATGCGCCAGAGATTCCTCGAGCCTGCTAGAATCAGTATTAAGCCATCATCTTCACTAAACACTGCCTGGACGCACCTAAACGTTGTTCGGACCAGAGTTTCCGTGTTCTCAACTTTTGGCCCCTGATAACTGTTATGCACTCAGTAGGGGAAACGTCAACTTCTATGGCCTTTTGGTCTGGCCAAAAGATAAGATAAACTGGTTTTAAGGGCGTTTTGTAATGCTTAAAATTAGTAATAGGAATAACTGAGCCCCGGATGGTACGGTCTACATGGGAAAGCGTGCTGGCATCATTTAGGCACTCGGATGCGCTACTATATTTAGATATCCAGGTGCCTATATATCAGTTGTCGTAGGGAGGTATGTAGCGAAGGCTTATGCCACTTAAACAGATAGGGTGACCCTGTGGCTTAGATGTAAGCTTTTGTGGCCGATTTTATACGAGTTGTATAGGTGGTGTTGGGTCGTACAACACCTATTCAGCTGTATTAACTATAACAAGTCTACTCAAAAGCCAATTTTCCTGTGGCTTTAACAGTTGGCAGGGTCGTCGCACTTCCACTTCTTAGCCGTCCTCACAATTTCATGTCCAATACCATCCAGTATATGATTCTTCTTTTTGCCTCACTCTGCCATTTCCGTTTCGTGTTATTCTGGCTTTCTGCATAAAAGCGTGACAATTCCATTGCAAATATCAGGTTATCGATCATGCTGATTATTCCCTCAAAGGTTGGGCGTCATTGCAATTGTTGTAATCAAGAAGGGGCACCAGCTGCCGTATAGAGAGCCTATCACTTACGGGGGACCAAACCCGTAATGTCGAGGACTTTGCATATAGTTGAGTTTGACCATGATTGAGTAATCTGCCTACTAGTGTCTCCCTCTATCGCTCCCATCTTTATCTTCGCATTCTGTATGCAACAAGGCTTGCGGGAAATGTAACACACACCTCCGAGAAGGCGTCGTTGTGAGCCTATTAATAATAACACAAATCAATCCGGCTCTATCTGGCCCCCATGCCGTAATTAATTTTATTTGTTTGTTTGACGCCATACATCAGCTTTACACCGCTACGCACCCTTCCTAGAGAAGCAATAGGTGGATATACTTCCACTAATATAAGCTTGAGAGGCTGTGGATTACAGCCTACACAGGCTTTATGTATTAGATCGGCAGTTCTTAGGACTTGTTATTACTTCTATAATAAAAGGGAGCTATTAAAATACTAACCTCTACTGTAAATTAAGCCTATAAGGTTATAAAACCTAGATTACCTTAAAGCGTTAATTATTAGGTCTAAAGTATTATGCTTATGTAAGCAAGTCAGCCCTGTTGGGTGCCTTTCAGCTAGGTTTTATAGCAGCCATAATTCTAGCAAATAAGAAGGTTAAGTATAGGGCAACCTTGTGGCTTATCTATAGGGTTTTATAGCTGATTTCGCCTGAATTGTATGGCTGGTGTTGGGGTTATATAAAGTTAAAATAATATAACTCTAATCCCAGTTTCGTCGGCTTAATGACTATTATATAATAAGGGTTACTAAATTATAAAAAGTATTATTATATGTCTTTTCTTAAGAGTTGGTAAAATCCTACTTCGGATTGTTTTGCGTCTTTCCTCTGCTAATATATTTTAGGGAAGAAAAATCTATTTTAGTACTTCTTTACTTAGACTAGGAAGTCAGAACCTTAGCTAACACCTTAGGCTCTGAGCGGTTGAATTTGTCTGTCCTCCTAAACGACAGCCACTGACAATCGTCAACACGGGGGGAGGGATGGGTGAGACCTTACAAAGTCGGCCGACTTAAGTATGTTAACATGAGACAGGACTCATCCCTGGTTTTCAACCAATGCCCTACTATAGTCTTCAGCCTCTTGTCAACTATCTGATGTGTAGTGAGGTAGAGCTGATGGCTAGGTGAGAGTCTTTTATGATCTATGGCATTTCTTTTCCAATGTGTATATATTAACGTAATTAAGAAGCTATCTATTTATTCTGCTCGGACGATAATATGTCATCAAGTACCGGAACAGGTGACATGAGTGGAATTCTTGATTCCCTGGCGATCACATGTCAACAATACATATTTGTAGTCCAGTATACCCACCAATTAAATAGCTTTAATACGTTGCCAATCTTCGATTTCCAATGAATTATCGCCGGCAAAAGCCTTTTCAATCGAATTTCAGAACCCACCAGTCTGAAACTTTGTCGCCCTTGTGACCTTATTGCAACCTTGCTTCCGTCACAACGAGGTAAGAGGGGTGACAGTGAAAACTATGTTTGACTAGTGGTCTGGTGATCCAACTAATAAATGGTATTATTACGTAAACGCCACTATGGTTCCTTAGTAAACCCAGCTAGGGCAATCAAGGTTTCAGCTCGACGATGCAGGCGACTATAGTCTTATGGATGGAAATCTTTATAAGAGGGTAATACATGTTAGTAGAGTTGCTAGAACTAATATATACACGCAGCTGTAATACCCTGGTGAAGTTAGAGCTTTTGCAAATCGACTTCTATAATATTCCTTCCACGTCTCTAATCGTTTAAACTTCAACGCCATTGCTCATCAAAGACTAGATGAAGCCCAGCTGGTTTAGTCTCCTTGCTGCCATCCCCACTGCCTTTTCAGCACCACTAGCAGAGGCAGCTTCCGAGGCCGTTACTAAAAGCCACGGCCAGCGGTGCAACTCGACGAACTCAACGACCCCTGCATACGACAAAACCGAGCTTGAATTTCGTAACACATTTCATCTTAGTACTGCAATATGCGGTTCTGTATTGCTGCTTTTTTGGCAGTATAATGTGCGGCATAGCGGCTACACATTGAGCCGCAGGTGGTGGCACTCGACAGATGATGTGATGTGGATACTGATGGGCTTAATCAGTATTTCCTGGACGGTTATTATCCCAGTCTCTGCCTTATACTGGGACCACTGCGCCTCGATAGGTATCGAAATAATTTTCCGGGGATGGAACGGATACGAATTTTGGGGAAGACTTGCATTCTCACCTTGGATCTTAGACGGAGTCTTCATCTGGTGGGCTATTCGGCGTATTATCCAGATGTTTAGTGTTGGTATGTATACTACCTGTGCTTCCTGCGTTCTCTAGGTTCGACTTACAGGACCGCTAATATGCTTACCCAGGTAAATTATGCCGACGATCCCGTTGGGAGGCAGGAATTGTCTTCGTTCCCACTGTATTCCCAGCGGTCCGGGCAGCCGTTGGAGCTCTTGAGGCAAATCTCTACGTTCTTGGGATGCTCACGTGTGCCTGCATAGCCATGTTTTTCCTTATATTAGTAGTCGTGTCTTACCGTGTCTCCAACTACGATACACACCTGGCTCATTGGTATGCAGTGGATGACATAAGAGCTCCATTGCTGTCCCGTGATGCTACTAGTATGGCTTATGTCCTTCCATATTACAGCTCCAACTTTAGATCAATGATCAACTACAGCTCTGGCTTTAGCCCAGTGATCAGCTACAGCATCGACAGCGAGCAACAACTCCTAAAGTCCAACAAACAGTTCATGGAACCGATGGACACGAAGGATTGGAAAATAAAGCACTGCAGAGCAGCTGCTCACACAATCGTGACAAGCCTTATTGAAAATATCGATGATGACAGGAAGATGATTCAGAGACTTGGCTCTTGGTTATACCTGCATCCCAACGTGCACAAGAGATGGCCAGCACTGCCAACCAGGAATGGAATATTACGCCCCGGATATTTTCTAATTGGTAGAGATGTCGTATTTGCACTTCTTCTATGGGAAAGTCTCGTTTTCGAACGTCGCTGGCAGCTCGACGAAGAATTCCGCGACCAAGTTTGGCTGCTCCATGAGCGAAAATACACCGGACGAGGGTTAAATGACTCACCTAATAGGAATGTACCAGCTACGAGAGGCAAGCCTAAAAAGGGTGACGGGCTCGATGGCCTTTTGGAAGCATTTGATGAAGTTTACCGCATTCTCGACCATACGAGCCCAGAGCGGTTTGTGCTCCGAACTAAGGTTCTAAATCAATTCGGCAGGCTAAACCCGCCATCTAGCTCCGTGGTGGACGACTTGGTACCAGTGACGTCAGTCGAAGTTTATGCAGTAAAACTTTGGGAGGCTTGCTGGAAAGAATATCCGAGTACATTTGGAGCCCTATACCTCTGGACTACGGTCTGGTATATCGATATGGGGAATATAGGATTTCATACAACGCCATTACTCCCAAACTCAAAAGCAGAACGAGATACAAAACTCTGGCTGGACTATGCCCCAGATTATATGACTGCTTGGAGGATCCGGTGGAGGTATCTATGGCATAGCAGTATACTATGCCAACTTGTAATTATGCTTCCTACTATTATTAAGGGACTTGTAGTATGGGATTATATAATATAACTTTATATTATTAAGTTTTAAAGTATATTACCATAGTTAATAAGTAAGTAACCTAGATAAGTAAGTAATATAAAAATCTTAACCTCGATACTTTAAATTATAAGAAAACTATTATAAACTATTTAATTAATTAAAATAACTTATTATACCCTTCCTTAGATATCTTAATTACTACCTAATAGGTCCTTATATTATATCTGGCCTTATTATATATGTTGTAATATTAACTACTAAGTTATTTTAACCTTTCTTAAGTACTATTTTTAAATAATTTACCTAATATATATATATTAATATTTATTTAATCAATTACTTATGATACCTTTTATATAATTATAATCCCTTTTGTTTATAATTTAATTCTTTTTATCTTATAATACTAGCTTAATATCTTATTTATATCTTAAAAATTTTAAAGCTTATTGAGCTCCGTGCAATGCAAGGTAGAGCTATATTAATAAGACCGCCGAGTTCGTATGCTGTTAGTTTCTTGGTGGGGTCTTCCCTGGAGAGCCCAGATGAGGCAGGTAAGATTGTAGTTTTCGAGCACCAGGACATCAACCAACTAAAGATGAAATCTAGAAAACATTGCAACCTTCCTAGATTCCTTATAAGTGGTTGGCCTACAGGATTGCTGACTTGGAGTGGGGCGAAACAGACTCAATCAGAGACTGACACGCTACGTATGGTCGGCCTCCTACATGCTCTCCTCTGCCGTATTGTCTCAAATCTGCAAGCCAGAATATCACATCTTCCCACGGCGAACATGTTTTATTATCGGTTACGTCATCTTTGTCAGCCACATATGTAGAGAATCCTTAATCAACGGGTTGGTGTTGTCATCTGCGTGGGATGGCGTCATGCTCTATGATCGATAAAACGTAAGGGTGGCAGCCTAGCTGAACTTCACTTATATCTACCACAATATTAATAAGTTGTTTTCTTCTTTTATGGCCTTAACCACTTCTATCGGCAGCTGAACATTTGATCCCGGTTATCATATTACCTGCTGCCATCTAGTCCAGAAGCAACCATGTCTATATCACTTTGTTGGCAATTAGATAAGTTCGGTAGCTTAACCTCTTACTAACTCGAACTCTTGTATAAACCTATACTTCTCGAGGTTACCTTGCAAGAGGTTAGAACACTGCCTGCTTATCTATACGAGAGTTAATTAACCAGAAAATACAAAGCGGAGATACTAGACCTTAAAGTATTCCAGTTTTATATTAACAAGCTAGCCCAGGTCTGCAACAATGAACATAGTGGTGATACAATCAGCGCCCTTGTAATACTTTGAGGTTCTATTAGCCCCAATTATGTATTTAGTTCTAACTCAAAGGATACAAGAGGCCTAAAAATAACATAGGATTTCGTGCAAGTGTTGCTAGATCTTGTAGGCAAGAACTCAGAGGGCTTATAAACTGCGGCATTAGGAAAGCAAACGCTTTAATTCATACTATCCTTTAATACTCCATGGCTTAAAGAGTACCTAAGACTCCGAAACAAAGTGGTGCAAGAGTGCCTAGAGAGCTACAAAAGAAGGAACAAAGACGAAATTAAGTCTCATCCTAGGGCTTGTTCATAAGCATAGAACCGCGTCCTGAGCCCTTCAAGCATCCGAGCCGAGTCAGAGCCTCTTATCATTGGCAGACAAATGAAAGTTCAAACTGGATATCTCTGACTATAATACAGAACATAAATATCGGTATTCCCCTCTATCGAACCATGTAGCCAACATGGAAATAACTTACCAACTTAGCAATCAGCAGTTGCAAAACATTAATCAAGGCAATCACCAACCTAGAATAAGCAGATATTAATAAGATAATCTTATAGAGGGACAAAGATAGAGAAATAACAAGATCCGAGCCATAGTGCCAACTCTGATACTTTCTTAGGCGCTGGCTTTCATACTGCAACATAGCTATCAGCATCATTATAGTTTCTAAAAGATGGCCTATGCTATTCCTAGGTTTTAAGATTATTATAGTGCCATCTAGTTCATGACTTCCAAACCTGATCTTAAGATCCAATCTTATAAGCATAATCATCCTATAGCATATAATTACAGAAAATCAAAGCTAAGACTTACAGGTTCTATAATCAGCTAATAACCTAAATTGCATAGGAACTGATAACATAATTAGGGCTTCTTAGCTTTCTGGAAATTTTAAACCTCTATTATATATAGAAGTTCTAGTATATAAATATCTCTTAAAGACCAGATAGCAGCTCTAGAATACTACTAGAATTATTAGAATTATATCAGTAGTAATAAGCCAACTTATCAACTATGCCACTACTACTTTAAAGCCCTCGAGGGCCATAAGCCGGGTGTTCACTCATCTCACAATAACCTCCACCGAAATTGGCGACTTCCCGAATATCACGATAGCAAGGGCCTAAGCATAGCTCGAGATGAGCTTCTAAGTAAGACTGCACAGAGACTGAAGATAGTCGTGGTAGATACGCTAAAAGAGAAGACGACTAGGCGGAAAATAAGAAACTAAGTTACTATTAAGAGAAGGGACTTTAGATACATCTTAGAAGAGCAATTCTTTCTAAACCATTTAGTATCGGTGCATGGATTGATTGCGCGAGAAACCTTTTAGATTTATTACCTTCTATTACTTCGCCTGGTCCTGCTTAACTCTTAACAATACTCATTCCCGCCATTTATGTCCTCTGGCCTGCAATAGCATGGTCGGAATAATCGAAACAGTAACTAGCGACGCGGTAATAATCCCGCAGCTCGCATAGTACCCGGTATTTTGTAGCATCTCCGGAATCCTGAATTATATTAGTACTTGTCTATTCCAGGTTCTTTTCCAATTACCTACCAGAACGGGCCAATGAAACCCAGTGTTTGTCGGATAAAGGTAATAAACACGCCGATTGCCGCTGATTCGGATGGATAGCAGTCGACGGCGTATGTAATCATAATGGTGGTTACGATCTGGTTTCCAACAGCTGCAATGGTAGCGCCGATAATCGGAGTAATATTCCATTTGGTGCCAGACTTGGCAATCTGAACAAAAAATACAACAACACCACAAATAACAAGCAGGTATCCAAAGTAGCTTAGCCACAGTCGATACTCTGGCTCAGGCTTGCGACCTCGTCGCTGCCGGCGCCACATCCATTGGTCCGAGAAGAAACCTCCGGCAAATTCGCCGATCAGGGTACCGAGTATGATGCCCATGTATTGAAGACCAACTTGCTGGTTGTTGAAGCCATACGTCTCGGGAAAGATCTGCGGGATCTCAAACGTGGTGGTCACACTACCCCATAGGAATGCCGTGGAATAGGAAACGGCAGCGATGACAACGCTAAATCTAGTGATAAGACCCAAAGGCGCGATAAAGTCGACAGGCCTGATAGGGGTCGGGTCGATTCGGCGAAATGTGAAGTATCCTGACTTCCCTAGTGTTGCTTGGCCTGGAACGTGCCTAGTCTCTAAACCGAGAAAGAAAAACAAGACGAACTGGACTGCGTTGATCTTTAGACGCGGTTAGTACGTTTCGAATGAGCGAACAAGGCGCTTTGGCAAATAGGGAGCTCACTATGGCCAGAATCCAATAAGTCCAGCGATAACCAACTCGAACAGTAACAAAGCCAAAGATGAAGGGCGCCAGGGGAACACCCAAGGTCACCATTGTCGTCCAGACACCCATATATCTCGCCCTGTCTTTTTTTGCGAATGACTCCGCCACGACGGCACTTCCAAGTGACGCTGCAGGCGAGATGAACCACGCCGTGATGGCTCGGCATAACCCCATGGTACCATAAGATGGGGACTTTGCGCAGCCAATATTACCGACCAGGCTGCCGACGAGGGAGATGAGAAAGATCGGGCGGCGGCCGTAGGTCTGTCCAAGTGGTCTCCAGAACAACGGTGCGGCTCCAAGAACCACGATGAAGAGCGATGTAAGATAGCTAGCGCGCTGAACACTGATGTGAAAATCCTCGGCAATATCGACAAAGCCCGACTGGATTGCCGCGGCAGAGAATGTTGCCATCATAGAGTGGAATGACACCAGGAGTAAGTTCACCGTTCTCTGTGAGTGCGGAGGATGAATCAGATATCCATCTCTTGTAGGTGCTTCATGGGGTTCGAAAACATACCTTCCATTTCGGATGGTCGAAAGTCTCGACATTATCATCCAAATTTCCTAAATCGACCGAGTTGTTCTCATCCTGTTAATGTAAATGTTAATAAAACGACGATGCAAATTCAAGGGATTGAAGGATACTACTCACATGTTGCTCGGAGTGATCTACCACTGGTTTCGCCATGGTCTTTTCGCCTTGAGGGGGAGAGTCTGATGCAATGTCTTGGAACTGCCAGATAGTCAGTGCTGGTGGCCACGATTGAACAAGACTTAGATTTAGACACTCTTTATAAGACGAGACCCCGGAGATTCGAGACCCCATACGGCATCTTGCAATGCAAAATGGAGGCAGTGATCTACATCTGAACGGATACTGACCAGTCGGAAGCTGATAAGCCGGTGGTAGGAATCTCAAGTCTGGGGAACCGGGGCAGACTAATAATCTATCTGGGGAACTGGACTCTCCCCGCATTTGGCCTCAGAGCTACGTAATCAAACGGCTATATCGGCATCTTTCTACCAGCAAAACATGGTAGGGGCTTACAACATAGCTCTAACGGAAAACATTCTAGCCAGAAACCAGGGATCTATCTGGCCGGACATGTTGCTCCCGAACGCTCGGAAATGCAAGGCGAGGAGACGTATCAAGTATGCCACCTGCGGTGACACCTATCTGGCTGCATGCACTGGATACTACGCACGACAGGCTTCCAGTCAGTGAGGAGACGGTATGAGTCCATGAGATAATGGCTTCGGTGTATTCAAAAAACATTTTCAAAGGAGATTTAAGTTCCCAAAGGTTGTTTCACTATAGTAATAGGATGGGCTGAGTGTTTGATTGGAGTCTTGCCTTAATTGACATTGGTTACTTTTGCACCATGATGGTAGATACACAATATCGGATCTAGTTCCCTCCTACCCATTCATAATTCTGAGTTTTGCCTGTGATTTGTGGCCTAAGAGCCATGCCATAATCTCCTCCATTGGGCATCCTTAACAGAGTGTGAATGTGAAATCTTTTCGGCTCCTTATTTGTTAAGAAAACGCCCGAGTGATGATCGAATTCGATAATGACTACAGGGCTCTGAAGACGATAGTAGAAAGGGTCGTCATCGTTGAAGCCGCCAATCCAGCAAAAATACGTTTCATGATACCAAGAGCGAATTTGTGATAGACGGCGTCTGCGTGCCTGCTCAGGAAGATATAGCAGGTATTCCAAAGCAATTTTAGTAACTAGATCCTGCAGTTCCATCGGTAGGTCGGAAACAAGAACACCCTCGTATGGGACAACTCGGTTATCGCGATATGCCCCGCAGAGGTGTCGCTGGTCATCGTGGTTCCAGCGGCCTCGGGGCATCGCTGGGTCCCTCATTAGCCGGTATATCTGCGCGCGAGACTGGAATTCTTCAGGAAGGCTCTGCATAAGTTGGAGCCCCAAACTCTCTTCACGTCTCATGATCTTCGTGCCGCTGAACTGGCCTTCGTCAATAATGTTTGGTTCGGCGCCTGTAAACCAGGGCGAAAGAATCATCTGCCTTTTATAGAAGAAGGCGTTTAGGCAGAGGTGATGACCATAGAACGAGAACCCCCAAGGACTTTCCAAAGAGACCGAACCAAAGAAAGCAAAGTTATAAGAAAACTCATTCATGATGGTTGGAACCTGGATAATCTCGCCTAGGAAGCCGTTGATACGCATAGCGGCAACGGCCTTGTCATAGCCCTCGGGAGATAGTGAAGCCTCTAAAAGCCCCATAACTGCTTCGCGGAGATCCTGGTTTATCTCATCGAGACGAATGCCCTTTGGGCTTAGCAGAAACTCTGGATTTGACCAAGTCCTCCATTCCGGAGAGTCAATGTGATAGTGAGAGTGTGTCTTTTGCTCTTGTGTCATCTTCGAGATGACCAAGTTGGCGGCTCTAACAATCCTTTCAATCGGCACATCATCGTCTTCAAGCTTATACAGGTCTCCCCGAACATTGCCTAGGATAGTAGCAGATCAGTATAATCGGGCTTTTCCTGGCAAACATGGCTTGCAACCAACCGTCATTTGTCACGCCCTTATACGGCTCGGCGAGTAGCTCTCTCCAATGCAGATACAACCCGTGGATCCAAGGGGGATTCCCGTCCTTCTTGAAGGCGTCTGCATATTCATAAGCATCTTGCTTGCGCATAGACGTGAATCTGTCAATGCTTAGATCAGGAATGAACTCGCGAAAGGGAGTTTGAGGTGTATCTGTGAAGACGTTCTCATTGCTTGAAAACATTGTCTGTTAAGATCGAGGGCTGGTTGGAAATTGACTTGTGATGGGATGCTATCGCACTAGTCTAGGCCAAACAGATCAATCAACATGTTCCCTACCTAAATACATATACTTCCTTCAATTAGTCAAGCGCGACTCCAAAACATCCCGGTCATCCAATCGGAACGAACATAAACTGCCCCAGCTCAGAGTCGGGATCGGGTAATTAAATTCTGATTGGATGAGCCCAAATTTCCCTGCCTACCTACTCCAAGCATGGAAGCGGAATGCTGTTGTAATCGGCGACAAATAAAGAGGGCAACAATTGTTGTCAGAAATCTGAGCAACCTGTTCACGACAACAAGTTCCCAACTCAAGATGTCTGTAAATCTGTTCAAACGTGAGTTTATTGAACCCGCGAAACATCCAGTTTGTGAATATTCTGACCAATGCAGGTCTCGTCCGCTTTGCGCCGAGATCAAACACTTCAGGTATCCTAATTGGACAGCCTGTGAAAGACGACATTGATGTCGGCTTGGCTCTCCGCAATGACACTGAAGTCCAGGTCGACGTCTTTTCAGGAACGTCAGTTTTAAATCCTGGCCAGAGCACTGGAAAGGTTGAGATCATTCACAAGATATTCTCGCCGCTGGCGGCTGACGAAGTTGGCACTATTCGCTGCATCGGGTTAAACGTGAGCAACTCTTGACTTGTCTGATACTACATGTAACAGATTACTCACACTATTTGGATTTAGTACAAGCGACATGCGGATGAAGTGTTGATGGATCTGCCGCCAATTCCCACAATGTTCATGAAGCCGAGTACCGCGCTTGGAGACCCCTGGCCAACGCCGACTCTTATTCCTAAGATTTCGCAGAGGGACGGTACTAGTGACTTTGAATCAGAACTCGCTGTTATCCTTGGTAAGACCGCCAAGAATGTCTCGGAGGCGGAGGCAATGGAGTACGTTTTGGGATATTCTGCGTGCAATGACGTCTCAAGTCGTGAAAGCCAGCTTGCCCAGAGCCAATGGAACTTTTCCAAGGGCTTCGACGGTGCTTGCCCAATCGGTACGTGATCTCTTCTCTGCTCGGAGTTCAATACATGTTTGATACTGACCGCCGGCATAGGGCCGACACTTGTCTCTAGAGACTTGGTTCCAGATCCCACCAAGTTCAGGATTCGAGGATCGAAGAACGGAGAGGTCATGCAAGAATCCGAGCTTGAGTAAGGTTTTCTTCACTAATTAAACAGATCTCTTAAGCTAATGTCGGGCTGCAGTGACCTGATCTTTGGGATTCCCCAGCTCATTGCCTTCCTTTCGCAGGGCACCACTCTGCCTGCTGGCACGATCATTATTACAGGAACCCCTGCAGGAGTGGGTATGGGAAGAACACCTAAGGAGAGACTTGACGCTGGAGACGAGTTCCATGTTGAGATCCTGCCGCATATTGGTACCTTGGTTAGTATATTCCAGAATGAATGATCGCTTGGAATGGTAGCATGACAGCCAGGTACATATCGAATTAAGCATGGCCTTTCTGTTTGTGAGTTTTTTATATTATAAAACATGGCATCCTAACTTTAAAGAAAAGAACATTTTAATAATCCATAATTGTCATTTCATGTCTAATCTAGTTTATTTGTCGCTATCCAGAACACTTAATAGTGGCAATATTTAATGTAATAGAAGGCTCACCGTTCTTTTGTTATTGAAATATGATGTATAAGTGTTTGAATAAGTTGTCAATTGTTGCTGTTATTTTGATGGAAAGAAAACCCTCATAAAGACCATCTAATAATAGTGCCGTCATGACTCTGGTTTCAACTATCCAACAATAGAGGAAATTGTTCCTTTAAATGCTCAACTACAGCCTGAGGTCCACCCTCGACCTGCAACCCCTGAGGTATAGCGTATGTCTTGATTCCAGGGATGATGGATTTCGCTGTCTCCCTCATCTCGGTACTCTCTTCCTCCGTCCACATAGAAGCGCAGCACTACAGGATATCAGCAATGAATTGGAAATGAAGTTGTGGTGGCTGTCAAGATACGCACAAGAATGTCTGGCTTGAGCTCCTTCACCTTAGATGCTACCTCGCTTTTATCTGAAACGCTTGTCAACATCGCCTGTAGGATTATCTAACCATCCAGTGATGCGGCCCTGCCAAACGTACCAAAGCAATTGCCAACATGCTCGATTCTGTAGCGAGTCTTGAGTTCCTCAACAACTTGGCCAATGACCCTCTTGGCTCTCTCAGGCACATTGTTGACAGTGAGAAGGCGGAAGGTTCTGTTGGGAGTTGATGCAGACATGATGAGAGCAAATGGTTTTTAGATCTTTGGAAAGATGGGGGGACTGAAAGGCGTCTTTTGGGTCAGATATTATACACGCAAAGCCCAAGTGCTACAGTGTAGTACTCCACTTGAGTCTACCCTCGAGAGGCTTCTGGGACTTGAACGTTCCGGCGATATCATGTCACCAAGGTCCGGCCCCGATATCGGGAGCCATTTCGCTTCCCCGGAAGTATAGAATCGGAGACTGTTGAGGGAGTCGGTTTCCGAGCCACGCGTACCTGCGGAGAGATGGCTAGCTTCGTAGTGCATGCTGACGAGGTTCCCATTGGCCATCGGGTAGACTCAAGCCGATTGGTTATGAGCCCACCACCCGAAGGCTACCCTGTCGCCCCAGATAAATTCACTGATCAGAAACCTGAGAGTCGCCATCTGAATCCGACAAGTAAAATTTGGATCATACGTAGTATTTGCTCCGTTCAACCGGGTAGAGTAAGTGACCACTAATTACGCGCTCAAATCAACGAGCGACTCTCTATTCCCCATGACTAACTGTTGCAAGCAGATACCAAACCCCCATCAACGCTTTTCCCACAACACCCTCCGGGCTCTCCCAGCATAAACCGTCCATTATTCGATTGACTTGGTGTAATTTGACCTCTCAATCAAATTCGACTCTTGGTACCTATCGTCAGAGATACACCAACATGTCTCTAATAGACTCTCGAGTTGTTATCGTCGGTGCAGGCATGGGCGGCCTGACCTGCGCGTTAGCGCTGGCAAAGAAAGGGTTCAAAGACATTGAGGTCTACGAAAGTGCTTCTGATCTAGGATTCGTTGGCGCTGGTATCCAACTGGCTCCTAACCTAGTTAGAATCCTGACGCGTCTGGGGTGTTGGGATTCTGTAGGGGCCGAGGCAACAGATGTCAAGGAGACCAGCATCAGGGGTGAGTGAAAATGCATCTTTTTGGAAATGAGTCGTTACTGAAAACTACTGCCACAGATGGCGCTTCTAATAGGGAGCTGACACATGTCTACATGCCCGACATTCGCAAAAAGTATGGATATCCCCATTGCACGGGACACCGGGCTTCCTTGGCCGGAAGTCTCTACGAGGGTTGCAAGAAGGAACCTGGCATTAGATTCAAATTTGGACATACCCTCCAGAGCGTTGATGCTTTCTCGCCAGATGTCAAGTTTACTGTCAAGCCAAGGGACGGCGAGGCGTACCAGGCCACTGCGGATGTCTTCTTGGCAGCGGATGGCATCAAGTCCGTTGCACGCAGCGCACTCCTCTCGCAAGCCGGAGTTGTCATGGACACTGAAGATACTGGACAGGCTGCCTACCGTGTTCTTCTGTCTCGGGAGGACATGGCTTCCGACCCCGAGATGATGGAGCTCCTAGACAGTAATCAGGTCACTCGATGGATTGGTGAGAAGCGACACTGGATCGCCTATCCAATTGCGTCCCGTACCATCTACAACATGTCATCCATCCAACCTGACACGAATTTCGCAGACGCGCCATCCATGACTTATACAACCAAGGGCTCCAAGAGCGCCATGCTGGACGTCTTTTCCGACTTTTGTCCTCTTATCCAGCGTATGCTGAATCTCGTCCCGGACGGTGAGGTCTGCGAATGGAAATTGCGCTCGCACAAGCCCTTACCCACGTGGAGCTATGGTTCTCTAGCCTTGATGGGCGATGCATGCCATCCCACCCTGCCCCATCTCAACCAGGGAGCGGCACAGGCTGTAGAGGACGCCGTTGTCCTAGCCGAGGTGCTTGCCAGAGTACCTGTTAGGTCACCCGAGGCCATTAACAGGAGCCTCAAAGTCTATGAGCTGCTGCGCAAGGATCGCACGACGATGCTCGTTGACCTCGCAGCGCAATCCGGAAAGGCTCTCCATCTCGGCGAAGGAGAGAAGAAGGCGGAGCGCGACAGACTGTTTGCTGCAAATAAGACCAATGGCGGCAAAGTACCGGATAAGTGGGCGTCGCCAGAGGTGCAAGAGATGATCTATTCACATGACTGCATCAGTCTAGTTGCCGAGAAGTTTGATGAGCTGTATCGTGGGCTCGAGACTAAGCCCAGCGCGTGACAAGTTCTTTCATTTCAGTTAGTTTACATTAAATGAACCCTAGTACATCAAATTCGTTTGGCCCAAAGTTTGGCCCTAACCAGTTCCCATAAATTAGGTCATTTTCGTTGACCTGCGTAAAGAAATCGATGCTATCATCCAAGATGAGACTGGGCCCGCTCGTACTGCCATTCCCCACTGTTGGTAGTGTTTGACCGCTTGGAATCTCCCGTGCACCCACTGGGATCGTGTCCGATGGCTCGAGTTCTGCTGCTTTATCGCCTGGCCCTAGTGCTATCAGAGTCAAAATGTCAGTACGGAATGATTATCACGCGAAGGAGGCCTTGCACATAGACTCACACATTCCTCTTAACAGCTGAACATATCGAAATATACGGCGATATGCGTTGATACTCATAGCACTTGCCACACCTATTGCCTTCAAAGTGCCCAGACACTCATTCAACAACTCATCCATTGAGTTCACAGACGAGACTTGTTTCGTGATGAATTCTGCGCCTTGGCATCCCGAGGCAAGCCAGAAACCGAAAACGTGCAATGTGGTTGTTAAAGCTGGGGCAAGTCTTGGTTAGAAGGGGCTATGATATTGGTTCACAGGCGTCCTCACCACAATAGTTGCAAGTCCACCAGATCGCATTCTCTCGAAAGAATGGTTCTTGCCTTTGTAAAATGTCGCTGATCAGTCGGTGGAGCTCTAATACATGCTGGAAATCGGTTTTAAGTATAGCGGCAATATTATCTCGCAGGAGCTCTGAATCGCAATCTGGTGATTTCCTGGTGATTGAGCGCAGCACGGCTACGAGAAGAGGCCCGCATGTCATCAATTGCGTTCGGTAATAATAGATCGCGAGCAATATTGTGGGACGAGATGCTTTGAAGTTAGCAGGCGACCAGGCATCGCGGTCTGCGATAGTCTCCAGGATTCTAGATGGCAGGGCGTTTTGCTGCCAACGGCCCATCTCTAATGAAAGCTTGGTTGTCTTCTCCAAGAGCTCGTGTAGGCTGAGAGGAGTCACAGGACTCATGTTAGAATCGTGAACTTCCTCCAAGGCTCGTCCCATAATCTGATGTAAAGTTCTTGGTTCTGTCAGTCACATTGTGCTCTTCGTTCAAAGGGGTATTCTTACGTTAGGTCGCGGAAGTGATCTACCATGCTATTGCGATAGGACGAATCGATGTCATCAACATAACCCTTGGAAGAAAGCAGTTCCACAAGTTCCATACGAACGTGGGATGAAGGTATTAAACAAGGCTGACCGAGAGCGGAAGAAACAATTCTGCTTATTATTAACAAGATTGACTCCGTGTAGTTGTCTACATACTAACCTATCCTGATTCACCACGGCAAACCAAAGCCGGGATTTGAGCTCTTTTTCTTCAGGCACATTATGACTGTAAGAAATCGGAGCATGAAGTCCCAATTGATAGGCGACTTTGACTGAAAGACAGTGAATTGTCAAGCTTTCAGTAGAACGTTGGCTGTTCTGCTGATACAGAGCCAGGAGCAAAAGCGTCTGAACTGCCGAATATCAGTGATTTGTAAGTCTCATTTGTGGGCAATGCTACACACGTAACCTTGAGCTCGACACGCAAAGCGCTTCAGGATCTAGTAAACCCAAGGTCTGGCGGTAGTATGTCTCTGGTGAGTGCTCCTGGGTAACAGACAAGGCGAAAGCAAACACTATGTTAAGCAATGCCAGCATCGGCCTTATTGATCTCCGAGTATTGCCAGCTCTATTCAGCACCTCATCGAGACCGGATATCAAACTAGCTTCACTGATGTAAGGAAGTAGGCTCCCTACAGTGTCAGAGAATTGAATTATCCATCTAACAGCGGTTTGACGCTCAGGAAGCAAGTCAGTGCCAACACGGTCAGTACCATATCCTGGAACTGAAGAGGAAGGGGGGTCTGGTAGTGGACCGTAATCCGTGTTAGCCTGACTATTCCGGAGACGCTCGGGATGGAGGAGAAGGCCGGAACTCGTCCCAACTTTGGTAACGATTTCATTTAGAGACCAGAAGATTGCATGGTTCGAACTCGATCCTAGGATGTGATTAACAGACTGTGACCCAGAATCAGAGTGAGTAGCGCGTATCTACCAAAGTAGCATGACCCGGATGGACGATCAAAGACACCAGCTGCCAACACATCAATTCGCGGCTCCGCTTGTCGACTGAGGTTCTCTTGGACACTGCATGTTGGTCGCCGAACTGAGCTCACACTCGCCGGTGTATGAACGGCGCCGCCTTCTCCTGTAGGTGTTCCAATTGACTGAAATGACAGTTGTTCTTGTTGCTCCGGCGTGATGCACGATGATCCCGCAGTTGATTGCTGCTGGGGTTCTCTGGCACGGTTTCTTGACCCTGAATTTGCCCTATCTCTCTTGTCAGAATACCCAGCCATCAACAAGCAACACAATGCGCAGAGCTACAAGACTGACCGACGTTCTGCTCGGCGATTCAAACGTTTATCTCCTCCAGTATGAGAGTAGACACAGACCAGATTGTGCTTCTCACATCTTTGGCATCTGGGGTTACTACTGTCGCACTTACGATGCCATTTAGCTACTTGAGATGAAAGAGCAGACCATGCATATCTTCTCTTACCTTGGATTTGGATTGCCGACATGGGTCACATGCGATAGCAGCGCGTGGTCTTTTCGTCACTGAACGGCTGCTATAATTCATTGCGCGGCTTGGACGCCCGAGTGCATTAAGAAACGAAGAGCCCTGCAAAGGAGCGAGCGGGGGTCTGGCCTCCAGCCGAAGATTCGCGGGTGAGTGTTGATCCGCGTCGCCCCACTTCGCCATCGTGTAAACGACGATGCCTAGCAGCCCTATCTCTAGAAATCCTGTTTCCTGCCGTTGTCCGGGTTAGACGTCATGAGTATGGATTGTTTTAATAAATATTATAAAGGGAGCCTAGCGATTAAATATCTTATTAAAACTTAGAATATTTATTAATAATTAAAGTCTGTGTACTTGAAGAATTAAAGAAGTTAATGTTAAAGATAAGCAAGATAATTAGTTAATATATATAACTAATATATTTAACCTTAAGGCCCTTGACTCCGAACATTCCTTATGTTACTCTTACCGCCCTGAGGGGCAGGGTTGGGGTTAGAAACCTTTGGGCTGTTAATTGTAGCCTTATATTCGTCCATGTCGTCTTCTTTAAAATCACCCTCCTTGTCTTCCATCTGAGTAACTTCACCGTATTCGTTGGCCATACTTCCCCTGAGAACTTCCAAAGCTTTCTGTGTTTTGGTCTCGGGGAGTCTGTCCGCTTCGATGTGGCTGTCGACTTGGAACTCTAGAAAGTCCCGAATCTCGTCCTTGTTGAATAGATTGGGCCTCGGGTTCTTTTTCGCCTCGATGGCTTGCCAGAGCTCTCTGGTTTCTTCCGAGTACACTCGGGCGACCTCAAGGACATCCATGACCCAGACCTGTTTAGCCACTGTTCCATCAATCATATCCTTCAAGAGTAGCCAGAGTTTCTTCAGCAGTTTGTTGGGGTACCGTGCTCTGACAGTGCTGTTGCCTTTTTTCCACTCATACGACCTCACAAGTTTTGCATCCTCAAGGTCATGGTAGGCATTGCTCTTGACGAGCTGCTCAAGCTGTGTGAGATGTTTCTGCTTGATCTCCGAAAGCCTCTTTTCACGGATAGTGTTGTACTTGGCCATGGCGCTTTCGATGATGTCGTGCCAGCGGTCACGCTTGACAGCCTCATTTTTCTCGCCAATCCAGACGAGAAGGGCGATGGCGCCTATCGCGACGGTAGTGCCTCCTGATACAACAGTCAAGGTGCCACCAACGGCCGACACCAAAATGGTCAGGAAACCAGAAGCAACCTTTGTGGCGAAGTGATTGTTGGCTTGGATCTTGTACTTGTCACTGCTTTTCGCTACATGAGCACCAGCGATGTAGTCAAAGCCCGATTCTAGAACCTTTTCAACCAATTCTTCTGTCGCCTTTTCTTTAAGGGTGTCAGCCAACCATTCAATGGCACTCAAGGTTCCTGACCCGGTTAACACGGAGCTTGCAGCTTTGATGCCCACTTTGGCCACGGAGGCAGCCCAGTTCTCGTTTTCTTTCTGGTACAAGGCCCACAAGGCCCTTCTGGTAACAAGAGCTGGTTTAAGCTCTTTCGTGTAAGGCTCACTCCTCCATGTCCCGACTTCGGTCGCCGCCTCATCATCAGTCATCCAAGACATGGTAGGGAATTTTAACAAAAAGTTGAAATTATGGTAGATAATTGATTTGATGAATTTTGTGATTTTGGTCAAGATAGCGCAATAGTAATGAATCAAATTAGACCTGTAGTTTCGTTCATAAGATGGGATGTAAATGCGCCTACATGCAGTCTCTTATACATGCTAAGTCAACCCAAAAGATAGCAGCAGCTGGCCTTCATAGTCACGCACACGAGCGGGGATTCCGGAACTATTGGTGACTGGCTGGCTGGCCTGCGTTAATAGTTCAGCTCGGCTAACAATGTCTCAGTCTACTAGCGCTCTTATTTGCTGTATTAGTTGCCTTTCCCCTATCTGTATATTATTGCTACCAAAATCGGTTGCTAGTAAAAGAGGCTATTGGTTGAAATGACAAAGTCTAGACCCAAATCATTGGTTCTGATTGGATATCCTGGTTGACCAGAGTGCCGTTGTGCCGAACAGCGATGTGATTGTGATTCTGAACATGTGATAGCTTTCACGTACGTTTCGCCCAGTCCGTTATTGGGAATAAAACCTCTGAAGCTGAGTTGTTCAGATTCTGGTATGTATCCTAAAGTGGATGGATTTGGCTTTTACGACGCTTCGACCGCGCCATTTGATTTAAGGCGGCGGCACGAACGGCTGGGAGTTTAGTGTCCGATTATTGACATCGGCCTAATGTTAACCCGGCGTCAGTGTAATACACAACGTCATAGACGGTGAAAACACCAACCCAATGGTAACAACTTCACGAGAGGTATTAGAACAAGCAATCAATGCACGAAATGGATAGTATAATTAAATTCTAAGACATTTATTAATACTGCCAAGTCTTTATTTTACTTGACTCTAACTCTGAGAGGCTTCTGGTACTCTGGGGTTCTGGTAATATCATGTCACCAAGGTCCAGCCCCGCCATAACCTACACCAAACTGCCGAGGTCACTGAATGAAAACCCCCTCGGCTTTTCTAGTGTTGTTGGTATCTATAACCATTAAAGAGAAAGTATTATATAATCTAGGCAATGGCTGTAAGCTAGATAATGCTATTAGATTTATCAAGTGTTGCATTCCTATCTGGTGATTTCATTCTCAAAGTCGATTCTTGATATCTCAAGACGTTAACAAGTCTTTGAAAGCATGTCTCGCTTAGTAGGATTCCTTATCAACGTCAGAAGTCCAAGTACTTGTATATTTCTTCTATTCGCCAGCGTAAGTGGAACATTCTCAAAGACCTCTAACACTTTGAATCATGGTGCAGAAATACCGAACTAACATGCATTGACCGCCGGTAGCTGGTGCTATATCTCATTGGCAAGATAACATATAATGTTTTCTTCCATCCTCTTCGCAAATTTCCAGGCCCCATTCTATGGTCTATGACACAAATACCTTTCTCCCTGGCATGGACTTCCGGCGCTGGTCACAAGAAAATATACGACTTGCACCAAATCTATGGCGATATCGTTCGTGTCGCCCCCAATGAACTTAGTTTCGGCTATCCGGAGGCCTGGGAAGACGTTATGGGACATCGAAAACGTGGACAGGCCGAAAATGGAAAGGATCCCGATTTCTGGAGAGGCAATGACATCTACACTCTGGTAGGGTCTGATCGTGAGAGGCATAGTAGGCTCCGAAAGATCTTGTCGCACGGATTCTCTGCACAGGCCATGATGGAACAGCAACCAATCTTCCAACGCTACGTGAACCTGATGATGAAGAAGCTAAGAGAAGCTTCGTCGAGCGGCCAATCTGTTGAGATGACTCAGTGGCTCAACTGGGCTACTTTCGACATGGCGGGAGATCTGATCTTTGGCGAGTCCTTCGGTTGTCTCGAAAAGGTAGAGTATCACTCATGGGTGAAGCTTCTGTACAAACACATCGAAGGTTTTGCTGTGTCTACAGCCTTGATTAGATATCCCTTCGCCGACACCATCATTAAGCTCATGACCCCCAAACATGTCGCTCGAGACATCAAAGCCCACAGTGATTTCACAAAGGCACAGGTTGGAAAGCGTATGGCTTATGAAAACCCCCGACCGGACTTTATGGAGTCAATGATAAGAGCGTACGAGAAAGGTGTACGATTAGCCACCCTTACTCTACTACAAATGCTGACACGTCTCTCTAGCATGTCAATCATGCAGAGCTCCTCGCCAACGCGCATAACTTGATCATCGGCGGCTCGGAGACAACTGCAACCACTCTTGCAGGCACTATATATCTGTTGGCTACGCACAGACCGATCCTGACGAAGCTCTATGCAGAAATAAAGGAGCGGTTCCAGAGCGAAGAAGAGATTGATCTTCTCAGTGTTCAAAAGCTCGAATACATGTTTGCAGTCTTGCACGAGGGACTTCGCGTTTACCCAGCTGTACCAGCCGCAATCCCTCGTAAGACAAGCGAAGCGGGCATTATAGGCAAACACTACGTTCCGGCCAATGTAAGTGCATGACTCTCCGTTCCATGCGAGTATTGACAGCTGCTCACATTTATGCTAGACCATCGTTTCCATTTGGCCGTGGCCCATGTTTCACAACCCCAAGTTCTTCAAGGATGCCGAGGTCTTTGTACCTGAGAGATGGCTTGGCGATCCCAAATATGCGGACGATAAAAGAGTTGCGGTGCAGCCCTTCTCTGTCGGCCCCCGGAACTGCATCGGTAAAAAGTGCGTCCTAAAACCTTGGACACTGTACTAGAGCGCTAACCTGCTTCAGTCTGGCCTACGCCGAGATGCGCCTGATCCTTGCTAAATTGATATGGAACTTTGACATCGATCTTGACTCTCGTAGCGAGGGATGGTTGGAAAAGAACACTGCGTTCCTTCTCTGGGAAAAGCCAGAACTCTGGGTTCGCCTCACTCCGCGATCTGATATTTAGGTAGACGAGTAGCCAAATCATCGACCTTGGGATTGTGGATAAGGGGCTGGGTATTGGACGGGGCCGATGTTATCAAGAGCTTCTTGAACTAGTGTGTAAACGAGTTATGAGTGGCCCAGGAAGAATGTCCGAGCTTGTATTCGAATAGTGCGAGAAGTTTGGAAGGCATTTTTGTTACTGAAGTTGTGAAGCTGACAAAGCTGACGGCTGATGCTTGCCCCGCGCGTCTTACCGCAAAGCTTTAAATTTTGTGATATCTATCTGTAGCTTCGTGCCGTGTCTCAAAGCTCGTCTTTCACCCCAACCTTTGTTTCCATGGCATTAGTCAAGACTCCAGGCATACAGGAAGGACACCTAGGATAAAACTTCAATCTGATAGCAGCTACTTTAAGCCATAAAAATGTATTTGAGTCGGTATAAATCCGTCTATTAAGTGTCTATACCGCGCCGTGAGTATTCGTGTAAACATGAAAAACAGAAACAGCGGGACAAGAGAAAATGCAAACTTGCGGTGCGATTGAAATGTATTTCCATCGGTGGCTTGATCGGTAGGATATCTCATTGTTCGATATAGCCTTCTTGCCATCCCGATTCCTCTTAAAGCTTTGCCGCGTTCAGTGCCTTCGTCTTTGACTGATACGCTTTGACAAGCTGACGAATAGCCAAATCAAACATGACGTCTTCAGTTCCTCCGGGGATCCTTGCAGCTGGTACCTCTCTATAGATCTTCTCCACCAGCTCTCCCTGCCCCGTACGGGTATAGCCATTACCTCCAAAGAGCAGAACTGCACAGCGAGCACATTCATCAACGACCAGCCCCGCTTTGGCTTTCGCCAGTGCAACCAGACCTCCCAGACCCTGACGCATATCTGGGCCCTCAAGGTTGGACAGCTGGTAGACCAACTGCTCTGTCCAGGCTGAGATCGATTCGAGTTCTGCACCAGCCCTGGCTAGGCGATTGCGGACGACTGGTTGGCCCATTAGAGGCTTTCCAAAGGCCTCGCGCTTGAGAACATATGCGAAAGCTGCTGAAAGAGCTGCTCTGGCTGAGGAGACAACACCAATAGAGATTGCAAGTCTCTCGTGGTTGAAGTTCCGAGTAATCATCTTCATACCCTGACCTTCCTACCGCCAGACAGATTAGTGGGCAAGGACATTGTAGAAAGCGAAAAAGCTCGTACCTGACCGATCAAATTCTCAATCGGAACTTTGACATCCTCGAGATCAATAAAGGTGGTGCCGCTTGTTGTCCCACCGCTTGTTTTCATTCGGCGCATGGTGACTCCTGGATAGTCGAGTAGTGGAACTACAAGAAGCGACAGACCTGAAGCTCCTTGGCCTCCTGTACGAACGGCCATGGTAGCATAGTGCGACCAGATGCCGTTTGTTATCCTAGATTTCGCAAACGATTCGGTAAGCACACTCTTGACTCATGCATGGGTTAGTAAGAATCGGACCAACTGACCACTTCTTCTCTCCATTCACGATATAGAACTTTCCGCAAGGACTCCTCTCAGCTGTTGTGGTGATATTGGCCACGTCACTACCGGCGTCAGGCTCAGTGATGGCGATGCAGATCCTCTTCTTCCCCTTGATCAGATCCGGAAGTAACGTCTTCTGCAACTCCGCGCTACCATATGTGATGATGGGAGGCATGCCGTAGGCCATACCAGTGGACAAGGAAGAAGCCGGACCGCCAATACCCATCCTGCGCATTTCAGTGATGTAGATGGAGAAGTGCATATAATCGAAATCTTCAATCTTGAGGCCCCCTGCGAGCTCAGTGATGCCGAGACTCTTTAGCATAGCAATTGGCAGTGGTGCGGGCAAATTGGGAATGAGCATATGGTGCTTGGAAAAGGTCTCAAAGACATGAACAGGGACGCTTCCTTCGGTCTCCCATTGTAGTGCATGTGGTGCCAAGTGCTCTGAGATGAAGTCGCGGCATGCTTTCTGCCATTTCCCGTGAGATTCGTTGTAGTAAGGTGATGGCAGACCGTTGAGCCAAGGGGGTTCAGAGAATGGCACTGGCATGGATAGCGCTGAGCTCATGGTGGAGCAATTGACTTTGGACGGAATGAAAGATCGGAACAGAGTCAGTAAATAATCTGCAAATCTTGACAGGTAAAGATACAGAGATACAGCGTTGATTTAGGCAGTTGATGAAGGGTGTCTGTTTGTATGATGAGCTATTGAAGGATGAACCAGATTGGGCAGGCAACTGCCACATTCTTAGTTGCCGAGGGCCGATGCCCAACTCCCAAGCACGAAAACAATCGATCTGTATTGTTATGCACAACTATGAGAAGTTAACATCATTAATTTACTTGCGTAAAGCTCCGTCCTTCCATTGCCGCGTCTCCAACGCACCCTTCAATTCTCTATCAAGACTACTGCGCTATAAGCCTCTCGCCACGCTCCAGCCTCAAGAGGCATTAGGTGGCGTTGTACAGCAGATAGACGCAAGTAAAACTCCAGAACCAGTGTCGAAATGGCATCTCGTGGCATACAAGCTGCACGGTTCTTCAGTTCTGCTGCCCCGTTACGAACACTACCCTGCACCAGTGGTAAAACCACCATGAAGGCCGTAGTCATTAATGGCGACCAAGCGCGACTCGACCATAGCCGGTGTTTACCAAGACAAGCAGAGGACATGCTCCTCGTCCGACCAGTATCCGTGGCACTAAACCCAACAGACTGGAGACACATTCGGGGCCGCAGAGCAAAAGACGGCTGTATCGTAGGCTGCGACTACGCAGGCGTTGTTGAGTCAGTCGGGTCAGCCGTGACCAAAAGATGGAAGCCAGGCGATAAGATATTCGGCGTCGCCCATGGAGCAAATCTTGTCAACCCTGATGATGGAGCCTTTGCCGACGTGATATCTGTTATTGGAGACTTGCAGATGAGGATGCCGGATTCACTGAGCTTCCAACAAGCTGCGACTTTGGGTCTTGGAACAGGAACTGTTGGACAGGGCCTTTTTCAGAAAAGCTTGAAGCTGAAGCTACCCAGCCCGTCAGTGTCGGCCGTGATCAAGCATGATGAGCCAGTTCTGATCTACGGCGGCGGTTCTGCGACTGGGGCACTGGGCATTCAGTTTGCCAAGGAGTGAGTCTACAATCCATTCCAATGCCATACAATACAGATGTGATAATGACCGATTTGATGTGATAGAGCTGGGTATACGGTCATCACAGTCTGCGCGCCCGACCAATTCGAGTACGCCAAGAACTTGGGCGCACATTTCGCCGTCGACTATAAAGATCCCGAAGCTGGACCCAAGATCCGCGAATACACGAATAACAAGCTGCGACTTGCATGGGACACCATCAGTATCCAGGACTCGGCCCGCATATGTGCTGAAGGTCTTACCAGCTGCTCATCAGCAAACCCTGTATATGGCAGCCTTCTTCCGACCAAGAACCCACGCGCAGACGTGACCTCGATCGCGACAGTGTTTCATACAACGTTTGGTCGGAGCTTCAATTTTGGTGGACAGCATATGCCGGCTAGCAAGGAGGACTATGAGTTCGGCAAGTCGTTTTATGGTCTTGCGGAACAATTGATAGCGCAGGTTCGTTGTACCCCCCCTCTTCGAGGAATGATTCATGCTGACTAGACCTGCCTACCTAGGGTCAAATTCGACCGCATCTGGGCCGCGTTGGAGAGGGCGGATTGAAAGGTGTGATAGATGGCTTAGCTGAACTGGAGGCCGGCAGGGTCCAGGGCGAGAAACTTGTCTATAATGTTGCAGATACGCCTTAAAGAAGTCTACTTCCCAAGTTCATCTGATGTAGTTACTGAACAATAATAATGAGAGCCAAGCCTACAGCATTCATTTATATTGATCCCTAAATTGCAGAATGGAACGTTGTATGGAGCTATGAAGAAGCTCTTTAGATATAGGGACTCATAGCTGGCATTTGAATATTTATTATCTAGAGCCATCTCCCCGTCTGTCCACCCTTCTCCTCAATAAAATATACTTGACTCAAAAGCTCTTGCACGCGGCAAGGCGGTTAGCAAAAGCCCTCTTGACAACAGCAGAAGTAGGTGCAAACCGCTGAAAAGCATGCGGAACACCCTCATAAATGTGAAGCTCGGTAGGAATATCCGCCTCGATAAACCGCTGAGCATAAGCAACATCCTCTCGGAGAAACATATCAAGCCCACCACAATCGAGATACAGAGGAGCAAGCCCCTCGAAGTCCTCTAGACGTGCCGGAGCGGCGACTGGTGGCACTTTGTCGGTTTTGTAAAGGTCTCCCAGGTATGACATCCAACCCGTCAAGATATCTTGGTAGCCGAAAATAGCGAGACCGCCAGTCGTATCCTTCTCAGTGCGATCGTCAAGCATAGGATAGATGAGAATCTGTTTCGCTAGTGGAGGAGATAACTGCCTGTCCCTAGCAAGGATGGCCAAAGCCGCTGCCAGTCCACCTCCCGCGCTTTCACCCATGATAGCGATACGCGTTGGGTCAAGGCCGAGTGCAGAGGCATTTTTCTGGACATGGAGTAAAGCAGACCAGCAGTCCTCCAGCGGGATGGGAAAAAGGTGTTCGGGAGCGAGTCGGTAGTCAACCGATAGCATGGGGACCCCAGTGGCAGAGACGTAGGCTGCTAGTGTTGCGGAATAGTCGCTTGCGCTAGAACATGTGTATCCTCCCCCGTGAATATGAACGATACCAGGCCCGCGCCGTTCAAGGTCACTATTCCTCTGCCGAAAGTGCAGGATCTTCACTTTGAACCCATCTGACGCTTCAGCGGAATGGATCTGCATCTCGACATTCTCTGGTAATGCTTGTTGAGCGCCTGATCCCCGAATGAATTCTTCTATTCTTTTTCTCCTACTTTCCACGTCACCAACTGGAAAGACATGCTTTTGTGCTTCAATTGCAGTAGCACCTAGCTCATAAAACTCAGCGTCGTATTGAAGACGAGACATGACGAATTTAGCGCCTCTTCGGGAACGGGTGTTACTGTCAAGCTGTTTCTTGCTGGTGTTGGGTCAACCCGATTAAAGTCTTCTCCTCAAAAGACAAGATTCTCTTAACAAGTTGACTTCATCTGCTGTCTTCGGTTTAACAGGGCCCCACAGATTCCAGTCGGCTATTATTGTAATCTAATGCAATACCCTACATCGCGGCACCTCTGTTGATAGCCTCGGGTCTTCCTCTCAATGATGAGTGGGAGCATCCTCGGATAAAGGACAAAGACTTGGATCTCACTAAACCTCATCAACAGTTCAACAAGGAATTTATCCATATGAACTGAATGGCAGCGAACTATGTTCAATAACATCAACTAGTAATATCTTACGACTTGTAAAATCTACACTCGTATATTCGCTATGGCCAAATGACAGATGCCTTGTCGATCCATTCAAGGAATAATTAGTTGGTCACAGGAATTAGAGGCCTTCTAAAGATAATTGCGCCGCTCATTCTAACGCCACCGATATTGCCTTGATTCAGGTGGCAATACCGTAGATAAAGGCTATACAGTGGCGAGCAAACAAATACGCGTAACGTATTTTGAGCTTAAGCGCCCTGTAACTGACCACTCGCCTAGAGACATAGTGCAAATCTCGGCGATCATCAACCTACAAAGGTATTGTATGTTTACACTGCAGTGCCTTTGTCTGACCGGTTACACTCAATACCAACTGGTCTCGGCTTTGTGTGCAACATCGCACTCCAAGGCCCAGGTCTCAGAAACTGTAACCGAAAGCGTCGAAGCCCATATTGATAAAGCCATGGGACACTGGACTATTAAGAAAAGAAATACGTCTTATTAAGCATTGATGTTGCCATTCATTACAGCAAACATGCATCTAGCACTACTGGCACCAACTCTACACCGACTTGATCTCGACACCTTCGTGCCTACCATTCTCCCGCCAGGCCCTCAAAATGTTATTGTAGTCCTCCTGTCCTTTACCCCAAATCGACGTTCGAGCCATTCGAGCAAGCTTCTCTGGATCCCTGACATTCTCAAACTCCCCCTCGGCGTTGATGTAGCTGGGCGTGCAACCCGCCGAAGCCCCAAACATGTGAGCCTGACTTACAATCTTTTGCGCCCATTTCTCCTCCGCTTCTTCGGTTGCCTCGATGGTAAAGTTGTACTCATAGCGTTTGTCACTGGAATCCTTGGACCGAGTTTCCTTGGCGCCAGTGGCCACGATGTAAGCAAACTGCTTGGCGGCTTGCTCGGCGATGAATGTGTAGTTGGGATTCCCACCGCCTTGGATGAAGCCTGGCCAGAACATGTTTGGGAAATCGTGGCTCATCATGCCATGTAGCGTTGTCACACCAGAGCTCCATTTTGCGTCTAAATCGGTCCCGTCGCGGCCGAGAACCTTGATCCCGACCCTGCCTGGTGGACTGTAGAGAAACGGACTCTTGTAGCCTGTGCTTAGGACAAGTACATCAATATCAAAATGTTCTCCTTCAACAACGACGCCGTTCTCCGTGATCTCCTGAACGCCTTGTCCATCTGTATCAACAAGATGTACAGAGAGGTTGTTGAATGCGTCGAGATATTCGTCGTGGAAGCACGGTCTCTTGCACCAACCAGAGTACCAAGGCTTCAACTTGGCTGCAACCTCCGCGTCCTTGACCAGATCATCGATACGCCCTCGCACTTTGCTTTGTCTCTTAAGGTCAAGCTCCTCCAAGTAGGCGTAATATTTCTGTATCTCTTGTGGCGTCTTTGGATCATAGCCGGGTGATCCTGATATCGCACTGTAAGATGGCATATTGGTCCAGCTATCGTTGACGAGGTCGAGCGCCGGTTTGGGATTATGGTTGTTCACATGGGCACAGTAGTTGAGACATCTCGCCTCCCACCAGCCAGGTTTGTTAGCGATCTCGTTCTTGAACAAGTCTTCGTCCGTCTGGCGGTTATATCTGGCGGCCACAGCAGACGGCGTCCGCTGAAAGACATAGACCTCCTTGGCCCATTTCGCTAGCTCGGGCAAGATCTGAATGGCTGAAGCCCCCGTACCGATGAGTCCAACCTTCTTGGCTCTCAGTCGTGTCATTGATGGATCA